GTTGCTGCGACCGCGCACCAATAGAGAGGGGGTTCGTACATAGACATTGGTGCCACCATTCTGGTCTGGTCAATCTGACCAACAAATAAATATGTCTGCAAAGCCTGAGGCGTAACGACACGTTTTTGCAGGCCGGTCCAAGGAACTTCAAAGCTGACATCCCGTCGAGCAGTAGAGCTGCCAATTTTGCTGGCGCTGACTGGCGAGACGGAAGCTCCGTTGAATGAAAGTCCGACCTGGATGTTTTGCGGCGGGATACCGGCGAAGGCATTGTTCGGCTCGGAGATCTTGAACAACCGCAGGTCGGCTTCGAAGACACCGGTTTGGGCGTTGAGACTCGGCAAGTTGTAGCAGATGCAAGTTCCGGACGGGTTCGAGGCCTGGTCGAGGTGTGAAAGGGCGTCGGTGCATTTTGCCGACGTTTCTTGCTCCCAAGCCGTCATGTTGATGGTGCCGTCGTTATTCAGGGCAACTTCAGTCGCTCTCGAAACCCACTCAGCGTCCGCCATGGAGCTTTGTCGCTTCTCCATGTACCGGTTTGCGACATCTTCGTAACTTCGTTCCAACACGTCCACCGCGCGAACCTCGATTGAAGAATCCATCGACAGCGGGCGAATCTCGGCGCAAGCGCGCGAGGCCAGCGCCGCTGTGGTGACAACCACCTTCCAATACATTGTCGTCGATAAAGTTGAGAGAAAGCGGAGGGTAGCGTTGTAGCCGGGGAGATCGGGCGGCTATCGTATTAATGGGCTCGGGGCCGAGAGAAAAGGTGGAGCGAATTGCTGATGATGGTTTGGCGTCGCCAAGGTCTAATTACAAAGTCGGGTCCCGGCCGGCGGCGAAGCGAAGCGAATTGAAATAAGACGGAGCCAAAGAAAGAGCGTAAATCGTGTCCACCTCGTGGAGTGCCCGGAATGGCTTGGTTGATCGGTTGGCGTGTCGAAGATTCGTTAACGACGGGATCGAAGCGAGACAAGTCGATTCGAATCGGATCCAGAGGAAGAGAGAGAGTAGTCGATGAGAGGAGAGAAAGGATAAGGTAAAAAAGGGACCTGCCCGTCAGAGGGAAGGGATATGGTTAGTGCTGGCTTGGCTGTACTCGGGTTGGTCGCGAGATGTCTTGTCGACTCGACTCGGAATGGCGCAGAACGAACGAGAGAAGGCCAGGAAGGAAGAGGGTGAGAGTGGGATGGGGTGGCGAGGAATCAATAAGGACGGAGATTAAACGTCGATAAACGGGCAGGGCACAGCAGGGCTGGGCCTTTGACAACAGGAGACGTGTGGGAGGAATTGTGTCATGCAGCGACCATCGTGGTGCCTGGCAAGACGAGCAATGGCCTGACACGTTGTGATCCACAGCAGGGCTGAGGGGTGGTTTGAGCCTTTCTTGGGTACGGTCCGTACGGAGTAGTTAGTATAGGATGGAGATGGGATTGATGGACTGATGGGCGCGAAGACGAGGGCTCTATCCGTAAGAGAGGTGGACACGGGGAGTTTGCTGCAGTTGGTGGGATGCAGTCAGGAGCGGCAAGGTGAATGTGATTGTCGGGTGTGAGTGTCAAGGTGTATCGAGGAAGAGACGGAGACGAGTGTCGGCAGGGGTGGTAACCTGACGAGGATGACGATGGTTCTGGGGGAGGATCTGAGGCCAGAGGCGTGCATCAACCAACTGTACAGACAGAGGATACGGTGGTACAACTGGTACAAATGTACTGCAAATTCGACCAGTGTATATGGACTGAAAGGACGAGGTATGTTTGCGAATGTGGACGACGGACTCGACTATGTGTGGTCTGTGACTTTATGAGACGGCAAATGCAACGAGAGGTGCGCAGGGACCTGGGTTGTTGGATGCTGGCAGGCCTGGAAACGTGGAAACGGGACACAGGAGAAAGAGGTGTGGAAAGGAGGTTGAACTGAATAACGGTGGTGGGCTGGAAGGAATGGAGGAATGGAGGATGGAGGGAAGTAGAGAAGAGGAATGTGGGCGAATTGTGCAGAGGGTCCGAGGCTGTAGCGGGATAGTACCAAGTTTGGATCTGAGGCTTCTGATTGGCTGCTGGGGTGGTGGAGGGACGGGAAGACTGGAGGCGGCTGTGAGGTAAGTTGAGGTAAGGTTAGCCGGGGGGACCTTCCTTTAGTCTTCTTTGAGTCTAGTGTACCGGTTTATAGGGAAAGATTTAGCAAATCGAAGCACGTGATGCACGTGACCCATTCTATACCCCCAGGATACGTATCCAGTACGTATCCCTCGGTCGCATTCCATTGGCAGCCGCCGTTTCTCCCTAGGTCCCTTTCCCACTGTCTCTCTCTCTCTCCCTTTTTTGCCTCTGCAGTCTTTCCAGTGTGCCAGTGGACAATTCTTTCGCCTTACCGCCTCGGCTTCGTTTCTTCTTCTTCTTCTTCTTCTTCCCCCCTGCCAGTCTGCTCTCTGCGCTTCGCTCAGCCCGAGAAATACGGGACTCGGCCAGATCAACTGTGGACCAGCCATTATTGGCCACACTAAGGGATAGAACGGAGTGGCCATGAACCAAACGGAATCGACAAAACGGTACACGGACTGACCGCCAGACGATGGAGACGTGTCGCCCTCCTACATCCCCATCGATGGTCTACTTCTTCCAACTTTTACGCTTCAAGATTTGAGCGCCACCCTCGAAGGGGAAGCTCAGATGTGCCACTTGTGCCTGGATCTGCTGAGCATATCCCTACCTCGAGCCAGTACCCAGCCCATGGCATTGTCGGATCGACTGGAGATGGAACAAGCGTCGTTCGAGGACTGGTCGGGGGCTGAAGCAGTTTTGGGCCATAAACTGCCTCTGATTGGTTCTATATTGCCCAGGGTGGGACGCGCCAGGGGTCTTGAGTGAAGATTGTTTGGCCAGGGGCACAAAGTACGATACTTGTGTTTCCCTACCTGACCACACTCGCACCAGAAGTGCCTTTTCCTCATCAGCCACCACTCCACCACCCGAATTGCGAGTGAAGATTCGAGAGGCACAGTCGGCAGTGGCAGGTGCGATGTATTTAGGGGCTTGGATCCCATCGGCGACAGCAGCCACCGGTTTTAGACTTTGAAGCCACACGCTGCACAATCCGATGTACACGACTGAATACGGGTACCACGACCACCTATCCGTGTATTCCAATGCCAGCAACAAAGCTGCCTTGCGTGCTAAAGAAGCAGAGCATGGGACGTGTTGTGTTCGAATGGTCTTTGCGTCTTATCGCTCGGATGCGATGACTGTGGTACGCATCGCAAGGATGAGCCGCCACAACGAACAATTGGCGGACGGACATTGATGCCACGAAGAGAGCCGGTGTCGCGTCCATCAAGCCATTCGCTCCAACAATGGCGACCATCATCACGCCTCTCACCGGACATCAAGAGCCCAAGAGGGCCAAAGCCGGCTCTCACAATGAGTAAACCATTACAAAATTCACTTCTTCCAGCGCCCTCTATACTCACTGGCACCCCATACGGAGTACTCGTACTCACTCCGAGCGTATGGCGGAGGGCCTGCATTACCACGCGCGGCGTCTGCAGAGTGCAGACTGCAGGCAGCAGCCCTTGTCTCAGGTGAAACGCGTGGGTCTAGCACGACGGTCAGGTCGAGCGCGCTGGGCAATTCCATGGCATCCATGCAGACGCCGCACCTCGCCCAATTCGATGGACACCGCCGCGCACGAAAATGAAGAATGGGCCAGCACGGCTGAGCGGCATACACTGGAGGCCCATGTTGCCGATAGTTCCCAGCAATTCACTGTATTGAATTGTATTGAATTCGGAAGAATATTTGACATTTTCCAATTGACCTGTTCCGAAATTCTTTTGAGCGCGGGAATACCTACCTCACTGTGCCACAGCTACATTCGAAGCACAAGCCACATCAATCACTAGCCACAGCGATGGGCGAAGCGGCTCTCTCCAGCCACATCTCCTCCTCAACGTCACCAGCCACCCCTCGCAAGTTCGGTCTTCATCCATCGACCCTCATCCTCACCACAACGTTTCGACCTATTGTCACTGCCCCCTGCGACTTTTTAATCTCCTGTCACCAAAAGCTTGGCTTCCATCTCGTCTGAACCCTGGCCTACCATTGCTCATCAATTCGATCGCCCCTGAGGCGTATCCCATTGGCACAATGTCCTGCCCAACGGCCCATCTACCGAGAAGCTGCCTTGTCTTCAATTTTAGGATACAGAGATCTGGTGCGGTCGCCGGTGAGCCTAGGAGGTCGACAAAAATCGCACGAAATTAATCGCCGCCTCTATCAGAAACATCCCCGCGATCTGTCAACATCTCTACGGATACAACATGCCTTGACCACTTACTACGTACGGATATACGAAAAGTTTTCGAATCACTATTACCCACCTAACCGCCGCTCATGCTTGAAGATTCGGTTCTTGGCCGCCGAGGAAAAGCAACAATGTTCCATTATAACTACTGAGGACCATACCGTGGCTGAAGCCCGAAACGCTTCCTCCATCTCCCGGTCGCTCGTGGTGCGACCGGTTTCGGGACCCCAGCTGGCTTAGGCACGGTTTATCACGCCCGCCCACCTTCCGGCCCCCTTGACGATAACTCAAAGTCGTTGTAATAAGGTGAGAGCGGCATTGGGAACAAGGGGCATCTCTTCAGTATCCGTACGAACACTCCACTGGTGATAAACTCGCCAACCCGGTGTCCCACCGTCTCACCTGCCTTCAATGACGCGGCCATGCTGGAATAATCGGCTATCGCGGCAAGCGTTGCCGGTTCATCTCAACGTCGACGGTTCATTATTGAATTAACATCTTAAGATTCACAGTTCAAACATCGCCAATGACGACGAAGGAGTTACTCGCTACCAGTGGCCCCATCGAAAATACTACCAAATTACCAAGACATTCGCCAAACGCCAGTACTACGCCACAAAACACCAGTGAACCGGTCTCGGTTCTGGGAGCATTGCACCGACGCCTTTGAGTGAAAATCAACCAACCATTCCGTGTCACTATTCTGCCACTCGCTGACCCCGATACCGTGGCAATATGCCCTTGGCCCATAGAGCCGCCTCAGTAAACGCCAGATACATCCCCGTCAAGAACCAGAAAGTCATGACGACGCCGAACCCGCCAATGAGCTTGGCATCTACCATCCTACCCACCACAACGTCGCGCATGGCGTTGTTCATCAGCAGCCAGCTGTATATTGGCACAAGCTGGCTGGCTTGCATAGCGATGGACGCCCGTTGATGGGTAACCTGGGCTCTCTCTCGCTCTCGCTCTTCAATCGTGTCAATCATCCTCCAGGCGACCTGGTTGTTGATCTTCTCCCAGGTAGCCTCGCATGCCATCGCTCGAGCTTGTGCGGCCATTACCTCTCGACAGTCTCTGTCTTTGGAGAGGTACATGACCTTGTCGACAAATGTGTCCAGGTCGTTGGGCGGTACAAGGTATCCCGAGCGGCCATTGTCGATGATATCGCTCGGCCCGCCCTCATCTCGGGCGACCACCGGAACGCCGCTTGCCATCGACTCTAGGACGACCAAGCCGAATGTTTCCGTGACGGAGCAGTGGAGGAAAATGTCGCCCGATGCATACGCCGTTGCCAGGTCGTCCCCGGTCTTGAACCCGGCGAAGATGACCTTGCCCTGTTCTCTCAAAGGATCAAACATTTCATGAACCTCCCTTTCCACTTCTGCATTACGGTTCCCGCCGACGACGTAGAGCTTGAAGCGGAGACCCCTTGCATCGAGCTCCTTTACTGCCTTGGCGAGGAAGTCAAACCCCTTCTCACCCGCCACCCTAGAGACACATATCAGGATGATCTCTCCGTCCGGGGCGATCTGCTTCCTCAATGCCTCGCTGCGCATCTCCGGCCGGAACACCTCCGTCTTGACGCCTCGTCGCAGCACTTCTAGCTTGGAGCTCTGGACCCCTTGGGCCTCGAGATATTTGCGCACGAATCGGGACGGGTAGAAGATGGTCTTGACCGACTCATGCTGGAACAGAAAGCTCTGGACCATTGCAAAAGCAAAGACGGCCATGGTGCTGAACGGGTGAGGGAAGAGGATAGCGCAGTACCCCGCCAGGTCGGTCTGAAAGTTGCAGATCACCGGCACCCGTTCTTCCTTGGGCTGCTGTCGGAGCTGCAGCATGACCTGGAAGCCCAGAGATGCCGGCGACGCGAGGTAGATGAGGTCGGCCGGGCTATCTGACCCAAAAGTTCTCGCGAAGAGGGCCGATACCCGCACTGGGTATACGACGGAGAGCTCTGGGTTGAAAGGTAACGGGTATCCTTGAAGCCGCACTTCGACCTGGCTGTCATCTTTTGTTGTGGGAGAAAAGGTGTTGTGCTGGGTGTGGTTGTGAGGCGCGACGACGGCGACGAGTGCGCCGTGAGATCGCAGGTGCTCGACGAGCATCAACGTTGTCCGGCTGACGCCGTTGACGGGGCCAAAGGATTCGGTGCAGAGCAGGATGCGCTTCCCTCGTAATGAGGATGGGAATACGGAGTTGTCGTGGGCGGGATACCGTGGCATCGTGCCGTAGGTCTCGGGTAGAAGAGGTTCCGCCATTGCCAGTGTCTGCGATACCTAGGCTGGTTGACATGTCAGCCTGGATCAGCTTCCTATTAGAAGTTTTGGTTCTTACTGAAGAATAACTCGAACGTCTTGCAGAGACGGTTAGTATAGCTTGTCAGCAATTACTGCGGGCGTTGAAGACTCTCAGGTCCCGGGTGCAGTCTAGAGAAGATGTTGGTGTTCGTCAAGCACCGAAGCGATGCGCCAAAGGCGGCGCAAGGCCCTCTGATATCTATCTCGCGCATAGCTGCAATGTTCGAATTGGCAAAGAAGCCTGCAGGTCAAGCGATCTAGATGTCGCCTTGCACTAGGTGTATTATCACGTAGGTACCTGTGGTGAAGTGTGGCGGGGGAGGGGCGGAAGAAGCTCGAACGAGACAGCCTGTCGATGCGTCGTGCTTGGCCACATGGCAAGCTTCTCTGGCCGGCCGCAAACGTAGCGGGGGCGGGGCAACTCATTAAAGATTGTCGGGTACATCTACTACAGGGTCCAGAAGCCGACTTCGGTTGCGTATCGAATTGTTCGCGAATCATTCTTTGACGATTGCTACCCGTGGCCGAGACTCGTGAGACAGCATCACGGGAACTACCAAGCCATCCGCATTCCTGCAGACCTTGAGACCCTTGATCTTCACCTTCATGCTCTCTTGATGGCCGTGAAGGTCCGGTTATTGACTGATATCGCAAGCCTAACATTGACATCTGTAGCCTATTAACTAGCAAATGTTGATGTTGAGATCATCGAGTTCTCAGTAAAGGCCAACGACTAGGTTAACTAGAATTCAACATACATCCAAGCCTACTTGTTTCCAAACATTCCCACGCCAAACTCTTGACCTTCTCGTCTTTTTTGGGGCACCTGTTTTCGGACAAGCTGAAGTGATACAGAGACCACGATCGCGAGACATCAGGTCAACAGCCAATCAGAAGCCCGGAACGCGGCACATTCCCGCTTCGGTGGATGAGAACCAATCAACGAGACAGCGACAACTTTTTCTGAGATACAAAACAACCTAGAAGATCACAGTCGCATTTTCTGATTGTCTTCCGACGAGATTGGCCACATGACATGTTCCTGATTCATACATGTGGGAAAAAAGCAGTCGAAAAGGCGAATCGCGGGCTGTATCTAGATACCCGTGGTCTCTCCGGTTGGGTGAGGTTTGTTCATAACCTCTTTTCAACGAGTTACATACTCTAGTGTAGGTTCCTCGGCTATCTCGCCTAGGCCTAACAAATCGTGGCCTGTCTCCTGCACGATTGCATCTTTTCGAGGATGCAATTCGCTGTTTCCTATCACCCGTGCTATGTCGAAGTGCTATCAGTTGGAGGGGTCATCGCGGCGGGGGAGGGGCATCGTGATGCTCATGATGGAGATCTTATGGCCACCTGCGTTGGTCTTCGATAAGCCGCGCCGTTGTCGTCTTGTCGTAGCCGTGTAGTCATTGGTGACTTACGATACGCTCGGCCGCTATCGGGATCAAAGTACGAACCAGCATCTGGTCTGCTGGCCATACAAAGGGCATGTCGACGCTGCCAACTTATCAGACGTCGCATGAACTCTTTGCCTGAAGCTCTTTATGCCCGGTTATACCTCGAATCTACGTGAGATTTAAACCACTTCACTGGCTGTCATCTCCATCTACATTCTCCTTGACATCGCATCCTCTCGGAATACGGCAAATTGACCGCCACGCCGCGTCTCCTCACTTACCATTTACCTCAACTGACGCGCGTCAAGCTCCTGAAGCTGATAAACGTTAGTTGCCCATCACTCTCTAGTTGCACAGCGGCGCAAGCTTCGACCATCAAACGGGCGGGCGTTGCTAAATCGAGCACCGCCGCGGATATGGTCCTGAAAGCCACGTCAGATCGACAGCAAACCGTTCGTTCCCGCACGGCCGCCACCGTTTGCTGAACCATGCATAATCGACGATAGTGAAACGAACGCCTTTTTCCCCATCGGACGAAGTCCATCAGCCAGTCAGCTAGCACGGATTTGGCTATCGCGCATTCGTGAAGTCATTTGGGGTATATACGCAGTGAATCCTTGATAGCTGGGATAGGGATTTAAGAAGGTATTGAGGTACTTTTATCACGGCCGCGACAATGGTGGAAGCTTATGATATCAATGCCGTCCTTGGGGATGAGGATGTGGACGAGATAGCGGCGTCAACGGTTCCTACGACACCTGAGGGGAGTTGCACTTTCAGTCCTGTCGTCAAAGCAGGGCGTCGGCTGGTCTTTGATGGCGAGGATGCGGGCGAGGAAGTCTTTCTCGAGCTTGACATGAAGCCAGAAGATGTGGCATGCTCTGATAGCAACAGTGGCAGAAGTACTGTTCGCAAAATCTGCTGCGTAGGCGCTGGTTACGTGGGTAAGTTGCACTGTGGAGATTCACGCATTGGTTCCCTGGGATCAGGAAGCTGACCTATCACTCTAGGAGGGCCCACGGCAGCGGTCATCGCCTTCAAGAACCCTCATCTCCGAGTCACGATCGTGGATAGAGATGAACGGCGGATCAGGAGGTGGAACTCGAAGCATCCTCCCATCTACGAGCCGGGCCTACGAGACATTGTCAGAGTCGCAAGGGACGGCACCAATGCATATTCTCAACCCAATGAGCCCTCCAAACTGGACCGCTGCGAGACTTCTTCGTCATTGTCATCAGTCACCTCCGAGTGCGGAAGTCAGTGTGGCGAGGGCGGCAGAAACAGCAGCACCAGCACCACGGTCCCGTCCAGGCAGCCGAACCTCTTCTTCTCAACAGATGTCTCGAGGTGCATCTCGGAAGCGGACGTGGTTCTCGTCGCAGTCAATACGCCGACCAAGACGCGGGGTCACGGCGCCGGTAGCGCGACGGACATGGCGGCCTTTGAGGCCGTCACTGCTGAGGTGGCCAGGCACGCGAGACCGGGCGCCATCATCGTCGAGAAGTCTACCGTTCCATGCCGGACCGCGGAGCTTGTGCGAGAAACAGTGAGTCCACCCGGAAGATCCAAGTGATTCCCCCAGCTGAGCGAAGTATCTGTACAGCTCGCCGCCCATCGACCAGGCGTACACTTTGAAATCCTCTCCAACCCGGAATTCCTCGCCGCCGGCACAGCCGTAAACGACCTCCTTCACCCAGACCGCGTCCTTATTGGCGCAGACACAACGCCCTCGGGACATCGCGCAGCCGAGGCCCTGGCAAGCGTATACGCCGCCTGGGTGCCTCGATCACGCATCCTGACGACGAACGTATGGTCATCTGAGCTCGCGAAGCTAGTCGCCAACGCGATGCTTGCGCAGCGGATAAGTAGTATAAACTCCATCAGCGCAATTTGCGAGCGGACAGGCGCGGATGTAGATGAAGTCGCTGCTTCCGTGGGTCGTGACCCACGCATTGGGGACCGGTTCCTGAAAGCGGGCATCGGGTTCGGAGGGAGTTGTTTCAAAAAGGATATCTTGAGTCTGGTATACCTCGCCGAGTCGCTTGATCTCGAAGAGGTCGGGGAGTACTGGCGGCAAGTGGTCAAGATGAACGAGTACGCACGCGAGAGGTTCACGCGGCGCGTGGTCAAGTGTTTGAACAATACTCTGGCCGGGAAGAAGATTACTGTCCTCGGGTACGCTTTCAAGAAGGATACGTCGGATACGAGGGAGTCGCCTGCGCTGGAGATTATTCGGGTGCTGTTGGAGGAGGGACCAAGAGAGATTGCGGTGTTTGATCCGTGCTGCAATCCCCTCGTGATTCAAGCAGAGATCCGGCAGCTTTGCGGGTCGCAGACGACGAGGGCTTTGGAGAAAGACGGCGGTGGACCCTTGGTTGTGTATGGGAACGCGTATGACGCTTGTCGTGGTAGTAACGCGGTTCTCATCACTACCGAGTTTGACGAGTTTCGGAACACGGGTGAGCTCGGCGTCAGGGATACGCCGGGTTCTGCGCCTTCTCCTCCCCGCGGAAGCACGACATCGTGGGCGGCGGAGGCGGTGGGTCAGGAGCTTCGGCAGCCGGATGTGAGACTAGCGCTGGGAAAAGGGGAGATGGGCGCGGCGACTTTGGATGATCCGCTTGGGCGATACGTTGCTGAGCCTGCGTGCGCGGGAGATTGCCCGGATTGTCGGGCGGAGGAAGAGGATTGCAAGGTCTTGGAGTCTGCTATCACCAACGGGCCGGGGGCGGAAGAGGTTAAGAGGGTTAAGGAAAGGGTTGACTGGGAGAGGGTGGCGCGAGATATGCAAGTTCCGAGATGGGTGTTTGATGGGAGGGGGGTGATTGATGGTCATGAGATGGCCAAACTCGGGGTTCGAGTCGAGAGTGTTGGGAGACGGGGGAGGAGTTGAGCTGCCTTGGGGCGTTGGCGTGGATAGTGTCTTCTTTATAATTTCTTTAGAAGACGTTAGACTATATCCTACTTAATATTCAACGAGATAAATGAGCGGTGTGAAGGAAGCCGTGATTAATTGAAGCCATCATGAACATGGTAGATGAGTCCAGTCCGCAAGAGCCTCAAGTCACCCGTCACCGCTACCCAGGAACCTATCATCTGGGCTGACTCTGACATGGCATTGCTCAAACAGTAAAGTCAGAACCAGTGCCGACATGAACGGAATAAAGTCCACAAGCACTAAGGCAGCTGCTTCCTGGAAGCTTACTTTCGCTTACCTAAATGCGCATCCCCATGCGTGTGCTCTTCTTTTTCGTCTCATTCTTGAGTCGCCGTTTCACGCTGCAAACTTGAGATAGTCTGTTCTCACCATCGAAAGGGAACTACTCATCCGGCTCGCGAGTTCGTCTGAGGATTGCCCAGGAGGACTACTGCAGGTTCTAGACTCCAGGATTCTTAACATCAGCTACGTTGCATGATAACCTCTGTACCCATTTACTTTGCAGTCTCTGCTCTTGCTTCTGATTTTAGCTGCTTGTCTCTTGTCAATCATCAGCTTTCTTCGATATTTCTGAATAAAGGTGAGGTAGTCAGGCTACAGGTGCAAGTAAACGGGGACTGTTTCAAAACCTCGCGGGGCACTAGTAAAATAAACATCAACGAGCTCGTCGTCAACGCAGAGCCTCAGATACCATCTGCTACGTGCATCGACCGACTCTCCAAGTTCCACCATAGTGAGCTGTTTCTGATCGCCACCGACCCCATTCCATGGGAGGCATCGGGGAATGGACCTTGTCCGCAGTCATCGTGATGCATTGCGATTGGCGAGTCGGCGCGGTCTGTTCACGTTTCACGTTGCACTCTTCCAACCGGCGCGCACTCTAAGGGGAGGGAGAGGGAGGATGTGAGTAGGGATTGTGCTTCCCCTCCCCAGCCTGCTCCCATGCGATGGTTTTGTTTCCGAGACATGTAAGACGAGTCGTTCGAACCCAGATTTTGCCCGTTTTGGTATGAAGCCGTCTTGCGTTCTTCACCAAGCTTACCTTTTCCCACGCTCACTACCCCTTGTGCCCCTTGTGCCTTGTCTTGCCCCCCTTCTGGTCCACAACTTTCTTTTAGAGTATTCTGCACCATGTTGAAGCTTGATAGGCTTGCCGGCGCGCCGGGTGGCCAATTTCGTCAGGTCCGGGGTAGGAAGCACTGGGGTGCTTGGTTTTTCTTCCGTCCAACCTTTTGTTCCTTTCCCTTGTGAAGCTTGAGCTGCCGTTTCATCCATGTCTGCTGTGTGCGGGAGACGGCTGCGTCCTGAGTCTGAGGATTTGGTGTGTGAGGAACGACGTGGAGGGAGAGATGTGGCTATCTGATATAGGTGTTGGGCTTGGAGTACCTCTTGTTTGGATGATGTGCAGATGATCTTCTTTCTACTGATTTGCGCGTGTTTGTATCGTGACTTTGCCATAATTCTGCGACCAGCGAGCGAAAGGAGTAGATTCTCCTACGCGTCCTACGATACCTAATCACCGACCTCGACGGTGTTTATTTTGTGCCTTGCCGAGAATCCATTGTACAAGATGAGGGGAACAGATGCATCATTCCTGGTCCTCTCGGGCCTCGCCGTGCTAGCGAGCGCCAGAGAAGTTCAAGTCGACGACGTCCCCGTCGAATGCGCAACAATATGCGGGCCCATCGTTGAGTTAACATTCAAATGCGACGTCGACAACAGCTTCGACGAGCTCAAGAGACTAAAGAGGAGGAAAGTCGACACGCCACGATACAGACCGCCGCCAGAAAGACGACAAGCAAGGAGACCATCACCAGCAAACGCACACGGAGTCGTGCGCCGCCACCACCATCGCCGACCGAACCAAAACGATGCAGTAGAGGTATCGACTCCCGGCCTAGACCAACCTCAAGCTACAAACGTTGCACAACAACCTCCACAGGATGTGCAGCAACCCGCCCAGGACGCGCAACAGCCGGCCGTGGACGCTACACCCGTCTTCATTGCCACGCTGCCTTTTGCTGCCCCCTCACCGGAGATTCCGCTGAGCATGAGTACGCCGGATGCCCAGAACAAGCCTACACCCTCGGCGCCGGCTCCTCCGCCGCAAGTACCGCCGCCTGTGCCTGTCTTGATCACATCGACTGTGTTCCTGACAGTGTCGGCGCCGACAATACCCACTCCGTTGCCGCCACCGGGGCCTCCGCCGGTGCAGGCACCCCCACCCGTCCAGGCCCCACCTCCGGTCCAAGCTCCGCCCCCGGTTCAGGCTCCTCCTCCCGTACAGGCGCCGCCTCCGGTCCAGCCGCCTCCGGTAATCACAGCCCCGAGACCGCAACAACCACTACCACTCCCTCCGCCCTCATCAACATCACGGCCCACGCCTCAGCAACCTCCAGCCCAACAACCACCCCTTCAACAACAACCGCCTCCACAGCAGCAACCTCAGCGTCCACCACCTCCGCAACAGCAACCGCCTCCATCGTCCTCCCAGCAGACCACGCCCCCGATGCTCCAGCCGACACCACCACAGCAGCTTCAACCTCCTCAGGCGTCCATGAGCAACCCGGCCGCCATACCCATCATGGGTCCCGGGCCGGAGAAGCAGCCGGACAGCAAGTCGCCCAACGACCGTGAAGAAGCCGAGAAGCAGTGCACGTGCTCAAATAAGAGCTTTGATGTGCAGTTGCTGGCTGGGTTGTGCCAGAGTTGTATCCGGAAGACTGGAAACCGGGCGAATAGTGAGTGCAGTCTTTTTTCCCTCACCCTACAATTAGGGGAGGCGATGGTTAGTTTCCAAACACGAACTAACAATACGCAGACCTGGACTTTATCATGAAGGAGTGTAACTTTGTGGAGTCGACATACACCCCCGATAAAGATCGGCTCGTCGACAATATTCGCGTCGTCGCGGAGAAGCCGTTCTTGACGTCTAGTGGAAACGTCATGGCTGACGCCGGGAGAGTAGGGGCTGGATGCGCTGCTGCGGCTGCGGTGGCTGTCAGTCTCGTAGCTGGGATGGCGATGCTTCTATAGGGCATCTTTGCGTAATATTATGGCGGAATAAAGGAGTAAGAATAATAATATCGACGGCGGATTTTGTTGATGGCTTGGAGAACGGTGTTGACCTGTTGGGACTTGTCTAGGGTGGGAAAGGAGAAGAGAAGGCTTAGACTTATTGAGTCGTCACGACCTATATGAATAGGCCAATAATGAGAAAGGGATGCCGCGCTGTGTCGCAGGCTTATAACTTGAAGCTAGTCTTCGCGCAAGCTGCTACTACCTGGGTCTCATACACACATGGAAGCAGCCGTGTTGTCTCAAGGCAACAACCACTAATTCGCAGCAACATTTGTGCCCGTCTGCTCCTTGCCAATTTCATGTATGGATCACAGTCAAAGTCTTCAAAACAACCGCAGTTTGATGAGATAAATCCTGCGCTTTCTTACCTCAAAATTATTTCACTCGGCCCGGACACCTCTCAGAAGGGACTCGGCGATGAAGACCTCCCGCGGTTGAGCAGAACTAACCGAAGTCGCTGATTGGCTGAGCTAACTTGACTCAGAGATGCGGCAATCGCAGCGTACGGCGGAAACCGCTCATGAACTGGACGTGGAACGTCACGTACCTATGACCAAGAAAGTAAATAAATCGTATTACTGATCATATTATTCAGTTATAATTCTGCTCGCTGATGTGTTAGTCTCTTTCTACCGTACCATGAGCATTGTGGCTTCTGACGCAGCACTTCACTTCTCCCTGTGGACCTTTGATCAACTGGAAGGGACCACCACCTACAGTCCAAGACATCACAGGTTCTGACATTTGCAGACTTTGGTCTGGGTCTAAAAGGTCACCGAAACGAACAAAATTCCCGTTCTAGCACCTATCAGCTCCTGGCTATCGGATGAAAGTTTGAGCGGAGGAGACGATGGAATTCCGCAGCAGTTGTCTTGCTCATCAGGCAACAGGATGCGCCCACCCTTGTCTTGGCCGCTGATTTGCATTGCCTCATTTCCGCCTCCCACCACAACTATAAGTATCACACGAATGCCCTCCAAATTTCAGTATTGTTCTCCGGCATCAATTCAATTCATATGATTCTTTAATTCCTCTTCTTTTGTTAATCAATCTCACCAAATATTCTCGGGCCTTACCCAGCCTTTCTGATTTCCCCTAGCTGCTACGGCTATTGCCAAGTCAACCCTCTAATTAGTGAGGCCACCAAAGCCGGCAAACATGTCAGACATGGCTCACAACAAGGAATACCATGTGCGAGACTTGGCCACTCGATCCATCACACTCTTTCCCAATAGTGCTCAAGTCGTGAGAGACTTGCGCAACCTACAACTCAAAGTGAGGATACACCGGTACCCTGTATCAGTACCTTGGCCCCCGGCTGACCCTAGTAACTAGCCCGGCGCTAACGAAATCACCATCTTCGGCTTGACTCCAACAGTGGATGAATCTACAATCAAGGTAGACGGAACCGGCTCAGCCATCATAACTGACATTGCCATTGAGTTTGTTCCCAACCACGAGAGCTTCCAAGATGTCTACCCGGCCTCTGATGGCGAAATGTCGGATGCACACGAAGAACTGGACGGAGAACCAGAAGAAGAAGTAGACGAAGACGAAGAACCTTCCGCCCTCGACAAGGTGCGAGTCAAAATTAGACAACTTAGAGATGAGGAGCGAAGCGCCAAAGAAGCAGTCGAAAGTGCAGCCAGTCGTCTCAAAATCCTTGACGCTTACGTCAATTCACTTGACAGCAAAGAAGGAATCAACATCGCCGACAGCATCGAAACCTACCGGGCCGAGCGAGATCGGATTTTCCAAGACCACGTAGCCGGAGTCACTCGCGGACAAGACAACATGAAACGCCTTAGCATCTTTCTTAAGCAAGAAACTCGACTCGTCAAGAAGCAGAAAAGGGAGGCGGCAGAGACGACTCGTGCTATGAAGAAAGCCCGGAAGGAGCGGGACAGGCAGGCGCAGAAGGATGCCAGGGAGAAGGCGAAGCTGCAGAAGGAAAAGGCTCGGATCCAGATGGAAAGGGAGCGCTTCTGGCCCAAGTTGTGTTACTCTGTCCGGGTCTCTCTGGAAGTGGCGGCTTTCACCCCAACACCCTCTCGTCGGACATCAGTGTCGAGTGAGACGGCGCAGGCTTGTACATTAACTTCTGAAAAGGCCGACGAGGGGAAGGACGTCATGTGCGATCTGTCCTTGTCGTACGTCACCTCTTCCGCGTTCTGGGCTCCGAGCTACGACTTGCAGTTGTTCACTACAAACAACACGGGGATACTGTGCTACGATGCCCGCATCACCAACAGGACTTCTGAGACATGGAGAAACTGCAAGGTCGTTCTTTCAACTTCGCAGGCGACGTTTGCCGGACTCGAGAATGCCATACCCACGCTGAAGCCTTGGAACATCAAGTTGGCACCCAAGGAAGGTAATGTGGGCGGAACAGACATCCTTTCCAGTCGGGAGGAGCGCCAGCAACGAAGTGACTGGTGGCGTGCTCAACAGACAAAGGCGCAGCCTCAGAGACCTCGCAACGATCTGTTCGGCGTTGACTACAATAATGCCGGCAACAGTGCCGCGGATCTAGCAACCTACCAGCAAAGTCTCATGATACTTCGACAGGACTCGAAGAGCCCACGACGGATAATGTATCCAGCATTAGGGCAAGGACAGGCTGCACAGGCACAACACCAGGCGCAAATGCGAGCACAAATGCAGGCGCAACAGCAGATGCAGCAAATGCAGCAAATGCCACAAGCACAGCAAATGGCACAAATGCAGCAGGCTCCTCCTCCACAAGCACCGAGGCTTCAGGAGCCGATTCAAGAACCAATGGGATCTGAAGCTTCCGAGGAAGACGACAACCTCGATTTACAAGAGTCTACCATTGAAGAGACGGGTTTCACTACGACCTACGACCTTCCAGGCACAAAGACGCTGCCACCTCGCCCGACGGCAACCAAGCAGCGTGTCGCTCGTCTCAACTTCTCCAACATCGCCTTCAGCCATACAATCATTGCAAAGTACAAGCCCGTCGCGTACCTCAAAGCAAGAGTCCGCAACAGCAGTCGGCTCACGTTGCTTCGGGCAGAAGCAGGTCTCACTCTCGACGGGACCTTCATGGGCCGCACCCACTTGCCACGCTGCAGCGCCGGTGACGTCTTCTCTCTCGGTCTTGGTATTGATCCTGCGATCAAGGTCAACTACCCCAAGGTTGACGTCCGACGAACGACGACTGGACTCTTTTCCAAGGAGAACAGCTCCGTGTACAGCCGCAGCATCACCGTGTTCAACTCCCGTGCTTCGGCAGGTAAACCCGTCTCGCTGGTTGTGCTTGACCAGGTTCCCGTGTCGGAAGACGAGCGTCTCAAAGTAGATATCTTGGCACCCAAGGGACTTGTTGTTGACGGATCAGGGGTCTTCACGGGGCAGCCCGCTCGCGAGAGTAAGCAAGACGTCGACTGGGGCCAGTCGACGGCTACGATGAAGGGGCGCCAAGGTCAGGTAGAGTGGCAAATTAAGCTCAATGCTGGCAAGGCTGTGAGGCTTGGCTTGGAATATGTTGTTGCTCTCCCTTCAGGAGACTCGGCGATGGAATGCTCATAGCCATAGCTTGGCGGAAGTTTCAGAAGATTGATCGACGAGGTTTCTCGGATCACGAAATGTCATCTCCTTGGTTTAATCCGTGTAATGTGGAAATATTATGGGCTGAGAGTCAGTGTCTTTGTTGTGTTCCTAATGAAGAATCACACGAATTGTTCGGAACTAGCCTTCACTTTGTAAGATCACCATTGCAGTAAGGTTAAACCAGTGGATAAGATTGCTAATAACGAAGTATTCCGAGTGCAGTTCCGCTATTTGACAAAGCACTATCGGCACGTCGCCGAAATCAGCCGCCGGAAACTTAGGCCGGAGAAAGGGTCTAGAAGCTGTTCAGAAAAATGAATTCTATTCGGATTAAACGTTACCCGGCGGATTATTACCCTTTCCCTCAGCCACCTTCCTGACAATGCTCGCTCAATTATCGCCGACAATGTCAAACAAGTCGGAGATTTCGAGTGGAACCAAATGAAGGGTGGGCATTTGATGCGAACCCGTGATTGCTTCGGATGGAATTGAGACCAATGGAAAGTTAATCAGCTCTTACATAATGTTTCGATATTTCCGATTCTGGCATTTGGTGGTAAACAAGTTGCCGCCAATCATCGGACCAGGCCTTCCAGGCCCAGAAGGTCCGAGTCCTGGAGCACGCAATTTGTGCCTCATGGTTAACGAATCTGGTATTTTGTAATTGCCAGGCGTGGAATAAGTGAGAGCTCATTCATAGGAAGCGATTTCAAGCTGATTCTACGAGACGAAGCGATTGTCTCCTTTATCTTGGGTACTGAATCAAGGGGAAACGGGGAGGGGGCGAGGACTGACACATTGCGCAAGGAATGTCGACGTAGGGCTATACGCTACAATCTCAATGGTCGCATAAACCTGTCAATCAAACGTTTTTATTTTAGATCTTTCTATTTATGTCATTTGTTTCCATAACTCTGTGCTCGATTCCCATGGTACCTAGACCACGCACGCCGACTAAGCAACTAAATACACTCCCATTCTCCAAACACCATGCCGCCTATTGGTAATTAGACCCCCCTTTGTGTCAAACAATGATCGTCCTGAACGCCAACTAGTTGGATCCCCAAATTACTCAGTCTCGACCTTCAGTACTGGAGACTTTGGTCGTTCACCACGACGAGGCCGGCGGCAAGGCCGAGGAAACAAGTTATTTCGCAACCGCAAGTGAATCTTTTTGAAATGCTCTCTCTGCAGGTTTTGTTAGCATAAACTCCTAGAAACAGTTTGACCTCGTGATCTTGAAACGCAAGGCGAAGTAATGGACACCGCAACGTACCATATTATCTTTCCGACTGAAGATTCTCCCACAATCTTGATGAGGACATTTGATCGTCGGCCTGTGGGAGCCCATATGCCGTTGATAGTCCTTCCTCGTCGCAAATCCCACGCCAGCATTTGCACAAGGCTTCTCCGTGCAGAAAAAGTACTTGTCGTGTCCACGAAAGTGTTTCCTCAAATCGCAAGCACGCATAAACACGCGTGAGGATCGACACCCCTCAAACTTGCAACGCCAGTTCCCGCTGCCGTCGAGATAGCCCATACGGCGGAGGTCTTCCGGCTCCCAGACCTCCTCCTCGCGTTCCTCTGCCGGGCTCTGAGAACCCTCGCTGGAGCTTAGAATGTCCCAGTTGGGTGATGGCACCGCTGCCTGCATCATCGGTGGTGTTGAGTGCGTGAGTATTTGTGTATTACTGGCCTCGACCAGATGATTGGGATCGTAGTGTGACATGGCGCCGGAGGTCGTGCCTAGATATGGCAAAAGCTGGTAAATGGGGGCGATGGAATCTGAGTGCAACGTGGACTGAAACCATTCTCCGGTGAAGGTAGAACTGGACGGTCCGATGCTGTATGAGCATTCCATGCTTCGCGGCTCAGCTTCGGGGTAGGGGCTCAATTCATTGTGGCTGATATGGCTGTGGCCGTACTGCAAATACGGCTGCTCCATGGTGCTTTGGGTCTTGTCGTGCCTTGCAGAAAAAGTTGCCATCCACTGGATAATCTCGAAACTGATAGTGATAAACGATTCGTTCAAGTATGGCCGCAACGGATAAATGTCAAAAAGAGGCCGATAGCTCCGAGTTAAAGAAATCTGCCTACCAGACGAAGCGACGGAATTGTCAGCCGTGATATATATGTGGTGGTGATAAACTCTATTGTAAAGCCCTTGTCAATAGCACCGCGCCGGTATAGTATTTTGGGGTCGCTGTTTCAGCAGTACATACTGGACCTACCCATCTCCCACAACTCTCGGCACCCAGGTTCTGGCCGCCGAGATGTTCGGCCCCGGTGACGCCTGGGCAAAGTTGTCGGCAGCAAAGCGTGGGTGCAGCCACTCGGCAATTACTTTGGTCTCGTCATTATATTACCAAGTAGTATGCCCATGAATATGCTGGCCCGGTTCCCCCGGTCCGGGACCTCCCCCATGAGTTGGCGCTTGGATTCGCTAGTACCACGGCTTGACGGACTATGTAGGCCAAAGCCCCTGTTAATGTCAGTGTGTTCACGTAGGGCTCGATTTCAACCCCTCCGAGTGGATGGGTTCGAGTCCGAGGGCAGTGCTACCGTAGCATCACAGTGATACACTCGAGCTCGTAAACGACTTGAGGCAACAGAAATTTCTATGTCCTGATGATTATGAACCCTGTCTTATTACGTCTAGTGCTGGTAATTGACTGGAAGTCGTTGGCTATGGACACAATTGTCCGGTCCTGGAAGTTGTTAGATTAATTTGCTTCTTCTCCGTCATTAGCTAGTTCGAAAGAAGGTAAATCCGTGGAACCTTTTCAACCAAATTCGTGCCAAAGTTTTATTCGTTTTCGTTATTTCAACATACCATTTTAGTTCCCTCCATGTAGCACTGAACTTGATTGCATGCAAGGAAATCGTCTTTGCATTAACCAGAAATTTTGGGGATCGAGCAAATATATTTCTTCCAGATACTCTATTCTTCCCAACTTTACGATGCCCCAAAAAGCTCTTGGCAGTAAACTGAAATTCAGGAGAAGTCAAGCCGGAAGCCACCGGTGCAGCACAGATACGCCCTGCTAACGGTCAGAAAAGAAAGGTAGGCAGCGGGTACATTGGCTAAGTTGGGACCCTTTAAGCTAGGGTTCCCTGTAGCTATTGCTATAATGGAGTACATAGGAATGAGTCGAAGTAAAGATGTTATAGATTAGCCGCAATTGCTCTGGGATGTGAATGCCAGCGTTGCCAGAAGCTCGTTTTCGCATTTTATGTCGACGGTCATTACCTACGGTATTTACACAATGGCGTTGCGTTACTTGGATGAAGGCAAGGGATAACAAGTGCAATGAATACACAGAGGGAGAACGCCAGGAATTTTTGAGCAACACATGTGCAGTTTTTGAGAAAGTTAAGACCACGAGATTTGGATTAACGCTTATTACTTACACAATTGGGCTCTTTTCAACAAGACGGACGTATGATCCTAGACCGTTCAGTATCAGATTACAACCTGTGTCGTCCCCCTAATATCCATGAGTATGATCGGCGGCGAGCCATTCCTCCTCCCCTCACTTGATCCACAGGACCAACCAACCATGGCCTACCTTACATGGGCCCGCCAATTGCCCAAGAAATGCCGACACACCAGTCTTAAACCTCCATCTTTGACTCCATATTAGAGCATTTTATGCGAGCAATAATAATAACCCAGTGACAAGACTCGTATGGAAATTCGTCTTGAAGAAACTGGATTGCTTTCACGCGAGACCGAACTTCAGGCCGGCCTCGAGTTCGCGGAATCCGTGGAATCCTCAGTACAAAAGGATGGGACGGACCTGATAAGCAGTTCTCGAACATTTACGCGGTTTGACGAGAGATTCGTGATGCCTCTTGCGAACGGCGGTTCCGCCTCCTAGCCTCTGTAGACATCGGCAGTTGCAAATTCTCGTCCGATGTCAGGCCACGGCCTCGCAGATCCAGTCTCCGGGGGGGCCTGTAAGCCCGGACGTTGCATTTAACGGCTGCTCCGTTATTGGATCATGCGGGTGGTTTGCATTGCGACTGGCTCCTGAAAGCTGTCATTAGTCCCACTGATGGACTGGGGGGGCCTGTTCAAGTCACTTGTCTAAGTCGGGTAGAGTTTCGAGTTGCATCTGGCAAGTTGCCAGAATTATCTCCAACCTGTTTTTTTGGAGAACGGCTGCATCAGCTTCTGATCATCGATTGCCTCTCCTGGAGGTTTGCAACGTGCCCTGGTCTTGACGATTTCCGGCGTGGTGTTTTCGTTGCTTCTCGAAATGGTCTAGCCTACTGTAGGTAGAGCCATGTGTTGATACCTTTGCCATGACTCAAGAAGAACATCGATCAAGGAGGCTACTACAGCTCTTCGTGCCATTATGATATTGTCATCATTTTCGCAGAAACTTAGTGCGATCGACAATTCATCCCACTTTGGGAACCCAATGACTGAGACGCCGATGGTACTTATCTTGGATACCTTCGTCGCAGATACATGCTTACTTACATCTTTAAACCAAGGAAGAGAGTAGTCGCAATTCTACGGTCACCTCAAAAAGGCCACAGAAGACGAGTTACATCATTCAGAGCCAATCCAGTGCTCAGTTCAGATAGCTGATACAATGAGCTTGTGTCAAGTTACCTACTTCCTAGATATCTATGCTCTTTTCCTTCTTTTTCCGCTTCATCTTCTCTCTCTTTCTTCTTTTCTTTCCTCTTGCTCCCTCATCTGCTCCCCTGCACCTCCCACTAATGATACCAACATGACTATTAACGAGATTAGCGGCTGTTGTCAGGGTACTTTACTGCTAAGCAAGTAGCATGCTTAAGAATAATTTGATCCATACTGTACTGCAGCAGAATGATCACGTTCTTTCCTGAAATCAAGTCCGAAATCAAACTTTCTTTGTTGCCAAGAAGCCAGACAACACGGCAGATACCAGCCTGCACTTCGCCATGGTACTGTTTGGCGACGCACCTCGGTTTTCTGGCGATCAGACGATACCTACTCAGCAAGTACCTATCAAAGTCTTCGAGCCTAGCTAGATCACTATCAGCGGGGGCATGCGATGTCGGAACTGGTTTAGACTTGCTGAGCAGTGATCTTCTGGTGACTTGTTCGGACATTGCAGAGATACTGACGGCATCTCCTCCCCGCAAGCCGTCTTGGCCATCACAGCTCATCGGAAGGTTGATACAGCCTTTAACTCCCTGAAAAGCACTGAAAAGCATCCGGGATTCTGACGTGATGTTGCATGAATTATAACTTAGCTATTAATGAAGTGACAGCGGTAAGTTAGACGATGACATCCTGTCTCGGCAAGGCTGTTGTTGAGAGCTTCAGTATTCGAGGGGGCTCCTGTTTTGCCATTATCTTAAGTCAAGTTGGGTACGCCCCCTTGAGATGTCTTTGAAAATTCCAGAGTCAGAGTCTAAATGTTGAAGCAGTGATAGCTTCGCGCGTTCTGCTAAGCACAATATCCTCAACATATCTTGAGGAATATTTCTTTCACCGTTTCATTGGAAATAATACGTAACATCTTCCCGTGCCGAATTCGGTGAGCTTCTTGCATCTGATGCACCGAAAACGGCGATACTCGTCTCACAGTATCTGAAGATGAGGATCATCTTTGCTTCTGTAATATTTGAGTCGTTGATTAACGACACTAGCGCTTCCCAGCAGATATCATAGTGCCGTGCGAGACCGCTGTCCCATCCCCTGCTGAATGGCGTCACTGCATCCGTCTCCAGTCTTTCTCCAAGTTTGTTCTATCTCGAGATTATTTATAGGCGGATATAAGGGAAATAGAGCAAAATTAGAGAATGACTGGAGACGGATGTAGTGACGCCATCTAGCAGTTGATGGGATATTCCAACTCCAGAAACAGAATCTCCTTTGCTATCCCACGTAAGTTAGCAGCTCAAATCCGGCTCTCCAGTTGGCATTGGAGGTCGCCAGTATCCCAAGAATTTAGTGTGCGCTTACGACCTCTCATGGCACAGAGTCCAGGTAAGTGATTCAATGTAGAGCAACATGCCACTGTATCACCTTCACTTTGCCAAGTCGTCCCTGATAACAGAATACAAAAGCTCATCCATAACAACCCCATCCCTAACAACAGCCCTCCTCGCTCTCCCCTCAAACACAAACCCGCTCTTCTCCAACACCTTCTGACTCCCCTTATTCGCATCAAAAACACCCGCCCAAACCCTCTCAACCTTCCTCCTCCCATCCCCATCATTCTCCTCCTCCCCGCCGCCACCCATCCCCTCAAAAACCCACCTCACAAAAGCAGGCACAACACACCCCATCACCCCCTTCCCCCAATCCCCCTCCCCAAGCCAATAACCCAGCTCATACCCCCTCGCATAAACATCCTTCCCAGGCACAAGCCCGATGCTACCCATGGGTCTACCGGTCTCGGGACACGCGATGACCCAATTGTACACCGGCGCGCCGCCGTGGCTGGAATTCAACGCGATCCAGGACTCTGCGTCGGCGAGGGTGTAGGGGCGAGGAAAGGAGTTGCGGAGGTAGCGGGATACGGAGGGTGAGTTTGCTGCGGTGGAGAGGGCGGCTGCGTCGGTTTTGTGGTAGCGTCTTATTGATGCTTTTGGGAGGGTGAGGATTGCGGGTGGGAGGTCTTGCGTGGAGGCCATTTTGCGGGTTTGCGTTCTCTCGAGAACTCCTGAGGTTTGTGAGTTGGTGGTTGTGGACTACCTTAGTTGTGAGGTGTTTACTGGACGATGGATGAGAACTTGAGGTGTTGTTGCGTGTTGTGAGAGTGTGACTAATACCCCATAGTTGCGAAGTGCTAATTATTTGGGGAATAGCCCGGGTTTTCGGACATGGGTTATCTATCTATCCAATGACTCTTTACCGTCTCTGCAACGATAAGCTCCGCCGACGGCGACATGAGTTTCCGTGTCTGCCTGGCATTGCTCCTTACTTTCTTGAGTTCTTATCTTGCTAAAATTGTTAGGCCATTAACTCACAGAAACTCCGTAGAATTCCGTTGTAGCAGTGGGTCGGACAAAACACCGGACGGCGACGCTCGCCAAGGTCCGGTTTAAAAGCCCCTCCCCGGACCGTTGAAGAACGGGCTAGCTAATCCGCCTTGGCTTGCCGAGTCAAGATGCCGAACCCGGACCGGAGCAGAAGCGCACAATTGTAGACGGAATTTGCATCTCAGGGAGGTAAGTGCATGCAACAAACAAAATGCCTAAAATCTAGAGGCAACTTTGGTTGTTCCCCATCGCGATGAAAGCCCGAGTCCCCATACCCCAACGGGATTTAGGTTGAACTAGGTATGACCCCAATACACAGACAGGCACGACAGGGTTAGCAAGGTTAGGCTTAAAACGCATCTTTCCATTGTTGGCACATGGGACGACGAGAAACAGACAGCCTCATTCATCCATCAATGTGCGGAAAAAACATCAAAAAGATTTACACACAGTCGCTGCGAGGATTTGAGCCTCACGCGGGGGTCGAACCCGCAACCTTGAGATTAAGAGTCTCACGCTCTACCGATTGAGCTAGCAAGGCAGCTGGGGGCCGTATCTAATTGGTGAGAGTTTCCGACCGCGTCTGCGTCTGAGTTTCGTTGCTGGTCGGCGAATCGGCCTGTTTCCGAGTCCTGTTCTCAGAGACCCGCTCGCTCCCTTCGCCCCCCGGGACGAGCCGTCAATGGCCAAGGCCGTCACTCCCCGACCACTGGAACGATGAATGGCGATGCAATCCTGCATGAATCAGAAGGAAGAAACCATAAGCCGTTTTGAAAACGTCTCTCATTAACGGGGGGGACAACTGGGTATCCGTAACACACCAATGACTCCAAACCAAGCTTTCCGAACGCGCCCTCCCCCCCCTTCCAGAAATTCCACCAACAACAAAAAGACTCATAAAATCCAAGCCGACTCGGTATAATCCTTGGCCCCATTCTGCACCATGTTCTTGGTATACTTCATCCAGCACCAATTACTATCCTCCCCCTGCTCGCCCTCGTAAATATACACGACCCCCTTGCAGGGCCCCTTCCTCGACTGCTGCTGCAGGTTAAACGCCGCGCAGTACCGCACGCACTCTTCAAAGTTCTTGGCCGGCACCTGCGCGATGTCGTTGTAGAGGTAGTCCGTCCCGCAGTCCTTGCTGAACGTCAGGTTCGTCCCGGGCACCTCGTACGTTAACGCGGAGCTGGTGCCGGGACACTTGTTGAGTGCGATGGGCGTGTCCGTGGCGGCGGGTTTGCTTAGGTCGAAGGCGACTGATGAGGATGCCGAGGTTGGTGTGGCGGTTGAGGAAGAAGAGGATGGCGATTGGAGGCTGTGGAGTTGTGTTAGTGTTCTCGTGAGAAAGCGCTTGTTTGTGTTGTGTAGGTACTAGGTGAGGAACTTACTTTGTTGCGATTTCGTTGTTTTTGCTCGCCACCAAAGCCCCCAATCCACCAGCTACGCCGACCAAGGCACAGAACAACAAACTGGAGAGAACCAAAAGCCAAAACGTCGCCTTGCGCAACCCGCATATTGTCCCGTCATCTTTGCTTCCATTTCCTTCCGCCGGGCGCTTTTCCGGCATCGGCGAGTGCTGATTGTGAGCGTACGTCGTCTCGGTGTAATTCGTCTGCGGCGTGTGAGGTTGGTGCTGGTGCTGTTGCTGTTGCTGGCCATAGTACGGTTGCGCCTGCGCCGGCTCATACGTCTGCGGCGCCGTGCTGTAATTTGCCCCCGTGTTGAGCTCCAATCCATCCGGGATGGCATCGGTCTCGGGGCCGGGCGTGCCGTTTGTGTGCTTGAGCATCTTTTCGGCTTCGGGTGATGGGGAGTGACTGCTGTGATTGCTGTGCCTGTTGGAGTAGAAGTGGTCGTGCGGATGTAGCGAAGCCATCGCGCGGAGGGGAAACCGAGACAAGCCACGCTTTGGGACGATGGAGTGAAGGAGGGGGGGGGGAAGGAGTTTAAATGAGGCTGCCAAGCATCAGGTAGGGGTAGGTAATCTGACGGAACGTAAGAAATGCGAGACAAGATGAACGGTGAAGACTGGTCGAGGACTCTCGAGATACCATTGTTGACGGGGAGGGACTCGCTGATCCAAGACAATCCAGGACGCCATCCGTCCCACGACCACCACAGCGATAGGGCTGGCGCGAGAATGGTACTGGCCGGCCGTCACAATAAGCTTGCTCCTGTAGCCTGAATCTAGACGTGGGCACTGGGCAGTCAAGGCAGAAGAGTCTCAAATAAGCATGGCCCCCCGTCTTGAAGAGACTCAGCTCAGAGGCTGAGGGGAGGGTGGTGGCCGTCACGGTGGTATTCTCAGCTTTACCCAATAAACAATTAGGCGCGGCGGCGATCAGCGCCAAAGATGGGTTCACAACTGGGATCTTTGGTGCGCGAAGGATTCAGCCCCCGACAACTCTGATGCATCGTTGGGTCATGGAACCCTTTTTTCAAAGTACCCTTGTGCCAAGGCAGCGCGCCAGAATAGCGGCCGTTGTTCGAGCAGGCTCTGGGCCTCGCGGAAGTAAGCCCAAGAGATGAAGACGCCCTCCGCCAGCCACCCAATTTCTAAGCGGTCGCCGTAGGATTCGGAATCGAGACATCCCTGGTTTGCCCGGTCGTGCGATTGTCAGCCGTTGGGAGGGTCCTGTCTTTTGTCTTCCTCGGGTTCTTGCTTGGACATCGTCCCTTTTCGGCGCCAACGAGCGTATGACGCTGGGGTGAAGTGTCGACGCGCTTCGCTCCTGGTAATTCTTCCGGGGTAGAGTCCCGAGATTGTCCAGCAAACTGACAATACTTCATGCTGACGGCTTCACGTACCAACAAGGTAAAGGGCTGGCAGGCAGAGTGCGTGCGGAGAGTCCGGTGTCAGCCACCGCCGAGTGTTGGCCGGCCGGGCGGGTCTGGCCGGAATCTTGGCTTTTCCAGTCGGCTGGGGGGATCAATGGCGACGGGACTGAGATGGCCTCGGATTCTGCTCGCCACACATACCACACATTGGTAGCCAAAGAGGGTGCGAAAAGCATGGAATTAGTGACGCCGACAGACCTGGGCTCAATCAAGCTCAGAGACAAGCTTCGAGCCAAAATCTCATCAGAACGTGGCGCACCTAGCGGCTCCCGTCAAACACGCCGCGCTGAACGTCTTTTGGCCAGAGAGTCCTTCAATATTGGGGGTTGAGACAGGCTGGCACTTAGGCGGTAATTATGGCAGATTTTCGCGCTCTCACTCGGCATTTTGCCTGCGTATCTACATTTCTTCTTCCAAGCAAAATTGACGGAGGGAAGAATGAAGAAAGATATGATTTGTCGGTGATTCCATACATCTTGTCTCCACGCCATCGACGAGCATTTGGGGTGCACTGGTAGAAGCTGTCGTGGTTTCAACAAGCGCTTCCCGACACGGCACGCCATATCCGTACAAGCGCCAATTCGAGGTCTGTTCGAGTGCAAAAGAACTCTAATGACCGTGACGTCAGTAAGGCCTCTGGTCAATGTCGGGGCTTGTGCTTCAGATCAGACGTCCGCCATGACCGAGCGTGAGGAATGAGGGTAACCCCGTCGAGTTGCCAAGTACCATCTTGCCATCCCAACATCCATCGCTCTTCTCCGCGAGAGAAGGAACAGTCGTGAAAGTCTCCTGGAATCAATTGATACGAATCAGAACTCGCCCTTGGTCATGTGTCGCTGGTTTGCTTACCTGGGTGATGAGGCTCAGCTTCTCGAAGATTTGGTCATTCGGCCGCGCCACGCCATTGTAAAGCAAGGTGAGTGATCCGCCATCACACCAAAGAGGGGATATTACATACTGAATAATGTCGGCAGTGGACGAACACTTTCTGCCGGCTGGCCATTCAACGGTTGAGCCGTTTCTTGGAGAGCTCCAGGTCGCCCCCTTGGCGGCCAATGACGCCGGCTCACCGAATCCATTGACCAACATGGACGGATTCGGCCTCGGGTGGTATACATCATCAGAGTGCGAGTTCAACCCGTACATTGATCCAAAGTGGCCCGAGTCCCTTCGACCAGTCGTGTACAAAAACACTCGACCTCCGCTCAACGATTTGGTCCTCAAGAGCATCGTTCGAGGCACCAGCAGCAACGCCGTCCTCGCCCACATCCGCGCAGCACCGGGCCTGACGCCAGTTGTAGAGACCAACTGCCATCCCTTTGCTTTTGGTCGCCACTTGTTTGCCCACAACGGCATTCTCGGGTCTTTTCCTCGCATTCGTACAGCGATTCTACAGTATCTTCCCTTGAGATACCAGCAGGCCATTGTTGGGACAACAGATGCAGAGCACATTGCAGCCGTGTACTCTTTCATATTATGCGGCAAGGATGGCGACTGGGAGTCTGTTTATGATGCCGGAGAGATGGCGACGGCGATGCGGGAGACAATCATCATCCTCGAGAAACTGCAGACCGAGTTTGGGCCGCCAAGCCGTGAGGCCAACACGCTCAACCTTGTCGTCATGTCTGGCAGCTCGCTCGTCGCTGTGAGGTACGCCAGCCCAGAAGGACTGGAACCGCCAAGTTTGTACTACTCGACGACGGCTGGGGCAACGCTCAACCGCAAGTACAAGGGGTTTCCGAGCGACGTGAGTGACTCGGCCGACGGGGGTGACGGTGAAGCCGAGAAGGACGGGCGGCTAGAGAAGAAGAAGCATGGCGAGCATGTTGTGGTAGCCAGCGAGCCCAGCACCTTCAACCAGGGCGAATGGGAGCTCATCAAGCCCTCGCAGATGGTTGTTTCCGAACTGGGGACCGGTGCCTATCTAGAGCACTTGTGAGTAGCTGCTCGTGACGGTCGTTTTATTCGGCAACGAGTGGTTTGCAGTTTTAGGGTTGGCGTTCGGATATTTGGTTATTGGTACTGAAATTGAAACAGATTAAACATGTATGGCCTTCGGGTCTTCTGGTAATCTTGCTTGGAGTTGACGTCGTACACGCACGGTGTTAGCATCTTTCGTCATTCGAATCCCAGAGGATATGCTCGGCCTCTTCTTCAGATCGTCTTGTTTCTTTGCCGCTGTGTCTAGTCATGTTTCTACCATCCTGGCTCCTTCATGTGCGCACCCGCGTGGCAAAGTGTGATAGAAAGCAACTCGGCCTGGTATCAGTACTACCTTGTGGCAGGTCTGTCGATCCTTAGACGTGGCTCCCGCATATTGATTGGTAGAATTGACGTAGCACACCGGCAGGCAGCCTGCCAGGAGCAAACACCACCGCCACCTCGCCGTCGTGCAACATCACCGACTGTGAAGAAAATAAAAGTAAAATTACGGCGACAAGGCTGGAAGCTTGCATGAGACCAAGTTTGAAATGAAGGGCGTGGCAAAAGGAGTGAGAGTTTGGACATGTTGGCGCGTTCCTAGAAGGTGACGGCTGGGGAAGGAGGTGAAGACGGAATAAAATGTCCGAAGTTCCGTGGGGTCCATGTCGAATCAAAGGAGGCAGGAAAGAGGAGGGAAGCCGCGCCTGCCATGACAGGAAGTCAAGTATCCAAGGCAGGAGCTCCTTCCTATTTTCTATTTTTATTTTTTATTTTTGGATACTTCACCTTCCTTCCTCTTCTGACGTTGCCCATCACTCGCCTTTGGTTCTCATTTTTCCTTCTTTCTTTTGTCGTCGTTTTTCTTCATTCTTTTTCTCGCCTCTCTACCATCAGATCTCAACCACCGACTCGATTCTTCCTCCCGATTGACCATAAGCATACCCGGGTTCTCTTCGCCTCCTTTATGCTCGACAGCGATCTTACACTGGGCCCTCGTCGCCATCGAGCCGATCAGAATATCGGAAGTGTGTCGGAAGTGTGTCGGAATTTGCCCAAGATACATACGACTTGCGGCCGCCGGGAAACATGTCGTATCCAATGCTACTCGCCGCTTTTCTATTCTTGGTTCTCAGCCTCTCGGTTACGTCTACTGACAACGAAAATGGCGACTACGACCAGTGCTACTTTGATGCCGGTTATGTCGGCCCAACGAGCCTTCTTCCCTGCTTACCGGCGAACGAGACAGATAATGGCTTCAGTTGGTGCTGCCTGGCAGGTGACTCTTGCGTCAATCAAGCCTGTTGGAATCAACCATCAGGCGTGACTTATCAGTATGGTTGTAACGACCCGACTTACAAAGACAAGAGCTGCCCCCTCAAGGGTGACCTCGACCCAGGTATATTCCTCCCTTACCTTGACCCGATCAATGACTTGGGATAACTGATAGCTAATCTATGTAACAGCCAAGTCTCCCTGGATAGGTCTTGTCCGATGCGATACTGAGAACGAGGGCCTTCTTAAATACTGGGCATGCAACCATCCAGACACCTGCGGCGAAAATTGCCCGACTGAACCCGACCGACCGCAAGTGACCCAGTCTGTCTGGCCGTGGATACCCAAGTCCTTGCCACCCAACACAGACTGCAAAGATCTAGGAAAGCGAGTTTTGGCAATTTATGCCCCCAATCCACTTGGCTCGACCGGTGGTGTACCGTCAGTGTACACGGCTGCAGCAGACAAACCGAGTCCATCGATGCCGCCATTGCAAAGCAGTGGCACAACGGCATATTTGGCTTCCTCGTCAATGTCTATCTCTGTTTCCGATCCTACAAGTTCCGTCATCAACGTCACATCTTCCACAACCGCCACCGCTACATCTGTGGACTCTGAGACGAGCAGCTCAACCCTGGGCACCGGTGCTATCGCTGGCATTGCCGTCTCCTCCACTATTGTCCTCGGAGCAGCCTTGTTGGTCGCCTTCATGCTACTCCGACGCCGTCGCTCCCGACAGGATCCAGTCTTTAATACACATGAGGACGAGACCTATAACCATGACCAGCCTGGTCCTGCAGAGTTGCCCGACGAGAAACACAACCTCATAAGCCCCCACACCGTATCCACAATTTCGGAGCCAGGTCAACACCGGCCAGTCTCAGACATGACTCTGAGCGTGGATTCACCCAGTCCGCTCAGCACGCCGAGAACTCCAGGCTCTCCGTACTACTATCACGGCATCGGCCAACCTCTTTCTGAGTTGGCGGATCAGCCGAGGGCTATACATGAGATGCCGGCCATCAATGAGCGGGTTGAAATGGCTTGATTCATGGGAGTAGATGCCGAGTTATCTAGGTCATAGGTGGGAAAAGGCTTCGGTGTCTTTCTGGAGACTCAAATACACACACATATTTGCAGAAGGCTTCATAATGACGGACTCTTGTGGCATGTCCCTACCCCCCCATCCCCCTTTGCTCAGTCAACGTCGGCCTGTTGGCTCATGATACGATATAAATGCTACGTCTCACCTTTTGCCAACACATGCTCGACGAAATCGCCTCACGAGAAGCGTGCGTTGTGTATTGCTACGGATGAAGCTCTTGGTAAGGCCATGGCGGTATAATACAGAATGTACCTTCCTCCGAACTTAAGAGGAATGGGCTTGGTGACAGTATTGAAGACTCGATTGATTTACTGCGGGATTCGACTGGAAGCTATACTAATATACTAGACACGCACTAAGTCAAATGCCAGTTTGAACAGATGGCTGTTGATCATAGGCTGTTATACAGTCCTCGGGGTCCTTCCCATCGTACTTGCACTCGGGCTTGCAGACATCATACCGAAAGAAGCGGCTATACTGTCCGCCGCAAACGGATGGACCCCAAAACTTGGCGGGATCTAGCATACGACACTGCAGAAACATAATATCAGCAGCCATTTCGGCTTACCACGAGGAGGTTTGGAGGGAAGGGCAAAGAAGACTCATACCGTAAGGTTACCCGCCCACGGACTGCCGTCGGCCGCCAGACTTATGCTGACTTTGTCTCTGGGGAGGGCTCTGTTCTTGACAAAGACGCAGGCTTCTTTGGATCGAAAAACAGTGTGGTATGGCCTTGTTTCGCAGACGCAATGGAAAAAGTCTGCGTTGACGGAGGCGATCCAGATACTTGTAGGCTGGTGAGCATGTTTGAAGCTTTCATACTGATGAACTGGGCTGGTTTGAGACTTACTAGAGGAGACTGAAGGAGAGAATCGGTAGCTTCATTGTGGTTGATGGTGGCCGTGTTGCTGGATGGATTTGGGTAGGTTGATGTGTGCTGGTTCCTGTTTGCGTGGTTTGGGGAAAGAGTCTGGAGTAAGGTGGTATTTATGCATCTTAGGTTAGTAGTCAGGGTTGGATTTGACTTTTGGAAAGGATTACCAGCATGACTCCGATATGGAGTACTCGGTCTAGCTCATCCGCAGAGGTACGCGTTTACGGCTTTTTGATGATTACCTCCGATACCAAGTTTGTTAGTAGCATTGAACCTAGGCTAGTATCATGTACGTCCATTTCATTCCACATTGACGACCTCCACTCGTCCATGGATACCCTCACATGGAACTGCTAAAGCATACTTGACATGAAGACGCGGTTATGACAGAAGAATTTGCAAGCGGCGTAGACGACAAAGTCGAAAAGACCCAAAATCAAAAAAAAAAAAAAAAAAAAAAAAAAAGTTTCTGGGTTTTTGGAACAGTTGAGAACTACGCTAACACTATGCCGTCGCACTGTGGCTAGTTTTCTCTACAAGTGCTTCATTTCTAAGATTGGGCAACATTACTCTGTTGGTTTAAGAATATTCTGTCCACATGACCGCTGATGCGTGATGTGATACGAGTTTGTCGAGTTTTCTAGGCCCTTCTAATAGATGAAATTGTTGTATTTACCTTTTCTTTCCACACTGTCCGCAAGTTTACGTTCAGCCACCCCTGTTGTGCCACCACCTCGTCGGTCTGTGAACCCCTTGACTGGCGCTAGTTAATTCATCAGCCACATCACGTATCGGAGAAAGCTGCAGACGCGGACACCTTGATCAACCTGCTCACTCAGCCATATATCTAGCCGGCCTGCGCATCAAAGACTTCCATCAAGATCCAATTGACCTCAACTTCTTCTCTTCTACATACCCTGTTACTTCCACACACTCACTTCCACACACTCGCTCACTCGCACAATGTCTGATTTCGCCAAACTACGCGTCTGCGACACGCAGGGTGGCTTGACTTTCTTCAAATTTCCGAACGAGCTGCGCAACTTGATCTACAAACACTATCTTCAGCTCGACGAAGGCTACAAGTTGAATCCACACACCAACAAGTTGCGAACTGGCAACGACAAACCTATTCCTCTCGACTTGATGTACACCTGCAAGCGCGCTGCCATGGAGATGCGAGGGTTGCCCTTTCAGCATGACATCATCACCTTCTCAGCGTTCTGCCCTCAGTCGCAACAAGATCGCTTCAATGCTGGTCACTTCAGCAACATGACGCACATGATGGAACGCGACCTGCAAAAAAATCTTCCAATACCACCTTGATCGCAACTTGTTCCCCAGCCAAGTGGTCAAAGAAGTTTCAGACGCGTATCCAGCCTTCATCCCCCTTGTAGACGTGGTGAAGGGAGAACAGCTGCGACATCTCACTTTTTAATCCTCCTTTCGGCAAGACCCCGTCGACATTTCGCGACTTCGTCCGCTTCACGCTCAATACAATCAAATCCCACCGAAGCCTATTTGACAACCGTAGTTATGAGCAGTCGCCCCGCCTTGAAGGTGGTCATTGGCTCTTGAACGGAAGCATTCCGATGAGCCAGCTTTTTGGGCTCAGACCCCAGAATTGGACGATTCCCACCCAAAAGGATGTCAACGACATGACCGTTCTCTCTGACGGGCTCGAGACCTGCAGCATAAATTGCGAGGATCTGTACGATAAGCGCGAGCCGCCCGTGGATCTGGCCCGGTTTTGTTACTCGGCAGTTGGCGCCGCTATTCAGTTCCTCGATTCGATTACCCCATCATCTCGAGCCGATATTCGCAACATCAACCTTATAGAAGATCGACCATCACTGTCTTTCCCGGAATGCCACGGGTTAGTAACGGTTAATACGGTTCTGCCAAGAAAACCAACTGTTACGCATCGAACGTCGCGTTAGTATATAGAATACTATCTTTCAGGACGATCCCCTAGATATGGAACCAGCAGAAGAGGAACTGCCTCGGAGGGATAAGGAGACGGACGAGATCTCTTATTCCATAGCCACCTGGATGGTAGAGGCCTTGGCATTACCTGCAGCTGGTATGCCTCAACACGCCTTCAAGTTGATGTTTGTCGGGGACTCAGAGGGAGACTGGGAGTGTGAGCAAATCTTCAGGGAGGTCGTTCTACGGGACGCCGCGTGGCAGGAGGCAAGGGATGAATGTTTCAAACGAGGCATCCTACCACCGCTGTCTTGGGCGGAAAGGAGGCTTGGCGCGTGGGGAGAATCTTACGGCGATGATGTATTCACGGGTTCGAATCCCCTCAGTCGTTGCTTTCTATTCGAAGACTTTCCGCAGGCGGTGCATGAGCTTCTCAATGGAAGCTCGCTCATCTCCTGCAACTTCCATCCAGGCGAAGCTTGGGACCTCGAGAAGATCATTGAGAAACGGCGGGCGTGGTCTCTACGCAAGTGGAACCGCAAATGGTCGCGGGGGAAACAGTCGTACAGAAGAGGCCACGGCCCTCGCCACCCTTCAGATTGAGCGCCGCCCTTGGTCCTGATGCGCGTGGTCAGGCCAACGGCTTAGGCGTGACTCGAAGAGAGAGCCGCGATGCTTTACTTGGTGACAACCGACAGGGGGGAGGCGCCTTGTCAAGATGTGACGGAAAACGTCGATGATTCTCATCAAACGAGAGATAGGAATTGAGAAGTGAAAACGCAGTGTGAACAGGATTTGTTGCAGGAACTGTCTCCGTCGCAAGATGCGCAATGTTTCATTGTATTGTTTAGTTCTGGTTAGAGATCATGCCTCGCTCAGTCAAAAATGCATAGACTTGTGGTTGCTCCCCTGGACAATCTCCAAGAAGATCCTCATCGCTCTTATCAAATTTGGCGCCGTGGTATATGAGAAGTTGCACCTTACCAACGCTCCCGTGTACCAAAGCGATCGCTAACGGTTAGTGGTTAGTAGCCCCCTAGTCCACGACAGACACGTCACTGCCGTGCTGCGAAAGGCTCCGGGTAGTTACTTCGTCGCATTCTCCGTAAGCAGCAAGATGCAAGGTGGCTTGCATCATGCTGTCCGATCCCTTTCACATCCTCACTGAGCCGGACTAACTCATCCACAATACATTTCCTTGCCTCCAAGTGGGGGACGAGGTGGAGCCCTGAGTATCCCTCCGAGAGACTGTACGTTCCAGCGCTCTTCAGCAGTCACAACTCGTCATATTCCGATTTGTCCTTGGATTTCCCAAGCGTCGGCTGCTTGCAGATAGGAATCGATCAAAGCTCCCTTGGAAGAGAAGTGCAAGAATGCTGCTAAGATGCTTTTTGATATCTACATCGGCCATTCAAACTGCGAGCCCTGAGACTTTGCCCAGTGCTGCACACGGGGGGTCCTGTTAAACCTATTCTCCAGTGTACCCGACATGTCGACCGGCAGTTTCCTGCAACTTCCTGATGAGCAATCACCTGGGCTGAATTGAGCCAGGAGGAAACTTCGTTGGCTTGAGATATCCATTTTGGGTGGTTCCAGGAGATGGTTTCTATACTGATGTGGTAAAAGTGCCACATAAAGGCACCAGTGCATGCTTTTGTAATAAACCTAAGGTACCTACTTGGAACATGAAAGGCATCAGGCTTCTAGGCGGAAGTATCATATCATTGACTATCAATCCGCGCAATACGTGAATGTATACATGGAGAAGGGTTTGATATGCACTACGATGCTGCTGCTATGTACCCTGGGCAAACTTTGGCGCAGGAAGGCCTGGACGCGGGCTTATTTACACCCGCTAGGTCCCTGCCTGGGTTTCCCCGTTTTCGGCATCATATCGACGTCCATCTGACAGTAAACTTCAGAAAAGAGCTTCTTGTAGTGCAAGCATCCTGGCTATTCGTTGCATGGCTGGCAGATACTGCACCGACTTTTCACTTTGTTAACGGATACGAATACCCATCACAAGAGATAACGGTCAAAGTCGAATGCAGACTCGGCCTGGCCGGCAGCGAGACCAGCCGCCTTGAGCGCACCCCAGTTCACATCATCGATTCCCACCTCGTAGTCCCAGCCGTGATGGGGGTCAGGGTTAGGCAGTATCTGCCAGTAGAACCACGGAATCCCGGCAGCATCAATACTAGCAGCCCACGTACGGATGTTGGAGTCTCTGGTTCCTGTACCAATGGGGCTACCGCCGTTGCAGTTATGGTTCGGAGCATCCATGTAACACGCACCCCATTCCTGCATAATGAGTTTCTTTCCAGAGGTCTTGGCCCTGGTGACGTAAGGCTGAAGTTTTGAAGTGGCGAAATCATCGACTCCGTAGGCGTGGATGGCAAGGACGTCTAGGGCACTGCAGCTGAAGTAGGGGTCGAGCAGAGAATTGTCTACGTAGGCACCGCCTCCGGTAGTGACCAGAATATCGGTACTTCCGTTGAGGTTCTGCTTGATTGCCTGTGCCATCGTGCATTGCCATGACGCTAGAGCGGATGGGTTCCCCTGGAGGCGTTGTCAGTTTAGCCGTGTCACCCACGTTTGCGGAAATCTGACTCACCTGTGGATGCATGGCTTCGTTTTGAGCCTCAAAGGCAAAGATGTACTCGGGGCTTTGGGCCCAGGTCTTGCCATTGCTGGGGTTAACATGTCCAAGAACGTGAGCGATGCGCGTCTTGAAATGCCCAATCGCTTCGCTATTAGTATAAAAGTCGCCCGTTCCATACCACTTCCCATAAAAGTCAGAGTTTGCTTCGAGGGCGTTATCCCATCGAGTGCTGCAAGGCGACAGTACATTGGCTCCACATAAGGGGCCCTCTTTTACCCCGCACCGCATCTGGTACATCCACTGCTTGAGTTGCCCCTATGATTTCTACTACGGTACATCCACCAAATCCATCATTACCAATACTCAATTAATGGATTCTGACGATTCTGACGGATCTGGCTGTTCCACGGGCTCGGCGAAGTCGTGTATCTTTGCCCTGCTGCCCGAGGACCTCGCCGCCGCCTGCACTGCCGACTGTACGCCGGAGCAATGTGATAATGCCACTGTTCGGCCCCGCGAGCCTCCGGAGGTTGAGCCCGGTATCCCTGGGCAGTTCGTGCCCTTCGAGGTGCCGCAGCGGCCCGCGGAGGTCCGGAGCCTACCACCGCAGCCGCTGGACCTCCTCCTCGAGTTCGTGCCGGCCAGCCTCGTCGGTCGGTGGGTTAAGTGGACGAATGCGGCGCCGTGCTCGGCGAGGCTGGGCCCGGTTAAGAAACACTCTCGCAGTCTCAAGTGGAGGTCAGCGACTGTAGACGAAGTCTATTTGTTTTTGAGCATTTTGATTTATATGGGCTTACACCCTGAAACTAAAATATCTAAATACTGGTCTACTTCACAACAGACAGAGGATCCTATCCATTTGTTTACTCGATTTATCTCGAGGGACCGCTTCCAGCTCCTCCTCCGCCGCATCCGGATCTTTGACCCGGCCAAGATCCCTGCTTCCGTGCCGTCGACGGCAGGCCGGCGCCGCGGGCAGCCTCGGGAGAAGCAGATGCCGAAGGTGTACCAGCAAGTCAATGAGTGGTCAGCTCACATCCAAGAGACCGGCGACCGCTTCTACCGGGCCGGCTCCGACCTCACCGTCGACGAGGCCATGGTCCGCTTCACGGGCCGGGCAGTGGAGACCACGACGATCCCAACGAAGCCGATCCCAACCGGCTTCAAGGTCTGGGTTCTGGCGCAAGCCGGGTACTCCCTCCGCTGGCTCTGGCACGTCCACGGCGACGGGCCCTGCGGCCTCGTGGCACAAGCCCGGCCCGCAGCCGGCGACGAGGAGGCCCGGCGAACGGCCTTGACGCCAACCCAGCGAGTGGTCACATCACTGCTTTCCTTGCTTCCGTTGGCCACTTATCACGTGTTTCTTGATAATCTATTTGCTTCAGTAAAGCTCTTCCGGGCCCTTCGTGACCAGCGGATCGGTGCCACCGGCACGTGCCGGAAGGATAGTGGAATCGACAAGACATTGGTTACTGAGAAAGAGACTGACGGCAAGGGACTTCCATGGGGTCAACTACACGCGATCTCCACGGCTGACGGGAAAGTATGTTAACCCAAATCACTGTCAGTGGCTATTCCATACTAAACCATTCATCGGAATAACTTCCAGGTCAACCAGTTCACTTGGAAGGATAATGCCCTCGTTCTCTTCCTCACGACGGTCTTCCGAGAGACATCCGACGTTGTACGAAGCCGCAAACGGCCGGCTGGAGATACCGCTGCGAAGAGGGCAGCACGGGAGGTCTTCGGGCCCGAAGTGCGGAAGGATCTCCGGATTCCACTCGCAATCGATGAGTACAATCACCGTATGAACGGCGTAGATACCGGGGACCAAATGCGGTCCTATTACGACTTCAGCCGGCCCGTGAGGCGGGGCAGTTGGCAGGCAATTGCCTGGAACTTTCTCCTCGAAGTCATTATTATTAATACCTTTCGTCTTCAACAATGGGGAGATCCTGAGTGGCCCCGGGTTCAGAACCAGTATGAATGGCGTAGACTGCTTTCTGCCCACCTAATTCAGCGGTTTGGACCATTGGCAGAAGGTCGTCGACGGGGACGTCCAAGGAGGGCAACAGATAAAAGGAACGAGGCAATACCGTGGCAATTACACGTACGAGGGCACAGAAATGCTAATTCTGCTTGCGTGGGTTGTAGTACGATATCGCAAGTAAAAGCGAGGACTGCGCTGGGCGAGATTAGTGGTAATATCCATACCCAACCGCAGCGGCGGAAGTACACGAGGATGGGCTGCCTCGAGTGCGATGTAGCTCTCTGTAACTCAGAAGATTGCTGGTACCGATTTCATACGCAGAATCTCTAATAATTGGAAGTATCTATTATCAATTACGTTGGTTGGTTGGAAAAAGGGGCCCGAAGTGGCCCGATTGGCTGCTCCCCCGCATCTCAATGTACTGTCGCCTTGCAGCACTCGATGGGATAACTGTGGACAGAGACGAGTAGCTTGATGCCGTACTCATGGGCGTGAACCATAAAGTTGTCGAGGCGGCTGAGCACAGTGTCATCCCACGCATCAGGACTATCACCCTGGAGGCTGTTGAAGTCTTCCAACGTTGTGCCTTTCTCGCTTCCCGATTGACCTAGGATGAAAATGAATAAGCATTCACGTCTTTGTTGTCAGGCCCGAGACTATTTACCGTCAAGCCATACTCGTAGGACTTTGATGCCAGCGCTCTGGAGGCCTTGGAACAATGTGGTCTGTTGCTGGGTATTCAGGCCAGCAGCATAGTAAAGATTCGAAGCGGAGAATGATTTCGCTGCATAGCAGGTGGCGGAGAGGGACAAGTGGAACAAAGCCGGAATGACTTTGGAAAGCTTCATTTTGAGTTCTGGTCCCAGTCGGCAATGACGATTGGCTTGTAACTTTGGGTTCGTTGATCATGGAGGAAAAAGGTTCGAGAATCAAACCTTCTTTTAAAGTTCCAAAGATTTTGACCATAACTTCGCCAAGGAAGAGAGGGTGGATGCCGCGGGGGAGAGTTTGCGCCTAGTTCATCACCCATTCGAGCTACTGCCTCGGCTTGATTGTCTACAAAATATGGTGCCAAGTCAACTCGCGAGACACGGGGGCGTATATCGGAGGTATCAAGGCCCGCCTGTCTTTCATTTCCGGATATAATATGTCTCATTTAGTCAGGGGCACACATTCCTGCCGAGGGGCTAGGACCTGCGTGAGAGCCCCGTACGGTTGGACACCAAGCCTTTGTAAAGCTCCTTCGACGAGTCGAGTAGTTTGGGAATGCTGCTCTAAATGGGAGGTACATTTCTTCTGGAGCTAAATATTGGCCAGAGACCGATAGCGCACAAGTAGAGTGATCGAAAGATGAAAAGCACTTTGAAAAGAGGGTTAAACAGCACGTGAAATTGTTAAAAGGGAAGCGCTTGTGACCAGACTTGCGTCCGGTGAATCACCCAGCTCTCGCGGCTGGGGCACTTCGCCGGCACAGGCCAGCATCAGCTTGCCTAGTGCCGCCCGGGGAGGCAATCATCTAAACACCTTCCCAACACTCCCTGCGGTATTGTATAGTTCCGACCAAGGCGCATTAGCCACAACATGGGACTATTTTCTGGAGCTTGTCGGAAATTACATGGAGTCACATGCCGTGCAGGATAATCTGCTGAATAGAGTGCTATTATCACAAAGCGAGGTAGCAAGTGGAAGACATGTATAGTAGAAAGTGGCTTGATTCCTCTAAGTGGAAGATCCGTATGAGTGTCATATCTATATACCGTACAAGACGGATAATCGGCTTGTGGAAAGCGGTATCGTACGGCAGTAACCGGCAGCGCCACGTGTGGCGCTGCGACAGCTATGCCTGTATAATTGGTACGTTGAGTCTCCTGGCGACATGGAGTGTTTGCAACTCGGTTAGGGGTGTCTATTCGACGCAACCTTCCGTTCTCAGTCTGTCTTTCTTCACATAGCTGTGTTTTCGTACGTCTTTTTCGACTTTCTTGATCTAGAAGCTAACATCATAGACTGGAGTAAACTTGCATATCTCGTCGGTGGACTGGGTTTCTCATAGTGCCCGAATGTGTGAAACTTAGTGGTTCGGGACAATCTTCAATAATCTATAGGTTTCTGGCTTCAAGTTGAACCTCCATGTCGGTACGGTACATATAGGTTCGACTGTGACAAAAGCCCCACTCTGTGATTCCATCTATTTCAACTGTTTTGGAACTAGTAGGGCTTCAGCATCGTTCATGTCTTGGGTGTTGAACGGGCATACATACCGAAGTAGTTGGATATTGCTGGGGAGGCTTGGTGCTTGTAGCCGCTATGAGTGCCTAGCCACAGACTCAGCCACATCTCGATTTGTGTAACGACAGATCAAGAAAGCAATGAAGTGACATAAATTCCGTCAGATCTGATTATAAACGTCAACGCCAAATATAACGTATATAAGTAGATGAGTTGTCATGGAAGCAGATTTTGGAACGGTTTAACGTAAAAAAATCCATTCATCCTACCTAGTACTCATCTCGAGCACTTAAATCACATGCGTCGAGCATCCCCTTTGAATCGACAGATCATTCGGCCTCAGATACTCTTTACAGAATGAGACACTTGCTGATTTGAAGCCTTCAGTACCTTCTAGTGACCTCTGTTCTTAATGGTGTAGGTAACAAAGTTGAGTCTCTGGCCGAGGGCTCAATGCCTGGAAAACCTCGTCCCGACTAGTTGCCCTATAACTTTGACTAAGTAACCTTCTATACAATAGCTCACATCCCCACCGTGTTGAACGGACCTCATCTCTAAATAATGTGAGCGAATCTCATCTACATTTTGATGATCTACTTATGCACTACCACATTATGAGGTATGGACGTAATGACTTCGGTACATTGCGGCATCCTTGACCGCTACGTGTGTATCCCTCCCGCAACTGGGATTGATTCGACAGTGATTCGGCTGCGTACATGCCCTCACCGCCGGGAAGAACTCGAGGCGCACAAGCTTCCCATCAGAACAAACACCGGACCCCGCCTTTTCCTGGTGTATCGGTTGTGCATGTGTGACCAAAAGCGAAATAGAGGCTATATTGAGACCAGTGCCATTTTTTCCAAAATGATTCGAACTCCGAATACTTTCTTTTGTAGTATTCCTACTTGTCGATGTTACTACGCAGATTTGACACACCTAATCGTGTTCATCGTTTGAAATGTTTCGCTCGTGGCCTCATCAGCCCCAACCAGACTTCAACTGGTTTCCATTCAATAACGCAACTGGCAACAGACCTAGCATCAACCTGAACAACTTCGGGCCCTACCCTCGCGGTCCTGCCACTCCAGCTTTCGCAAACCCAGGAACCCGTATCTTCGACTTCTCGCAACTCTTCAACATCACCAACAACAACTTCGGTCCCGCGCCCCTACGCCCTAACCAGCCAGGCCGGATCCGCAACCGAGTCACCGTCCTCCTCCCCGACGGCTCGCGGGTTCTGCTCGAGCGCGACCTGCTCCACGAACACCTCCCTCGGACCCGAAACTTCATGCGGCAGGGTCTCTTCCCCGTCCCTGAGTTCCTCCGAGGCTACGATGACGGCTTCATGGGAACCCTGATGGAACCCCAATATTTTGACCAAGCCTTCGCCCGTGGCGCCACCTTCATCTTTCGACATCTCGAAGGCCTAAGCCACGCATACGCGCCGCCGTACGGTGCCGCAGCCGCGGGCGCAGGCGTAGGCGGAGGTATTCGAGGCGGCGCGCCTTTTGACCTGTTCGCCCGGCCGCGCTACCTCCTCGCAAACGCCCGCGATCGACTCGTGACGGTCCAGGAGATATTCTGGCACGTCTTTATACTCTGCTGCGTGCTGGATCAGGACCGGGCCTTTGGCTGTTCAGATTTGCTAGCGAGACCGATCGCCGAATTCCTCGTCGACTTTTTGCCGAGCGTGGAGGCGTTACTGCCCCCGTCGGCGATGCAAATTCTGTTTGTGGGATACGCTCGCATCTTTCGTGAGTCCTTGTTCGAGATGGACCTGTTGAGGCAGATGTGGGAGTCGATGGATTTTATGGGCCAGACACACATTAGGGGAATGATGGGACCGCAGTTGGCGAGGAATGGGATGGGAAATAATGTGCAGAGAGTGTGGACTGCTCTTAGGCACCTTGGCCTTGTTTGACCTTCTTTCCTTGCTAAATTCCTTGTTTCTTGCCCTGTTTGGACGATCCCTTAACACTCTTTGGTGTTTGGCTAGCCCATCTGGGTCCATTTGCTGTCTGTCCTTGATCAAGCCGAAGAAACTGCTCGTCCTCCTGCTTTCAATAGCGACCCCATGAAATAAGCCTCTAAGTGGTTTTCGTACTCATTCCCAAACTTCCATCTATGTAGCTGTCCAAGAAAGTGAAGTCCAAGTTATCCAGTGCCCAACTTTCCTCACATGGACACTGCACGGGATCCTGCTGTTCTCTTTCTCCAAGAAGCGGAACGACAGTGTCTTGTCTTTCGGTCGAGCATGGGACCTCATGTCGTAGGGTATATATGGCGTTAATTGCTGCCCGTAATTAACGGCGTCGTTTTTGCGACAGTTATGAGCCCAGTGTTCTACCGGTAGCACAACCGTCTAAAGTGTAGCTTTGACGCGTACCCACATCTAAAGCCTCAGGTTCAATTCCCGCTCGGGTAGGCAGTTTTGCCGCCTAATCAGGTCTAAAAGAGCCCAAGTGCCACCCAACAAGCCCAGAGCGGCCACGGGTAAAAGCGTACAGACCCCTACCCTTCCACAGGGCTAGGATCTGAGGGGGTGTGTCGTAGGGTATATATGGCGTTAATTGCTGCCCGCAATTAACGGCGTCGTTTTTGCGACACCTCATCTTGAAAACAACGATCGTCAGGAGGTTGCATAGTCGACCCGATTTGTCTCGGCATCCCATCAGATCGTTGCCTCTCAATCCTGATGACCCAAAAATGCGGAAGATAAATGTTCAGGACAGTATCTTGATCCGTGAGCTTCACCCGGTACCCAAGATCGTCATCTGCTAAGGACGTCTCTGGCGAAAATTTGACCGTGTACCTCTCTCCCAAAGTCATGTCATCCTGAATGCGCAATAGATGTTTGAGAAGGGTGGCCACTCTTGTAGCAATCTCATCGTTGTGCTGGTCCACAAGCACCTGCATGACGACCAGAGCCTGCTCCAACATGCCCCGATCGCCCAGCCGTTGATGTACAGAAAGGTGAAAGCCCGTTCCATCAGTTGTTTGGTGATGGAAGTCGCAAATGTGTGCTAGACACAGTGCGGTGCATGATAGAAATGCTATCAGGTCGACCCCTCGGCAATAAAACCGCGCGGGCCGAGTTGCGCGAAAGGACAAGAATCTAGAAAGAATCTCCCGACTTGCTGTTACCGCTGTTGCTCTATCGTGCTCTGACATTGGGCGCAGGATGTTGGGGAAATGCAGCTGAAGGAGGAGGTGATAGTACATAAAGTGGTCATTGAACCGCAACGCCTCCCGAATCTTCTCCAGATGGCCAATTTCCGAGGCCAGGGTAGGAACGACCCACCACTGGGCTGGCATCACGGTTGAGGCTTCTTGTAACAATTTGTCAATATTCTTGGCCATCTTGTAGTTATATACTTCCGCAGGATGCCGTTGTAACAAGCGACCGCAAGCGACAGTGCAGAGGCGGAGAAATCGGTCCAATGGAGGACAACCCTCAAGGGCATCTGGGCCAGCGTAGACGTCTTCGAGGGCGCTCTGTGGCAAGCCCAGCATGAGGGAGAGGTAGCGGTCGAATTGTACGAGTCGGAACCAGAGATCGTTCGGTTCAATGACTGAGCCGACGAGGGAGCGTGGCTTGATGCCCCGGCTGAGACCGAGCATCTGCGCAATTGCGACGCCCCGGCGTCCGGCGAGCCAAGAAGTACGCAGGTTTCCGGCGTAGTTCTCGTAAAGACCCTCTAGCATGATGCATTCGAGGCCTTCTAAAGAATCTACCAGCTCGTCCTTGCATGTGACCAAGTCGTGGGCCGTCTCCACAGCCCGGGACATGATGTTGTGCCAGCTGGTGCTGAGTTTCTCTAGGTGGTGGGCGGAAGAAAACGGCATACCTTGGAGAAACGAAGCCAAGATCAGAAGGCTCCTCGCAATGAGCACTGGATGTGACCCAGTGGGTGGTAGTTGTAGTAAAGCTGTGGATGATGGAAGTGAAGATGGCTTTGGACTTGACCTAGTGCATATGAGGGCCCGAATGATTTGCGAAGTCTCCACGGGGATTGCTAAGATAATGGCTATGTCCTCCGGGTTGGGCCATGCAGCAAACAGCTTCTTGCAGATGGCCTCGTGGGCTTTTGTGGACAATGCAGCGGAAGTTAGAGGCGGGACTCCCGGACGCACAGGTGAGGTGCTCCTCTGAGAATGTGTGTCCTAGGCCGTCAGCATTGATGCCGTATAGTGTGCAGCTTTAATACATACTCCTACTGTTGCACTACTTCCTGCTTGAGGGTCGCAATTTGGAGATTCTGAGCGATGGCTTTGAGGGGTTGTGGTTGAGACAACGACGGGTGAAGCCGACCGCCGAGGCGCGGCTCTCTCACCCCAGACCCGGTCCCGAGATTCAGCTTGAGAGACGAGACGGTCGTCAATGTAGCGGTGTTCGCTGTGAGTTCCTGACTTTATCAGCTGTCTAACTAGTGCCTCAACTTGGCCAAGTCTATCCACGATGTGTTTGTTACTGCCAGGCGGTGGCGGCAGATCAGTGACCTCTTGACTGACACAGTCACTACCGCGACGCTTGCAGCCATCGCAGACATCTTGGGTTGAAGGTGAAAAGGTACAGCGCGCTTTACGGCGTTTGCATTCCCAGCAGCTCTGCGTGCCCTTGCGTAGCTTCCGCCGTTTCGGCGCCGGAGCGGAGTCGGCGAGTGGGGGCTCCTCGTCTAGAGTTCTTTCGGTTGCCGTCATCGTGGTGTCTGGTTCGATGCACTCGACATATATCTTGGGAGCATTAGTTGTTAGGTGTGACTCGTAAAGAATTTCTGCAGACGTATCTTTGTTCGACCGCCGGTTTAGCGGAGGAGTGTAGCGGCGATCAGCTGACAAGGAGGCAATGCTGTTCATTAGTAATCCCCCGCCATTCTCCGCCGCCGCACCGGTGAACTGGGTTGAGGGTGGGGACTGTAGTCTATCGGGGCTACGATCCGATATCTAGCACTCTCACAGATCCTAGTCGTCATAGGTGTTGAGTCCGGGGTGGAGAGCCGCATGAACGGCGGAGTCCAGGAAGACGTCAAGAGGCATCTAATCGTTCGCAAGGACATGCCGTAAGACATATATTTACTCCATGCCTCTCGCCCCGTGTTTCTACCTTTATACGATCTCCATGCTCCCGAAGATCCAATAGGTGCAACATCAACTTTCCAACAGAGAACAACAATCAAGAGTGATTGATTGGAAATATTAAACCCACTCCAGTAGACCGACGCTCGGAAATGGTTCGAATCGCAATTGCCGGCGGCTCTGGAAGTACGTCTTGACAAATCTTTAGTTCGTCTCTTGGTAGCCTACGGCTAATCAAGGATCATGCTAGACGTCGGACGAGAGATTCTTGATGCTTTGGTAGCTAGAGGCAAGCATGAAATCCTAATTCTATCCAGAAAGGTAACTTCAATCTTGTTCTGCGCGGCATGTCTTTCCAATCGCCGGCTAACTTTTGCAGGATGACCCCGCCACCAATTTTGGCCCGGGAGTCAAATGGGTCCAGACGAACTACGATGACGTTGCCCACTTGGCTCAAGTGCTCGAGGGAGTTCATACTGTTCTGTCTTTTGTTGCCGGGCCTGCCGATCCGACGAATGCCGCACAGAGGGCTACCCAGAAGAATTTGATCGATGCCTCTATCAAAGCTGGCGTTAGACGATTTGCTCCTAGCGAGTGGGGTTCGTGAGTCTCTTCCGTTATGTATCATGCATCTGCTCTGTGTCTAACCTGTCTAGTTCCAAATTCGAGCACATGTTCTGGTATGGCTTCAAGGAAGAGACTCGAAAGTACCTTGCTACCATCAACAAAGATAAGAAGGTATTCAAGTTGACTGTCCCAACCCTTGCATGGTTCACGTGGTTTACCAAATATCCCAGGTCCTTGAATACTGTCTGTTTCAGCCGGGACTGTTCACCAACTACATGACGTACCCGTTCAACTCCTCCAAGCATGTTCAGCTCTTCGAGACACCCTTCAACTTCTATCAACGTCGCGCCCTGGTCGTCGGCGAATGTGAAGACGCTATCATAACCTTCACTACCGCGCAGGATTTGGCCAAAGTAGTTGCCTTAGCCGTGGAGTACGAAGGCGAGTGGCCTATTATCGGCGGGGTCCAAGGCGCCCAGGTGTCAATCGCTCAACTCATTGCACTAGGCGAGAAGATCCGAGGTAAGTGGAACTAAGTTTCCTCTGAGAACTTTCTTGCTTCTCCGGGCGATTCACTGATATGTCAACAAGGCGGGCCGTTTGACGTGACCAAGCTCAAGGCCGATGACCTCAAAGCTGGAGTCGTCAAGGCCCCCTGGCTTCCCAAGATTGAGCACCCATCGATCCCCCCGAGAACTTGGATGCTGTCGCCCCTAGCATGCTCTCGGGAATGTTGCGGGGTATTGTGGCTGGCAACTTGGAGTGCTCTGACGAATGGAACCGTCTCTTGCCCGGGTATGAGTTCACTCAGCCTGAAGACTTTCTGGCCACCGCGTGGTCGGAGATTGAGGCGGGAGCCAAGAACACCTTCACGTCCTAATAGTGAACTTGAAGTATCTGAAGCGCATCCTGGCTTGAGTCAGTAAGTCTTTCGGTCTTCTACGCATATGACCAATCTTGTAGATACCGATGCTGCTTCGAGGCTTGTACATCATCGTCAAGAACGGCAGGGCTGATCGAAGAATGTAGTCTTGCCACTTTTTAATCTGTCCAACAACCATGGTGCAAGAACCTCACTTCAGGTATTACATGTAATGTAGAGAATCTGAAAGACAACATTGAGATCAGAATTAGGAGACAGAGAACTCACAACACACAAGCTTATAGAAAAAGAGACAGTTCAGAAAGGATCAGGTTCTATCAATCGTTACTAAAGTATCAAACGGACTTATCAGAGTGATTCGCTAAATTTGATTGGACCACTTGAAATGTGGTCACCCACATAGCCTCTTTGGGGGAGACCGTGTTGTGATGTCAGTCTGACGGTTTCAGCCTTTGGTCTCCAACTCTCTGATGTGTTCCATTTTCAAAGCCTCAAGGCGGGAGCGCAGTCGGGGCAGCTATTCCTGGAAATCCCGTGATGACAGGTCCTTGGCTTCATTGGGATGCACATATTGAATGATGGTGAGGTGTGAATGTGGCTGATATTTGGCGGTTGGTTGTGTTGTTTTGAGAAGCTTGTTGAGGTTGCTCAGGGAGGTTACAGAGGAGAGGTTCTTGAAAGATGAGTGTGTGAGTGTGATAACGTAAAGAGCAAATCCTTTCTTGCCTTCCAGTCCATAAGTGAGGTGTATTAATACGTTTCTCAAGGTCAGCGGGTTGTATTAGTGAATGTAACAGACGCAAACGCGCCTCCGGTTCATCGATCCACTGCAAGTTATACGCCAACTATGCTGTTCAGGACAATCAGTCAAGACCGTGATTCACACTCACGAGCCATACTATCTGCAATTACGACGCAGGATTCTGGTTGCTGCTTGCATTTCCATTACTGGGTGAGTCGGAACTAGAAGAGAGATATCTTGCAATGTTCTCCTCGGGTAGCGATAAGACAGACCAATTATATGGTCACCCGGGTCTTGAGAAACCCACCGAAGCTGTCAAAGAGTGCCTGATCATGCCCCTCCCTCCACCGGCACCTCAAGGCGATCCTCTCTCGCCCAACATCTAGCACAACCTCAAACCCAAACTTGCATACCTCAGAGTCTGATGATCCCTCGGCTTCGATCTTGCCCTCGCGTGCCTCCCGCATCTTCTTCCGTCTCCAAGCGCGACTCCATACATTCTCCCGCGCCCTGCCAACACCCGCAAGCTTCTCACGGTCCCATTCCCAGGAAAGTAGTTCCAATGAAGACATGAGCCCTTGAACATTGTCTTGCAGCTTCCCTATCTCTGTACCAAGCGGGAATGTAGTCACCTCGGATTCTACACTCGGAGGCAAAAACTTCTTCCAAACGGCAGCCTTCATCCCCTTGGCTGCCTCCTCTGACGGTCTCATCGTGCCGAAACTCCACGCGACGGCCCACCGCCTCGTTTTGTTACCTTGCACAAATTCCGTCACGGCGTAGTTGCCGATGCTCTTCTCTTTCAGAATCGCGATGAACTCCTCAAGGCTCGATTGTTTCCCAAACATGGATGTGTACCATTGCACTTGCTCACGCAGGACGAGTGATTCCTCGAGAATCCTGGACACGAACTTGACTTCGCCGCCGTCCGTCACCATTTCTACTGGTGCACCGGTGCATGCCGTCAAGGGAGGGCGCGACTTTTTCTTTGCTGAGTTTAAGAGGTCGTCTTCGGAGGTGTAAAATGGGGGATTTGTCATGACGAAGGTGAGTGACTCGGTACCCAAATCTTTCAAGGGGACCATGGAATCTTGGGGCGTACGGGCAACGACGGAGATTCGACTTTGTAGATTATTCAACTCTACGTTTTTCTTGGCGAATTCCAGACTCCTTGAGTCAATGTCTGATGATAATTAGTGTCTGAACGGTAAACATCCGAGAGATGGTAGCATACCTGTCGCGTAGAAGGACCATTTCCGCTGTGTGCATCCTAGAAGCGGGTAGATACAGCTTGCTCCGGTGCCGATGTCGAGCCCGAGGACGTTTTGATCTGGATCACCGTAGGTGGTGCTATCTAGTAGGCTCTTCAGCCAGAGGAGGTAATTGTGGCGATTTGGTACCTTTTCCTGTCAGCAGTGCAATTGTGAGGAGTTCAAGATTATGGAAAGATTGTACTCACAGGTGGGCACAGACGATCGTCAGGCAGATCAATACTCAGTCCAAAGTCAGCTTTCAGCAGCGTCTTGGTGAGCTGCATCACGGCAGATGGATCATTGAAATCAAGATTTCCACGTTTGAGCCTGGAAAAAAGTCGGTCAGCCGTTTTAAACTAAGGTGTATTGATCTCATCACACACATAGCTCCAAATTCTTGGTCTTGGCGGCCCAGCTTCCCAAAGTCTGGTTCCGTTGAGTAAAGATTGCGGAAGTAGGCATCAGCGTGGGTACCAGGCTCTGGTGGTCGACCCACGAGACCGCGATCCGCCCGGCGGATTATGCTTTGCAGGGTGACATCGTTGGCTGCGGAAGGAATGCTCTCCGAGCTCCTTCGTCTTTTGCCTGTCATGGCTGCCCGGGGTGCTTGGTGGTTTTACTCGATTATTGAGCAAGACATTCCTGGTGTCTGAGAATCCGCCCTGGCGTCACCGGGCGATGATTGAATGCCGGTGTCCAAGGGCAGAATGCAAGACATTTAAGAGCGTATCAAAAACCTTTCTCCAAACAGACACTTGAGATGGGGATTCAATGACCTGGATTAGACGGTCGCGTCAAGTTGCAATGGCTTTGCGACGTGTTAGTGAACAGAAATTGAAATGTTACTTTACTGGTGGTTGGCGAGAAGTGGAGACGGCGATTGAAGACACCGGATAAATACAAATGTGCTGGCGATTGCTGAGCCATCGCTATAAGCAGTATCAGCGTTCATCGTCAGCATAAACGACACATCGTTAGAAATCTGCTGTCTACCTGGCATAACTAGGTCATGAGCAGGTTTCTCATATTCCGTTAAATTAAACACTTCGCAAGTGAGATCTTGGTCATAGTCTTAATCGAGGTTGGTCTACCTCGAGTGGCATGGGAGCCTTTTCGGCCGATCAAAGGCACGGGAATTAGGCTCAACTTCTCAACATATCGAGGCACCAAAAATAATAGTCTTACTCTGCAAGCTAGGGATGGATTGAAAGTGTTATCTCCAAGCGCAGAGTATTGACCAGCACAAACATGCCTGTGGTTGGTTCTTCAGATGTATAAGAGCTCAAAAAACAAGCCGAAACCTGCACGCTCCAATATGCAACGCTGTCATCTTCTCATGTCTGTCATACATGCTTCCAGATGCATCATACCTCGCGTAAATCACTGCTTCCACATGAGGACTCTCCACCGCCAGCCTTCGAGAAGCTTCATGTCCTGGTCGACAACCTCCACGTCACCCCGCTCGATCTTGGCGCTTAGTCGCTTCAACCGCTTCGACACGGTCTTGGCCACCTGTAGAGAAACCTCATTGGTGAAGACGTAGAGTACGGCAAAGACAAAGAAGGCGATACTGGCGAAGCTGTTGCGGCCCAGGAGGCTGTCCTTGATGCGGGCGACTAGTGCTTTGCTGCGCCAGAATGCGTACTCGGTGCTGTTGGACGCTTGGACGTCGGTTTCCGTCTTGTCGGAAGGGCGACGGAAGATGCGCTTTACGGCTGGGATAAAGGTTGCTCTAAACACAGTCGTTAGCCAGATCCCACGAGCTCCCCATACCGTAAGATCTTACACAGCTCCACCAATGAGCCAGTTTCTCCAGCGATGGTTTTCGCCATCTTTAATTAGGCTTCCGACCTCCTTCCGCAAGACTTTGAGGTCACCGAGCAGGACACGACCTTGGGCCCTGATCTGATCCTCTAACTCTAACGACATGGCGCCATCTAGTCGACCTCTCTTTCTTTGCAGAGACAGATACTCTCGGAGCGCGAACTGAGTCCCTGTTTTGATCGTTTTCAGGTCCTGTGTCGTCGTAACAAGAGGGTTCAGGGTAGCTGAAGGTCGCGGTCCCTCCACCATGCTGGCCTGCTGAGAGTGAGGATTTGGGTAGGCTGCTGGACCAGACATGTGCTCAATTGGAGCAACACTTGTCGGCCCAGGAGGCGGCCCTCCATAGCCTGTCCCAGGGTAAGGAGCTGTGGGTGTGGTAGATTGAGGCGGCCGAGAGTACGGATCGACTGAGACCCCCGGCGGCGCCCCAGAAGGTGGTGGAGGGTATGACCCGGGTCCATTGTACGGACCGGGCCCCGTTGCAACCGGCCGGCTGTGCATAGTCTCGGGAAGCAGACCACCTTAACTTAGCGGCGGTGAGAGAAGGTATTTATCGGGCTGCGACTGGAGCAGAGCGGATCAGGCGGGAGTGGAACTGTGGAAGCAGGGTCTCACAGAGCTCAACTGCAACAAGAGAACAACAGAACAAAAGCAAGGAACAAACAATGGCAATTCTATGGACAAGGTACGGGGATAATATGAGCAACGAGAAAATAATGAGGTGGCGGGGAAGCAAGCTTGGAGGAGAGCTGGAAGCAACTCAGCTCACTGCAGGGCGGAGGCGGAGGGAAGGTGACGGGAAGGTGAAGGCGGCATAAGAGTGGGGCTTGCCAGCGAACGGGACCCACTGCGGGATATGGGTCCATCACACCGTGTCAAGTGTGGCGCAAATTGTACAACTCAGCCACATGCTGGTTGTCGAGGCTTCACTTGTTCTGCTGGAGCTTGCCAGTCAATCTTTCGCAATTCCACTACCACAGCCGTTGTGAATCCCCTACACATACACACAATGCCCGATCCAGCAAGCTCACGGTTCGCGCCGTCCAATAAGACAACGACAGAGCGCATATCAGACAGCACCGTAGGTCTCGTGGCGCTCTCCGACTTTCGCAAGCGACGCGCCGAGGTCCTCGACCAGCAAGACCGCGAACGAGAAGCTGCACTGTCCGGCACATCTACACCCGACCGATCCAATTCCGCGACGCCAGACCCCGGGAGCGACTCGGCCAGCGCCGCGAGCAAACCGAAAAAGAAGAAGAAGAAGAAGCTCGGCGGCAGCAAGCTGTCGTTTGGCGACGATGAAGAGGAAGAGGCGGATTCGCTGCCAGTAAAAAAAGGCAAGAAGGCAGACGAGGGCGAAGATGAGAAAAGCACATCAGCAAAGAAGTCCAAAGTCGTTGCCAACTCGTCCGTCGCGTTTGTGCCCAAGGTCATGTCCAAAGCAGCCTTGCGACGCGACGCGGCTGAGCGAGAGGCGCTGCGCAAGGAGTTCCTCGCGATACAAGAAGCCGTCAAGACGACAGAAATTGCGATACCATTCGTATTTTACGATGGATCGAATATACCTGGTGGCACTGTCCGTGTCAAGAAGGGCGACTACATCTGGGTTTTCTTGGACAAAAGTCGAAAAGTTGGCGCCGAATTAGGCGTGGGAGAGAAGGCCAATGCGCGAAGAGAATGGGCAAGAGTTGGTGTGGACGACCTGATGCTCGTCCGGGGGTCCATCATTATTCCACATGTGAGCGTTTTATGTTTCCGTCTATTCTCCTCTCCGACTAATGTTCTCTAGCACTACGAGTTCTATTTCTTCATCATCAACAAGAATGCTGGCCCGGGTGGCCAACAACTGTTCAACTACAAAGCCGACGCTCCACCCAAGAAGGACGGGCCGGAACCCGATGAAGTCCCAGCTGCCCCCTCTGGTGGTCTGACCACCGCAGCCGCTCTCAAGGCAGCCGCAGTCAAGGCCCTGCCTGATATCAACACCCTTGAAGGTGCGACAGATGACCCTACCCTAACGAAAGTGGTGGATCGACGCTGGTATGAGCGCAACAAACACATCTACCCAGCGAGCATGTGGCAAGAGTTTGACCCTGAGAAGGACTATGATACGGAGGTGCGGAAGGATGCCGGCGGCAACACGTTCTTCTTTTCGAGGTGAAGGCTGTTTCGTCGACTATGACTGGCGAGCTGCTATCAGAGGCTCGCTGAGGGGGGAAGAGTTATTTCACGAGCGGCGATCTTGCTCGTTCATCCCGCCAGCGTGCGAAGAGTCAAGATGAGGCCCAGGATTAACAACCATCCCGGCCAGAAGACCATGACGATCAGCATGTTACCTCCCGGACCCAATATCGTTGTTGCAAACTCCATGAACAACTTCTTCCTCAATTTCTGGATTCGTTTGGAGTCCCACACATGTCCCAGGGACCTGCGGACTGCCGTCGTCGTCTTCTTGAGGGCAGACAGCGAATGAACGGCAAAGAGTCGTGTTGCGACGACTGCCGACGTGAGGGCTGAGGTGGCGAGAAGATGGGTGTAGAGGAAGAGGAGCGACGACACCAAGGCCACCAATCCTTGGAAACGGACCGCGATATCGAAGGTAGGCCCGAAGACGGCAATGAGGTCTGAACTTTGGCGGATGGTTACGCCCGGCTCGTGTTTGGACGAGGTCAACAGGGCGACTTTGTTCATGATGGCGACGGCAGAAGAGGTCTCGGCAAAGAGATGGTTACGACCTACAGCGGTGCCTTGTGTGGTTTGACGGGCACCAATGCCATCAGAAGCATGGTGAGCACACCGCAACTCACGATATATATCAAGGGGCATCTGAAGAGCAACGGCAACTGCATGCGACTCGTTCGACCCTATTGACTTTTGGACTCGCGGTAAAAGCGCCTCTGAGATTCCGATATCACACAAAGTTTGAAGGAAGATGAACATCAGTCGTGATAGTGACTGCAGCGCCTACGGTGCTATATGCTAAACAAGAGCATTGTCTAGAATTTTCTACCCCTCCATCGTGTCGAGATTGATGCTGTGACAGCCCCACCACCACATCCTTTCCCTGGCGACAAACCATGTCGACACGTGGGGCTGGCTGTTTGCCGGATCGGTTCTTCAAGCGCACATCGGGCCTCGAGGCTGGAGGGGGAAATCAGCAACGTGGATTCCTATCGACTCTCATTCGTGGGATCTTGCAGGCTGGATGCCCCGACTTCAAACTTGGGACGTTCGCGTTACCCCTCGATGGACCCTGATCTTGAAAACTTTGAGTGTCTATTGGCTGTGCACATCAGTTTGATCTTATCGCGTTTATCGCGCTCTTGATGGAGAACATAAGGTACAGTACCGGCTCAAAAGTCTGGTCACAGCAATAAGCCCACCACCAAAACTTTCTCTCCCTTTCTACGATTGATCCACATTACGAGCATAACCCACCTCGGTACTCTTATATGTATAAGTGATAGTAGCTTATTTATGTTAGTAAGTGTAGTAAGCTTATGTCACGTTTTTTTTGCGATTTTGGTAGCAGATCCTTAACGCTGTGACCAGACTTTTGACCCGGCGTTGTAGCTCTAGATTTCTTGACGTCTCGGAGTTACACATGAAGGCATGTGATGGGCCCGTGTTTCGGCCGCCGACAGTGTAAAAAAGAACGCATTCTCACAGGTTGGCGTATCTGTTGTTTCCGGGATTCGTCCGACTCAGGCTGGTTTGTTGACGGGGAGTCTGCTCCGTATTACGCCACACTATCGTCGCGCCACACTTCACCATCACCTCTGCAAGTGTGGCTGGTGCTCCAGCCACCTTCATGGACGAGGAGTCACCAACTCTCTACCATGCGAATCTCATTGCCATCACGAACATTCCTTGTTTCTTCACCGTCTACGGATAGCGACAGACCGCCTTCTGTAGCCGCTTCATATTTTTCCGGAGCATCGATACGGAATACAAAGTGCATCGAGCGGTCAGATCCCGCCGCCGATGTGTTCCTGCATTCACAAAAAGCCAGCGCATCCATCTCGAGAGAAAATTCATATACTGGGGAGTCACAAGTCGGAAACGGACTAAAGACTGTTCGGCGGTCCTGGAGTTCCGGATCCATGAAGTCGGTGAAGATTGAACACAACCGCAGCGAGGTGTAACGTTCCCACGAGGGTTTGAGGCGAAATAGAAACGTTAGAGTGACGATCGAATTCACTGCTCCTCCGTCCGGTCCGACAGAGCCACCCGCCAAGATCCTTCGCCGCCTAGGCGGGAGTGGCTGGTCAAAAGGCACCTTGACGTTGGGCACGACCGGCTTTGTTCGCCCGTCAGTGAGGAATTGAGCGCGCCGCCCGCCCACCGGAGCCGAGGATGGCATGACGAGCATGACAAGCGCCGATCCAACAAGTGGTTCTTCAGTGGAGATGCGGCTGGAAACGAAGTTACTTCCTCCAGGCTTCCTCCCCTTCCGACTTGACTGCGCTGCATGACGGATGGGACCAGAAAACAAACGCGGTGATATGCATATTTTGCAGCCTGGCTCCATGCAGGTTCCAGTTCATCGATCTTCCTGGTCGTATCTGCCAGTGTTTGCATCACAAGAAGCCACCGAGGAGGGCGCGGTTCATCTATTCTTCCGTCGTAAACCAGAATCTGACCGAGGAAATCCCATTCGGTCTTTGACAGCTGGTTGGGATCAGACGCAGGAGAACAACGGGACCCTGGAATCGTCCCATCCGATACCCAAAGTGTTCAAGGTGTACCCGTGACTCTCGACAAGGCCGTCGCTGCAAGCAGAGGGACTGCCATTGGAGACCATTGACGCATATCCCATCCCACTGGCATCCCCTTTGCTGTGTTGACCAACACGAGCCAGGGATCGGCAGTCTGCTCCAGGGCACACGCCGTTCGAAAAAGTTGCTAAGTGCTAGCTGTCAGCTGCCGAGCCGAGCACTAGGCAGCCCCCAGCTGGATTTACGTGAAAACTTTGACGGATAATATAGAACGAGAGACAATTCTTCTAATAATACACATCTCGTCCCAACCCAAACCAGAATGGTGCCTGCAGCGACAAGCCGGAATCGGGCAATTTTGATCGCTCTTCCACCCCCTCCGCTCAGCGCCGTCTTCACCCAGTAAGAGCGAGCGATGCAACCCCTCACCCCTCTTTTTGTTTCTCCCGCTTGCCTGCCAACGGGCACGATCTACGCCGCGTTTGTGGGGGAAGAGGGAATGGGATGGGTGAGAAAGGATGTCGCTTGACGGCGACACGGTCCATCTAGTTGGCTGCGGTCGCAAAAATACGAGAATGGTACCCTTTGTGCTACGTCATGGTTCGACGGTGCCACCTCTCCGGCCTTACCGACTTTCATGCGATGGATGGCTGGGACTCCCGGGTTTAGACTCTTCGATGGCATGTTGTTTGGAGAGGCAACTGGCGATCTTTTGTCACTGTCGGCGGGATTGGTAAAAGTTTGACGATGCTGCTCATGTACTTAACCTGGATGATGTTCCTCGTCTGAAGTCTTGAGCTTTTGCATCACAGCAGCCTACTTCTCCCCATTCTATCTCATCTCATCTCACCTCATCTCACTTCACAACAATACCATCAATACGTCTGTCTCATCTAAAACACCATCCAAGACGCTCACAAGCCCTCACCAATCCTCAAAATGCACTTCCTCTCCACCTTCCTCCTTCTCGCCCCGGCCCTGGCATCCCCAATCGCCCAACGCGAGGAGACGTGCGGCCAAAAATCAGGCAAGCTCTCCGAGTGGACGCTCACGGGTTTCGACTACCACGCCAGCTACATCTTCAGCACGCCCTCGCACCAGAACTCATGGGGCTACATCAGCTTCAACGTTTCCAACCCGGTCCTCGACTACACCGTCGCCTGCTCCGCCGCCAGCAGCCGTCTCAATGACTTCTTCTACGGCGAGCAGGTCTACCAGTGCACGCCGCCCGAGGGCGGGGAGAGCACGGCCACGTCGTTTACGTGGAGTACGCCTGAGAAGGCTGTTGCGTTGAACCAGTCGTGGACTTGCAATGACGATCCCAAGTATCCGTAAGTCATATTCCCTCGTTCATTCTCTATTTGACATTCATCGAGTGGTTTTCTCCTGTTGATGAAACATTTCGCCGAAAACGGGACGAAATTTGGTCTGCCATGAGGGACGCCCAGGCTAATTGGAACGTGAAAATCAGAGCCCGCTACACCGCAAAAGGCGGTGCCGTCGCCGATCTGCAGTGTGAGGAGACGTTTTGGCAAAGTGACAACTGGACCATTGGCCAGATTTACTCGACGCGCAACATCAACTGCGGCATCATCACGCTGCCTACCCCGATCAAGGAGATCTCCGCGGTCGCTTAGATGGGGCAATTCTTTACCACGGTCAGTGGTAATCTCAGATCCAGCGGAGGGCATAACCTCATTCGCGCATGATCGACGACGCTTTACACGACTTTTATGATGAATTGGCGGATACGCTTTCACGACACTCCTTCGATAGATGCTTCGCATTTTTGCATAGTTCCGGCGCCTAGAAAAATCTTCCCGGTCATCGACCATAATAATGGGAATTCGGATGCTATTTCAAGACTGCAATGGGACAGGGAGCATATAGAAGCATGTTTGGGATAATTCTAATGATCTAACGTGCATGATAAGCGAGCGGATCGGACAAGCGAGCGGATCGCTCGACAGCAACCACTCCACGTATGTAAATCTTGATCAACATCAACAAAGTTTAATCAATTGAAACTACCCATAATCCTCTTCTCTAGACATTTCTCTCTGAAATGGACATGTGCGCGCATTGTGTCCAGTGTTCCCGTAGACGCCATATCGCCGTTGACCTGTTTCCGTCCTCGGCCGACGGCCACTACTCCGGCGCGTTTCCTCCTTAATCTGAGCTGTAGCCTCTCTCTGTGATTGAAGGTCATCTGCCTTAGCTATAGCAAGGCTCCCTCCTTGCCTAAGACGAGTTTTCTTAGATCTCCGCCGTCGGCTAAGTAGATTATTCTCCTCCCGAAGGGTTTTGTTCTCAGCCTCTAGAAGAGCATTACGATATATCATAGCTAGTGTCCCTTTGAGGATATGGTTAACTGCGTTACTAGCTAGTGTTGGCGAGCTATTTGGATGATTTAAGATTCGATCTTTAATCAAAGTTGACTGAGAATTTGCCTCTGTTGGGTTGTTTGGTGTCTGAGAAGTCTACGCTGGGGGTGTTGCTGGGAGAGACCCTGGGGGCGTTGGAGTGTGTAACTTCATATCCAGCTTCGAAAGTACACTTTCAGCACTTAACGGAACAAGCCCAGCCCCTCTAAAACCTCCCTGGATGTTTTTTACCGTTAGGGCTTGCGTGAAAGCGTTGCGAAATGCAGGGAAGAAGTCCTCCTTCGTAATATGCGTATTACCCCGGCGCATCTTATCCTCAATTTATCGACTATAAGCCGTTTTTAGTGGCCTAAAATACCCAACGTCTAAGGGCTGAAGTAGATGAGACGAATGGGCCGGCATGCAGAGTGTGATGATATTGTTTTCCTTGCAATATATCTCAAAGTCCGCAGAGTGGTGACTTTCATGCCCATCAACGACGAGGAGGCGATATCTACCAGTTGTACGCGGTTTTGTATGCCGATCAAAGTACTGGAGCCAGTCTAGGCCTCTTTTATTTGTTGTCCATCCGTTTTCAGACGTTGCAATGACCCAGTCGCGTGGGAGACCTGTTTCTGTGTACCAGGTGGAGAGGTGATATTGGCCTGCGACGATGATGTACGGCGGAACGCTGTAGCCTGACGAACTGATGGCTTGAATGACTGTAACCCATTCACGATTGCCAGGCTGCGTCATTTTCGTGTTTGAACGCCTTTCAGCACTCGTGACAACCATTCCGGATGCAATCTGGCCCATCATAAACCCAGTCTCATCAAAGTTGTAGATATCGGAGTCCACGATGCCGTACTTCGCGATTGTGTTTGCTATAAGGCGAAACCACGCGTTTATCGCGTCTGGATCTTCGCATTAGGCCCTCTTGTAGTCATACTTGCGAAAAAAGCGCGTCCGGAGCTGTGGGTGTTGCTTGACGAAGTTCGAAGCCCAGCGCTTCCTAACTGGGGGCGCGTCGCGGTCGGCGAGTAGTCGATTAGCCATTTCTTCTATACCACTGATCCGAGGAGGGAATAATCGGGAATCCAGGTCGAGAATATACTCAACTAGCGTATCCTCTTCGAGTAACGTCAAATTCCGTGAGTTTGGTACGGTTTTAAGTCGCGAAGTTCTTCTATTAATACGGGCGCGTAAGGTTGAAAATGGTACTGAGTAGATCCAAGCTGCATCTTTAATACTCAAATTTGGTGTTTTTTCGATAGCTTGAACTGCTAGAATTATACCAGCTTCTTTGTTTGATGACTGTATCATTGTGGTGGATGGATATGTGTTGGAAAGAAAAAGATGTGGCGGTCGCTGTTGAGCGATCCGCTCGCTTGTCCGATCCGCTCGCTTATCATGCACGTTAATTCTATTTCACAATTAAACGGGTTCGCGGACTGTAGTATCATGATGAATGTGACTTGATATGAAGGCTAGAGAATATCCACACGCAGTGCTTCTGGTCTATCAGAGGCCCCTCATGACCTCAGCTACCTACCTGTTGATGAGACACCGGGAACGAGCAAACATGGGACACGTCTTTGGACCGCAACCTCTCGAGACACTTGAAACATGGAAATAACAAAGTAATTGGGTACTTTATGGGTATCTTCGTTTCCTTCCTGCCACCAGCTCGCTCTTCTTCCTCCGCGCCTCGGAGATTTCATCCCAACGTCAAAAGATTTCCCGCTCAGTCATCAGCCGTCTGCCGACACAACCACGGATCCTCCATTAGCTCTCGGGCAGATAACCTGTCCTCTGGTCTCCACTGCAGCATTTTTCTCAGAAAGACCAAGAACTCGGCTTGCTCCGCTCCCTCAAGATTACACTCTTCCTCTTCAAACGAAGACTCTGGTATCTCGCCGTCGACAATCAGTTTACCTGTCTCTCACGCGTCAGTCCCATCCAGCCTGCATTCAAGGACACTTCCTCTCCTGAGTTTGATGACAAACCTTCTTCGTCAAAAAAGTCTTTCCATGATGACCCCCTATCCAGCAGATCATCGGGCGGGGGCCCAAGCAAAGACACCGTCCTCGCAAAGTGCGCTGCACGGGATGCATTCCGATCATGATGTCGGGTGTGGTAGAGAAGCTTCCCTTCGAATAAATCCCAAACCTGGTAACAGTGAAAAGGCCAGCGTCAGCATTCGCAAGTCTCTTCGCCGTGTGCGGATCTTTTACCATCAACCCTAAAGCCCAGATATCAATCTTTTCGTCCCAGGGGATTCCGAGAATGATTTCGGGCGCGCGGTACAGATCCGGCATCACCTCGCCGTCGAAGTCACCTTCTCCGTATTGCGCATCGCCGAAATCTGAAATGACAGGATCACCTGGGTCATCTGGGATCTCGAGCCCTGTTGACGCGTAGGTGGTACGATCACCCATGACTTTTCTCGCGCTCGGGAGCCTCCATTCTTCGTTCACTAGGTCGTCTAATATTGTTGTGTCTGAGATGGAGAGCATGATGTTTCCATCCTGGATGTCTGGCTTATGTGTCAGTGAAGCCGGTCTGGGCGATGATGCAGAAAACCCTCTTTAAGGCGCCTGGCGGTAGAGTAAGGTAATGCAAAAGCACAATTATCCTTACCTGTATGGACGACATGTGCAACTGAATGCATGTAGTCAATGCCTAGTAGCAAGCCGTATATCAACCCCTTCAAGAGATTCTCTGGCAGCTTGCCGCCTGCTAGTTCTCTAATGTCGGCCAAGGACAGGCCTAGAGTCTCGAAGACCAAGCACACATGCGGACCGATTTTCCCCTGCAACTCAAAACTGTCCTTGATGGACCGAAGGAGTTTCTGTCCTGGATGCTCAGACTCGAGGCATTCCAAGTGACGAAGCACAACTTCCTCATTACGAGCCTGTCGATGCCCAGTCTCATAGACTTTCAAAGTCACATAGCAGTGCTTCCTAGACTACTAGTCAGCTAAGTAGGCCTTTAAGTAACCCGCACACATACTCGAGATCACGGCACAACCATACTGTCGACGCTGAGCCGAACCCCAATTTCAATAGCACCTGATATCGCGATTCAAAGACTTGGCCAATGTGGACCGGGTACCACTTGTCGGGGTTATACCAAGTAAAAGCCTCCTCTTCCAGGCGAACCTCTCGGCCGTACAGCTCTTCCGGTTCGGCATCCGGCAGCCGCCGTGGGGGCGAGGCGTCTCTCTCCGCGGCCATTGACGCCAGGGAGCTGCGGCAATGCGGTTGAAGCAAGCGGTGAGGTGTGGACTTGCGGACATGGCGTTGTTACGCGCAGGGTTTGCTCGAGGCTCCAGCTACTTTTTTTTGCGGGGTGGAGTTGCGAGATGAGGTGTGTGTGGTGGTGCGGGCTTCCCCACTAACAAAAGTCTCGTGTGACCACTTGCAACTTGACTTGGCTTCCAGCCACCTACATTTCTCTTCTGCGCTGGAGCTGAGTCAGTGAGCCGATCAAGTGTAGACTCTGAGATGATAGGTAAACATTCAAAGACCAAATTGTTCAGAAATCGTTCGTTGGCGATTTTCGCTGGAGTTTCAGTCGGAATTGTCATCCGCCATTGTAGGACTCGTGGTAACGCCGGTAGATACGAGTGCACCATTAACTAGGCCTACGACTTAATTCAACTCCTACTAAAACTCTTAAGAGCGTGGCTGAATAATTTGTTTTTTTTGATTATAAAAATATCTTAACTTCTTTTCTTCCTCTTTTAACGTTCAAGATTTCATTGTGCTACTCAGTCTTGTACAAGCTTGGCAAAAGTCGGAGCCAGGAGCTGAGCTTCGGAAGTAAATCCTTTGTACGATTCGTAATTCTTGTGCATGATCAACATTCAGAAGGGAGAACGAGAAAGGCACTCCAACACTTGTCCCATCAACTGTTAGATGGCGTCACTACATACGTCTCCAGTCTTTTACTAACTTTGCTCTAATTCGATATTGTTCATAGCCAACTAAGGGAAATTGAGCAAAATGAGAGAAAGACTGGAGACGGATGTATTAACGCTATCTAGCAGTCGATGAAATACACGATGGTAATTCAATGTGAAGAGTTCGGAGAAGGGCAAAATAGCGGAATTGGTGTAATCTAAGTCTTACTTTCAACAGCAATGGACGGAAGAGGATCTTCCTTATCTAGCACCACCGAAAACTTGCACTCAAATTTGAATTCATCACGGTACAGACACAAAAGAGCATCTATCAAGCGCCATGCGCCTGAAGCTCTGTTTGAGTCCACTCCCAAAGCTTCATAGCCTGTTCATCATCCTGTCCGTCCTCGCTCGTAACCCCCGAGACTCCAACAGGCTCGTAGTACTCTCCGCTCTCGACTTCTCGTGAGACAGACGCCCAGAGTTGGTTCCTTGCGCCCTTTTCCACGGAGTTGACGAGCCACCGATTCGCAAATTGCATCAAGTACTGCATAGCTTTCGGTGATCCAGTCGTGCCAACCGCCAAGTTGGTGCTGACGACGCCAGGATGAACAGCTGCGACCTTGAGTTCCGGGTAGTCTTTTGCCAGTTGTCTCGCCCACAGAACATTTGCCAACTTGCTTTGAGAGTAGCGCCCGTAGGGACCTAGCGCCTCTGCGTCCGTCTTGAGAGTGTTGTACCGAATCCCACCCTTGGAGGCATAGGCATGACCATGAGAAGACAATGAGATGACTCGAACATCAGGATTGGAATCTCGCTCTGCGGTCTTCTGCAGCAGTGGAAGAAGAATTTTCGTGAGAAGCGCATGTCCCATGTGGTTGGTTCCAAACTGAACTTCATAGCCCTCGGTGGTCAGCCCGGGTGGTGTTGCCATGATGCCAGCGTCCAGCATCAAGATATCGAGGCGTTCTGTTTCCGAGAGCACAGCAGTCGCGGCTCTTTTGATAGAATCGAAAGATCCGAGGTCAAGTTCAAGCAGTTTGATGGGTGCGCCGGGGATTTGCTGCTTGATCTCGTCTGCGGCAGCTTGGGCCCTGTCGAGGCTTCGCGCGGCGAGGAGTATCTGTGCTGGCTTGTGTTGAGAAAATTCTAAGACGCACTGTTTCCCAAGACCCGAATTTGCGCCGGTGATCAAAATAACTTTACCCCCGAGGCTGGGGATGTCCCGCTCGGGGCTAAAGTTGACGGCGGTACTATTGCAAATCGGCATGTTCAATGATCAAATTCTTGCATCAATGCCTAGCTTTGGATACCAGAATTTCGATTGATTTGTGCGGCTAAAATAATGCCCTCGTGCGCAGTTTCTGCCTTTATATCTTACCTTGATCATCTCATCTGGAAGTCGAGCTTCCCCCGTTGCGGGTGTCTGCGCCAACTAACGGGGCCTTCATTGTCCCGGCTCCATCTAGAAGCAGCAATACTACATCTTCGAGACTTCTGACGCTATGCTTCTGGGCCAATAGTAACGCTTAGCTGGTCGTTCAGGCGTGGCACAGCAGACGCGTGTTGTCTGTCAGACGATGTGGCTAGGATCGTAACGGAGTTAAGAATGCCTCTTAGTCCGACTAAAGTGTAAGATTGCAGACGACATAGTCTATCGATGGACTTACGGGTTCATGATTAGCCCGGGATGACGGGAAAGGGACTTTGGTTATCGCTGCATCTAATCGACTGAGCTCGAGAGTGATATCATGAACATTAACAAAGTGATATCAACCAATATCATACGAGGGAGATGTTCGAGTGCGAAGCAAATGTGAGACCAAGTTCAATGGATATAGCCGAATGCGAGCATTTTCTCGCAAGCACTTATGCACATTGCAGTGTTGTACTAAATGCGAATGTGACTGCCGTTGCATTGCAGTCTGATCGACACCGCTTGAGTCACCCGACCGGCACGGTGAGAAGAATTGGGGTTGGGCCGTCAGCGCCTCGAAACCTATTCGCGCCACAATTTGGTGTCGATCAACCGATTAGACCCCAAGTCAACATCGAAATACGTGAGCCTCAGTTCTATAAAGTTCAAGAGGTTAATTCCACGATGATGAATCGAAATTGAGACAGAGATGCCGAGAGAAAACATTTCAAACCAACCTGGGTAATACTCTCTCATTTTTAACTCACATCGGTTCTTCACCAGACTTGGTCATCAACCACATTCAACTTTTGTCAGTCGCCAGCGGCAGTATGAACCCAGTTAACACTAAGCCGTACACTCTTCCATTAGACGCAACCTGGTTGAGTAAGTCTCACATTGCTACGAATCGCTTGAGTTCACGCGACTTACTTACTCTCAGTCACCGGATGTTCGTCGGGTATTGGCCAAGCACTGGCAGCTCTAATCGCAACTAAGCCGAATCATCGCTTGATCGCAACAGCTCGGAATCCCACCGACCTGGATTACCTGCCCGATGATAACGGAAACGTCCTCAAACTTGCCCTGGACGTGACGTCTCCCGCCTCGGTGAAAGATGCATTAGATGCAGCAATCGAGCATTTCGGCAAAGATTTCCATCTCGATGTCGTGGTCAACAATGCTGGGTATTCTTTGTCTGGCGATACGGAGTCTGTGACCGAGGAACAAGCTCACCTGGAAATCGAAACTCTCTTCTTCGGGACGGCTCGGGTGACTACTCATGCCATCGAGAGCATGCGGCAGTCCGAAACACGGCGAGGCGGTATCATCTTCAACATCTCCTCTCTAGCTGGACAATGCGCCTTTCCAGGTCACGCGTACTACCACGCGGGGAAGTGGGCCGTTGAAGGATGGACTGAGTCCGTGGCAAGGGAGATGCATCCTGATTGGAACAGTAAGCTGGCATTATATTTCATGGAGACTCTCGAGAGTCGCTGACGTCCTTCAGTAAACTTCTGTATTGCCGAGCCGAGTGGTGTTCAAACCAACTTCGAGGGGCACAGCAAAGCGCGCACCGAGCCGCATCCAGCTTACGCAGGCAAAGACATGCCGGCTCGTGTCCTCGAGAGATACGTGGAGATGGGAATCAAATCGGGAACCCTGAGTAAGCCGTCTGCGATTGCAGACGCGATCTACAGTATTGCGTCTAGCAAGGGATGCATTCCGCTCCGTGTTCCTCTCGGCGGACCTGCTTGGGTTTTCATTAAGCAGAAGCATGAGACTTGTTTGAAGGAACTCGAAGACGTTAAGGACCTCAGTCTGTTGATTTCCAAAACACCAGGTCATTAGGAGCTTAGGGTGCGCCGGATACCTTAACTATGGATGCGAAATTTTTAAGAGGTTCTGCTTAAGTTTCTACTGCTTTAGTTTGCAATGCTATGATAACGCACGTCATTCATGCCAAATTGACCTTTCGTGAAACGCAGGCTGTTCTTAGGTGCTCAGCCTGTTTGATGGTTGCCGAGTAACTACGTCGTTGCTTATCCGCACTTCAGGTCCATTTCAAGGACTTGCCTTCAGCCAAGTCAGGGTATCTGCGTTGACAGATAGTAAGGTAGTTCAGTCCTCACAAAGAATGGCAATGAACTTGTCTAACTACACCAGTCTTTCGTTACCAGAACGTCATTAATTCGTACCCAACCGGCCCAGCCGTAGGAGGACGGCTCGCAATATGTACATGTATTATACATCTTGAGTCTCTTCCTCAAGCAGGCACCAGATGGATGGAGCTCAACCAACACAACGGCCCTGTGATACCGCGTGGAGCTTGCCTCGAAATCCACATATTAGGAGTTCCCTTCGTCTCATTATCGCCCAACCTCAATGTGATAATCCTTGGTGACTTGGATTCCCGAGTTGTAGTTTCCTCCGTCATCGGAACTTCGGTCGTCCGTAAATGCCGTCGTTTGGCTTCTGGCGCCCTTCGGGTTGACGATATGCTCTTGGCTTCCTACGGATGTATCATCGAGCTTCTGGTGACCGTTCCTAACCCGCGACATCTTGTGGGAGCTACCGGTACCGCCGAACGTGACAAGGCCGGAGTGGGGAGTACTCGGATTCGTGGAGCCAGTGCGTCGATGGGGGAAAAGCGGCTTGATTGACGGAGCGTTCGTGCAGATAATTGCAACAACCTGATAGTAGGTTGATTAGTCAAGACGAAGACGAGAACGTAGGATACAATGGCTCTTAAACTCACCGTTTCACGGATGGACCAGTTCAGCCCCAAGTCAAGTCGCTCGGGGGTGCTCAAGCAGATAATGCACCGTAACAGCGTGCAAATTACGATGAAGAAACCAGCACAGAACATCAGGCCGAAAGCAAGTTTCCTGTAGCTTTTGCTAGAATCCCAGAACACGTTTATTGTTCATCCGCAACTTACTTTGGAAGAGTGGTCTGCAGTCTCCACAACAACGGGATGGGAATGTACATGATCATGATGTCGGTTCTAGTAACACGCGTCAGCCAAGGGACATCATGCAAGTTGCGGATGCAACAGGACTTACACGACGTTTGTAGTCACCAAAGCGTAGTACTTGGAGGTATTTTGCGTGCAATCATCTAACAGACGTTAGATTTTAGCAGTGCGACAAGTTTCGAAACGCCACATTAATGTACTCACCTCCGGCATACGGATACACTTGCCAAAGCTTGTGCATGGGACGGCAATGTCCTGTAACAACTGCAAGTGTAGCCAAGTAGGCAAAGACCGTAATCACAGACACCACCTTGACAAGGCGTTCCTCTGGCAGAGTTTTGCTGCGAATTTCTAATCTAGCGCGCGTTTCTTCGGCGTTGGCTGAACAGCAACTTACGTGACTCTAGAGAAGAAGAAGAGCATGATGCCCTTTAGACTCCAAATCATGCTGGCGTAGACATACCACGCAGCAAAGAGCCATTTCGCGCCAGTTTCGTGGCTCTTGTATTGTTCCGGCGTCAGGCTCAACGCGATTTCGTCGGTCATGCCCGTGATACTTCCCTTTTCAACTATAAAATGGTCGTTAGAACAAGAGTAAAGTTTTCTTGGCACGAGAAGTCTGTTCTTACCGATGATTTGACACATCATAACCTCCAACTAAGGTTCATGGTGTTGTCAGCGGAGCCCGCTCCGTAGTGTGTGAGGGAATAGGGGTTCCCCTTCCAATGACAACAACTAACCGTGAAGAATATAATGGCCGCCACAGCCAAATAGTCGTCGCCCTGCCATTTCAAACCCACCACCTTCTTGCATCTCGTAAAGATTCGTAGAAATAGGACCAAAATTCCAATGGCATATTCCACCCACATCTCAATCACCGCGGGCATCAACGCTTCAGCGACCGCCATTGTTGCGGGTTGTCGGAGTCGACCGCAAATACGAGCACACACACACACACACTCGTTCTTAATCGGTGATAGGCAAAAACAAAGCTCTTCCAAAAAGTTGAAGAGGTAGACCTGCGGGTAATGCTGAACCGGCTAGACAGACGCCATTTTTGGACAGCTCGTGCTTAAGAATCGGGTCGCGAAAAGGTTGCAGACTCTGCCGCCTGCAGGACCCATCTGCAGGTTACTTCCAGCCTGCAATCGGCAGTTAGGATCTACCAAACCCTCGTTCATTGGGTCCAGGGGAACGACTAGAAGACATCAAGATACTGGACCGTGATTATGGACTCAGGTAGTAACTCTACGTTACAGGAAAGCGTTCTCAGGGTTGGAGGAGACAACATAGGCCCACAGTGCTGAATCGGTAATGACGAGAAAACCCTCTTTTCTCTCTTTCTCGCTGGATGTGTCTGGCCAAGCACACCAAGGTAGATTGTCTGAGAGGTTAGAATGTGGAGATCGGCAAGCAAATTTTCACAATAGAAAGTTCTGCCCATTGGACATGACTTAGCAAGCTGGCAGACAAGGACTGCATTGGCCCGCGGAAGGGAACGTCAAACTGACTTGGCAGCAGAAAGCAAGGGCTCCTGAGGCATTTGCGTGGCATCGGAGAAAACGACATAACATGAGTTTTGTCCCATGCGGAATTCGTAATAATGGAGAGTTCAACTTGTAGCTGGTTGTGTGAACTATGAAGTTGTAATGATGGATCTGAATGCTTCGTAAAGCCGTTGGATCGCCACGAACGGGAACCACCATGGAACCCCATTGTCGACCATCATCGACGGATGGGCAGTTTAGATCTCGGTTGGCGGTCGCTCATCCCCCAAAACCAGGCCATTTTAGGTAAGACAATACTGCGTAGATCCCTCCCGTGGTCTCGCCTTCTGGGCCGTTGGGCCGCGACGAGGTTGCCGGCCGGCGGATCCCTTGCACGTTGCATTCTTATTAGTCGTTGCTGAAGAACGGTCCCGTCCCGGGAACTGGGCCGGCTTGGAACAGGGGCCCCTGTGAACTCCATTCTCAACGACTGACTCAATCCCGGCTGGCTCCCACTCGGAATCGCTTACTGATTGTGAATGTGCAGTTCCTGATTGAGCGAAATTTTGGCATCCTCGTAGTACACCGGATGAACGTGGAGCACGGAGCAATGAGCACGCAAGACGGAATGCTCCTCTACCGTCTGTGCCCACCGGCTGCTAGAGCAGGCTCGTCGTCCGTTTATCGCGAAAAATCACACACAAGGGAGGGTTACGTGTACGATTTTAACACAAACAGGAGATGACATATTATTACTTTTACGGTTTACCACTCAATGGGTTGGGACTTGATCGGTGCGTCGAAAAACGCTGGCAGCTTGGCGATTTCCACCTCCTCGCTTGTAAACGCGGGGTGGGCGTCGTATGTAAGGAATCCAGTTCCATCATAGCATCCAACGTACTCCGCGTCCATCTCTTCACCCTTCAACACTGCCACATCAACCCAGAGCAGCAAATCACCACCCTCCATAACTCCACCAGGCCCATATGCACCGAAAAAGTCGCGTCTGAGCTTAACGTGAACCTTATCCGTTCTGCCGATGTGTTCCATTTTGGAAAGGTCAAGCCAAAAGAGAATCTGAGCTTGACGAATGTAGTCCAAGCCGGGGAAGATTCCGTTGCCGTGGCCATTTGTCAAAGTTCCGTTGGTGCCATTCGTACCATTCGTGCCGTTGGTTGAGGCGCCGTTGACAGCGCTTTTCGTGGCACCGGGTTGCTTATCTCCCGCGAAGGCGTGGCAGGCCCTTGAAGAAACCATCCCGCCGGCGGGACCAGCGTTCATGACATTGGTGACCCATTGCTTGGTCAGACCGTCGAAGTTCTCGTTCCAGTATTCGCGCTCGTTTTCATTCATGGCACTGTAGTCTTGGCCCTCAACAACGAAGGAGATGTTGTCAGGGAACTTGGACACTCTGACTCTTCCGGAGCGGATCTTGTCCGTCAAGGGACGAGCCTCGGGCACTGCAGGCAGAGGAGACTCGAACTTGTCTTCCGGTCCCTCAGGGGTCATACGCGAGCGGTAGGCGCCCCAGTATTCCGTTTTCGAAGTGAGGGGGATCAGCTCTCCGCAGTGGCCGAAACCAGAAGGCTTCTCCTTGTTGGATTCGTACATTGATCTGGTGGCGGGCAAGCTCACAGTCTCTCTCCAGAAACCAGCGTTCTCCGGGAGAGCGGCCCAGAAGGCGGAAGTTTCAGGGCTTTCCCACCATGCCTTGAAAACCTGGGGAGACTTCCAGTAGCTCATCCAGACCTTGGAGGGGAGGTCATTTTGCTCGAGCTCTTCGACATGAATCGCGGCCGCCTTGATGAGTGCATCAAACTTGTTGATGAGAGCCAGCTTCTCCGATGAAGGTGAGTCGGCGTGATACTGGCATCCGAAGATTGACACAGTGAAGTGATGGGCTGAAGGGAAACGAGATCGAAGCATTTTGAAAATCTGCACAAGAACGATATGTTAGTGACTGAGGAGAAAATGAGGCGGCAATGAAGCCGAATGAAGGACCCTCGAGCCTTTATAGCGTAGCATAGCAATCATACTCTCTCCCACCACAACAAGGACAATTCGTAATGCAGATGTTCTCTCTGGGCAGCTTCTACCTCCAGCAGCTCTAAGCAGATCCAGCCATCCGTGCGTCGAACACCCCCCTTCTCATTCCCAATACGCGCAACCCCAATGCATGGCCATGGCCCGAGATGGATCAAGATGGGGGTAGCAAATTGACATATGCAGGGTCGCAGTGTGGGCGGAGAGCGAAGGCCAATAGCAAGGGCAGAAGAAGGGGAGATCAAAGAGCTAGCCAAGGTCCTGGAACATCTTCACCGCCGATCAACAGCGGTGCAACATCTTCAAAATGAGAAGCGGAGGTGCGGGGCTCAGCCAGACTTGGACAACTGGGGTACACCGAGTTCTGCATTGTTCTCCATCTCAAAAAATTCCCATCATCGAGAGTCCTAGTTGCCGAACACTCAACCCCAGGGCAAGGTTATATTAGGCGACGCTCGGATCCCACTTCCTAAAGGGGATTTCCCTGCAACGTTTTCTGTCAAGTTACGACATTTCATCAAAACAGCCTCACTTGACCGGGAAATAGAACCCGCTGAATCATTAAGTCTCCGACAAGCCTGTCATCTTGTCGACCCTACAAAGTGCGAGGAGGCGGTTTTGCGGAGATAGCTTATCCAACAAAAGAAGCGTATGTACTCCGTGCTCCGTATCTTAGTTTGAATTCTGTCGTATGGTCACAATGTGGGCATCGTGATGTGTGATAGAGAACGGTTATCCATTGAAGGTAGAGAATAGGTACGAGGCTCGCTCTGAAATAATGATGATGATGATGATGATGTATTTAACGTCTGGTAACAAAAGGACGTGCCGGGCGCTACCGCTCTGAAATAGGTGATGCGAGCGAGTGTGGGCCTCGGTGATTATGTAGCCGAGGTCACGTGACGGGCAGTGAGGCCACAGATGGTTGAAGCCATCACGACAAATTCCAAATCCTTTGTAACTCAAGAGGGCTGGCCGTAGAAGACACGAGGAAGCCCTATTGACTCTGCCATATATCTTGGAAAGTAATGTGGAGGTTTCTTCCCCTGATTTATCCCATCAAGTAACTTACTAGATGGAGTCAATACACATCCATATGCTTCCATAAGGGGCAGTAACAAGTTAAGCTACATCAACAGACTGCATCGCGAAATTCTGGCGAACTTTATGGGAGACCTTCGATCCATTCGATAATGCCAAATTAAAGGCTTTACTTATGAGAAATGGCTAATTGACGTGATCGCAAAGCTGCAGGACAAGCTATCCGGGGGTTTGAAGTGACGTATCATGAAAGGGATGCATGTGAAACACAATGTTGGAGGCCTTCACGAATGCCACCCGTGACGACGTAGCAGTCAATCGCATCGCCTCTACTAAGACCAATTGCCGTCGGTATGCCCGGATACCTCATCTGCCGGACATTCACGTGGTTTCAGCACGCCAAGGATGAGTGAGAAGTGATAGTGGCCTTCCAGCTTCGCGGGCGGCAGCTGTGAGAGCAGCGAATCAACTTCAAGACCTCACCTCCAGAACACTTTCTAAGAATAGGTGCCGATGGAATTGACTGTAATTTTCTTTCTACTTGATATTTTTTGCTGTATCTGTAGTTGCATTTGAATACCGATGCAGCATCCTCATCCGAAGGGGGCTGTGATACTTGTGTTGGTATCCCTATCACAGGGTATTGGTTGATTCTGCATAAGGAGTAGAAGGGAGATTCCAACCGGAGGTTGGGTGGACCGTCGAGGTGTAATTGTACCCTCTCGAGGTGGCCCCTGCTCTACCCTTACTCACGGTCGAATTGGGCTTCCAATCCGACAGCTTGAGAAGCGCAATATATCGGGCTTGGCAAGGGAAGCCTGATGAACAATAATACCAATTCTAGCTTGTTAGGCGTTTCAAGAAGGAAATGGTAGTATCAATCCGGTGATGAGAGCAACTAAGGAGTTGCATCTCTAATGACGTTGTACAAGTTGGATAAGCTTAAAATCAACCACGAACCAAACCTGTGTGAATCTTCAATTCTCTGGGACAAGCGTATAAACTTAGTTCACAGATACCAGCCCAGTGGAACGATCTAGCACGAGCAGGCAATCATGCTCGTCAGCCTACGATTCTGCTTGTCGGCGTTTCTTGCCTTGTACGTCACCACTGCGAACTCACTACCCTTCCATTTCAGTCTCGCCCCAATCACAAAACACCTACCGACTATATCGCCACGCCAAGTAGGCAACGGTGTCAATGGCAACCAGACCGGTAACTCGGGATCAATCAGCTCCGGGGGAATCGGCGATGGAAACGGCGTTGGGTTCGCTGGCACAGGAAACGAGACGGAGATGAGCATCAACATTAATTTACGTGTCATGGTTGAAGATGGTCGGGTCAGCGTTGGAGTTGTATAATGCTGTCATCCATGAGCTCTTTGATGAGCACCTTTTCTCCAATGAAAGAATGCCATTCAAATCACAAACTTCACAACCGATTAAAAGCCAAGAATAGCTCGATATTCCATATGATGTCGAATGCAACAATAGTAGCTCACACCCGTGCCCAAATTCACATTCAACCTTTTTCTCCAACCTCTAGCAAGTAATTGGTCTCGGTCCAGGAGCGGAGTACGCCTTGCCGCCATTGTTCGGAAGACCACCAGTGCCATAGATGTTGATGAAGATCGATGGATCACTCTGCTGATACGCGCCCGGGAAGCTCACAGGCGAGTCAGGCGAAAAGCTCCCAACGCCCGTGACCTTGATGTTCGCACACGAAATATAGAACTGCGCGCCTTTCACCTGATGAGCAGAATGAAGAGCCAGCAACTCAACGCGCAGCAAGTACTCCCCAGGCGCAATGCACTGCGGCAAGTTGAAGTAGCTCCAGCCCCCATTGTTAATCATCTTATCGACGCCCCATAACCCAGAGCTCGTGTCGAGGTTTTCCTCGGCGACCTTGAACCATTGAAGCCCTGTTATCCCGGTGCTGGAAGCACTGGGGACTTTGGCGAGCCAGGCGGTGATGGGGCCCTTGTGGGACTTTGCAATTGGGTTGTCTGGGTCGCCGGGGTACTGGGCGCCTCCGATGACGTGCTGCCACCAGGAGCCGATCTTGTCTCCGGGTGCGACGGTGATGACTTCTTGGGAGGAGGTTGCGACTTTCCCGCAGATGATGTCTTGGGAGGTTACGTCTTCGGTTGGGTTGTTTTGGTTCGGTGCTCTGAGACCTGCTAGGGAGCCGTACTCTTTGCCATTCACGGACACTTTCTGTGTAGTAGTCGAAGGTCAGTCTCGGGATTTGACGAAGGTTGCCTTGGGAGACTTACCTGGAAGATACAATGTCCATGAGCAAGGGCAGCGCAGGCCGCTACTAAGACAACTGAGACCTTCATGGCAACAGTCTGTGTACGAAAGACTGAGCAGATCAAAGGCGATTTGCAGGAGCTTCAAACAATGGAGAGTAGCTACGGTGGCCGAACGAACACATCCCACAAGTATTGCATTCTGAACCCCATGAGGACATCGCTTGTTCTTGTACACAATACTCTGCAGACATTGGGGCTTCAGAGCATGCTGCGGCAACACGTCCGGGGCCAAGAAGGCGATCCGGCCCGGTATCGTCAGCACGGCAAGTAAAACTCGGAGGATGAGCGAGGGGTTCCTTAGGTTACTTAATTACTAATATATCGGCCGTATTGTGTGGACTGCAGACCGAGTGGTGATCACACTCTGTGTTGCTCGCTTACTGGTCTCAGCGGAGGACTGGTTCCGTTTAACAGTAATACCAATTTAGGCAGAATTCGTGTCAGCCACGGAACAGTATAAGAGCAAATGAATCGGACGGAAAGAAATCGTTATGTAGTCTTCGGGAATATCAAGCGTAGTCGATGAAAGGATTTGCCTATGCATCTAGATTCCTAACATTCTTCTGGCCCCTCACCACAAACACAGGACATCTAGTTCAGGGAAGTAGTTGTGTTATTGCCTATTCCCAACACCTGGTGTTTTCGTGAATGCGACGCTGCTCGCTTTGAAATCACATTGCCCCGCCTTCCAATTTCGTTACCTGGTCAATGAGGTCGACGACCGTTTGATCAAAAGTTCGGTACTCGAAGCCAAGCTCTCTCGCCGCCGTTTCCCCATCAAGCCCATGCGAAGCGTCGATCACTTGTTCTTCCAGCGCAACTTTGCCCTTGGCCCAATCAAACTTCTCCTCGATGATCTTGGCGGCCAAACCATATGAGAATCGATCTTTGGCCGCCGGGACGAATCTCCTGTTGCCCACTTCTGATCTGAAGAGCGCTTCCACATGCGCCATAGCAAGATCTCTGACATCGATCCAGAATGGCACGCGAGCAACAGGCAGGGGCTTCTGTCCACATGCAACCTTCCACAGCATTGCGTTTGACTCGTTCAGTTCATCGACGCTGCTTACGGGGTGAACCACTGGGCCAAAGGTCATCGGCGGGCACAGCGTTACAATATCGAAGCGAGGGCTGTGCTCCTTGATGAAGTCCCATGCCGCCCTTTCTGCGAATTTCTTGGAACCTCGGTAGGCGACCACGGCGCTTATCTCCGGAGATGCAGCCTCTTCGTAGGTCAGGGGGTTCCAATCTTCACCCGTGTATGTGAAGTATGGTGGCGCCTTGCGGTTGACGTCGAGGACGGATGCGAAGGAGGAAGTGATGACCACTCGAGTGATTTTGGGGTTGGTAGCAGCTGCTTCCAGGATAGACCGCACGCCGTTGATGGCTGGTATGATTAGTTCTTTCTCGTTGTTCATGGTGTCGTAGGTGAAAGGCTACCGTGCACAGAACGATTAGCAAGAACTCTGAGATGGTGGTCTCTGTCGATTACGGAGAATCCTAACATACACTAGCAACGTGGACCACAGCGTCGACATCTTTGATGGCCTCGGAGAAGACACCAAGATTCTCAAAGTCGTCAATTTGGATGAAGTCGAGCTTGCCGGCGTACTCGGGCCGAGCCTTTATCATGGAATCCCCTTTCGCGAGAGATCGGGTAGCGCCGCGGACCCTGAGCCCCCGGGACAGGAGAACATCTACGACGTGCGCCCCGATGAACCCTGTAGCGCCGGTGACTAAGACATGGCTCCTGTAATGTGGTGAATTTGGGCACTCCATACTCTTGGCGGGATTCCGAAGCATATGTACGGATACTCACGGTATGGTCGACATGTCGGATGCCAGGAAGCTCAAAGCAGGGGGCCGGGGGCCTGTTGAGAAAAAGGATGAGGCGCGTGAGCTGGGCCTAGGTCGTAGATTAGTTAGAGCCTCTTCTGACAGGCGTGGTAAGGAGATTGATGTAAATCAAATAATAGTTGGTGGTGTGAGTTGCCACCCAGTGTCCTCGGCGAGGTGGAAAATGCCCCTCACTCTTCGGCCGGTTTTACCCCGACTTGGCGCCGGCCTTTGCAATGACAGGGGACATGGCCCGGGGTGTTTGGTACCACTCGTCGCACCGTAATTCGCAAGCTGCTCTTTTCAAAGTAATAAGTGGAGGTTTAGCAGAACGATTAATTGACCGTAAAAAAGATGTCGTTTGGGTTTGGAGCAGCAATGCCCGGATTCTCTAGAGCGCTTCCTTCCGTCCTTCTCGACCACCAGTGCGAACAAGGGTACTTGCCTTGGTCCCATAATACTTGCCAGCTGTCAGCTGTGCCAACCACTGCCAAGGTCAGATTACCAGACACTGCCAGCCCGAACCTAAGTCAACATACAAAATAAGGCAATAAGCCTGAGATGCACGAAGTGGCCTCGCATGTATTCCCTAAATCGTGGAGAATATGGATTTGAAGAATGGGTTGTAGTATCTCGCCGGCCTACCTCATCTTAGGTGCACCCGAAGGCCCCGAGGAAGACCTGTCCAGATACCGCAACATACCTTCAGGATCAAACTTCTACACACCAAAAGATGACCATAACAATTGAACACGTCCTGAAAAAAAAGGGGGTCTGAAAGCTCAACTGAATCTTAGAAAAGTTTCCTAGGCTAGATTAAATTGTCCCAAGTCTTCATCATGAGGGCGACCAGAGATGAGGTAAGGTACCTGAGAAAGGTACGATCGATCCGTCGGGAGTGCAGACGGGAGTGTGGGACCCTCTGATCCGCACGTGCATCAGCCCCACCCCCACGCGTCTCTGGCCAACGGGAATCGACAAGTGACATTCAATTCAACGTCTTGTAAACATTAAAATGCACTCGGACGAATAACTCCTTCGCCTGTTGGGAACCCACGGCATGATGGCATTGAAATTTCCTATCAAACACTCCAATCCTATCGTCGTTCTTGTTGAGTACCGCAGGGTAAACCCACATGGTGGCTAGTGAGAGACGTGGAAAAAAGAAATAGGGGGCGTTAGTTGACGGGAGCAAGTGAGAAACGAGGTTTCAGGCGGACGAAGAAAGCTCATGAGATATGGCTTAGAAGAACATGAAGCCTTTCATTTCGTAGAGGTGACCAGATTCCCCTACGATGGTGAGGTTTACCCCTGTACGGGGTACTCAGATATGGAAGCGAGGAGGTCGCTGAAGGCTCACTGGCGTCTATTCGGCGCCCAGATCTTTGAGGATAATGCACATCTGTCAAAGAAGCCTTGTTACCTTTTTGTCATAATGACCAAGTTAGTTGGGCTATCTTAGGAGGAGATGCTTAAGTTTCCATCTCTCATGGCGCCTTGAGCCATATGGCGTGGACCTGTCTGTTAAGGTAAGGTGGGTCCCACCGAGCAATTATTTTGCGGGAAGGAGGCATCTCAACGGCTACTGTGTCAGCGCCTTCCCCCTTCGCACGTCAGAATCAACGGTATACGTACCAATATCTCATCCGATGGAGAGAAGGCCTCTAATACCCCCTCAGCTCCGTTTCTGTTACCAGCACAGCAGGCGACTCCTAGGCCGGGGTTCAGGTCAAACTGTGGCGTGGTGGTGGAATGGTTAATGGTCAACAATCAATTCGCCAACCAGCCTACTCGACGACAGGCTTAGCGCATACGAGAGTCCCCGAGTTCGAATCCCAGCATGAGCACCAGAGATGTAGCCCCCAGTTCAGTACCGGGGGGGTGAACTCTTTTGCCATTGAGGTCTTTCTTTTGATGCCAACTTGCTTTTTTACATAAATTGCACTGTGGTTCTCTGACCTGAAGTGCGTTTTGATGAGCTGAAGATGTTCTCAATGCGCATTGTACGTGTTATGCCTCTAAGAATCGTGAGGATTCATCAGGAAGAAGCGTCAAATTGTACTCAAGGTACCTCAGGCCATAATCTTCTGCTCCTTCCTCTCTTTCCTTTCCTTCCCCTATGGCTCCTTCCTACCTTGCCGTTCCATTCCTTCGTCACGTGCGGCGGTCTAACTTAGGTAGGTAGGTACCGGACCTTATTTGGTGAGACGGCAGTGTGATGCCCCACATCATCTTAGTTGGGTGAGAATTGACCACATCCTTCACCTCACCCATGTCTCCTCGTTGCACTCACCTCGGACTGCATTCAGACACTTTCGACCAGTACACACTAGAACTCCTTATTTTCATCACACTTTCATCGTCAATCACTCTGCGGTTTAAATCGAACCAGCAACGTATTCGCCTCGCAAGGACTGCCTGCGCAAAATGGGATCGAAAAACAAAACCGCGTCTGACATCCACGATGACCTCGGGCCTCAGCCGTGCAAGAAGAAGGCCCGAGTCCACAGCCCCAACAAGACCTGGCAGCGTGGTCCTCACAGTCCCAATCACTCAAAGTCCCTGGCCAACGCCGATGAGCGCACTCTGCACTGTCAGACGAAGGAGTCCAAGCAGGGCCGCAAGAGAGACGGCTTCAAGCCCAGAGAGGACCGAGTATGATGATTTCCCATTTTATTTTCTCATTAACATTGCAGACTGCCACAAAAACTGCAAATGCGACTTAAGCTGACTGGCGGGAAATCTACTAGGACCAGCTGAAGCTCCCCAAGCTGGTTTCATTCAAGCCCGACAATGAGAATCTACCAAGCATTGCCGACGAAGCCGCCTACGACGCAGATGACGAAAGCGACATCAAGTACATGACAGCTGACAGCTACTATCAGATCGAAAGGGCTCAGCGCATGAATTGTGACCGCTGCCGCCAGGCAGAGACGGATCTCAATCACCAGGCTCCATCCCGACAGACCCTTGGCTCAATCATGGATTGGGAACCTTTCCTCGACCCCCTGCCGACCATTCAAGAAGAGTCTTGGATTTCTGGGTATTCTGTGGCGGACGACCGGGTCTGGTCTAATCATAACAACATATTACACGGCTTTCGCTTCAACTAGTTTGGACCTCTCACCACCAATTATAAGCCCTGCCAGAGTCATTGTGCCCAGATATTTTCAACAGTACAGGCTTCAGGATGGTGGTTTCACCTTGGGATTGGAAGACAAGGGTTCACAAGTGACAGGCCTTTGGGATTGGCAATGTCATACTATGGCTTTCGTCCACTGTGGTAATACATATATTTACCTGCCCAGTTGGAGATGTTCACGAGCACTTGTGTAAGCGTCATTGGCACTGGGACTTTGGACAACGGCAGCGTTGTATTCATTTATTCCCTAAGGGGAAGGTGGAAACCTTGTATCTCCCAAAGAATGGGTTGCTTTACCTTAGGCATAGTACTTCTCGTCAATCGAACATAGGAGTAAAGGTGCCTTTGCCAGTGAGATTAGAAGAGAGGGATGTCACTTGCAGTGCATCATCACTAAGAGAGCGTTGAACCATGGAAGGTAGGGAGTCAGCTGGATCTACCCTAAACAATACCTCCAAGCTCTTTCATATCTTCCGACCCGACCACAACCCAACACCACTCGCTCGCCTTCTTCGCCTTTTCAGAACCGACCTGTAGCGCCGCTTGCGTGATGAACTTCTCCGTCAGTTGGTCATCAGACATGAGCACCTCGACGCTCCCGAGGGCATGATCGACGTGCTTCTCAATTGGCTCCTCCCTACCGCGAAATCTAACCACCAAATGGCACTCATCGGCCCTCATAGACTCATCCACAATGGCGGAGAAGCGGTCTCTCAAGCCGACAACAGGAGCGCTGGTGACAAGCGCGTCCTCATATTCAACCACAGTCGCCCTCCCGAATAGCAGCCCGACCGCGCCGCCATGATAGACACTGAACTTGGCCTCTAGCCCGTCCTTTGGTGTTTTCTTACCCGTGAGCTCCAGTACGAGAGGATGAACAGCGACATCGACACTCGCAATTTCCTCCACGGAAATCCCTCGTCTCTTTAATTCTTGATGAAGCCATACCGCGCCCGTGATGACCGGATGAATAACAATCCCACACGGATAAGGCTTGAACGAATTCTTCTCAATCTCCCACTTCTCTTGTCCTTGCCCAAGACTCTGAATAACCTCATCCAAGGTTTCCTTCGTGCTAACGACCTTGGTCCACCCGCGTCCAGCTTCCAGCGCCTTAGGCGAACTCGTGAACCCTTCGGCAGCTAGGACCGCAGCAAGCAGCCCGTTTTGAGCGGCGCGTCCGACGTGGAAGGATTTCGTGTCTGAGCCAAACATTTCACGGAGGCCCGTGACTTGCGTTGCGGCGATGCCGATGGCGTGGGCTGTTTTATCCGCTGGGAGAGCGAGGAGTTTTGCGATGGCGGCGGCGGCGCCGATGGAGCCTGTTGTACTTGTGATGTGCCTTTAAAAGAGGTGTTAGCCTCCGCAGTGGTCTTTAAGTAGAAAGAGTGGGAGAGTGGTACCATCCGATGTCGTAGTGTTCCGGGTACACGGCCATGGCGACTTTACACTCGACCTCGATGCCAGCGACTAACGCGGTGATGAATTCTTTCCCCGTGACTGGGCGCTGCAGCGTCTCCGCGAAGCTCAGCAGCGCTGATGCAACGCACCCAGTCGGGTGGACAATCGTCTCGAGATGGGTATCATCATAATCATGAACGTGCGAGGCAATGCCGTTGATGAGAGCAGCGTGCTGCGCATCGATCCGACGATCGGATCCTAGCAGCGAGGAAGTTTCTTTCCCAAAAAAGGCCGACAGGGCTTTGTATGCGGTCAATGTCGTCGGATGCGAGCTTCCGCCGATGGCGCAGCCGACCCAGTTGTAGAAAGAGCGTACGGCTGCTTCTACTACGCCTTGGGGTAGGTCGTCGTATGTGAGTGAGGTTATCCACGTTGCGGTGCTGAGGGTTGCCATGATGACGTCATTCGGCTCGGGAGTATGTTGTCTTGCGGCTCGATGTGCTCTGGTTGACGCTTGATGCTTTCATGATTTTATAATCGTGAATGGAGGGTTGTTCATCGTAGCGAGGTCGGCTGCGCAGAGGAGCTCCGGCAATTAAGGCGCGGATGTGTGTGCCGTGTTATTGCCGGCTACGACACCACGACACCACGACACCACGACACCACATCGTCGGAAGAATTAGGGCGGCGATGCAAGTAAAAAGTATCGCACACAAATATGGTCAAATCAGTGGATCTTTCTACAGCCCACCGGTATCAACTTAGTCAAAACCCTATCGAATCGTCAGAAAAGATCAAATGATATCAATGTCTAATCGCCATTCAAAAACAGCCATTAGTTATGTTGCCGAGTTGTGCCACAGAGTATATCTTGGCGGTATCGCAATAAGCGACCGAGGCGTGCAACCCTCGCTTATTTGCGGCTACCGGCCCAGTTGAGATAAAGCTACCGCCTTACAAACATTCCAAACAAGGTCCAGGGACCTGGTGGTTGGATACTTCGTCTTTGTTAAAGGAAAAACGTGACATGCATCTCCCTCGATCGCGGGAAGCCTGATGGTCATTCCAAGCTATCATTGGGGACTTTTTGTTTGTTGGTGCACTGTGTTTGATCTTTCAGCCTTGAATTTCTTCACCGCCCACCACACCAGGACTGCTGGCGCCTTATTATTGACCAAAGGGACGAGAAGCATGAATAAACATTAGGTGGTGCGGGAAAAGGGCTAATGGGTGAACTGTTCCAATGCTCTGCCTCTGGCATGTCCTGCGCTTGGCTGGGCGGTAAGATCGTGAAGGGGCTAAAAGAAGACTGTTCGTACATGACTGGGTGTCCTTAATGGAGGATGGCAACGGGTTTGGTAGCCTCAAGCGGCATACGTATTGCCTCAAAAGATGTATAAGAACTCACTGCGAGTAATGGCTACATGCAAGGTAGATACAGCATCACTCGGATCGATACCGTCTCCAAGAACAACACTGTGAAACGATCAGTCGAAGCCTCACTATTCCAGTTACGAAGCAGCAGGTTGACTACAAACATGGCAGATGGTCGCGGTGATTCGGAACGCGATGGAAATTCCGACCCCTACCGGGGTTCTGATCCGCTGTACTCTAAGCTTCCTCCATGATCGCGAGAGCAGCGACGTCAGTCTCAGGGAGAGTCCGATCGCTTGAGAGCAGAGGTTAGGAGAACTGTGAGTTGTTCTCGAATTCACTCCACCGCCCCAACATACCTACAATGTTGCAAACTACCAGCATGTAGGATAATTATCACCCTGTCTTTGCTCTTTTTGTACGAGTTTTTGACATTTGTTGATTTGAGTGATGGCGACTGACTGTCCCACAGACCGAGGAGAGTGCAATTCAGGCGGAACTCAGGGAGGCACGTTTCTGCTCAGGCCATAGAGGAGGGCAGTGGATCCGAGGGCGAAAATGCAGCCATCGGAATGGTCAATGAACTACGCAGGCGGGAGCATCAACAGCAGCAGCAGAGTCAAGAGCCTCAACAAGACCCGGAGTCTGAAGAAATTTCGGTGGCCTCCGACTCCGAAGATTACGATTCCTATAGCAATGAAGAGAAGAGCAAGGGATCCGGGTCCGGTTCCGACGCTGAACAGGCGGGTGGCCAAGGGAGTAGCACTAAGCGAGCACCTGGGTCCGACGTCGATGATTCCGATGACCATAAACGGCTGAGAGCTTCGTCACAGTGAATCAATGGCATAATTGAGAATACAACCCTATGGCAGGCAATCTGCAAATGGAATCAATAAGACTTCGTATCTCACATAGCAAGCGATAGGCTTCACGAGTTCATATCAGAAGTCACTTGAGAACAATCGGGTCCTTGGTGACCGGTACAGGTAGTGATCCATGCACTCTCTCGCTGTGAAAGTTTTGTATGCCTAGAGGGTGATGTAGAACCGTCCCGAGTAATTCAAGTATGGTCGGTATCCGAAACCCGGTAACACGAATCTAAGCAACATGTATCTACCAGGTTGTTCTCCTTTGGGGATAAGGTCCATAGGCCCTCTCAAGAATAGTCGTCCGGTCGTCGGCCATTGACAAACTTCCAAAGCCGGCTGACCTCATAGACCTTGGGCCCTTCGCTAACACCATTGAGCTGGTGGTGGGCAGTACCGTCAACCCCATTCGTGAGGTTGCGCTGCTCATCAATCTTCCAGGGATCATTGCGAACGTTCGTGCGGGACGCCATGAAGGTGCCCGGGAGAGGAGAGCCATCTCCATTCGTCTGGACCTTGCTGAGATTGTTGTCCAGAGGGAAAATGTTGTCAAGATAGTGCTGGTTGAATTGGTGACCGGAGCCGGTGCGCTCAATGAGTGCTCCCTCGAACTCATTCCAATCTGCGCTGAGGTGGTTGGCCTGTTTCGGCTCCGTCTTGCCCACGGCCTTGATGACTTCCGTCTTCTTGTTGACGGAGATGAGACCGGCAATTTCACCGAGACCAAGAAAGCGTCCATCTCTCTTGGCAGTCTTCTTCTTGAAGTGGAGGACTCCCCACCGAGAAACAAAATCTTTCGAGTTGGCGTAGTGCTCAATGTGGCGGATGGCGCGGCCCTTGGGCCTGGGAATCCCGTGTTCCCTCTTGGTGCGGGGGTTGTTGAAGTGGTTTGCGGCGTTGCCAAAGGTGTAAATTTCGAGTTTTTGGAGAACTTCGCGGGGGTGCTGGTTGATGAGCCAGTCGAGGATAACGCTTCCCTCAAGTCCGCCCTGTGAGTGGAGAATAAGGATGACTTTCTTCTTGTCTTGGTTGAGCAGAGCAGTAGAGATGTGCGAGAAGCAGACTCTGGTGTCGGTGGTACCGAAGTAGAGGCAGCGCTCAAGGAGGCATTGGATTACATCAAAGATAATTCCGGCACTAGGAAGGGAGATCAGTGTGATCCCTGATATTGAGGAGATAATATTCACTCACGTCTTGTTGTGAACACCTTTGACTCTTCGATGGAAGGTGACGGAAATCCGGTCAATGTTGCTTTGGAGCCAGTTCTTGCTATAGATGTATGTTGAGTCCATGCGACGAGTGTGTTGAGATGCGTTATTCTTACCCGACAGCAACACCGTTGAGGAAAATCCATTCTTCTTCAGGGTGGTTTCGCTCCCATTCTCTCGCCAAGGGACTATCAGCTGACCAAATGAATCCTTCAGGCATCCACCCATTGAGCCCGATGCATGCTAAATAGTTGATGCCAACAAAAAGACCAACGTAGGCAACAAAGATGTTAAAAGAGAAGAAAGAGAGGAAAGGCAGAGAGATCAAGAAAGCGGATTGAGTGACGATGAGGATGGAGTGGAAAGTGATGTCACGAATGTTGTTCCATGAGGGGTAAAGCTCGTCCATGGGACCGGAGTGGAAGTAGCGCTGAGCCCATGCTTCGAATCGACGATGGAGCTGGCTCACGAGAAATCGAGGTTGCTCTTTGAATCGGTTGTCGACTCCGAGGTTGAAAGAGCGAGCCGGGGGCTGCGACCAGAGCGGCAACACAATGCATGGTAGGAAAGCGATGTTCTTGAGGAACAGGAGCAAATCGCTTGCAAGGAGTGTCCATGGCGCGCCGGTGTAGTAGTACGGCTGCTTGAGGAAGGGGTCGGTGCCGTTCCATGTTACGTCTGCTCCGCGGCTCTCTTTTCGGAGACGGATATCCGAGCCGGTCCGGACTTCGAGCTTCTTCTCGTTGACATCCTTCGGAAGGGAGTAAGTTACTTCGACTGCTGCCATCTTTGGAGGTACATGCAGCAAACAGCCTGGGCGAAATGAATGGTCGATAGGAAGGCTAACAGGTAATCGCCCAGATGGCTGGATGAAATACTGGTTTTAACTCTCTTAGAAGATGACGAAAACCCTGATGAAGCTTCAACTTTTGCGATTGTTGAGCCCTTTTTGGTGCCTTGAAATGCCAGACGTGATGGCCACCAGGGAGGAATTTCAGGCAAACCTTGATGTCTTACTATCACATGCTAGAAATATCAAGTGCTTTCACGTGTCGTATCCGTAACCTTGATGCTTTTGATATTGATCGAATGATTGAGGCTGAAGAGGAGTGAGATTCGTGCTTGCATGAGGGCAGGGCTGGAAGAGAGTTTCCACCACATTTCTGCCAGCGATGATTCCCAACAGCTGGAGCAGTGTTGGACCGAAGATGGCACATAATGGCTTCCTGACCCCGAATTTCATGCAAATTTGAGCGCCCCAGGGCTGAGAGCTGGTATGTTGAACATCCCTTGAATTGACCCCCCGAGACAATTGCAAAGCCAGCACCAACGAGCTGAAAGCTAGCAGACGATCCCAAATGCCCTGTCTGAGACATCTTTTTGGAGCTGTGAAGCTCGGAGCTATCTCCACCTGCATGCTGCCCCTTCCGTTTACGCACGCTTTACGCATGCTTTTTGAAGAATGGCTACCTGGTTCCGCTTTCGACCCGGTTGCGGGCCGCTAGACTTCCCGTGTGCCTGCATGCGTTCTCATGCCCTGGACTTTCTAGATGATAAGCATCCGACGGCCAATCGGGTCAACCCAGAAGTGTGATTCTCCGAGCGAACTCAAGAGCATGCAATGTTTTGCAGGTTCATCGTACCCTTCTTTTCACTCAGATAATTAGAGAGAAGTAAGCGTGCCGTCTAAGTTGCCCGTTGAACCACCTCGACACCCTAGTGAGACTCTCGGCGGGAAACCTACCAATGATCAGACCTGCTGGGCCGAAGTCGCATCATACTCGGAATCAGGATGAACCGAGATGCAGAGTCCTCGTTGAAATTCGATCTTCTGCGGCATTCCCTATCGCGGCTGCGCCCTCCCGGTGGAGATTGCCCTGCATATGGTGGTATTTAACTAGCGTGTAAACCGACAGAAGCTCACTCAGGATGTCAGCGGGAAAATCATTATTACAAAAGTCGAATTCAATGTCGTCGACTAGTTCCAGTGAACATGAAATGACCTCCCTCCGCCATGTCATACACGGCTATCAAACTCCAGCTTTGAGGCTTTGAATGACAGTCAAGTCTCTCAACTATAGCATTACTGAGTACTTTATATGTCCAACAAACATTGTCACTTGGCTGACTTGCCATTTACGACGCACATACCAACTCTGATGAGTGTCTTGAAAGAACCAAGCAAGCCACATCGAAAGTCTTCATATACTTGTTTACATCCTTGACGACGACTCTCACTCCAACAACTTACGGACATAAGGCCAGTTTCCCCATCAACGACCAGCACGAAATGTCTCTCGGATGATTGCGAACATTCTCCCGTCACAGCCGAGTGAGACCATCCGCATCCGGTCATATCATGAGAAGATGGAGGCATTCAATGTTTTGACTGTTAGGAAAGCATGTGAAAACTTGCGAAGACCCTGTTCACCGTTGAGAGGAGGGATTGTACACTGGCTCTCGTCGATGGGAATGTATTGACTGTCCTTGCCGGTCTGGGGAAGCCGCTGCGGCCCGAGGCTACCTGCCGGCGCTTGTCCATATAAGAAGAAGCCATCATCCACCAGGCGGTCAATGAGAACATTTGTTGGTTATCCGACTCTTCCTTCTCTCATTTAGAAGAGCGGCAAATGGGAATTCTTAGTGCTCTTCAACGACAAGAAGCTGCTGTCACGAACATAATCGCGATGGAGGGCACCGCGGAGCCCAACGGTTACGACCACCAACAGACCAACGGTCACAACGGCGAGTCCAACGGTCGCACCGAGCCTGACTACAAAGAGTCTTTCGACACCCCCTATCAAGCCACGGAGACCCGTGAGGAATATCGTCAGGCCAACGACACATTTGACCCTATTACTGGCGCTTACCCCCGCATCTCCCGCCCCGTTGAGCTGATCCGCCCGTCCTATGACGTTGTTGTCATCGGCTCCGGATATGGTGGCGCGGTCGCCGCCAGCCGCATGGCACGTGGCAACAAGAAGGTTTGCTTGCTTGAGCGTGGCAAGGAGAAGTGGCCCGGCGAGTTCCCCTCTGAGATCATCCCGGCGGTGAAAGAGCTTCATACTACCAACGCGGCCACGGACGGTCTTCTCGGTGCTCTTGGAAAGTTGGGCACCGGTGGTGATCCGACCGGGCTTTACCATCTCATCGTCGGCGATGGCCAAAACGCCTTTGTTGGCAATGGCTTGGGCGGAACGAGTTTGCTCAACGCCAACGTCTTCCTCGAAGCAGATCAAGGGGTTCTCAACCTGCCTATTTGGCCCAAGGAGCTAGGCCCAGGGGTACTGAAGCCATGTAAGTTTCAGTCACTCTATCACAAATTAACTTCAAAAAGACCCTAACGTTTGCAATTCAGATTACAAGCGCGCCGCAGAGGTCCTGGAGCCTAAGAAGTATCCAAAGGACTTCCCCAAGCTGCACAAGCTGGAGACGCTAGAGAAGCAGGCCAAGCTCATGGGCTGGAGCGAGAAGTTCGACCGTGTACCTCAGACTACCCGCTTCGAGGACGGCGAGAACAGCACTGGTGTCTACATGCGTGCCTCTACACTGAGTGGACAAGACACTACCGGCCTCAACGATGGCAGCAAGTCCACGACGCTGGTGAACTATCTCAGTGATGCCTGGAACTGGGGTACCGAGATGTTCTGCCAGTGTGAGGTTCGGTATGTCACCAAGGCTAAGGATCGCGAGGGCTACATCGTGCACTTTGCGTGGCACGGTGGAAAACGCGCCAACTTCAAGGACCTCTTTTACGAGGATCTGATGTGGGTTCACGCCAAGGAGCTGGTTTTCTTCGGCGCTGGCAGCATCGGAACGACCGAGATCTTGCTCCGCAGTAAGCAGTTCGGCTTGGACATGAGCCCCGACGTGGGACACGGAATGAGTGGCAACGGTGACATTCTCGCCTTCGGGTAAGTCAGAGTTGTCTTTATCAAGCATGTGGTCTACTGACTCCAATATCAAGTTACAATACTAGCGAATATGTCAACGGCATGGGACGCGAAGACCCCCCACCAAACCGTCCTGTTGGGCCGTGCATTACGGGTATCATCGACTGCCGGACAGGTGTGGATAACCCACTGGATGGCTTTGTCGTCGAGGAGGGTGCTATTCCCGCCGCCCTTGCGCCCTTCTACCAGGCAATGCTCACTTATTTGCCTGGCAGAGTGTTCCCAGAGAACATTTCCATCAAGGGCGCTGTCGGTCACGTAACTTCTGCTGTTGGAAGCCGTTTCTTCGGACCCTACTTCCCCGATGGCAGCACTGAGAAGACGCAGTGCTACCTCATCATGTCTCACGACAGTAAGTCTTTTGAAATGCGCTTCGTAGTCACCGTTCTAACTAGGTCGTTCTAGGCAGTCAAGCTACCATGCAGCTTGACAAAGACAGACCTCTGATCAACTTCTCAGGCGTCGGCAAATCGCACAGAGCCAAGAAGCTGGCGGGCTACTTGGCCAAGCTGACCAACCTCATCGGCGGAATCTACGTCGACAGTCCATTCTATGCCGCATTTGGCGAGAAGGAGATCACCGTCCATGCCATGTGAGATGGCACTATTTCGTGCAAAGTTGGATTGTCTGCTAATGTTTGACTAGTGGTGGAGCTCGTATCAGCAACGACGGAACTGGAGCCAGTGGTGGTGTGAACCACAAGGGCCAATTGTTCAAGGGTGTTAAAGGCGACGTGCACGAGGGCTTGGTTGTTTGCGATGGTACCATTGTTCCTGCGGCTCTTGGTGTCAATCCGTTCGCGACAATCACCGCCCTTGCAGAGAGATCTGTGGAGCATATCGCCAACGACTTCCATATCGATGTCGATCTCAAGACCAAGAACGGTATGTACTCTTTAGTAAGAAGGGCTTTCAAGCTTGGACTAATTGACTCTAGGCTCTCTGAACTTGTTTGGCAAGCCTGCATACGACCCCTTCAAGGGCGAGCACCCGCCTGTGGATAGAGTCCAAGAGATCATCAAGACTGCTAGAGATGATATGACTCCTGGCATCGCCTTCACCGAGACTATGGACGGTTGGATCCACTTTGGAGAAGACTCCAAGACATTGGACTTCCAAAGGGCTACCTTGACTGCCAAGAGCCGCGGCGAATATGCTCGTTTCTTCCTCAGCGCCAGGTCATGGAACACCCACAACCGTGAGTGCTGATTAATCTCCCCCGACGACTTCCCTTTGCTGACATACCTGGTATTAGTTGTCCATGACAAGGAACACGAGGCCAATCTTACCGGTACCTTCACCTGCCCAGCTTTGGGTGGCACTTCCATGGTCCAGGGCGGCAAGTTCAACCTGTTCAATGACGACCCGAGATCGCCTGATACCACCAACCTGACTTACAACTTCCTCATCTCACAAAAGGATGGTAAGAAATTGCACTTCAACGGTTACAAGGTTGTCAACTCAGACGTCGTCTTCAATCCTCTCAACCTCTGGAAGGCCACGACCACTCTCTACTGCACCATTACTGAGGTTGACGAGCATGAGCAACCCGTACACAACAAGGTTCGCGGCAAGGGTGTCATCCACATCCGCCCGACTGCCTTCCTTCAAGAGTGCACCACCATGGAGGCAACCGGATCCAGCCTCTACGCCAAGATCTCTTCCACCGCCAACTTCCTCGGATATTTCACCGCCAAAGCGGCTGGTGCCTTCCTCACGCCCTTTATCCCTCAGATCTGGCCCAGCCTTCCCTTCAACAGCTACCAGAATCCCACACCCTGGTCTGACGAGATCACAGTCGAGGCCAACGACCGCGTCAAAACCAAGCTTTACATGTGGGAGCCGCAGACTGTTGGCGGCGATGCTAGCAATGCCCCGATTCTATTGTTCATCCCCGGCGCCGCCGTCGACCAGCAGATCTTTGCTTTGCCTACCATTGAAAAGAACGCGGTTAACTACTTCCGAGCCAAGGGATATCGCGTGTACTCCATGGTCCACCGCGTCGGCAAAACTATTGTTGCTCAACAGAATTGGACCACGTATGACGCCCGCCGTGATATCCAGGCGGCTCTCAAGAAGATTCGCAAGAGGCACGCCATCATTGACAGGCTGGATGGTAGCGGTCCCTCGACGACGACGTACGTCGTAGCACACTGTGCTGGATCTATCGCCCTTGCGTCAGGTCTGCTTGACGGAAGCATTCCGCGGCAATGGCTTAGCGGTGTCACCGCTTCCCAGGTCTTCATGAACCCCAAGTTCCCCAAGGTCAATCACGTCAAGGCTAGCCTCCCCATCTCCATGGCCAACATCTACAACCTCATTCAGGGCAAGTGGTTTGACTGCACCAGCACGCCTCGTGATGGATACATCCAGCAAGGTATCAACCAGTTGCTTCGCTTCTATCCCGTGGGTCACCGCAACGAGATTTGCAATTCCGTCGTCTGTCATCGCAGCTCCCTTGTTTTTGGCCGGTTAGTACCCACCACTTCTCCTCACACTCCTCTGTGACTAATATTTTCTAGGCTCTGGTCTCACAAGGGACTCAACGAGGCTACTCACTCTCAATTAGAGAACTTCATCGGTGGAGCCTCAATGGCGAACTTGAACCACCTGATGTACCAAGGCACTCACGGATTTGCGACCGACTCGCAGAATGAGAACCTTGTTACACCGCAGAACATTGCCCGCCTCAAGGGTCTGCCCATCTTCTTCTTTTCTGGATCTGAGAACGAAGTCTACGCGCCCGAGAACACCGACACGTCCTTTACCACCCTCACGGAGGCCAACGGCGGCGTCTGCTACGAGAGACAGGTGTTCCAGCACCGTGGCCACTTGGACGCCTGGATGAGCCCGACCGCCCACAAGGACATCTTCCCTCGTGTTGAGCAGCACATCCAGAACGTCATGCACGAGAAGTATTCGCGACTTGAAAAGTACACCTCAGGAAACCTTCTTGGGTTGAAGAAGTGATGAGCGGTTGCTATTTTTCGCCGCCGCGATCAAGCTGGTATTGAGAGGCGCACTCGGGATTTTTTTTCTTGAAGACGCTCGCCAGTTTGCCAAATGTGTTAAAAATTGGCTCCCAAATCTGGGTAATTTTTCTTTGTCAACCAAAATAACCACATGTCCCTTACCTAGGTACATACCAATAAATAATACCACAGTAGTACCAACTTGCCTTGTGCATCGCGAAAGCAACCCCGCTTCGGTCCTTTGTGGTTGTCCCGATTGCTTCTCCGTCAAGGCTCCCGGCTCCGCGAAGAGGTCGACGGCGAAATCCTGGATTCGCGACTAATAGGCTATCACCTGTCAATCTAACGCTCCTCGGACTTACGAACCACAAGGCAGAACACCGGAACCGGAATTGAAGAAGCGACTAATAATAAGCCTTTTAGCTGCCGGAGCAAGTCATCTTCGGCCTGCAGCAGATTGCGAAAGTCAAACAAACATCAGATAAGATTGGTCATCCCACACAGCCGTTTGCTCGTCTGTAGTCCCGACGAACGTTCCATGTGAGAATGAGCGTTACGTTTTACCCTTTTTGGTATCACCCTGGCACCGGAGCTTCTCAGCTCTCGTCGTATTATCAAACATGAACTTCCGTTTCTTGTTTGTGGGGAAATGCAGCCAAGAAGTCAATGGTGCTGGCATTCCTTGTCACCTGCGTGTCGGCACCCAAGTTGTGGGTTAAGTTACGGCAACAGAAGCTGGGAGAATTGGCATAGCAGTACCAGATCAGTTAGAATCCCATCGGAAGCCGGCACGAGCCGGCAGGAGAACTTGCCTAGACCCCCGGCCGGAAGTGATCCGGGAAGCATTCGCCTGGTGACAGCGGAGCAGCGGAGTGGGGCCGTGCGCAATCGGAGGCGGGGAGAAATCAGGCCGATGGATGGAGACCCGTAAACCCCGAGAGCCCGATGGCCGTGTGGACGAAAGCGGTTTCATACAAAGGATGAATGACGCATTGGATATAGCTGAGGGCGATGGTTGTGTGGCTTTCTGGTAGCTTTGTCCATAGCTCAAGCTCGCACACACATAGCTTAGCTCGTTCTAGCTTTGCATAACTCTGCATAGCTTGCGAGCTCTCACACCCAAATCACCTCATTCATCATGCAACAAGTCGATGATGAGGTGAAGTTCTAGAAGAGAACTGACGCTGTTCGAGACCGCGGCAAGAGCTTGAGCTGCTTTTCGTTCTCGCATGGAACGGGTTCCCACCTCGCCCTCGCCCATCGTCTGGTCGTTCCTCCGGCTCGCCCGGGGATTCGAGTTCCATTGGGTGGGATTGGCGGGGGAAAGTTTCACTTCGCTGCTGCTGTCCGATCCCGTTGACGTCAGCTTACCATTGGACCTCTAGCTGTTGGCGTCGTCCCTAGTGTCTCTTCCTACCGCCATTCCGCGTATGCGGAGTGCGTGGTGTTTGCCTCCAGGTGCCGAATTGTCGAACAAAAGGGTCCTTATCTGCATTTCCCCAAGTGTAGGTGCTTCTCGAGATTCCCTTTCCCTTATCAACCTTTTTCCAGAACCAAGGTAGCATTCTTATCTGGAAATCAATTCAAAATGAAAGCTGCTGCAGCCTTGTCATGCGTGGCCGTTGCCAACGCGTTTATCCTTCCCGACCCCAAGATTTTCGAGCAGGCGGCCATTAAGAACGATGACCACGCCAACCGAGGTTCCTGGTGGGACCGTGTGCCTTCCAAGGATTCTATCGTGAACACCGTCGAGGATGGCATTGATTCCTTGTCCTCACACATTGAGGGTGCATTGCACTCCTTCGAGGAGACTGTTGAGAACAAATTCGATCACCTTTTCGAGGAGGAAATTTTCAATGAGCCCAAGGTTTCCGACAAGACCATCTACGAGCTCATTTCAAAGAGCGAGCACACCACAGAGTTTGCCAAGCTCGTCAACGAATACGAGGACATTGTCAACGTCTTGAAGAGCACCGAGGCGAACCACACTCTCTTCGTGCCAACAAACCGCGCCTTTGAGCACCTGCCCAAGCACAAGAAGCCGAGCAAAGAGGTCATCGAGGCCATTCTCAAGTACCATGTGGGTATTGGCGACTACGATGCGAAGAGGGTTCTCCGTACACACACTCTCCCCACATTGCTCAACGAGAAGTTCCTCGGCGACAAGCCCCAGCGTCTTCGCACCAGTGTCGGTCTCGGCGGTGTGCGCATCAACTTCTACGCCAAGGTTGTTGCCGTCAACATTGTAAGCAAAAGCGGTCCCTCTACTTCATTGGTTCTTCACAACTGACGCATCATCACAGCGTGCCAAGAATGGAATTATTCACGCTGTCAACAGCCTGATCATCCCGCCACCCATGGTCGGCCGCGAACTCACTCTTCTCCCCAGCCAGTTCTCCACGCTCCTCCTTGCATACGAGAAGACCGACTTCGTCAAGTACATTCACGGGGTCAAGTCCACTGGCACCACCGTCTTCGCCCCCTCCAATAATGCCTTCGCTCGCCTCGGACCCAGGGCCAACGCCTTCCTGTTCAATACTGATCTCGGTGTCAAGTACCTCAGAGCTCTGCTCAAGTACCAGATTGTTGGAAACTCGACCCTTTACAGCGATGCATTGTACCGCCCTGACGAGAAGAAGGATGCCAGCACCATGGAGCACTACCACGTTGATCTTCCTACCTTGTTGGGCAAGAACATCGCCGTCGATGTTGCTACTTGGGGTGGCTGGACCAAGGTCAAGCTCAACGGCTATATCCCCATTGTCGTCGCCGATGGAATCGCCAAGAATGGTGTCATTCACGTCCCTGGTCGCGTCCCGATCCCTCCCCACAAGCATAAGGTTGACTACGTCGATGGCGAGATTGAGGTTGAGGATTTGAAGGAGAGACTTTCTGAGTACGTCAACGAGAAGGAGAATGATGCGAACTGGCTTGGCGAGGAGTTGTAAGCTATGGAATATGAATCAGTCAATATAGCCGCCGTTCTCCATAGGTAGTTTGAACCATAAAAGCTAATGTAGGATACTTGGAATACATGTGCTTTAGTCTATCACACCGTGTATGTCTCTATGAGCTACAGGCTGTTCTCCTTTTTAGATTCAGTATGAGACATGAAGGTCATGCGAATTGTTCCTGTCGCAACCAATGCACGCACTGATGAGCCATGCTCATGAGCAGTCCTCTGTCCGGCAGAGCGTCTGGTTTGGATATAGCCATGCTTCGTTGATCAAAGTACCTTATACCAGTCATGCAATAGAAGTAACTCGCCTTCTGGGGCACCAAACCCACCTCCTTGGATACCAACAAGGCTACATGTAAGCTAGGCCAGGGCTCTTAACTCATTCCAGGACAACCCCGACTTCAGTGGCATTCAGCCCTACCTACCTGCAGCCGGCGCACGACAGCCTAGTGTCTCCAGCCACCCTCTCTGCTTTGGCGTGTCTGAGGTGCCTTCACTGCCGGACCACAGAGTCAATGCCGCGCCCAACGTGGTTTGAACTCATTTTTCGATAGATGGCTTCCAACAGCTGCCGGCTCTCCTCATCATATCGAATCAAGGGCTTTACCGAATGTTGCCACAATCAACTCCAAGGCATTCTCAGCATTCAAAGATAAAAGAAAGACATCGCAGTGAAGGAAAAGGCATGTTTTAGGTTCCTAGTGCTCCCTGACTTGAGAACAAATCAGCCTTCTCAACCAAGAATGCCGTAGACCAGCCCGCATCTACCTACCTACCAGTCCGGAATTCGACTAGCACCGGACTTCAGCTCAGAGTAGCCGGCGCCTTCTTGAAGAACCACACATGATCATTGGTCCGAGCCTCAAGCCATGAAAAGCGGTTGATGCAGACTGCAAGCGGTCAAGCGGCCTCCCTGGCAAGTGGGTGACAAAACGGGATGCCGCTCAATACCCTCCCTATCACTCTTTCTACTATTACGGTAACCACTATTATTCCTATTGTTATTATTATTAGTTATTATTATTATTAAGGTATTATTATTATTAACTAGTTATCATTGTTATTATATTTATATTATAGTTCCTGAGATGTATTCTATGTAGAATATGTCAAAGATAGAAAGTGATAATGATAATGATAATAATAGATAGATTAATGAGAGGAAGGATAGAAATAGAGCTAGGTACTTCGTGTTGGGCGGCAATCCATCGTGTCGCCCACTTGCCTGGCTCTTGATGAGGCTAGTGCAGTAGTGTAAAGGAAAGACAACGAACCACTTGCTGAGCTGAGAAACTGCGGTTTCCAGTGTCTCAAAGCCACCACAACAAATTGGTGGCTTTTCTTTGGCGTGTGCGACCCAGAGACCAAGGACTTTCTTCAGGTTGCCCAAGGGCGAATTCGTGGCTGGTTTAAATTTGTCTCCCTCCTCAGGCCCCCCCTCCGAATAATTTGACAGTTGCATGAGGATAACACTTGACGTTTGCTTTCGCTCTGAATATCAAATCTGCTCGAAACGACATAACATGAACCATTGACTCCGCGGCGTTCGACAATCAAGTATGCCGTGATATCGGCTAGCAGCAAAGATGCATCAGCCCCCACCAGCGAGACAGTCGACCTTTGAGTCCCAAGCGCAGTATAACCTGCAGGCTACCGAGGACGTAGACGAGGACCACAATGAGCTGGACGAGGAGAAACACCCACCTCCAATACCGACGCGACCAGATTATCGACCCAAACCATTGCAATGGCCTTTTATCGTATGCATGATTTCCATTCTCTCCATCTTTGTGGGGTTGGTGATCTTTGCTCGCAACACGATGCCGAATTCAGACAGCACAGCAGTAATAGAGCCTCGCCATTACTTGGGTTCACGACAAGATCCCTCTACCATTGAGAAGTCCTCTGGTACAAGCAGTCCAGCGCGGGAATTTGCTCCGTCATCTGATGGGTTAATGTCGACGATCATCCAAACTAGTAGTGCCGATCTCCCGACGACTTCTGAACCTCAACGAACTCACGCTTCAGAGTCGATTTCGACGGCTCCTGTTACTATACTATCGTTAGGTGGAGCTCCCGGCACGATTTCTGGAGCGTCAACGGAGCGAGAACAATCTTCTAATGTCCAGGAAGAGAAGGCACAAGTCACAGCCACCCCTTCGGCATCAGCAAGTGAGACCCAGAGTCAATCGGTGTCAAAACCACCTTCATCGGCGCTGTCTGAAGATCTTCCTACTACTATTGGTATGGATAGTGCGATTTCAGTGGCTACGCCATCATCTTCAACGGGAACTGCGTCCATTGGCGTTCAGGGCAAAGATCCCGACTCTTCTGATTCTCCGCCAGCAACAACCACGAGACTAGAAACTTCAAGGCAAACAAAACACACTTTGGAGTCAACAGCTAGCGGCAAGGAAGCCAGCTCTGTCTCCTCTTCTGACATCTCCAAGCAGCGCAAAGGCCCTCACCCCAGTCTCACATCATCTTCCAGTTCATCATCGCTTGAGCCGATCGCTAGTGACAAGGTGCTTTCTATCATCAAGTCTGAATTCACTTCCACATTCACGAGGCCTGGGTCCACATTTCAATACACGACATCTATCGTGAGCAGTGCTTTTTCGACCTTTTCAACAGCTCTTGAGACAACTATTCCCGGAAGTACTGGCGATACCACGTATACGCGAGTGGTCACGACCGGAACACAAAGAACGGTGACGAGGACTTTGACGAGTAGCAACATTGTCGTCACCGCGACGATACCCGAGCAAACCACCCAGACGGATGTTATCAGCGATGAAGAAACAACCTACTACCAGACGACCACCAAGACCGTTGGCCACGTGACGACTTCAACCTCGGCTGCACCCGCCTCAACTGTCGTCGAAGTCATCAGTGAGGTTGGTGAGGCCACCATAACTTCAACAGCCCAGTTTACATCGCCGGCAACGGTCAGCACCTACACCTCTATCGTTGTTTCCGCCGTACCGACGACTATTGAAAGTGTCGCTACCTCAACCGCGGCGGGCGTGGTGTATGTATCCGTAGGGACGACCGAGATCACCAGAGTTGTTACCATTCCCGGAGGGTCGAGAGGTCAGCAGAGTGAACAGCCTTCCCCAGTTACACAAATCATCACCAGTGTGTTCGACGGGAAGGTGGTGACAGTTGTGGAAACAGGGAAACCTCAGATTTTCGTGACCAATGCCGGGGGACTTTTTACTGCCATCTATACGCCACCTGCAGAGACGATCGTAACAAGAATAGGGGGCGAAGAGACACAGATGGTAGTCACAGTCACTCCATCTCTAGACGTCAACCTGGTTGCTGTCCAGATTACTGTTGCTGAGAAGCCGACGGTGATACTGATTCAATCTAGCGCCGCAGGTTTCAAGCCAGTGTCCTTGACACTTGTCTCCCAGGTCGGCGGCAGTACTGGCGTTTTCACTACCACCGATGCTCCAGAGACTATCAGAACCACTGTTGATGGTAAAGAGACTACGATAATCAGAACGCCGGTGCCTCGAGAGTTTTCCTCGGTAATCGGAGGAACCCCAACCACAGTGGAGTTGGTCACAACGCCGACTGGAAGCAGCCCTCTATTGTTCACGGTCATCACGACCATTGGAGACTCCCTGAGCACAATCATATCAATCCCGGGCCCTACCACATTTGTCACTTCGATACCGGGCACGCTCAGTACTATCACGTCCACTCCAAAGCCCAGCACACGGATTTCCACGATTGGCCCATCCACGGCGATATTCACCTCTGTTTCCCAGCCATCGTCGACGAGCAAACCTGACATCGTCATAACCGAAATAGAAAAGTTTGCCTTCACCGATGGAGATTATTTCCTCGGCAAGTTTCTTCCGGTAATTCTGGCTGTTATGGTTGCAATTCCTCTACGAATTATCGATCTCAATGCGAAGCTGTACCAACCCTTCCATGCATTATCCCAAGAAGGAGGCGCACTCGGTAGGAATAGCATGACGATCCAATTCGAAGGCTGGAATGGGTTCTTGGCCCCGTTCAAGGTCCTCAAGCAAGGCCACCCGGTCCCTTTCATCACGACACTGATGGTATGGTCATCGTCTCTCCTGGCGCCCTTGGCAACTGAGGCGATCGGAATGAAGTTGCACGGGAAATGTAAAATCACCGCCATCGATGGCTGCGGCATTCAACTAGGGGTCTCACCGAAATCAGCCTACATCTTGATCGCATTGCTCGTTTTTATCGTCGCGCTTCTGCTGGTCCTGCTTTATCTCCTCCGAAGCTGGAAGACCGGACTTCACGCGAATCCTTGGAGCATCGGGGGCATTTCGTCACTCTCTCTAAACGCAGGAATTCGGCCACATCACCTCAACTTCAAGACCACCGAAAGGGCCATGGCAGAAAAGACCTACATGCTGGGGTTCTTTCAAAATAGGCACGGTAGAGACGAGTACGGCTTCATCTACTATGATGAATCAGCCGACAACCTACAATCGGCAGGGTCAGGAGCACTATCGACCGATGACGAGGCGGACATGATCAAAAGTCCGTACGAGACTGCGACCAATGCCCGGAAAACAAACCCCTTCATCGCGCTTACGTACTGGTGGCGCCTCTTGTTTATGTCTTTCCTTCTTGCCTTGTTCATCATCATACTTTACTACCATGTTACGCTGGGTTTCCGTACTTCTTTCAAAGACTTCATGGACAGTCAGACATTTGGACTCCGTTTCTTCCTTGCTGCGTTGGGTGTTATCATCATCTTTTGCTGGGAGTCGATTTTCATCAGTAAGCAGCCCCGACTCCGTCACCAGCGTGAATGCGGACCGATGCTAACGCGAATGCTAGGTATCGCCATTGTCAGTCCATATTATCACATGGGCCGACGTTCTCAACGACCAGAATCATCAATCCTTCTAACACGCCCCACAAACGGATTCTACGGCATTTACGCCGCGATCCTTGACGGCGACATCGTGCTGATGCTGGCAGCTTTCATGTCCATAATGGCCGAGTTCCTTCCGATGCTGTTGGCCAATGTGCCATACAACTTGACTCAAACACTCAGCTCGCACAACGTCTGCTCTATCATCAGTATCACAATCTTAGTGCTGATGATGGTGGCTGTGGGGGCTAGTTTATTCATCAAGTGGCCTGAAATGCCAGTCGACCCGCGAAGCATTGCCGGGGCGATGTATTACGTCAACGAAAGCCGTATGTTGGATGACCTTGAAGGTCTTTCGCAATTGTCTTCGTTTGACAGGAAAAAGAAAGTCGGGGAACTGGGACGGAGGTACTTTTACGGCGCTCTGACAGGGAAATACGGGATGCGTATGGGCGTTGAGTCAGTAGAGAGTGTGGAAGACACTGTGTATACTGGAGCAAATTGGCTTCCGCCGCATGATGACGGGAGCAACCGGGAACAGGATGCTTTGGTTCATCATGATGAAGGTACAATTAGTCCGGATGATGATCCGAGCCCAAGGCAGACAACAAATCACGAAGAAGGGGGCTGGGTGTGATCATTCAGACGGGAAGAAGAGGTGTTGGAACTCTGACTTGAGTTCATCATGTGGGCAGTACACACTGCTCATCTGGACCAACGAGGCAAGCAATCAGGCAATACGACTGGTATTGATGGTTGGTTGGTGATGTTGTGGTGAAGGTGAAAGGTGGCTGCGGTGGGCTGGATCAACCAGGAAGTGGATCGGGCAGCTGGTGCCTGGGGCACCAGCCACTGCCTCAGGTATCCACAGTCCCACACATCACATGCATGATTAATAAAACGTTTTGTCTGCGAAGGGCAAGGCTTCGATATAACAAAATTTCATCGCTGTCATTGATCTCAAATATCTGTTCTAGCAATGAATAGTCGGACTGCCACCTGCTAGGCCCCCAAGTAGAAATGTGCCCAGCCAAACACCACTAAGCACGGAGAGGAAGTAGCCAACATTCATCGTCATAACCGCAAGCATCCTACAAAGCCTGTCAGCGAGGTTTTCGGCAGTCAAGATAGAGGGAATGACTTACAAGAGATATCCAATGCCTCCCACAATGACTTCGTATGTTGCCCTCGCGGCGGCGGCACCAGCCCGCCACCCTTTCCATCGCCCAATAATATCTTTGCGGATCACCGAGCCAGCCTGACCTGGCTCAACACTCTCCGCATGGTGACTTGTCAAGGCCTGCTTGTCTGATTCGTATGCGGGGTAATTTCTCCAGAAGCGGTCTTCGAGTACTGGCTTCAGAGCGAGTAGCAGGCGTAAGATGGAGCCTAACACGATGAGGAAGATGCAGGTGCTGGCGTATTGACCGGGACTTGTCGGTGTCCATGCGTCTGAGTATAGAGGTGTTTGGAAGGCTTCGAAAAATGTCATGGCCATTTCGGACATTGACATTGACATGCTCGACATATCGCCGGAGGCAGCACTAGTCGATGTAGCCATCGCCATGGCTGTGCTGGTTGCCATGTTCATATCCATCCCGGTCAGGTTTAGAACGATAATCGAATGATTCTGTCGAGTAATACGGAGAGGGTCTATTTTCGTCGAAGTAGGAAAGCTTTGAATTTCGGCTTGTGTCGATGTGTGTAGGTGCAGTCGACTTATTTGTTGCTTCTACCTTACAGTGATTGATTCTGATAGACAAATTGGCAAAATCTTGCGGATCACATTGACGGCGGCATGATATGATTTATCATTGAAGACAGTTTCTCTCATCTCCACGAGTTAGATGATAGCGTCGAGTGGAAGATCGGCACGAGCATTACTATGAGCAAGTTTCTCCCTCCATCCCGGGTGTCACGGCATCTGACGTCCGTGTCGTCGGAAACAATGTGGGAAAAGAGGGTCCCGAAACGCGCAAATTGACTCCATTCTCCACGTGGGAGTCTGCCAAAAACACAAAGCTTGGCCAATTGCAAACCCTAGCTCGAGTTGCCGTCGTATCTGTTGGTTGTCTAGTGTGACGCTGGAACTGCACCGAGGCATGGGTGGTGCTTATGTGCCGGATGGGGAGAGTTAACGAGCTCAAATGTGCTCAAAACCCTGGAAGTTGCAGCGCAGGATTCCCGACTTCACGAATCGAAATAACGCGCTCAATTGTACGTGGTAACCGGTTTGATACCCTGATAGTTCTCAATATCACAGCAGCAGTTTCCGCGATGAGCAATTACTAATATTCTATTGGCGTGTTTGCCAAAATCCGCAATGTCTACTTCAGTATCATTTTATCCACAGGCAAGGTGATTATCAGCGTGTCGCCAAGCACGATGTTTATGACACCTCTACTGTAATCTCTCTTTCCCCATCATCTTTGGGCAGAAATCCATCCTCAGAATTCTAGTTGATCAATCGACGCTTGACGCCATCATGTCCTTACCATGGCTTAGCCAGCCGGTCATGCTGCATTCAAGCCGCGATGCCGGAACTTGCTCAATGACACCAGAGCAGTGCGCTTTCAAGACTGGCTACTGGGTATTTTGGTACGAAGCTGATCACCGATACGGACTACCGACAGTTGCTTTCTTTGTAACGGCAATACTGCTTGCAGCCATTGCCAGCTTTGCCTCAACATACGCCCCGTCATCGTGGAGGAGAAACACATTGTGGCTACGGATTTTGTCTTCAGGACGTCTCCTGTCCTACAAAAACTGGAGGCTTGGTTTCTGGAACACACAGTCATTAGGCACATGCCTGCTTGGTGCCGCAGGTGCTGTGTTTTTCTTGGGTATTACTATTGTCCGAGGTCCATGATATATGTATTGACGACTGACATCCTCTCCTAGCAATGACGCTTGGCCCCCAGCCCTATTACTGGCCTAACACGAAAGAGCTCAGCTTCGGAAACTCGCCTCCGATTGCCACCCGTGCTGGTTACATGGCTTTGGCCTGTATGCCATTTCTCTTGTGAGCAACTGCAAGGCCCCTCGAGATCTCGTTCGACTTTGTCTAACCATGTGTGCAGCATTCTAGGTGCAAAAGCAAATCCAATTTCTGCCCTGACCGGTATATCTCACGAGAAACTCAACATCTGGCATAACTGGGTAGCATGGGCTATGTTTGTACTGGCACTTGTCCATACGTTTCCCTTCATCGTATTCCACATCTGGAAAGGGGACATAGTCAAGCAGTGGAACGACGGAGGCATTTGGGTTACAGGTGTTATTGCAATTCTAGCCCAAGCATGGTTGACCTTCATGTCTATTCGCTGGATCCGGTATGTTGATATTTAGCATTGACCTGCAGGCTTTTGGATCGAGACACGGAAACTATGCTGACAGTCATTTTGCTCCGACAGAGACCGATATTACGAGCTGTTCAAGGCGACCCACCTCTTTGCCGCCGCCGTCTTCTTCATTTTCTTCTTCATCCACTGCGACTTCCGTCTTACCTCATGGGACTACTTCATCGTCACAGCTGTGCTGTACGCTCTATGCTTCTTCTACTCGCAGTTCAAAACCTTTATGGAGCACGGTGTCAGCCACGCGCGAGTATCACTGGTCACACCTCATTGTCTAAAGGTAGTCATAGAGACCAACACGCGATGGACACCGGGCCAGCACGTTTATCTGAGATTTTTAACAGGCGGCATTCACGCACTGACTGCTCACCCGTTTACAATCTGCTCGATCCCACGACAAGGCCAGCGAAGCGAAATGGTCTTCTACATCCAACCCAGAGGAGGAATAACAGCTAGGCTTGCTGCAATCGCTCAGAAATCTCCCGAGGCATCTGTTCAGGTTCTGATTGACGGACCATACGGCGGCGTTACGGATCGATGGTTTACTGGCTTCAATCGGACGCTTGTTGTTGCTGGGGGTGCTGGAGCAGGATTCTCTTTACCAATGATCGAAAATTTCCTGCAATACCAACACCAAGGAATCGCGAACCCAGAGATAGAAGTTATCATTGCAACCCGCGATCTTGGGTTCCGGGAATGGTACTGCAGAGCATTGGACGACATCATTGCTCGACATACCCATATCGAGGACACAAAGGCCCCAGTCATTTCTATCTCTTTCCATGAGACCGGAACCTCGGTAGAAACCAGCTCGACTTCATCCAACCCAGAGTCTCCGGCATATGGTAGAGACAAGGAGGTGATGGAAAGGTCCGGGAAGTCTGCAGAGACTGGATGGCAATGCCCTTCGGGTTTTGTCAATCTACAGATATACACTGGACGGCCAGATTTATCCGCGATTTCTAGGCGAGCTGTTGACCAGCCGGGAAGCGTTGGCTTGGTGACCTGTGGCCCAGCATCATTAGTCTTCGACTTGGGTGAGATTGCGGCTGAAGCCCAGAAACGCATTCTGCAAGGTGGAAGTGGTGCCAGCGAGGTCTGGTTCTACAAGGAAAACTTTTCGTAAGTTACAATCAGCTGCCTTTGGCACAAATTCTCGGTTGCTAACGCGGCTGTCAAGATATTAAACTCTCAAGCCACCAAGACAACTTTTAGTTTCAAGTGCTGCACAACTATCCCATCAACTGCTAGATGGCGTCAGTACAAGCTACGTACTTTAAATAATCCGATCTCACTTCCCTTATATTCGCCTATGAATAATCTCGAAATAGAGCAAAAGTAGAGAAATACTGGAGACGGATATGGTGCTGGATATAGCGACGGAAGTAGTGACGGGTGTAGTGACGCCATCCAGCAGTCAATGGGATAGCCAAATTCTACGATGTTATCTCTACTGCTCCTTTCCTGCATCCCAAAATCGTATTGATCTGAGACTATGACTATTTCTGTCAATTCTCAATTTCATGTTGAGGATAGTTGTGCCGTGATTGACTCTGCCCTTATTTACGGTCGAGTTAGACTTCTAATCTACTATATCCTTTACGGTTGAAGAGGGCCACGAGTTGGTCGTTTAGCTGCTCCTCGATAAGGGCTTGAACATTGACCGTAGGATAGAGAACGGATCGACAGCACTGTATAGACTAATCTTTTGAGGCTGGCTAAGACTGGTCCATTTACTAGTTGACCGGGGTGCTGACCTTGCGACTAGCACTAGAAATGGAACTAGGCTCCTGAACAGTGCAGCTGAGGAAGGCCATGCCGAGATTGTTGAGTATCCAACAAAGAAAGAGTGCGAAGTTAAGGCCACGACTATCGCCGGCTACAGTCCCTTGCTCTCAGCCGTTGAGGGAGGGAGGCTGCAGACTGTTTGGCAACTACTCGATGTTGGCGCGGATCAGAACACAAAGAACTCGGAGGGGATGACGCTCCTTAACAGTGCTGCCCGGAAGGGGCGCATTGAAGTGGTCCGTGTCCTTGTCCTTCTTGCCAGAGGAATCGACATGGATGCATTGACACTAAGCGGACAGTCTGCTGTCGACTTGGCAGAGCTCAGAGACCAAGAGGTAATCCGCGACTTGTTGCTCGATGCGGGAGCGAAGCAAAGGACGGACAACAACAAACCCCCGGTTGAGATTATGGTAACGTTACCAAAGCACAGCTTGCGTTGTTACATCAGACCTTCAATTTGCGGGGCAGCGCTGCTGATCTATCTTTGAAAGTTAGATGAAGTGAGGGGTGATAACACTGAAGCCGAGATACGGACAGAGGCATGTAGTCTTTCTGCATAAATGGGCAACCATTCTGAAGGCAATGTAATTGAGGAGTGTTCGAAGCCAGGTTAGGAGATAGGCCATACCAAGCTTAGGCGAAATAAGCTCAAGTTATGGCTCTCTTGCAACTCATCACAGCATGCCTCTGCACTCCGGTGTTGGCAGGGGGTCTCCAAATTCTCCCACCCACACTCCGAACTTCGGAACCCTCCCAAGGCGCTGTATGGCAAGCGAACAAAAGCCCAAAGACCATCTACATCGAGAGCAGTCTAGCCTCCAAAGCCGATACAGATGGCTTAAGTCTCATTCCACCAAGCGGCCACGATTTCGCGAAGCTCTTCCAACACGACATTAGCGAGCTTACCGGCGTCAACTGGACATTACAGCGCGTCGATCATCTCCCGAACCCCGCCAACGCCAGCGGCATCCTTCTCGGCCTGTTCACCGGCAATACCTCGTCGCTCACATACGAGAATGGCGACCCTACGTCAGAGGGCTATGAGCTCGTCGTCTCTCCGACTGGCGCCTTTATCGGCGGCACAGGCGCACGCGGAATGTGGTGGGGGACCAGGACGCTGCTTCAGCTCCTGCTCACAGGGAACGGGACTGTGCCCGCGGGGCGATCGGTTGACGCGCCGGCATATGCCACGCGAGGCTTCATGCTCGACGCCGGACGCAAATGGTACGCACCCGCTTTCCTGAAGGAGCTTTGCAGCTTCGCTTCCTTCTTCAAGATGAGCGAGTTCCACTATCACCTCAGCGACAATTACCCGCTCAACCGCGGGCAAAACGCGTCATGGCAGGACGTCTACTCGCACTTTTCGCTAAGGCCGGAAGACGAGAGTTTGCTACCGATCCTTCACGGTCGGGAGAATGAGACGTTATCCCGAGAGGACTTTGCCGATCTTCAAAGCCATTGCGCATCGAGAGGTGTTACTGTTATCCCTGAGATCGAAGCCCCAGGCCATTGCCTCTACCTCACGAAGTGGAAGCCCGAGCTCTCATTGCCGAAGCGCGACTTGCTCAATTTGTCTCATCCGGACACTATCCCGACCGTTAAGCGTATTTGGTCAGAGTTCCTGCCCTGGTTCGAGACAAAAGAAGTTCACGTTGGCGCAGACGAGTATGATGCGACGCTGGCCGACGACTACATTGGGTTCGTGAATGAGATGTCTTCCTTCATCAATTCCACTACCGGCAAGCGGATTCGGATCTGGGGAACGAATGAGCCATCCGAGAACAGAACCATCTCCAAAGACGTAGTCATCCAACACTGGCAGTACGGCGAATCGGACCCGGTTTTACTGGCAGACAACGATTACGATGTCATCAACTCCGAGGACTGGTGGGCATACATGTCTCTCAAGAACGACCATATGCCCATCCTGCCTGCTCGCTATCCTCAGTTCTACAACGAGACTCGAGTCCTCAACTTCGCCAACGAACCAGAGTGGCAGTGGACCCCGGCGGATTTTAACCCTTTTAACAAGACCATGCAGCTGCCAGATAGTTCGCCGTCAAACAAAGGTGCCATTCTTGCAGCATGGAACGACAATGGTCCGGATGCCTCAACCCAGCTGGAGGCTTACTATGCCATGCGTCGAGGCATAGCGCTAGTCGGAGCCCGCGCGTGGAGTGGCAGCCGTGGCGCAGAGCTCGTGGAGGAAGGAGTTGCGTCCAGCATCGATTTCTTCACGCCTCTCGCACCGGGGCAGAATCTTGAGCGCATAGTGAAGAAGTCCAAATCTACTTGTAAAAGCCCATTATTCTCGTGGTCTCGCTCTTCCAACGACTCCGAGGCAGTACACCTCGACCACGGAAGCAAGGGGATGAACTATACACTTACTCTGGCTGCCACTGGACCTTTCATCCTCTCCGGTCCGGACACCGCTCTCTCGTTAGATGAAAGTGGCACCCTTGTTTTTACTGCGGACGGATGGCCTTATCCTCTTCGGTCCGTGAGCGAACAAGATGCCATGCAACTCGACCCTGGGCACCCAGGTCGGATTTGGTCGAACGTGTCTACTTCGACACACGAAGCAGTGACGGTATCGAAGCTACCTGCAAACATCACCATCACCGCAGACGTGCTTCACGGGAGCATGGCTTGGATCAATGGGCAATTCGCAGGGCGCTTCGAGGTTTTTGTGTATGGGGGTCGTAACACACTCTTCAGCTGGAGCCAAATGGCCTTAGTTGCGCCCTTGGAGGATGTAAAAGGTCCTGGTTTACAGGGCGTTGTGTTGGAAGGTACTGCCAATTTGGCGACGTAGAAAGAGCTCGCGTTCAATGACAAGACATCTGTTCCTAATGTTTAAACTCATCTTACTCAACCGTGCAGATTCTGATTATGGCATGTGGGACCTAATGTTGTCAGTTTGGGACGCGCTGGGAGACGAGCGATATCGTTTGAGTGGTCCAACACGTGCGTTCTCGGCCGATTCCGTCTTCTGTGCCTAATACTGTGTCGATTTTGAAGTTTCCTATCGGAAGACTAACAGTCCAGGTCTCCCATCACCTACCGACCTTATCCTCGATCCAATCTCTAGGGGGCTACCGTCATGTATCACGAAGTGTTCATCCTGAAGTCCGTATTCCAGGCCGAGGACCTTGTCCACATTGCTTCCTACCAAATCCAACGCAGTCTTCTCATTTAGCCGCCCTTCGCCGTTTCTATACGCAACGCCAGCGAGCAAGCCAAGGTCTCGCACAATCCAGTCCTCTTCCAGGCCGATAGCCACATTCACTCCGGCCTGAAGCAGGACATCAACACTTGTGCCGTTTGTCAAAGGCGCGCCCGTAAGCGCTCGTCGCTGATCCCACGAGATGGCAAAAGATTGCATTGGTGCCAAGACGACTCCCACCTTGGCAGCAGACAACGCGCTAGCAACTATATGTGCTTCAGCGCCGCCGTATACGACCAGACGAAGCTTCTTTGGGCTCTCGATGAGCTCTGAAACGGCATCTTCCACGGTGCTTTTGACATCCAACAAGGCAGCAATGGTGTCTGCGCTATGCACAGTCACAACGAGTGCCATCTGGCCTTTGACAACTTGACGAAGAAACGCAGACTCCGAGTATCGCTCTTCCACGGGGATGTCGTCATTCGCAGCGAAAGAAGAGACTGCCTTGAGAAGCTTCCGTCGCAGCTCACCGACAGCTGCCGACATGGACGAGATTCCATCAGTACCGCTCTTCGCGGAGAGATCGAGAGTGTAGTGTACAGCAGCATCTCGAGAAAATACGGCAGCACGGTCAAGGATAGTCCCAGCCCCGGTTAGAAATCCAGTGCTTGTGCCATGATGCGTGCCGAGAGCAGTGAATTTGGGGACCGAGATGGCTCGGGTGACACCATAGCGGTGGGCAACCTGCAGCTTCTCGGTATCGAGTGCGAGCCCGTCGACGCCGCGGCTAAACTTTCCTCCATCCGCACCATTGTCAGTGTTGCGCTCCGAATCGACGGCGTTGAGACCGATGGTCGAGCCAAAAGCGGTGAATGCTGGAGTAAGGTAACCATTCTTCAGATGAATCAGAAAGCTCTCTGGTCCAGACGCTGCTTGGAGCTCGGCTTCGCAGCTTCCAACGCAGGAAATCTTGCCGTTTGAGATGGCTACGTTATACGTCTTTTCATCGGCAGCCAAGCCTTCCACTGTCACGGAGTGCAATACTTTGGAGATTCCTGTGAAAACAATGTCTCCTCGCATGATCTGAGGCTTCTCAATGACTTCACCGAGACTCTCATCGGGGACTAGAGTTCCCTCATAGGTCTTGTTAAGCCTGACGGGCTCATCATACTGAGCAGTGCCGTCAATCCAGACCTGAACCGGCGTGGCTCCAACGCTCAACGGGTCACTATCCCAGACGACAATATCGGCATCGAAGCCGGCCTTGATTTTGCCAAGGCGATACTCTAGTCCCAGCCTCTCAGCCGGAGCAGTAGTGACGGATGCGAGTGCCACGTGATAAGGCAGGCCATACTTGTACGCTTTTGCAGCTTCAAACACAACGTGCTGTGCATTGAGCACCGGGTTGTCGCTAACATAGATGGGGGTGAGTCCAGCGTCGTAGAGATGTTTCCCCGCGTATTCTGAGCCCAGAGCAGCTTCGGCTTTGTACCACATGTTATCGGCGAAGAGAGCGGATGCGGGTGGGTTGTTTCCCCATGCCCGTTTGAGAATCTGTGAAACGACGAGTGAGCAACAGACGCAGTATTGAGAAAAGCCACAGTGGGCTTTGCGATCTACTCACCTCAGGCACAAGATGCGTCTGATGAGCATGATGAAATGCACGAATGGGAAACTTGAACTCATTCGTGTGATCCACAAACGCTTCGAGGTCGTTAATGGTATAGCAATGAGCATGAACATAGACTTGGCCCCTGAGCACAGCAATCAATGCCTCCCATTCCAGACTGTTCTGAAGATAAGTTTGGACGTGGTGAAAGCCTCGAGCCGCGGCATTGCACCAGTCATCTTGCTCGCGAATCAACTTGGTAGCATGCTCAAAAGCCTGACGAAATTCCCAGCTCTCGCCGAGGCGGCTGTACGGACCACGTTCGCCCGCCTTCCCATGGACCTGCTTGGAGTTTTCGCCGCAAGCCATCTTCATATGGCGCCAGGTGCGATCCGGATCAGCCAGCATATCAATCACGCTTGTTTCATTGCGTCCGTCAGCAGTGCCAACGGCGTGCTTGATCACAAAAGCTTCGCCGCCGATGTTATTGCTGGACCCGGGCAGGATCAACGAGGTAGTGACTCCGCCGGACTTGATCACCTGTAGTTGGTAATCCGTCGGCTGAATTCCGTCAATGGATCGGACATAGGGAGTGATATCCTTCGACAGCTCGCTGACGTCCTCATTGCCGTGTAATGTTGGTAGTGAGTGTACTGCAGCATGGCTGTGCATGTCGATGATGCCGCTGGTGAGCGGCCGCCCTCCCGCATCGTAGACGATAACATCCTCGGGCAGTGAGGCTATCGCAATATCCTTGGCGACCTGTTTGATGAGACCATATTCGATGAACACGTCGGCCGAAATCCAAGAGTAGCCAGCAGACTCTGGAGTTGGCTCGCCAACCCAGATCGTTGCGTTCCTAATGATTGTGGGTTTCTTGCCATCCACGTAGCGGGCATTCCGTGTCCTCCCTAAGCCTGGTGGATCAATCGGCCGACTGTGCAATTTTTCGCAAGTCGTCAGGTCCTCTCGCAACTGACAAGTTGAGAGCCCATGAATCGTAAAGTCCGGACCGGAGACGCCGTCCACGGGGTAAATCTGTCTCCATTGCGCGTAGACGATGAACGCGAGGCATGCTAAACCAAGAACGCGCAATGTTCGCGACCTGCGGGGTAAAAGTTGGAGAGCCGGATGATGCCGCCGCCGCACTGACGAGGAAGGGACACGGCAACTTTCAGCCGCTGTCACTGCCGGAGGACTGTAGGGCGGCAACTCATCTCTCTTCTCCGCGGCCGTGAACAGTGCCATTATTTCGGTCGTCAGTGTCAGTGGCTGAGGAGTGCAACAGAGCCACGTGGTGAGTTTGAAGTCTAATAAGGACTCCTAGGCTGTTCGGGTGAGGGTGCCCCTGTCCCCAGCTTGTGAGGGGCTTTGATGATCGCAACAAGGATTCAGGACAGGGCTTAACTCGACTAAATTAGTTCCGGGCAGCCCAAAGTAAAACTAAACTTAACTTCCTCCCGATGCTCTGCATCCTCGGCTGATTATGTCGTGGTGCCTGCGAGGTCCAGTGGGATTCGTAGCGTAACCATAGAGGTAAGTCTCTGGGAATATGTTCTGATCAATTACACTGACGGATAAGTATTGCCTAGCCCGTTTTCATCAATCAGTCATCAGTTACTTGTCCGGCGGGATGCCTGGATTGACTTTGGCCACTGACGCCATCTAGATTTAGACCCCGCCCTGATCACCGTGCCCCTGGATGGTAAATCAGAGGAAAAAGAAATACCGCATGATGAATACGAGAGCGTTTGCCAAACTAATTCGGAAAAAGATGCCGACATCTCGTCGCAGATGACAGAAATTCAGACACGGACTCTAGGGAATACTGTTGAGGCATCACCATCACAGTACGATGAATGATTGAATATCAGTCATGTTCTCATCACATAGATTCATGTTGCTGTGTTCAATTGGTGGTTGTGGAGGGGAATCTCCCACTCCTTGATATGTCAAGTTAACGTAGGTACATGTATTTGGTCTCATATATCTACACTGAGGCTACCATTTAATGGGCCTCAACCAAAGTCTCCTTCACAGACGGAGCTTGCTTAAGCTCCTCAGACACCTCAGGCGCGTGCGCCTTGGCAGTCGGCTGCGCGTACGGTGTCCACTCCTCATCGGCAGTCATGCCACCGTAAAGCATTGACGGAGGGGCAAGAGCCTGGATATCGGGAGTGGCCTTGAACAGGTAAAACTTCTCATCGTGCCACTGGCCGGCAGTGACATATCTGCCCTCGCTGTCCTTGAACATGGTGTCGTTCTCGGCACGGAGGAAGTAGGCAATGGAGTAGCGGTGCTGCTCGGGGTTGTAGGGGACCACGCGGTGGATGCACGACATCATGGTGTGGCCACTGGCGAAGCGCAGAGAATCGCCAACGTTGATGATGGCGCAGCCCTTCTTGGGGGCGACGAAGCCGAACTCCTTGGAGCCGGGAGGACGGATCTGAAGACCCCACTCCTCGGCGAAGAGGAGCGTAAGGGAGCTGATATCGGTGTGCTTCTGGTGGCCGATCTGGTTGTCCTTAATGGGGTCGGCGGGGACGTAGTGCATCATTGCCAATGTGGAGGTTGAGGGGCGGTCGTTGCGGTGGGCATTCTCGTACCGGGCAGCGCCAACGAGGCCCATGGCGGAGGAGAGACCGGACAAGACGGTCTTGGTAACGAGGTTGGAGCCGGAGATGGCGTTCTTCAGGACTGCCTTCTCCTTGTCGTTCTGCAGGATCCTGGGGAACTTGGGGTCGGATCTTTGGATCTCATCACGGGAAACCTGAGTTGAAGTAGGTCAGTGAGAGCTCATTGACAGCACTCGTGTGTTGCCTAGGATAGGAGCTCACCTTGAACATTTCATATCCGTCTCTGGTGTTGGGAAGACCACCGGTTCGGGAGCCGACGGGCTCGTATCTGGAAATTGAGCCGTTAGCATTATCTAGATGGTTTGACCTCATGAATGAGGTGAATGCTTACCCGAGATGTGCGGTGATGAGGCCAAGCTCGTTCTTGTCCTCGATAGGGGCCTCAAAGTAGCGGTGCATGAGCTCCAGGGTTCTTTGCTGGTCATCGAGGAATCGGCTGCCGTCAAGGCCGTTCAGGTCCAGGTAGAAGAAGCCCTGCTGCTGGCAGATGCGGAGCATGTTCTCGAGTTCAGCTGGCTCCTGGGACAGGACGCGTCCAAAGTCCACAGTCTCCATGGGGTAGATGGGGACCCTCTTCCCGGACCACTCGACGGTCTGCGGGACTTCAGTGGAGACACCCATTATGAAGCTGTGTGTAGGTATGAGAGAGCTAGAATTTTGAGTAGCAAAGACGGTATCGAGAGATCGAGTTCAGAGTATGGAGGCAAAGACTTGATTTCAAAAAGAGGAGCTCTTCTCCTTTGTCCCAACCCCGCCGGCGAGCTCTCCTACTTATACAATTCGAGACTGCCCAGGCCTAGAACCCTGACGACCTGGACAGCTCTGCCTGAGCTACACCTGAAGCTCCGAGTCTGATGTGCGCAGGCGCACCAACAAGACTCTTTGCCCCTCATTGTCAGCAACGCGACGAGATCCACACACCTCATCATTTCTTATCCTCCTTCCAGATTGCTGTGATTAACAATGTCCCATTGAATGAGACCTAAAGTTTCATGCAATGGTGCGGGGTCTCGGGCCAATCGGCACATTTCTCCATATCACATGCGTCCTGCGCCAACGAGACTATCACTGACAGCTCGAGGAGCTCGATGCCTCTTTCGTATCAAAAGTGGACATCGCGCTCTAGCGCTGCTTGTTCTGGCTCGCGATGGCGGTACTCTGGTAGGACCCTGCTGTCTCACACTACTCAATCGGATACGGTCCGTCTCATGCAGGGCGTAGGAATTGCACCATTTCTTGGCCATCTTATCATTTCTGGAAGAAGAAACCATTGAGTCCAGCCGAGAAAGAGAGCGCCGCCTCCGTTCAATCTCCAAGTTTAGCCAGATGCGTTTTGTAAGTACGTGGACGCGGGCTGTTGGCCTAGGCAACACCACAGAAACAACAAACACCCCGCTTTCGGTAGAATTCTTTCCAGATTTAGGGGCGCATAACGCAATTCTTCCGAATTGCGTTCTCTCGGCCTTTTACCCGACACTACCACCGCCAAGCCCGGCAGATGGCCCATCGTGCAATGTAATTGCTTATTCATTGGCTGATGTCGGACAGAAGAGACTCACCACAGCTCACCAGTGTCTCTCCGGTCTCACATATCTATGCTGAAATCCTGCAGCTAGCCTGACAGCTAAGTCGCAGACAACGTGTCGTTCGCGTGGTAGCAACTTGGGACTTTATCTAGACAATGGCATTGTCTTCTTGAAAAACAATCGAAGAACCTTAAGGGTCCCTCTGAGAGGCCGCCACCATCCGGGAGTATCCGCAAGAAGACCCCTGGCTAGGATCTGACACTAGGCGACGTTTCGACCAACCACATATATTACCATCCATCTCGAAATGGCGATGCGGGCTAACTTCAGTGCGGTATCCGCGGGAGACGCGAAGCATACTCTGCAAGCGATCAGTGTTGCACACAGACAATTGGCGATCGGCTCGAGATGAACACGTTGAAACTTGGCACCCTATGCCGGCCAATGAGATGGTGAAGTTGCAACCGATGTTGCACTTTTTTCAATGGAAGTCGTATTGGCCAAGGATGCACGTTTAATAAAACAGGTTGAAAGACTCTTGGCTAACACTCGGAGTGTTAGCACTCAATTGTAAGTCCGCCCACTTGGGAAGATAGCTGCCGGAAGTATTTAGCCTGTAATGTGTGTAATTTAAGTCAATTGTATCAGAAGTGAAAAGACGCATCCTGCTTACACATAAAGTTCTTGCAGAAACACCATGATCGCGAGGGGCTTGTTGGTTAATTCAAGTTTGGGCAGAGTGATGTTGGCAGACGTCGCTGTTCATGTGTTTACATAGTTCAGCGTATCAAATTCTGCTTTCAGATCCAAACAAGAACCATTGAAGTGAATTATCTAACAACTCATCCAAATTTGTATTCCAAAAAGAGAAGTATCATGCCCTCCCATCTATTTGAATCCCGGAGTGATAGCTTACTTGGGGCATCCAATACCCCAACCGGTGACGGTGTCGCAGCAATCGGCATCCTATTCGGTAATCAGTAAAACATTCAACCTGACTTCTATGAGATAAACTTACACAAGTGTCCGAAACGGGAATCTGGGTACCCTGTCTCTTGACATTGTAGCAGAAGTTGGCAGAGTTGGACGCGCACCAAACCGAATCGCCGTTTTGGTTCATGCAAGACTTCTGGCCCTTGCCCCAGCAGCAGTCTGTCTGGGGAGAGTTACGTCCGACTTTGCACTACATTACTGTCAACTACTGTATAGAAGTATGGTAATAGAGGATGAGAAGAGCTTACCTCGGCGGCAAGAACGGCAGGAACGGCAATGGCCGAGAGGACGGCGGTGATGACGACGGAGAACTGCATTTTGAGTGAGACTTGTTGATCGAGAATTGATCTTGAAATGAAAGTTGATTTGATAAAGAGTGGAAGACTGGGACTTGGTTGGATGCCTGAGTGTGAAGATGGTGAGCGAAGAGAGATATTTGGAAGGACTAGCCAACACCTCTTATACCTTCACTGCACTGCTCACCACCGACGCGGACAGCACCTTTACCGCATCCCAACATCAACTTGATGCGGCAGTATTCTCGGTAATGCCGACTCTAGACGTCTCGGTAGTTACTCAACTCCGGACAGAACAATCTAAGGGAGTTTGGGCAACGCGAAGAAACCGAGTAGAAGACGGTGCATTCTCTAACAGTCTAGGACATCTATGACTGATCCGAGATGTGTTCCCATCAAATGAAAGTATCCACAACACCTCGTAGGGCTGCAGAGGTGCCGTGCCCGACTGCGGTACCACTCAGCAAGCCTACATGTAAGGTACTTTTCGGCTTCTCGCTCAAGGAATCTGGCGCATGGGCAGTCTTGACTCAAGCCTCTTCCGCTCAGCGGGCGCGATACCGAGGACTTGGGTTTACTGTGATCTACGTGTCGTGCATATACCGTCACGGACCTTGTTCTGGTCCCAGCCAGGCCCGCCGGGACGACCTTTCCATTACGTCGCCTGGAGATAAGCTTTACAGGGAACAACGTCTCAACCCGAGACTACAAGCGCAAAAGCACGGTTGCCCGTTCACAGCTGCCTCATAATACTGGAGAGTCTGTTTTATGGGGCATTGCGGTTTCGGGAAATCAATCAAATCTGAACGTAAACCCCACGTTGCCAGAGTTGCTCAATCTAGGTAGTGAAAAGTAGACACGCATAAGAAACTCTCCGAAAGTAGACCTTCACATAGTCGGAACGTTTGTGCTACTACCGCGTAATGGTCTGTGGGCGGACAACACCACAGACATAATCTCAGTTTAAGATTTAGACTATGAAGATAGAAACAACTCGGCTACTTCTGAGTGAGGGTAGGATTCTCATCACTTCAGTGGGGATAATCAATTAATTTAAGTGTATATCAATAGATACCATGATTGAATGGAGCGTTTGCTGCACTCCACTTGTGTAGGCTTCCAACTGACGAATAAGCTACCTACCTTATGGACACAGGACAGCATCACACATAATCGGAACACCATAACTTAAGGTGTCGCAGCGCCACGTGTGGCGCTGCCGGTTACTGCCGTACGATACCGCTTTCCACAAGCCGATTACCCGTCTTGTACGGTATATAGATATAACCCTCATACGGGTCTTCCACTTAGAGGAATCAAGCCACTTTCTACTATACATGTCTTCCACTTGCTACCTCGCTTTGTGATATAAGGACACTTGAATATCAACGTCAAAGAGCGAAGACTGCCATTCTCTTGTAAGCTGCTAGTTGTACATGTCACTTTCTTCCTCTATCTATGTCTATCCGCCTCAATGCCATCAGACTAGGTTGTGCTTCGGTCTATTTGGGGCAGCCGGTTCCCCAGCCGTTGAGGGTATTGCAACAGTCGGCACCCTATAACTTGGTCAGCGAGAAAGTTTTGTTCCGATATCAAAGTTAATACTCACGCAAGTAGTAGACACCATAGACCCATCAGGTCCCTTGACGTTGGTGCAGTAGTTGGCCGTGTCGGCCTCGCAGAAATACTATTTTGTTCATTAATAGTGTTATCTTCTATGAAGAGAAAGGTGTACGCACTCGGTTGCTGTTCTATCTCAGGCAGGACTTGTATCCATCGTTGCCTCCCCAGCAGCAATCAGTACGGACAGAATTTCCAATCGCGCACTGCGGCTTGTTAGCGAGCCCAGATCATCTATGGAGGCTGTCAGGGAGCACATACGTGAGCAGCCATGACGGTAGAACCAACGGTGGCAAGGCCAGCCAAGAGAACGTGAGAGAACTGCATCTTGAAAATGGGTGAAAAAGTTGAAGATGATAATATCTTGAGGTAGTGAAAGACTGTGAGTGAGATTTGTCGAGTTTGACTATGTGGTAATGATTGTGAGTGATGGGTTAGAAGAGCTGATGGTGAGAGGGCGGCCCGGGTGATAACTTATATACATGAAGTCGTCTCTTCATCGCTAAGAACAGATTACGCAGTCAGCAAGGTAATCTCTAATGTCTAGATTAAGACACCGACTATGGTGCTGTGGTTGAGGCCGAACGATTGTCAAAGGCCGACAACACGACGGTGAATACCATGGATGCTTAGCCTCGTTCCATCGTAAAAGCATGATTAGTTGGCATCCCGACTACATCCCAAGATATGATCTGAAGTCCAGAGAAAATCGTCAGGGATATCTGGTCAAGGAGCGGTGATGTGCCGAGGCCCTGGCCGTAGGGCCACAACGTGGGGCGTTCGCGAGCCCTGCGACGACATGGCGAGCCACCAAGAGGACCGCGTACGGGTTATTAATGACTTGCTTGTTCACTATACCTTAGCCCGGTGTCTAAATCACGGATCTTGCGAGGTAAATTCAGCCCGCATCTACTCCGTACGTAGAGACTGCTGAGTCGTTGTCGGTTTCGGATGCCCATCCGGGACTCGAGTCATGATGACTACACGGGAGGCCAATCGCTCGACCGACGTGTCCTGAATAGGAAACTTCTACATTCCCATCATCTCAGCCCCATAGATGAGCAAAGTTTGTATTGACTTGAAGATCCAGTTCGTCTTTACTTGTGTGTACCAGACTACTCGGCATCCCACTTTTGCTCGGCATCCCCGCAGAGTCGCCTTGGCCTGGACTTTCAATTAACCCAACAAAAACATGATCGCCTTCCGGGTTCATCTGACTCAATCCTTTGATTTAGTGTTTAGACACTTGCCTTCTAAAGGGCCTGGTTTCTTAGAGAGAACACTAATCCTAAGTCCCCGTAATCCGTGCAGCCTGTGGGGCGTCTCTCATTGTTTGATACAGCTCAGCCGCTTTACACGTACGACTTTCAGTAAAACGCCTACAGACTTTAGTAACTCGCAAAGCCATTGGGCTGAGTTAGTGGAATTATTTTGAGACGCGCCGTAATGATTGCATTTTGCGCTTCTTGCATTATCTTCTATTCCGTGAAAGTGCTCGAAGACTATCGTGAAAGGTCTGTTCTCGAGTCCGAAACCGAGGCATACAGTTACTGAATCTGTGAGCCGGCGAAGCCGTATTCGAGCATCAACATTCGCATTCCACTTCGTATAAAGTCGGAGACAATATCCCACATAACTCAGAACTTCTCTTCATCACAATCACACAGTCAACACACAGTCTCTCACTATCAACAGTCACTCAGTACCAACACTCTCTCAACCGTCTCACTCACTTCGTTTCCAACTTTCAATCCTTCAACTCTTTCACAATGCAGTTCTCCAAGATTGCTCTTATCGGTCTTGCCTACACCACCGGCACTCTCGCCGCTTCTGTGAGTCTTCCATTTCAGTATTAACAACTAGGTCTCAGTTCAACTCCTAACGTCCTGAATAGTGCCGCATCTACAGCTGGCTGAACGGCGAAGCCGTTCTCGACAACTGCTGCTGGGGCAAGGGCCAGAAGGCTTGCACCAACCAGAACAAGAGTGGCACTGTTCGTGGCACCAGCGCCCAGTACTGCGCTGAGCAGAGCGCCAGCTTCTGCGAGAACGTCATGCTTGGAGGCAACCCGATCAGCAAGACTTGTGTAAGCTTTTCTCCTTTTGCGCTTTCTTCTCTCATGTGCATATGTGCTCACATTGGGTATTTCAGGATGCTGACTGCTGCTCCACTACCACTGGCTGGGGCTTTGGTTGCCCCAAGTAAGGGCATTAGAGTTGGAGGTTACCAGCATGCTTTCTTTACCTCTAGATAGATCATTGAATGGGGCAATTTGACTTTGACAAAACTTCAAAATCATGCTTGTGATGACATGTTGAATTTTAGACAATTTCTTCGAGCTTTCTCCGCCATCTTCAGGGGTCATGAGCGAACAGTAGCGTACGAGAAGTTCTGAAATGACTGAAAAATAACAAAAGGAGCCATAGCCTGGGCAGTGTATAGACATATGATAGTTCAAGATGAAGGGTATTGTAGCAGACACTAGAGACCAGACGCGGAAAGAAGCAAACCGTGCCCCGCGTAGATACACGTCAAGAAGGTAGCTTGCAGAGGGTGCCTGAGGAACCAGCAGACTCACGAAATACGCATGTATATCCAACGCAACCCACCTGGCTGCCCGGGAGAACGTATAGGGCAGGAACTGTGATAGGAAGGTATGAGCAGCGTCTGAAGTGTATATGAACTAGTGGTGGAAGTATTAACGCGTAATTGGGTCCTGAAAAGGTTGCGAGTTCGAATTTGGTGGTCCTACATAAGGTTACAGACAGCTCATTTTTTGCTCATTGTTCTTTCTAGATCGACTCTGGCAGAACTTGCGATGCTCAACATCGTTGATTTAGAGCCATATCATCAGCATGAGTATTTTGCTTCCTCTGGAATATTGGAGTCTGTCGCTGGATTGCACTCATTACTACTGATTTCTCCATCATGCCGACTGAGCAAACTCTCTATCTCGCATCGAGTTTTGCTATTGGGGCAGTACTGTTTGGCTATTCGGGCAGTAGCCCACCTTTTCAACCAATGGGCGCCTGCGCAGCGGAGCTCTGGCCACTTCCCCACACTCGACCTCCCGCAGCCACGCTTGCACCTGCCCACGGGCCAATGAGCGCACTTGCCGCCGTACTCGCACTTACGTAAGGGAAGTAATTGCCACGGTCGCAATCGCTACGGTCGCAATTGCCTACCTTCGCTTATAATTACGTAATATGAAACTCAACTGCCCGTGGACCTACTTAGCGATTGATTGCAGTACGATTTGGGCAGTTGCAATCAAAAGTGGGCAATTGCGACCGTGGGCAATTGCGACTATAGGCAATTCGTGGCAACTGCTTGCCTTACGTAAGTACGAGTTCGGCGCAGGTGGGCGGCAAGTGCGCTCGGTGGCCCGTGGCTAGGTGCAGCGGGGCGAGAAAACTTAAGGTTGTGGCGGAAGGCGCTCATTGGCTAGAGAAATGGGCTACTGCCCGAATAGCCAAACAGTACTGCCCCAATAGCAAAACTCCTCGCATCAATGTCCTACCAAGATCTCAATGTCTTTCCAAGACATTCGGTCGATGTTTTTCCACTTCGACTACTACCTTAGGCGAAAGGCCAATATGCCAATTCGTACATGTATCCGGTCGCCATCTTTGCGTGCTGCAAAACGTGATCGAATGAGACGTACTCCATCGTGTCATTCGGACTGTGGATATAAGGGTTATGGTTGCCGAAAGGCGTCTCAAAGATGAACGAGGACGGATAGCCATTGCGGTTAGCAGAAGCGTGATCGGAGCAGGCATATCCGCAGACAGTCTCCTCGTAAGGGATATCGGTGTACTAGTGAGATAGTCGTGTATCAGCATTGGCGCATCATGTGACCTAAATCTCATCACGGAAGCCTGCAACTATGTGACAAGCAACTTACAGTATCAATGATGCGCTTCATGAATGCAACCTGGTCAAGGTCCACCCAGTCAGTAACGACGCCAAACCTCTCGACACCGTCGCGGCCGATGTAGCCAACCATATCTTGCTGCAACATTGACACGACCTGGCGACTGGAGGCACGATATTGGGTGAAGATATCCTGGCTTCCGAGCAGACCGGCCTCTTCGGCGCCGTACCAGTGGAACTCCAGGGTGTTCAGGATATCACCAGAGGCGATCTTCGGGTCGGAGAGGAGGACACGGAGGACCTCGAGAATCATAACCGAGCCGGAGCCGTTGTCATCTAGCACAGTAATATCATTAGCCTCGTTCCTCCATGTCCCATTTTAAAGTAAGTAAGGCGTGAGGGACTCACCAGCACCAGGCGCACGGCCAGCGCCACGATCTCCAGAAATGACGGAGTCAAGATGCCCACCCAAGACAACAGTCCGCTGATTGCGCCCGGGAATCGTAACAATAATGCTAGGCTGCGACCACGCAGTATGACGCACATAGCGGATATTGGCGGTGGGATGTCCTGCAACATCCAGGACGGCGTTGATCTGGCCATACAGCCACTCTGCTGACTCAACGCCCGTCTTCGAGAGGTAGTACCGGTTGTGGAAGGACGAGAAGCGCTCGAGGTGCGCTTGCATGTTGTCCTTGTTCAGCTTCGGAATCAGGGCATTGACGTGGCACGTCTGGTTCATCTCCGTAGGGAAGGGGAGAGCAGCGAGGGGCTTGAAGTCTGCGGCGGGGGCGACTGCTGGGACATCGGACCATTCTGTGATGTCGAAGAAGTGGACGCGTTTCTGGGCGTGTCAGCTAATGTCGCGAGAATGAAGAATCGACGAATTCAAGGTCACGTACGTCCATCATCTCCCATTTCTCTTCCTCCGTGACGGTGACAGTCTCGCCTGGAGCAATCTCCAGCGTGAACAGCTTGTTTGGGTCACGGGGTTCGACAAAAGAACCAGTGACCGAGGAGGCCGCTAGGGCCGCGAGGAGAGGCGTGAAGCGCATGGTGACAGCGATCCACTAAAGCCAGTAAAGATGAACGATTGACTGAGATCCGCTCGGGTTCATTCGATGAAGAGTCGTACCGGGTCATCCGGTCCATTATATACTCGTCTCGTCTCCCGACACGGTGGGTATTTGCATGCTTTGCTAGAGCTAATCCCCTCACCCAGCAGCATGTTGCAGGGATATCACGATCGCTGACGTTAAAGATGCTTCAAACTCGGCAGAGAAGTAAGTCCAGCTGAGGGGTAATCGTATCTCGAGCGCAAACCGGGGCAATAGTCCCAAGAGCGGCGCAACTCTATCTCATGTATGCCGAGAACTAGAACGGGAAGCTGGGAACTTTGGAAAGCTTAGCCCGCACGTTGGCGGTGAGTTGAGTTCCCTACTAAAGGTAAGCTGATTTTGCGAACTTTTGAGTTGGTCATGTTGGGCTTAAAAAGTTCCTCGGACCACACATGATGATAGATCTGCAGGACCCGGGTTTCTTTGTAAAGCCATTGACCAATTGTTTCGGGGGATCCTGACCAAGGCCTACGTCTGTGCTGACAAGGCGAGGGTCATGTTCACTTCGTTGCTATCTCGTCCGAACTTCCAAGATGATGTCTGGTTTTAACGGTTTCCCCGTTGTCGCAATCGCGGCATATAATACAGCCCTAAACTTGGTGCGTTGTTTCCTGGTCAGCCCTGGCTGATGTTAAACCCGAGAGTTCCGACAGAAGGAGATTTATCAGAAGATTGACAAACATTCTTTGATTGCCATCTCCCATGCGCCGAGTTGATGATGCGCCAAGAGTATCTCTATTCGGAAGGTGACGTTTAGCCAAGACGTTGCGCGGGGATTTGCAACTGAGGGGTTGGAAACAAAAACCAGCAGATTTTGTCTGACTTGCAAAAACAAAGATCTCGGCATGCCAAGCGTCGCATAGGATAATATGGTAAATCAAAGTTCCGTGCCCGATCCACGGGGATAGGGATTGTTTGACTTCCGAGTCTTGACTTCTGGAGTTCCGATTGATGCGAGAGTTGAGGAGGCAGTGACGGAGGTCCAGGCAACGAAGCGGACTGGTCTCTCAAGCATTCCAGTACATTACCGATACAAATCTCGAGCTTTCCATCACAAACTCAGCAGAGGTTGTCTCTCGAGCTCATCCCACCCCTCGTCCATGCCATCGCGCAGGGCAAACACTAGCAACGCCCCCCGCATCAACGAAGCAAGGCCATCATTGACAACAGGCCAACCAATCAAGCGATACCACTCAACCCAAGACGGTGAATATGGCGGGTACCTGACGCGGAAGACCCATGTTATCGCGACAAGAGCGAAGGTGACGCATTGGATAGCAAGACCCGGGAGGCTAAGGGCGCCTGCGTTGCCACCTCTGGAGCGTATCTCTCGTGATTGGGTGATCGCGGCGAGAACGGTGAAAGATGTGGAAAGAGGTATGAGCAGGACGTAGTGGACTAAAGCGAAGATATCTTGAGCCCATCGTCGGGGTTCGGATCGGGAGGCTGGGAGGCTGGCGTCTATGAGGACGGGGATGATGCTGAAGAAAAGGAAGACAGTAAAGATTGCGCCGGCGACTGTTCTGTGGACTCGCGTATCATGGTCTCCGGAAGAATATCGGATGGAAAGAATGAACCTGCAAAAGTAAGGGTGAACGTAAGCTCACTTTATTGACAAGCAGGTTTGCCTTTTCATATCCAGGATCCTCACAAGTAGAGAGAACAAAGCCAAACAACGACTAGCTGGCCGAGATTGAACCAGTCGCCAGCCGTAGCTGGAGTATTGACAAAGGCGTCGGGCCGCAGAGCTCCAGCATTGTTGACATTGAGAAAGAGGCCTGTGGTGAGTTGTTCCGTAGCGCTGAGGAGGTTGAAGAGAACGTAGTAGAGTGAAAGGCCGTTGCAGTGGCATTGTTCGCGGAGTCGGTGGTATTGTGGTGTAAATGAGATGAAGCTTAGAACTCCCAGGAGTCTAATGACTGTAGTCAGTAGATGGCTATGAAGAGAGTTGTCCTTCCTTGTCATTCATGTGTGGTATATCCTCTTGTGTTGCAGTGGCTCGTCCTCTTCATCGTCTGTGGGCCTTCATAGAAGAGGACGAAGGAGGCCCTAGGATTCTCAAATTGAGAGCAGCAGCCGGGTATGCAAATATTTTTAAGTGAATATTACTTACACTCTGCCAGAGTTAGGTAAGATATTAGGAGCCATAGCGAGCCAAGTGATATCCGGATCGTCAAGGCGTAATTTCGGCGAGGACTAGAAAATTATCTCGAATTGAATGAGCAACACCAACCTCTTTCCCCGAAGGTCGGACGCGACGCGACAAAGATGAAGTCGACGCCCATCCAAAATGCCGTCGGCTGGTTGTTCTCTATCACAGTCGAGTGATCCTGTAGGATTCAGGCATCGCGACACGTGGGCTGTCGAGTCACGACGACTCGATCGAGTGGCCCGTTGGCGATAAGTTTCCGAGGGATCCACAACTGCAAGATCCCAAGCACGTCAGCATGAAAGACAAATGAATGTACTCGCGAGAAGTCAATGGATTATTAGGGCTGTCTGTCTCCTATCTCATCTATCGGACCTCCATGTATTATGGCATAGAGCCGCATTTCCTGATTCATCAATCCATTTGATCATCTTACGCAGATCCTAGGCCAATAGTATGGCCAACCAATAGCAAACAGAGCCAGTCCAGTTCTCACTCGTATGCAATTCTCATTCATTATCGTCGATCTACAGCTCTAAAAGATGTAGAACTTGATGCGATTCTTCACACCAAACTGCCCATCATTATCGCAGTACTCCCAGCCCCAAAGACGCATCTGGGTCTGGCTAGGGTCGTACAGCTTGAGGGCTTTAGTGAGAAGAATGTCGAGGTCCATGTTGCCGACGGTGATATCTGAGCCCCAGGGCAACCAGGCGATGCGACAGGAGCCAACCTTGGCAAGAGGGGTGGCATTACCGCTATTGATCTCGTCCTTGTTGAATCGGAAGCGGAAGCGGCGGACAGACATGAAGTTGCGGAGCTTCTCGCAGTCGGCGATGAGAGGCGAGTCGGGCTTGGCGCCGCCCCAGAACTGGATCTTGCCAGTGCATCGCTTGGAAGGGCCGAGGGGCGTATCGACTCTCTCCAATCTGGTGCCAAGTGCCTTGCTGTGAGCGAGGGGGCCATGAAGGAGATTGGCGTTGAGCTGGGCCGTGATGTTAACGCCGTTGCTGTCGATGACGGTGTAATCGACCCAGTTCAGCGAGGGGTCCGTGTCACTGGGGATGCTGGCTATTTCTGCCGTGGCAGCCAAGTCCTCTGGGGAGCCAGACTTGACCATCATCGCACCTTTCTCCATGATCTCTGGAGCGGGAATGGCAGAGATGACGTCTCGCTTGCTGTCCTCAGGAGGGTCGACGTGGCCTTTGCCGGCGAGTTCAGGATCTCTGTAGACGAGTGCAAACTCGCTCTCGTACTTCACGTGGGTTTCTTTCTCGGAGCCACACATCCCGCCCATCTTACCGATTGTGTAGTCGGATTCAAATTGAGCTCCGTCCCAAAGAAGCATGCGCTCGACGAAGTTGGCCGTGTCAAGGTTGGTGAACGTAATGTTGGTTTTGGAGAGGGAAGTGAAGCCGACGGCACAAGTCTCATGGGCGGTGAACTTGACCATTCTGTTGGCTTCGCGGTCGAAAACTACGACTTTGGCTGTGTTGGTCTTGAGGAAGTCGAAAAGGTTCTGACAGTCCTTGCGGAAGGGGCGGTTAGGCTCTTTCCAATCCGCGGAAAGCCACTTGGCATCGCAGTATGGTCCTTCAGCGGGACCATCGAGTGTCAAGTCGAATCGCTTGTCCTTGGTCGGAATGTCGGAGGAGAGACCAATGTTGGTGGTATTGATGGCGTGGGCATTCCCATTGGTAATGAAGGCAGAGGTATGTCTGGGGATTTCGTCGAGGGAATGGACAATGAGCGGCGCCTCGCGCTTTCTGCCTCGAGTCTCAAGGCTGGTGGTGTTGTTCGGGATGAAGGTGTCGTTGCCCAAGTTGAAGGCGGGTTCATCAAGAGGACCGCGCTGTTGGAGTCTCCAGAAGACAGGGGCAAAGCCTGAATCGCCTTCATAGACAGTGCAATCAGCCTCGCCGGAAGCAGACATGCGGCCCTTGTCGGTCCAAGCCTTACGGCTCAGAGATCTGTCGAGGAAGTTGGCCATATCGCCGGTTGAGAAGACGACATTGTGGTGGACGGTGCGAGTGCGGTAGGCGCAGGAACCAACAAAGGCGACCTCGGCCCAGCGGTTGAGGTCGATCTTGTTGTCGAAGTAGAAGTAGACGGGGTGGCTGTGACAGTAATCGTAGAGGGCCTGGCAGTCATCGCGACGAGGAGTGCCCTTGTCGCCATTGTCCTTTTGGCTGGCACGGACGGTGCAAAGCTCCATAAGCTTAGGCACCTTCTTGATCTTGAATTGCTTGCCGATGTCGTTGGGGAGCTTGGAGACATCGTCAGTCATGAACACGCCAGGAGCAACGTGAATCACAACATTAGAACCGTTGGCAGCCTTGAAGGCAATGGAGCTGTACTCCGCGATGGGAGCAGGAACCTCAGCGAGGGTCTGCTCGAGTACGATGTGGTCGGAGGCAATGTGCTCGGGGACGGCGCGCGCGAGGGCAACCGCCGTAAAGGCAAGAACGGGCGCGAGAATTATTCGCATCGTGAGACTGGGGATATGAGACCGTGTCTCTGCTGTTGAGGGAGTATTTTGCCTTGCGCAAGAAATTGTGAGAATAGTAAAGCAAAGAAGGGATACTCGATTGGGATTCGAGGATGGAGAGAGAGCCAGGCAAGGCGTCAATGAGGGAGGAAGATTGAGAAATCGAGTAGGGAATCTTTGTCCAAGGGGGCACTGACGGTGAAGCGCGTCTTGGTTCCAGGTTGTGGGAGGGAAGACAAAAAACTTCAGGGCTGGATGGTGGGAGGGTGGGAAATGATACTCGCCTGGCCAGGCGGCGAAGAGGGAGATCACGGGACTTGCTTGCTTCTATTTCCTCTTTGGGTAATTAAAGCGGTGAGAGAGTGGAGGCCGCGAGAATTTTCAGATGAATATACGCGTGAATAGAGGTAGGAAAAAGCTCGCCCGGGAGGGGAGGTGTGTCGTGCCTTCCTGAAGTTGCTTCTGGGGCTCACCTAGGTAACCAAATGAGGTGAAGCCGGAGGTGATTTACTCCTCGGTCTCCCGTAAATCACTTCACTGTACACTTGAAAATACTGGGCCTCGAGATGCCTGATACGGGCAATCTGACGCCATTGAATTAAGGCAAGGATAGCGTGGGCATATGAGAGTATGTTTGAAATATCACAGGCATGAGTGCGGAAACATTTGAGCGGTCAAGGTCCCTTGCAGACATGAAAATAGGGAACGGTCGCACCAGCCCGGGTCCCCCTTGATCAACTATCTTACAGCTCTGATTGCTGATGCGTTTGAATGGGTGACTCCTTTACTGCCAAAGAGTTGCAGTACAAGGAGCTTTGAGAACAACGGCCTTACTCCTAACGTCTTTCTTGTTTGAAGAGCTTTGGTCGTACAACCTAAATATCATTCATGCAAGGGGAAGTGGCAAACCCCTGTGACGTTCGCAAACTTATGGAATGCGATTCTCAATATGCGGGGTGATATTGTTCCTGCGATGTCTTTTTTGGTCTTCTATGTCGGAGTTTAATGAGAAAATGATGGTTGCCCGGTGTAAGGCCGGGACAATTAATTGGAGTTGACAGGATCCAAAGCTTCAACATGCCCAGTGACAGAATTCGGAATTGTACCGTTGCGCCATATACAAAAGAGAGATCCCTCTACTGCATTTAGGTAGTTGTGGGTACATATAGTTTCCGTCACCCAGACAGATATACTCCCCATAGAACCTCTAGCCTGCTAATAGTAAAGCTTTATATTAACCTTCCCCCATTTATTGATACAACGTAACAATTCGACTCTCCCCAAATGTACAAAGGCAGGTATATAGCAGGAAGTGCCGTACAAATTAGCGACATATTCGCAGATTATGAGCCGTGCAGTGCTATACTGATAAAGCAGCAGTGTTACGGCCAGCTAGTCGTAGGGGTTGTTTGCAGAAGTTGAGGCTGCGGAACTGGTAACAGTAATCGTAGTCGTGGAATAGTTTTAAGGAAACTATGTCTGTCAATCGTAAGGGTAGTTAAGGCTTCGGTGATCAGTCGTAGTCTTGTCAAGGTAGTAGCTGAAAGCGGATGTTAATCCTGATACGAAGTTAATTGCTGAAGAAGCTATGGAAAGTCTGTCCTAGAGCCCGGCTCGAGTCCATCCTATCCCATCGAGTGCTGCAAGGCGACAGTACATTGGCTCCACATAACGGGCCCCCTTTTACCCCGCACCGCATCTGGTACATCCACTGCTTGAGTTGCCCCTATGATTTCCACTCCGGTACATCTACCAAATCCATCATTACCAATACTCAATTAATGGATTCTGACGATTCTGACGGATCTGGCCGTTCCACGGGCTCGGCGAAGTCGTGTATCTTTGCCCTGCTGCCCGAGGACCTCGCCGCCGCCTGCACTGCCGACTGTACGCCGGAGCAATGTGATAATGCCACTGTTCGGCCCCGCGAGCCTCCGGAGGTTGAGCCCGGTATCCCTGGGAAGTACACGAGGATGGGCTGCCTCGAGTGCGATGTAGCTCTCTGTAACTCAGAAGATTGCTGGTACCGATTTCATACGCAGAATCTCTAGTAATTGGAAGTATCTATTATCAATTACGTTGGTTGGTTGGAAAAAGGGGCCCGAAGTGGCCCGATTGGCTGCTCCCCCGCATCTCAATGTACTGTCGCCTTGCAGCACTCGATGGGATATACAAGTCTTGATTCTGAACATATCCTTTATCCGTATGTTTACCGTACGGATTCCGTATTCTGAACATACGGGGTCCGTACCTCAAAGATGATGATGATGATGATGATGTATTTAACGTCTGGTAACAAAAGGACGTGCCGGGCGCTATGCCGACATGGTCTATGCTAATCTAAACTATGTTACAGGCTACCGTCTTCACCTAACGTTCTTGTTCAATGACTCGGGCAAATTTCGGAAAAGAAATTGGTCTCCTCTATCCATTCGCATAGAAGAGAGGCTCCCTTAGCAGAACCTAGCAAGAAATCAATGCTTGCTTTGGCCATACGTTGGCGGAGGTAGCGCGGTGTAGCCTTGCGTCCACGCTTGCAGAAGTAGAAATGGACTGGTGTCTTGGGTTTCCCACAGCTGCAATTGAGCAACGCATCTTGATGAGCGAATCTCTCGTGGTATGCTGCAAAGTCTCCATGATGGGATCTTGCTGCGTATAGCCTTCCTAGTAAGTGCCGAGGGAGGCGAAGTTCGGGCGGCTTGGGGTGAAGAATTATCTCGAGGTCGGCATATTGTCGAGGGCATTGGGACAGCCATTTTCTGGCAAAGGCTTCCGTACCTCAAAGGGACGGATTCCGTATTCTTGGCATACGGCTTTCCTTATCTTATCATCACGTGACTTGCTCCATAGTTCTTCCGTTCCGTAGGGTGACGCATCATGACCCTTATACATCATCATCATAGTTCGTGCACTTATGGTGTGCCGTAGCCGCCGTGGTCCTGCGGGGCAGGCCCTGGACTTGGTCGTGCATGTTGGGTCGTAACAAGCAGCTCACGTGCTCCCATTGTTAGTAGGCATGAATGGCATCCCTGAGTCGCTCCGGTATTACTTTACGCTTGCGCTTACCTCTAAGTGCTTTTCCATTTCCGTTACCATCAAATTTCACGGTCAAAGAATCTTATATTTCCAAGTTTACTCCGCGAGGCTTTTACTGACGAGTACGCCTTGAATATTGCAACCCCAAGGTATTCAGTGTTCATATGCATGATGGTGCAAGTAATTTTCAAGTGAAAGTAGAAATATGAAGGAATCGGGAAGGGAGAGAAGATAAATTTCGAACGACTATAGAATTACCCATCAAAGCCTTCATCAACAATCATGTTAGAAAAGGTAAGTAGGTATGATGGAACCGTCCTCGTTTTCTGTGCTACGATCAATGACGAAGCTTCTTCGTGGATTATAACACATGCTGGAGACAAACGTGATCGCATGTGTTTGCTAAACCCTTGTCAGGCTAAATGATCTAGAGACCGAATGCAGTCTACATGTGCTCACGGTGGTCCATTTCTCTTCCCCACGTGCATTCAGCGATCCTCAGTGTTCGAAGCACTCCTAAGACACCTATCTGAGAGACCATAGTCATGAGTATGACAAACTAGTGAGAATAGCATTGCAGAAACTTTTGGCCTTTCATGTAGATGCGACTAAGGCGTAGTACGCGTCTAGCTGCCGCCGGCCTCTTGGACCTTCCATTCAATGGACACAGCCACACAAAGGCTGGGGCACTTTAGACACAAATGATAGCTGTCATTGGAACTCAGAGTGTTACTCAATCATGCCAGATCGGGATATTCCAAGCAAAGCACCCGCACCCCAAAGAAATCGGCTACCTACCCGTAAGAATCACACCTTAGCTCCCATTGAATCATACCTTAGCTCCTATTCCCGCTGCAAGATTGCCAACATATGTCTGCTGTGCATGTCAAGCTTCTGAGTAAATTGGTCCGATATCATCGTTGATGGGGCGGATCGCCGGAACCGGAACCGGAACCTTGGACCGGGGGGCTGGGCATGTTTCCCGTCCGTTATCAACTGTTGGGCAGCGACTATCAGGTAGGGGGTCAATGGGATGTATTGATGAGTATGAAGAACGAGTGGCTATGGGAATATCCCGACTATCTATATAGTGAGTGGAAGACCCTTTATACTGGCATATCCTTGGCAAACTTAGTCATGCTTGTGTAAGACCATATTATCTCATAGGCATAGTGTGACAATCGTTGTAACGAGTGTACTGGGATGGGCCTGACATCAACAAACGAGTCCGAGGAAACCCCCGCCAGCCGACGAGCCAATTTCACGCCTTTGGGCCCCGTCGGGCCCCGCAGAAACATGTCAACCCCATAGAATGATCCGGGGCCGCCATGCAATGCTGCAATAAACCGCAGCAATAAGCATGAACTAGCCAATTCCACGGGTTGGGGTCTGTTGCTATGCCGTAATCTTATTCTGCCCAGACCAGTTGATCTCGTCCAGCTATCAAGATAAGTATCAGATAAGACCTCTCCCCGTCCATTCACATTCCCTCAGAAGCTGACAAACATTGAATACGGGGAGACTCGAGAGCCTACTCACCGAAGCGGCCCAAGATGGAGACCATTCCGGGACTTAACCACTAGGTTGGTATGGCTCTGCCGACGACGGCACTGGTCACTTTTTTGCCGAGCTGATAAGAGAAAACCCGAGAGCACGGAACCAGCGTTCACCTGCCTTCGCCTCGAGCGCATTCGGAGCCCAAACCCACGTGTGATAGGACCCAAGCCATGGAGATAAGGTCAGTGATGGTTTTCGAGGCAGAGTATTGGTCAATTGGAGCATCTTCCATGGTTTCTAGCGTGGAAATGGAAAGGTCGGGCGAGTTATTTTCCCACAAGCCGGATACTAGCACCGGAATCAATGGGAGTTGCTGAATGTTCTTATCGCCTTGGCTACAGTCATGTATTTCGGAGATACATCGTATCTAAGAATCGCTATATAAGACAAAGTAAACATGCCGCCAACTTCTGCTGATTTACCAGCCAGCAGAGCAGTTCAAAGCATCTTCTTCTCGTCATAGCCACCATTGTCCCCAAGAAAACCACCAGCAACTACGGTGACTTTCTCTTCGCAAGACAATCAGCCAAGATGCAGACTCGCAACCTCCTCCTCGCTGCTTCCCAGCTGGCTCTCGGCCTCGCGGCCCCGGCCCCGCTCTCGGCATACAACCTGCTCTCTACCCGCGAGACGCACTACAACGCCAGCCTGCCCAACATCACGATTTTCGCCACGGGCGGCACCATCGCCGGCTCAGCCTCCTCCAACGCACAGACAACAGGCTACCAAGCCGGTGCCCTCGGTGTCGACATCCTCATCGCCGCCGTCCCGGAGCTGTGGAACGTCTCCAACGTCAAGGGCGTGCAGGTCGCCAACGTGGACTCGGGCAGCATCACCCCCGGCATCCTCCTCAACCTCACCCGCCTCGTGCAAGAGGCTCTCGATGACCCCTACTGTCAGGGCGCTGTCGTCACCCACGGCACCGACACCATGGAGGAGTCTGCCTTCTTCCTCGACGCCACTATCAAGAGCGAGAAGCCCGTCGTCGTCGTGGGCGCAATGAGACCCGCCACCGCCATCAGCGCCGACGGCCCCATCAACCTCCTCGAGGCCGTCACCCTCGCCGGCAGCCCCGCCGCTGCGGGCCGCGGCACCATGATCGTCCTCAACGACCGCATCGGCAGTGCCTACTACACCACAAAGACCCACTCCAACTCCCTCGACACCTTCAAGGCCGTCGAGCAGGGCTACCTCGGCTTCTTCCTCGACATCAAGCCCGTCTTCTACTACCCTCCCGTCCTGCCCCTCGGCCGCGCCTACTTCAACGTCACCGAGGCCTCTGAGCTGCCCGAGGTTGACATCCTCTTCGGCCACCAGGCTCTCAACCCTGCGCTCGCCACCGCCGCTGTTGCCAGCGGCGCCAAGGGTCTCGTCCTTGCGGGTATGGGCGCCGGTGGATGGACCACCCCTGGCCGCAACGCGCTCAAGACTCTGGCGCAGGAGAACGGCACGCAGATTGTTGTCTCCAGCAGAACCATGGGTGGATTTGTCGAGGACGACGATGCGCTTAACACGTACGGTGGCTGGAACCTGAACCCCCAGAAGTCGCGCATTCTGTTGCAGCTTGCGCTTTACTCTGGCTACAGCTCTGAGCAGCTTGAGACGCTGTTCAGGTTCGCCCCTTAAGTGGGTTGAAACATGAAATTGAATTATGAGATTATGAGCACATAGATATAACTAATAATAGAGAAATAGTAATTTTTATCATTGCAGTTAACAAAAGCCTGTGATGGCTCTCCTTTTAAGAATTGCCGGATCAAGTCTTTCCATAACGCCAGGCGACTTTGCGACGTCAACAACCTTACTTGTCTTCGCTACGTGTATTTTTCGGGGGCCTTGAGAGAACTCAATTGAAGTGACGAAGTATCCGATCATCATCAATCACAGTCTAAAAAGAAACCGGTGCATGCATTCTTCGAGCACCGATGTCAAGCCATTTCCTCTTCGAGCAAGGATCATAGGTCCTTCTTCGAAGGGCTCTTCTCCAACTCGGCAACCTTTGCAAAGACCTGCTTCGTCTCCGCGCAGCTTTTAACAATAAGATAAAAGGGGATGATGATCCAAAAGGCGTTGAAGAAAACGTAGTAACACCAAAAGTAAAAGTCTTCAGGTCGGCAGTAGATCATCTTGGCAACAAGCTTGTCAAATGAGCATGTCGCAAAGTACAGAACGTCGCCGTAGAGCTGACCGAGACTGATGATGATCTGCAGCGGGTGGCGGAGGGGGTGGCTGGTGACGATGAAGTAGGCGCACGCGAAGGACAGCGGACCCCAGCAGAAGGCGGTGATAGTCTCCATGCAAACGATGAAGGAGTCCTGGGTGAGGTAGCGAGAGTCGGAGAGGGAGTACTCCTTCCAGAGCTGGCCGAAGATGTGGAGGGATGCTGGCATGCGGGATTGGTTGTATGAGAAGTAGCCTGTTCGGGTGTTAGTTGACCTGTTCGACTCTGACGTCTGGGGGCCTAAAACCACTGACCTTCGAAGAAGAGATGGATGAATGCGCTGAGAGTGAACCATAATGCCGTGGCAACTTCACCGTTAGGGAGGTTTGGTCTCGTCCTCTTGATGATGCGATACGTCGGCACAAGGATGGCGGTTGCCCCTGCGGCAAACATCCCACGAAGAGCATGCGCGCCAAACGTATTGGCAACGTAGCCGGGGAGCACAGCCTCCGCGGGGAAATACGGGTGGACCGGGATAGTGGCGTTCATGACGATTTCTGCAGCCATTGCGGTAACTTTTGGTTTCCTTCGTTGAGCCTCAGTTCTGATTTTTGATAAGTTCACTTACACCGGAGGGAAGTTCGTGAGTTTTATGGACGTCAACGCAAAGGATTCATTCCCCACGCTTTAGCTCCACTCTACCTTGGCCGGGAGAGATGCCATCCGCGTCGTGCGATTCTTAGCTCTTGTTTGCACAGAGACACAGGCCAAGTGTTAAGCAATCTGACATTTTATTGGCCACAAGTCCTACATAAGCAGCCAAGCGAGATTGCACCCGTGTCGTATTCGGGTTCAAGCATTTCTGTCTGACAAAACCACGGCCGAGAGAATAGAGAGGAGGACTTTAGTGCTATTCTCCGGGACCGCCAAGTGCGAAAGGCCGATCCGGGATCCACACCTGGAGTCCGAGTCTGCCGGCGCCCGAAAGTTCGACACCGGGCTGTTCCACCGAGTGAAACATGACACAGAAGGGATGCACGGCAACTCTTTGAACAGTGAGATTCTCTATAATTATCTGGTTATCTATGTACTATTGCTTATTAGATATGAGTTGGGTATACCATTACAATCTTTACATCTCGTCATTCCATCCAGCCTCTAGTCTCGTTTCCATTGCTGAGGCCTTTCACACGTCGCCCTTCTTTTCTCCCTTCGTCTTGCGGATATCGACCCAGCCCATACCCCACGAAAGCACAAACGCGAGGCCGCCGATTCCGACCATGAGGTAAAATACCTCGCCAATACTCTTCGAATACGCCACCAACACCCCAGGCAAATCCCCCTCCGGTACAACCTTCCTGAACCCCGTGCCGCCCGCAGCCAAAATCGTCTTTGCGTCTACGGCGGGGGCGTACTTTGCCAAGTTCTTGCCCAAATCTTCGCTGAAGATGACTTCGCCTGCTGTCAAGAAGATGGCACCACCAAAGGTCTGCATGAAGACGAGCATGGCCATCGATACGGATAGAGTCGCAGGTGGGATGTTGGCTTGGACGGCGATGATGTGCTAAGAACCATAAGTATTAGCTTAGTCTTTCTAGGTCGCATGGTGGTTTATCTCACCATTTGCATGCAGGCACCGCGGCCCGCGCCGAGGAGGACTTGATACCCGATCCACTTTGCAGAATCTGTAGACGGATCCCAAGTAGACATGAGACCGTTGCCGATCGCCGATAGGACGGATCCAAAGACGGCCCAGGGGAGGTAGTATCCCAGCCTGCCAACTGTAGAGGGTCAGCATTTCGTCTTGTCATTAACAGGGGAGCGTAAAGTACGTGACAGTCGTCATCTTACCCAAAGCCCCAGACGCCACAGCAAAGACCAGCTGGGCAATGATGGTCGGCAAGAAGTGAACACCACCCTTGAACGGCGTCTCACCCTTGACGCTCTGGAAGTACATTGGGATGTAGTAGCTTGAGACCTGCGTGATGCTCATGTTCAAGGCTCCCACAAGACTGCTCGTCAAGACAATTCTGTTCTTGAACAATCCCAACGGGATCATGGCTTTATCGTCACCCTCCCTGTACTCCCAATAGATGAAAAGCCCAGCGGTCGCAGCGGCGCCAACGAACAAACCGATGACCACCGATGAGTCCCAGCTATAGTCATTGCCGCCGAACTGTAGAGCGAGAAGGAACATGATGGCCGCGGGAGCGAAGAGCGTAAAGCCGGGAAGGTCGAGGTGTCGGGGGATTTGGAGAAGGGAGACAGGCTTGGTGATCTTCGACGGGATGTGGATCAGGAAGAGCATAGCTGCAGTAACGGCACCAATGGGAAGGTTGATGTAGAAACCTGTGTCTCCAATTAGTGTCCCATTCTCGATTCAAAGCCCATCTACGAAATCAAGAGAGTTATCAAGCTGGGATAGGGGGAAACTTACACCAACGCCAAGTCGTATACTGCGTCAGGGCTCCTCCCACTAGAGGTCCAGCGACAATTCCAATGTTCGAAATACCAATCATGATCCCAATGATCAATGGTCTCCTTTCCAACGGAACCGTTGCGCCGATAATCGTCAGCGAGCCGTTGAAAAGCCCACCGGATCCCATGCCGGAGACAGCCCGTCCGATGATGAACAATGTTGATGAATCAGATAGGGCGCAAATGAGGGATCCGGCCTCGAACACGAAGAGGAAGGCAAGGAAGATTTCTTTCGAGTGGCGGTGCGTGTAGAGCTTGCCGGCTAAGGGCTGAAGGGCGGCACTAGTTTGAGATACAGATCAGCTTGGGCGGTTCGAAGAGCACGTGGCTCGAAGCGTTTCCCTTAAAAAAGGCATATGGTTGACATACCCACAGAGACTGTACGCTGCACCATACCATCCCACGTCAGAAAGGGAGTTGAACGCCGTTGTGATCTCCGGAACGGCCTAGATCCAGTATCAAATTTGTACGAGCACCTCGCCACATCTTGACAATCGTACCGTAGTGATAACAGACATGTCCAGCATCATGAGGAACACAGTGAGTGTTAATGCCGCCAAGACGAGGATGAGCCTGACGCCCTCGATGTACTCCTCCTCGACTTCCTCTTGGTCCGCCGCCGTACTTCCCTCATCTTCGGTGCCGGCCTCCTTCTTATCGGTCTGCTCAAGGTCTGAATTGTTTGATGGTGGCAGTGGCTTTTCCGACATGTTGAGGATGATAGGAGTGGCTGACAGTTGTGTCATGGCCGATGCCGGTGATGTGAAGCGGGTTTCGGTGAGCTCTCTGGAGCTTCGTGGAGTAGGATGGTCCATGTTCAAGATCTTGATAGGATCTAGGGGAATCTCTGGGCATTAAGGAAGTTGTATGGATGAACCTTGACAAACTACCCATCTGTGGGAGGTCTTATAATAAGCATCAAATACATCAAGACAGGCTGATGCGCGTGCATTTAAGAAACCCATAGCCTGTGTCTGAACTCCGTCTCGTAACTCCCTACATCCAACCTTAACCCCATCGAGTCAACATGCATACAGCCGGCATTTTCAGGTACTAACCCGCTCGAGGGTGTCCAGACTCGCTTAACCCGTGGCTCGGGGTAAGGCTGACAATAGCGCAATCGCTGCACATCCGGGATTCATACTAACCCCGAGGGGACTTTGGTAATACCTTACTCTTCACACCACATCAAATTTCCGTTCACGCGCCAACGATTGGTCCCAACAGAGTGGAACATACGGCTCGGGCATACTTGCCCCGTTCTCTACTAACGTATTTGGTCATCCGGCTTACTATTTCCAGTGTACTGGCTGTTTTGTTGACCGTTTGTTGGTTTTGAATTCGGAAGGATTCGACTAGCTGCATGGTGAGATTAATTACGAGTCAAAACCCCCCAGCCGGGATTTAGTGCCACGAGGATCCTGAAATCCGTCCGGTCAGCCATCCCGCTTCGATTTACAGCCGCTGCAGCGATAACCCGAGCCCCTCCGCAGTTGGTGTTTCCGAGCAAACAGTCCGGATCTGGGCTTGGCCGGCGCAGGTAGCCAGAACTCGGATACTTTACTGGATAGTGGAGTCTGAATTGGTCCGACGACCAAACGGACATAAGGGCAAAGGCCTGTGGCTCAACTCTCACTTCGCATTCGTAAGTCGGATTGTCTCTTTGAACCCAAACGCCGCACGCATTTTGTTAAGAGACCAATAAACATATTGGTTATCACTCAAGCGCAACGCTGACTGTCAGGTGCAGCCAAATCACCCGCCGCAGAAAAGACCTAATTATATAGAGCTAGGCTTCTATTTAATTTGACTGGTCTGTATGAGCCCCGACCATAGGCCAAGTCACTGAAGGTGTGACTTGTCCAACATGGCGAAGATCAGAATCGGAACGCCTCAGCGCCTGAAAGAGCCGCGCAGGCAACCCAGCGAAGATATTTACGGTGATGACTCCTTGGAGATGTCCACAACCTTCCATCAAGGTCCCTAGATACCTTGCGAGGCGAGAAAGCTGCCAGAAGGGCATAGAAGCTCGCTGGTTCCTCGCTAAGAGTCTGCCAGCAGCCAACCTCTGGAAGTCTCGAAGACTCTACCGCAAAGACTTAAAGTCTCGAAACCGTAAGTATCCTCAATGTCCGAGAAAAAGCACATGTCTCGCTAAGAAACTGAAACCCATATTTCAGATAAAAACTACACCTTCCTCTCTCTCAGCCACCAGGCGACAGCGGACTTAACACCGAAATTCATTGGACGGTACCTCCAGCTCAATAGTAAGCACGCAACACATCCGCGCTTTACACACGTCTCAAATCCTTACGTCAACCAGGCGTACGAGGTTGCATCGTTGCCATCCCACATTCCCATTATCTATCTCCTTCGCCCACTTCAAGCAAAGATCAACGGACGCTATAGACTTAGTTGTACAAGACGACCCGCGAATATTCGTCACAGCAGTGCATCTCCACCAGCCCACGCTTTACCTTATCAAGCGGTAGGACTTGGACATTATTAGTCTTTTCCTTTGACTGACCTACGAACACTAGCAGGGGCAAAGTCACGACTACACAATCTTTCAAGGCGGATATTGTACACGGCTCCGACAATGGGGCGATTCAGCGACCTTGCAAAGCAGTATCTTGCCGTACTTGACCGTGTCACCGGCTTCAAGAAGGAAAAGTCGGAACACGACACCGAGCTCGACACCAAAGTCGACGCCAAAGTCGACACCAAAGCCGACTGCTACAGGTGCTTCTGCCATGGCCTTGAAGCCCCTACAGCTCCGGAACCTAAACGGACAGTAGGGTTCAAAAAGGGATGGCACCATCGCCGAAATGCCGAGTTCCCCTGGAGACTCGTGCAGGTGGTTGACCGGGAAGAGAACTGGCGCGGAACCTGGGTCCTGGACGTAAAGGACATGGGGGCGATGAACTGGGGCAGTACCCTCGTGCCCAAAACCGATGGTAAAGGACGAGGAGGGCGCTATCAGAGGCAGCCGACACGCCATTTCCCTTTTCCACCCGACGGAGATAGGTACCGGGAAAGTTTGACCGGAGGTCAGGACGACATGATGGTTTATCTTGGGAAGCCATAGAGGCTAGGACATGGGCATAACAAAAGCCATCGCCAGTACGATAGTTTCACGTTTTAGACTGGAGTGTATTTACCTACTCTATTGGGCTTTTTTTATGTTGAAATAAAGGAGAGAATGCAAAGGTTCTACGCAGTGCTGCTCTAGGAATTATAGTAGTATTTCAAGACCAGAATGATACAACAGCGGATATTGTATACCAACAAGGTAGCCCAATATTCCATTTTTCAACTCTTCCAAATAAACCACCAAGGTGGCCAAAGAATTGGAATGTGAGTCACACTGAGCGTGACTGGTATACCGGAAGCACGACTTCTCTCAAGGTCTTCGACGTAAACCTTAATACAGCCAGTGCAGGCATAAATCCCTGGAAAGATGTAGTTTGCAGGACTCTGCCTAGGGTGGGAGGCTTGCTGAAGTGAAGACGACTCGCAGCGATGGAATGTGAAGGCGGTCGAAGTCTGATGGCGATGCTTCTACCGGACTCTAGCGCGTTTGCCAGAAACATCAGCCATTTGGAGAAAGATAAAAAACGAAACTCAATTCATCCCCTAAGGTAACTAAATTGATGAAGCCAAGAGAGTCACCAGATGACAACTTTTGTAACAACACAAAATGACTCAGCTCAAGCGCATAATCCCATGCGCTCTAACCCTGAGAACCCCACAAACCGCGTGACTTGTGAATTGGATGATTTCAACTATTTTCTTCTTTTTCTTCTTCTGCTTCTAGAAGAACTTAATTCGTCTACGTGGGCCCTTCGAGTTAGAGCACGTCATGTCTTCGTACCAGTCAATGTGCCTGGTTGCTTCATCTCTCCGATATGTCGTGGGATCTATGCTTTCTTCCCAATCATATACCGTCTCCCAGTCGTTGGAATCCTGAACTTTGATTGTTTTCCGTCCCTCTAAAGTGACTCGAGACTCTTCCAACCTCCAAATGTATTCAAAGTGACATTTTTGACAGCTGAATACATGCGTGGAACCTCGGGGTAGGTCGGGATGTATGCCGTGTGCCATCAACTTCCCCGTAAGGTGGGGGTGAGTCGTCGCATAGCATGCGCAACATTCCGTGCCAGCCCTCGCGGTGAAGTGCTCGTGACATTGTCCTTGGGTAGTATATACACCTGTTTCCCTGAAGCACACGCACCGGTGCCAGCTAGACGGCGCTGTGAATGCTGTGTCGGTAAACATCATATTTTTTTGTTGTTGTTGTTGTATTTAACGCCGTGGCGGGAAAGGCGCTGCCGCCCTTGCGGCCGACCTCCCGAGGGGTATATGGCGTGGAGGGCCGTAGGCTCGAGCTATATACTCTATAGTACACGCCTCTTCCTAACGTCCTCCAAATCTTGCCCGTAGGCTAATATCTATTCTATCCGTCCCTAGTTCCCGCTGGTTCCCTAGTTCCGTTATTACCATCTATCCATCTAGGAGGAGAAATTCGTTAATCAGGCCTAGGTTAAGACCTAGTCCTTAGTACTATAAGCAGATCTTCTAAAAGAAGTCTATTACGTAGAGAAAGGCTTAGAAGCTAATATAATTAGTAATTAACCTTTTATAATATTACTTAAGAGATCCTATAGGTCCTATACTATATAGTATATAGCTAGAGCCTGCGACCCTTCACGCCACATACCCTCCGGGAGGTCTGCCGCAAGGGCGGCTGCGCCCTTGCCGCCATGGCGTTAGATAGAACAACAACAACAACTATAGGTCCTATAAGATCGAACATACTAAAAAGATAGAGGTGTTACGCCCGCCGCAACTTGTCACTGTGGGCGCGTAGCTATATATGTAGAACAAGGGACAATGATGACCGGAGTCATCATTATCGAAGCTGTTGGATTCACAGGTGGAAAAGGAAAATACTCGAGTATCGTGGGTAGCAACGATCACCGACTGTAGTGGTGATATTGCTTGTTCTTGTTGTTCTTGAGTGGAAGTCTAACCAGGTGCCAGCGGCGGCAGGAAGTCTGAGGTATACCACCCTCGTGTGGCTGAGCCACACGGGCCACCGTGGCTGGAACGGACCGCGGTAGCAACCTCCTGCTGCCTAATATAGGCCTATTCCAACAGAAGCTTTTGCTTTGTGCCACAGTTGGTTGCCTTGTCCAGCTCGTAACAAGAGGGTAGGCCATTAATACCTCCTTACTAAGGTCTTTTAATAATAAACTAAATAGTCTATCGCCTTTATGTTACGGCCAGCTAGTCGTAGTGAGGTATGTTTGCAGAAGTTGAGGCTGCGGAACTGGTAACAGTATTCGTAGTCGGGGATAGCTTCAGGGAAGCTATGTCTGTAAGTCGTAAGGTGAGGGAAGGCTGCGGTGATCAATCGTAGTCTTATCAAAGAGGTTCTCAGGGAAGATAGCTGAAAGCGATCATAAGATCTGATACGAAGTTAATTGCTGAAGAGCTATGGAAAGTCTGTCCTAGAGTCCGGCTCGAGTCCATCCTATATACAAGTCCTGGTCCTGAACATATCCCTTGTCAATGATCAGTCCCTCTGATCGGGTGAGCGCTCATTACTTGGCATGAGCGCTCATGGCCCCACCATGGTCGCTCATGTCTTATCTTATCATCACGTGACTTTGTACCATAGTTCTTCCGTTCCGTGAGAGGGTGCCTAGTGTTGTGACAGAATCCATGCATGCTTATATGCGAGTCATAGGCATAACCCATTCGCAATGGTCTAAACATACTGAAACAGGCCAGACTGTCATTTCCACCTGGTCCTAGCTCTAGAGACGTATTATATTAAGGTAGCATTAGGCCCATAAGCCTGTGGTAATCCTTCCACTCTTTAGTACGAATAGACGCTCTTTTCTGCTCACTCATATATGCATATTCCGCTGGCCACCCTGACTAACCGTCATGTTGCTTGTCCTCTGCATATATGGTGCGCTGTAGTTAGCCGGTATAAGCCTGCGGGGCGGGCCCTGGTCTTGGTCATGCATGTTGGGTAGTAACACTTACCCCTAAGTTAACTGTAGTTAGCCTCTAAGAGCTTCCACCCTGTGTCAGCACCACTACTTAACAATAGTCTTCGTTTAGCATGTCATTAATCGAGTGTCACGGCGCTTGGATGACGTTTGATGTTGTCGTTAGTTCTTCTGCTGGCAACTTCAGTATTAATGACAATCTTTCACCAGGAACCGATAGCCATCAAGCCTGGTTTGAGACGTGCAGTACCGTTGAGGGCAAGGACGTCGTCACATCAGTTTGACGTTATATCGCACCAACTCGGTATCTGTACTTTATAACCAGGGACGTTATCAACGTGGTAAGATCAGAGGGTCAATCTAGTTCCAAGCCTCTTGAGGATGGTATGAGTCGAGTGGCGCATTGCGCCCAAACAGGGACACGTCTATCCCCCGACACTCACTATATCCCTAGCCAGCACTTCAGCCGGCCCAAGATCACGCCGGGAACTACCTTACAACCCCAGTTACCCCGGATTGGAGCGACACAACCGCCCGACTTCCAACTAGAAGAACGGGAATATACTGTCTCGCTCAACGGAGAATAGCTCCGGTAGCCCCGAATCAAGCATTCTCAAAGCGGGAGACGACTCCTTGGCGCAAGCGGGGTGATCCCGGCCGGAGGCTCTCTCCGTTTCGGGAAGGATCTGTGGCGGGGCCCAAAGGGACAGAGAGGATCGGATCCTAGCGTGCCAAACAAGAATACGAGATATGTTTACTCGATCTAACGACGTTGTAGGCGAGCAATATACCTTCATACCTCAGCGGCTACATCACCTTGCCATATCATGATAGATCATGATATGTCATGTTTTGTCATAAAAGACAAACACATAAGGGAGAACTCAAATAGAGTGATGTTTGCGCCATTACAGCAACTCCTTCCTAGTCAAAGAAGTCTCGTGCATGTATACGAACTCTCATGCCCCTCCCAGTCCACTTCTCTCCACTCCTCATCCTTTCGAGTTTTCTTTCCTTTCCCCAAACATCAAAGAAAGGCAGAAACATCAGGAACCAATGTATCGCCCAAATTCAGCGCCACCTAGACACAGCCAAGTCAGCCAGCGCCCCTCCACCAAGAGACTCCATAGAAAGCATCCAGGAAACTCACCTTCTTCCCCCGTCCACCCTCCATCTCCTCAAAAGCCATCAAAATCACCTTCTTCCTCTCCTCACTCCTACACAGAAACCTCACAGGCATATTCTTCCCCGGGTTCCCAGGCAACGAATCAGCATAATCAGCAAACTCCAACGGCGTCTTCGCCCCTTCGGCAGGCAGGATCTTAAACGCCCAGAGGATGCGCATCATCGTCACGGCGGCGGAGCGTTCTGCGACGGTGTATCCGGGACCTGTACACATGCATTGTTAGCAGTGAGATATGGGGTGAGTGAAGTAAGGTACTAGGACGTACAGACGCGACGACCGGCTCCAAAGGCGAAGTGATCCCTCTTCGTCGGATCCTGCGCGTTGATGCTTTCCATCGTCTATCTCATGTCAGTCTCTGCCTTAACAGACTTCAGAAAGGAGCTTCCCTTCACTCACAGAAGTCTCATCATGCTCAAACCTCTCTGGCCAAAACCGATCTGGATCCTCGTGTCTCGCGGGATCCCGACTAATGGCACTTCATCCCAGAGTCAGCGACAATAATTCAATCTTCAGAGAAGAAGACTCAGCCATACTATGCGTTAAGGTGTATCCGCGCCCCCTTGGGAAGCCTGTACCCCCCAACCTCCACCTCCCGTGAGGTAATATGAGGATGTCCCAGCGCCACGGGCGGCCTCCACCGCCATACCTCCTTGAGGAGCATGCGGATGTAGGGAATGCGCGCGTAGTCTTCGTATACCGGCGGTCCATCGCCGACAACCTTGTCTAGACCATGGAGTCAGCCAGCGTACGTGGTTGCTTGGAGAGTAACCGATTTGCGGTCTATACTACTGGGATCGATGGTCCTAACGTACCTATCTCCACTTGTGCGCGTGCCTGAGCTTCGGGGAACTGCATCATGGCCTCGACGAAAGACCACGTCGTCATCCGACTCTAGAGTTTTGCGTCAGCTGCCAGAATGCAGTTCACCAACCACGTCGAGAATCAAGACATGGTGGTGGTCAAGACGACTCACGGTATCTGCAGAAGCAACAATCAAAGCAAAGCTCAAAATCGCAAGCTCCTCCTTGCAAGACATCCCCTTGAGACTCTCATCTGCTAGCGCTGACCCCAAAAAAGTCCCTTCAAACGAGGAATCTCCACTTGCCATTGCCTCTTCGACCGTCTGGCACCCAAGATATCAGCTGGTCGGATTTCAAAGCATGCGTGAGCAGGTCTGGCTCACCTTGACTCGCTTCATCCCCCACGCGAGGTCCCGTCTATACCTCGCGCGACCATTTCTCTCCCAGGGCTTAAGGAAGAGGGGTAATTTCCCCAGGGAAGGGATGAGATCGATGATGTTGGCGCCGGGGAAGGTATCTGCCGCTACTTGTCAACGTCTCCGACCATGCAGCCTTTACGACAATCCTCGGAGGTGATGGGTCGTACTTATGATCTGGAACTCCACCTCTGTAGGCAACACAGTCAGCAAGTTTTTCAATCACTTCATCAGAAACTCCCATGAGGGATCATCACGCACCTTGAAGAAAGTCGATTACCGAGTCATTGTCCTCGGGCACCTGCAACACACTCAAGTCAACATCGGACCTCCTTCCAACAGACGATTCACGCAGTATCTCACATCCATGCCCATGATAACCATAGCAAACGCGCTGTACGTATACCGCTCAATGCTTCTCGAAAGCCGAGCCCCCGAAAGCCCACCCGATGGCTCAACGACGTTATCGCGGAGGAACTTCATCGTCTCGTACTCTAGAAAGCTGCAATCTCATCAGCGAACACCCTTCACCAGTCTCTTGTTTCCTGTGCTTCTTCTCAATTGCCCAAGCTTCAAAGAAGGGGGCAAAATCATGAATCCAAAACTTACGGCACAATCTTCCCCGCCTGCTGCGGACTCGTAAGAAGCTGCTGAATCACCTTCCTCTGGTTCTATACACATCAAACGTCCAATCAGCATCGTTGCACCGACAAAACCTTTGAGATGACAAAAGCAACCATACTTTCCAAATCGGATCACTCGCATCCAAGAACAGGGTATTAAACCCATTATTCAAAATCTCATTCGACATGATCCAAACAGGTCGATCTGCCGTCACCGCAGACTTTTTATCAAAAAGTTCCTAGAAACCCATCAATATTAGTACACTGCACCCCCATTCCATCACTGCCCCGAACGTGATGCGTCACAGGGTATCTGACATTTACCCATAGCCAGCCCCAATTCCAAAAGAAGCAACAAACTCACCTTGACCAAAACATCAGAGTTGACATAATAATCAACAATAAACCCCGTCCTCACCCCAAAAATAGCACCATACTCCCTCGCCCACCCCTCCAACTTCAAATGCCACCGCCTCGCCTTATTCTCCCTAATCAATTCCGTTAAATGGCCCAAAATCGGCTTCGAGGGCGGTTGCGGCGGTAACGGTAGCCCGTACGTTCGTCTCGTCGGTTTTGTGTATAGAAGTAGGGCCGCTGCCGTCGTGAGAATGGTGCAGAGCAGAAAGGCCGCCGGGTTGGAAGCTGCTGCGTTCGCGATGTGGGAGGGCGAGAGCGCCGAGATGGCGTCGGTGGTAAAGGAATCCATTATCTCACAGGTGTGGTGGAAAATACACTCCCCGAGACTGCTTTCGAGAAAGATCGATGGCACAAGCGTCGACAAGGAAAGGATTTTGAATTTGTACTTTATTGCAAGGCTGCCCTTCATTCATACAATTATCCCGACTCCGTGATTTACCACCAACAAAACAGTCGGATTTCCCGCCCTTCGAACATCCAGCTCGGCGTCTCTGGTTTACAGTTCACCGTCCTTAGCCACTTTAACTTAAGGTACCCCAGGTTATGGGATGGAACGGCTGACCCCCCACCGGCATTGCCGCCCGGCCTCCGGGAGTGCGGGGGTGCTGGCCATGGTCTAGAGAGCTAGCACTACGCGACAACAGCGACATAAGCGTCCGCCCTGTCGTGGATGCTCATTACATATTAACGAGCAATGGTTGGAAAGGCACTATCAGCGCCATATCCCGTGGCCCTTGGGTGTCCATTCGCTTCTGATCCCAGCGGAGGCGGGTTCGTATCAAGGGAGGTGTTTAGACCACTTCGTACTAGCAAGACGAACCGACTGACAGTGAGAAATCCTGAGAACATATGTTCCTGTATCCATATACGGAATGTCGGCGATACTATTGCCGGCTAAACTCGGATGTTCCGAAGGTCTGTTCCTCATCCGATGTGGAACGGTAGTATATATTTCAGATACAAAGTTTACAGCTTCCTGTTCCTGGCGTTTGCGAAGTTGGCATGGGCCCGTAAGTATTTGCGTCCATTCAGGTGTTTCTGGACTGGCTTCTCTAGCAAGATTTACGAAAGGCATCAAGGGTTAGTCTATGCTATCGATTTGGCGTAAGGTACCTCCAATAAAAAGATGCAAAGCTCCATCAGATACACCTGGGGGACGGGAAGCCCGTTGTCGGCCGAAAGGTGTGGTCCACGGACTTCACTCGACCGAATCGGATGACGATTGCTGACAATCTCCGTGGAGATACGGTGCAAGGCGGAGGAACCATGAAGTAGTCGCTTGGAGCCAGCCGCCGACTCAAACGCGGTCCATCAAATATCAGTGTGTGCTGTGGTTATAATTACTCGCAATGCCGGCATTGTCGGAGAACGGAGGTCAGTAGGATCCCGCTGACATATCCGGGCGGGTGCCGGAGGGGCCGAGAAATCTTAACCTTTGGAGGGCCCCAGGTCTCGGGTCGATGGTTCGGTGCAGTTGGATGCTTTCGCAAGCAGCTCCTGTCGTGAACACCATCCTTCAACATGCTGCCTCGCAATCCATCGCAGCATTTGCGATGCTGTTCCAACGGCCAGAGTCGTAGCCGGAACAACCAACATCCATGTAAGTTTCCAGTAATCAAAGTTGCGGGGGACAGAGCCACTCTATACGTCACAGATCAGCCGAGTACGACATCCGCTTCAGAGTGCGATTGGCAGGGGTGTGAAAAACAAGAATGCCGTTCAAACTCCGAGATTCTCTTGGCCACCGTTGGCTGTTGGATGTTGCTTTTTTCAAGGAGGAGGGCGGCAGCGGATGGTGCCACACACGGGGACGGGACTTTCTTCGGCCGTACAATGTGGAACCAATCCCGCGGTCGTGAGTGAGGTGATGGTGAGGCCTTCGCTATGCCACTCCGTGGCCTTGCTTTTCGGTATTGATACCTAGGTACTCATCACGAAAGATTTACCGAAAAAGACAGGAGACAAATCGAACCAGAATGTCGCTCGCGGCCGTCACGCGCTGATGTGTCGCGGACTCGAGCGAATTTGATTGCTCGGCTGCGGGGGATCGGTGTGGCTCCTCAGGCGTCTAAGCTTCACCGAGTGGATCTCGCCAGCGCCGGTGGTCCGGAAACCGGCGGAAGTGATTCCGGAAGAAGACTCCACTTTCCCAATATGCCGTAAGGCCGCAAGGCCAAAACGCCACCCACCCTGGTCGGTGCACGGATCGCCGGCCGTGTGAGAGAAAGAGAAATGCTATTGTTTCGGCTGGTTTGATTCACCAGCTTTGGTAATCAGCCCAGTAGATCTGACCGCGGCGGACCGTCGGTTGTCTTCCGGAGTCTTTGCGCTTCCCTCGGCTCCCGTTCCACCAAGTGACCCGGTTGATCCATTCTTTCCAACTGTTGTTCTGATGCCCGCAAGACAAAGATGACGGCGTTTCCAGGAGGCTGGATATAATCGTGTAGATCCCGTGGTATGTATACGGATACCACACCTAGGCGCCCACGGCCGTTTGCGAGACCCGGGAGACAGAAGAGACAAGGGAGCAGAAGCGCCAGACCAACGTGCATCTCCCCAAGACAATACGGGGCAGAAGAGCGACACCAAGGCGGAGGTGTGGTGGGAAATGACATCAACTCCGGGCATGGTAGCGCTGGGCAGAGGTCCCGGGAGGAGACAGCAGGGGCAGGAAAAGTGGACGCAACCTCCGGAATACACGGAGAAAACAGCCCTGGCGTCGTCAGCGACATCAGCTTACACTGTACATTGGTTGAAGCCTTGACCCGTCCGCCTCGCAGCGCTTCAGCCGGGGGAAAATAGCGCAACTGCAGTGACCACTGACAGCAGCTCTCTCGCTGTCTTTGGAGCCGGACTTTTGGAGTCTGCCCCATGGCATGACGGTGGGAGATGTTCCAACATCCAGCCGCTGATGCTTCCGTCGGGCACCATCGCGATTTGAATCAGCAGACCGTCAAACAAGACAGTGCTACGCTGCAGCAACGTTCGTTTGGTTCTGGAGAAAGACTGTGAGGTCACACAATTGCGTGCAGTGTGTCGGATGTTGGGTTTCAGATCACGCTGCTTCGGTAACAGATCGTATGGTGCAAGTGTTCAACATTTCGTTTTGTTTGTGCCGCGGACCGGCACGCTGGGCTGAAGTGAACTGGCACGCGCCGGGTCGGGGGTGTGCAGGGAGAGGGAACCATCCGCACTGGCCAGGTTTGCCGGCAACACTACGGCGACTAAGAGCAAGACCACCCCCAGAAGTTCGGCCGCGAGCTCACAGAACCATGTCCGAAGTCGCACGAATGAAGCACCTCGCCAAGGAACGGGGGGATACAGATGCTCCAGTGAATACAGTCAAGACCCGGTATCCAATGTCGCGATTCTCCTCAACCGAGGAATAAGTCGGAACAAGACGCGCGAGAGGGTGGATAACGACGGCAGCCGCCAGCCCCGTCTGGATATCTGCCGAGAAGTCCGGAATCTGGATTAGGCTTTCTTCGGTCACCGGGAGAGAGTGTTCAGACGCTCCGCAGAACAAATGTGGTCCCGTACTCAACATGGTGACAGTGCACAAGGGCATTATCCCTGATGCCACGGGAAAGAGGTATTGTCAACTTCTTGACCCTTCGTGCCTGGCTACCAAACGTACGGTACCCAAAGTCGGTTTCGTATCGTGCATATTCTTAGATCCATTCTTTGACGCAGTGACAACCTGACGTAAGACATGATGGCAGGCCGCAACATGCCTTTGCTGCAGGCAATGTTGGTGAAGCGGACAGAAACGAAGAAACGGTCGGGGTGGGGCGGTGGCGTCGACTGCGCAAGTCCGCTTCAGCACGGGGAGCGAGCGAGGGAAAACTCTAGGTCCAGGCCCGGGCAAGTCGAGTTTGATTAAACAGAAATTTGGCGCGTCGCCGGAACGAGATGGCGCTGGACACTCTCGGGATTGCAGCTCCATGGTGAAAACTGGGGGCGAGGGCGTGATGGGTGGATGCCCACGGAGCGAAGACGGAACAGGTTGCCTAGCAGGCCCGGACGAGGCGGCAGCTTTTGCCGGCATTGCCTTTGCCTTTTGTCTTTTGTGCACAGAAGCAACAGTCGTGTCGACCCTCGGCCAGCGTGCCAGTCTTTTGTTCCAGGCCAGCCCGATGGCCGGGACGAGCCGTGAACTGGCTACAGCATCGTGGTATTTGGTAATACCGAATGTGCTGAAGTATTCAGACTTGCCAACCGGTAGAGCATCGACAACGACACTATCCGTAGCGGGTTTGCAAAGGAGAGACTCGACCGTAACGTGCCTTATTGCCAGGAGGGGATTGCTCAAAGTCGACCTGACGCCCTTCCCGAAATGATAGGGGGACCACGCCTACATACCGCCCTAACTCATATCATGACGAGCTTGTTGGGTCTTTGAGCAGCGATCGCCTCCGTGTAGCACAGCGTGTAGTGCCGGCGAAGTTGGAAGCACCGTCGAGCGAGAATGGGTGCAAATTACAGTTTTGGCTGCGTCTCCGGCCCCTCTTGATCTCGATCGGTAGAGGCCGTGCCGTCAAAGAAGTATTCAAAGGCACGAGCGAAGTGTCCAACGAAAGCGCCCTGCCGCGCCGGTGTCTGCGAGAAACAAATTCGGGAGGGGGGCCAATCTTCCGCTGAAAGTTGGCGGCGCGGTGATCTTGGTCAGGGACGGGCAAGCTGGCGTGGCCCTGTAGCCGCCGGTTGGGTTTTGGCGCTCCGTGGAATTTGGGGAAGGCCAAGCACCAAGGTAGAGGAAAGGTACTTGGAAGAGGGTGCGATACCGACTCTAGGACCAGGGGGGCGCGGCGATTCCAGGCCCGCTCGGCGGCGTTGGTCGTCCATGCCCCTATGGAACATGGCATTGCACTGTGCCTCGTTCTCGTCCGCGGTCCTGTTGCCCTGTAGCCTGTGGCTCTCTCTCTCTCTCTCTCTCTCTCTCTCTCTCTCTCTGCCGGGTGCCCAATGTCTTTGAACGGTGCAAGTCAGGCCATGTGGATATGGCCCGATCACGCTTTCCGCCCTTCTCATTGCGGTGTGGGCCAATGCCCGGCGTGCGGCGGGCCTGGCAGGGTTTGTGACTCTGCGCTGCCGAGGCGAAAGCGCTGTAGCAATCGGCGGGCCCGGCATTGTCGCAGGACAGTGGGAAGTACCTTGGGACAGGTCGGGTCCAAATGACAAGCTCGGAGGATGTGCAGTGTCAGCCAGGACTCGTTCTCACGTTGGTTGCGCTGCCAGTACAGGAGGAGAGTCGACTTTTGAGGCTATTCGACTAGGCTGGCGGGAGATGGGCGCATTGCTTGTAACGGTAGGCAATGGCGGCGCAGGTCGTAAGGGAACATGGTGAGACTGAGGGACGGTCTGCCCACAAGACGGACGGCGAATTCGCTGGGCTTGTAAACGAACGGGATTGCGACCGGTCGACGGCGGAGGCAGAGGACGGATGGATGCGAGACGCGAAATGTGTCGGGGACGTATGCCGCAGACACTGTGTCGAGACTGTACGAAGTATGCGCATCGTTTTGGCTTTCGGGCGACAGCCGGGCTGGGGCTGGAGGGGGGACTTCATTTGTGCGTTGGGCAGAACTATTGGAAATGCCATGATGGTCGCGTCGAGTGAAGCTTGGAGGAGAGCTTGAGAGGAGAGGGAAGAGAGGCAGAGGACAAACTCCAACGAACCTGAGGGAAGATTCACACATTCTTTGTCGCTCCTTCTCTCCAATATCAGTTGTTCAAAAAGAAAAAGAGAAGGAACATTTGGAAGAGACCCGAGGCAGGTGCCTGCCGCGGGAACATGCCAGATTCTCAGGGCAGGCGTGTCAGGCAACGCAAGCGCGCAGACGCTGAGGCAGGTACCGATTTGATGGAACTTGGAGGGAAGGCAGATACGGGCAACCTGGAACCTGGAAGGAAAGAGAGAGGGGGGGGGGGGTAGGGCGGTACTTTGATGTTGGAGAATGAATGCCCGGGCTTATGAGTACCGGCCATGTACCTCCCTGTGACGGACATTGACGCGGAAGGCAGAATGGGCAGAGTGGGCCCCCTCGCTCCTGGTTTCCTTCCGTCTCTCCTCATTCAGCTCCGGCACCACCAGCCGATCCGCCCGTAAAACCTCAGCAAAGAAACCTCAGGCCCGCCCGTTTGTGGACAGTTGGTGAGGTGGCCCAGGGCAGGCAGGCAGCTCCTGCGGTCACTTGACCAATGTCTCTGCCGCTGCCTCTGCCTCTTTCCAGAATGCCATTTTTTCGCGCCTGCCCCCGAGGTTATGGAAATAGGTACGGTATCCGTAGGTACCTGTGTCTCCGTAGTGTTCCATTTCCACTCGGGTTGTTCCACACACTCCCCCTTAATCCCCACCCCCATTCACTCTTCACCTCTTTCTTGCACTTTCCACCACCTTGCCCCTTCCAAAAAGTCCGCCGACTGCTCCCGCTTCCGCAGGCCGTGACTTCCCAGCCCGCACCGAGCTTGGCCAGCCCTGAGTGGAGGCGACCATCTGGCGACATCCGTCCGTCGCATTCGGGGCGCAAGACCTCCTCCTTCAGTTTCTGTCGCCGTCTCCTCCACTCTTGCTCGGGTCCATGGAAGGAGCAGTAGGTAGCCAGGTGCAGCGGGATGAAAGAATAATCAGAAAGCGCGGCCAGATTAAATGGGATGAGAGAGGGAGGAAGTCAGGGACTCAAGTGCGCGCAGGGCAGTTGCAACGAATGCGAGGCCGAGGCCCGCCCGCCTTCCTCACCTCAACTCACGCCGTGTGCGCCTCCTTCCCCCGTGTCCACGTCCCGTCACCCGTGTGCCGGTTCCCTCTCGCTCTTTCCTCAGGTCGTCCACCTCCGCCTGTCTTTCCATTTCCCCCATCAACGTCCACCTCTTTATTCCTTTCGCCTACCTTAGATAATATGATATTCTCCTGTGTCTGATGACCAAGGCCATCTGGATCATTTTACATGAAACTCCCTTTTTCCAAATCCGATTTTTCCACTTCTTTCCCTCTTTACCGTCAAAGGTACGGGATACTTCATTCTTCCCCCCCGCTTGCCCTCCGTGCGGCATGCCCTCTTTCCCGGGCTCTCTCTGCCCTACCACACCCCCCTACCCCTACTCTTGACACCCCTCCCCATCTCTCGTACTCCACTCCTTCCTTCCTCCTCTTCCAACCACCGAAACCTGAGGACCACCGCCCGGATTTTTCGCCCACCACCGAGAAATCGCGGCCGACCCGTGCCCTCCGATTCTCTTTTCTTCGTCTTCCACCACAGCACAATTCTGGCAGTACCAAAAACCCCACAACCACTTCAATCTTTTCAACAAAACAAACATCACCACCCTCTCCCGACGCCGTTCCGGATCCAAGTCCAGCCAAGTGCGACCCTTTTACCCCGTTGCCATCGGCCGCTGTGGGCGTTTTCCCCCGTCGCCTCTGCCCCCTTCCTGGGCCTGACGCCGCCGCCCGCCCTCGCCCGCTACCTCCTGCCTGGGGGTCTCGCCTTCTGGAGCCACCCTTCTCCATAATCTCGGCGCGACGGGTCGTCTTTTCTCTGCGTCACCCGGCCCCAAAACTCTCTTCTCTTCCGGAGCCCCCCTCAACAAAACACTCCTCCTCCCGCGACCCTGACACCCCCGAACTCTCCCTTCTTTTCCTCCTTTCTTCAACTTCACCTCGTCAACCCTCCGGCTTCCTAACGCCGACCATCGCCGTGACTTCTGCGGAACGTCGTCACCTTACTGGGACCACGACATCATCCCACAATCCAAGCAAGCTCTTCTCAGTGCTCACTTGAGTGGATCAAGTAGTGATCGCGTCGCGTCTACTCATTCACCTCCGGTTGACCACGCGCATCTGGGTTTCACCACACAAACCCTACTCCGTACCGCCTTCATCTTTTCGTCGGCGCTCTCTCTCTCTACTCTGCCCTGTGTAGACAAAAGACAACAGGCCCCATCATCAAGCGACATCGCTACTCATCAACACTGGTTCGCATCTCTACTACTGCTGCACAACACATTCAACCTCACACATTACCGCACCATGTCGGCCAGCGTCGTGCGGTCTACCGCCCTCCGAGCCGGCGGCGCCTGCGTGCGCTGTCGCAAGGGCAAAACCAAGTGTGTCTACGAAAACGGTCGCGCTCCTTGCAAGAACTGCGCCAAGGGCATGCACGAGTGCTATTTGCCCTCCGAGTCCATGGCCCATCATCACGGCCAGTCGCCCGCCCGTCATACCGCCGCTCATCGCCCTGCGCGTGAGAGCCTGCCTGCCTCGGTTCCGGCCGGTGATGTGCGCGCCGCCAACCCGGCCTCGACCTCGTCTCGTCACGTTCAGACTCCCGAGAAGTAAGTTTACAGCTTGTTCTTCACATTCAGCATCTCCATCATCTGCCTGTCCTCTCATTCACTGCCTCCGCCGCCTTGTCCCAGGCTCGCGCGGCGCACACTTTTTGCGCTTGGCACCTAGTTAGTTGCCTTGCGCGCGCCGTGTGCCGGGTGTGCTATTCTCGTCTTTCGGCTGTGTCGCCGCCCACCGCCGCCGACCAGGGAGGGAGCTCGGCCCCCCTACTGCATGCGGCCTGGACGCGGTGGCTTGTTCGTTTCCCTTCCTCATCACACACGCGCGGTCATCTCTTGTTCTTCTCTGCCCCCCCCCCTTTTGTTCCGTCTGCCCAAGTGCTCTCCCCCTTGTTTCTTTTTTCCCCAAGATTTGTCTGCCATTGCTTCGATCTTCCCGAAGACGGCGTTCCGTCTCCAACCGACGGCATCTCCCACCGCCGCTAGCTTGGCCTCGGAGCCGCCTTCTGACGGCGGGCTTTCCCTCGATCCCACAAGCTTCCAATATCCATTTTCGCATACCCGTACTATCCCCCCCTACATCCTCCCCATCCTCATTTCCCGAGTCACATCCCCGTCTCCGCCACTTTTGGCACTCCACCCTTCTTCTCATCCGGGCCAGTGGCCGGGATATCTTGTTTCACGCCCCCCGAACGCAAACACGGGCGCAAAAAGAAAGGAACACGAATGCTGACCTCATCCCCGCCAGACTTACACCGGAGCTCATCCAAGAATGCGAACGCGTCATTTCCAAGACGTACCCGGCCTGCGTTGCTTTCCACAAGCCTTCGTTCATCCAGCAGCTCAAGAACGCCTCTCTGGACCCGGCCCTCATTTACGCGCTGCTCACCTGCGCCGCTCGGTACGTACCTTTGTTCTCGGGTCTTCCGTTCCCCGACATGCCAATTTCCTCCCTGTTTTGGTGTTACACCACGTCCCCCCCCCCCCCCCCCCCCCCCCGCAATGTCCGGCTTTTTTTTTTGTGGGTGGCGCGGCCTTCCGTTCGGAAGTCTCGTGTCGGCTCGCTTAGCTCCAATTGTCCGGACTTGGGCCGAAAGTGTCACCACCTTTTTCATTGTGGTCATTGTCTTTGGCCCCGACTGGAGTCGCCGTGCTGGCTGTACACACAATAGCGAACTTTCAGCGGACGAACACCCCCGGCTAACCTTGTTCTCCCTCCTGCAGAAGCTCCCCTACCTTGATTAGACGCTATGGCGGGCAGTCCGGTGCTACTGGTGCTGCCGAGCACTTCGCAGCCAAGGCCATGGGCATCATCAACCAGAACCTCGATACTCCCAGTCTCGCTGAGATTCAGGCCATCTGCTTGATCATCATTCACGAGTGGGGTTCCCGCAATGCTGTTCGTGCCTACATCTACTTGGGCCAGGCTAGTCGCATGGTCCAGATGTACCGCATTCTCCACAGCCACCATGCGGCCGTCAGTGATGCCGATAGGTTCCTTCAGGACGAGTCGTTCCGCCGTGTGCTGTGGCTGCTGTACATTCTCGACTGCTTGCTTACCAGCACGCCCGGCCGCCAGCCGGCATTGTCCGCCAACGACACGGCTGATGTCTCTCTGCCCTGCTCCGACATGAACTTTGCCTTTGGCAACGCCGTCTATGTCCAGACCATCAACCTTTCAGACCCGTCTCGGATGCCTTCTGGCTCCCGTACCGATGAGGTCGGTGAGTTTGGTCAGATTGTCATGGCTACTCGCATATGGCGCGACGTGGTCCAGATGCTGATGACCACAACCACGGAGACCTTCAACGACAATGTCTGCACTACTCTCATGGGTGAGATTGAGCGCCTTCGCGCCTCTCTGTCGATGCAGTACGTCGACAAGCCAGGCCAGATCAACCTGCACATCACCATGGGCTCTGGTTTCACATATGCCATGCTGCACTGCATGCTTCACTGCGCATCCATCTTCATCAACCGCCGTCGCCTGCTGCAGTATGTTACTGCGCCTGGCTTCAATTTGGAGAGCTGGCGCCTCACCCCCCAGTGCCACGAGATCATTGATAGGCTCTTTACCTCGTGCCACAGCACCATCGCTATGCTCACTGCTCTCGAGACCGGGTTTGACAAGGAGGGCATTATCTGCTTCCCCATCTTCATGCTCTTCTCGTCCTTCACTGCCAGTGCCACTGTCGCCTACCTGTCTCTGAAGGGCTTGACCCCCCCTAATGCGGTCGAGACTGCTGGGCATATTGTGCGCGATGGCCTCCACTTCATGCAGGATGGAGTTGATACCTGGCCTCTGATCAGCTCGTGGCTGCGTCACCTTGCCGTCATGCATAGAGTGCTGGGCAATGATGCTGTCGCTGGCAGCCCCAGTGTCGCAGGCACCTCTGTTCCTCCCACCAGCGCCCCGCCTGCCGACCAGGCGTCTGTTAAGGACGAAGCCGCCTCGAACCCAGACACCAACCCTGACGCCATGGACTACGACCAGACCTCCAACTCCAACGCTGGCACCGGCGTCCCCGCTCCTCCGGGTCCTGCCAACAACCACACTGCCTCTGTGAGTGAGAGTGGCCGCGAGAGCGTCCGCGAGAACGGTCGCGAGAGCGGTCGCGAGAGCGAGAGCGAGCCCCCCGCGCCTCAGCCGCGTCGCCCCGGTGTTACTACCATCAACGGCGGTTCCGGCGGTGTTGGTACGCCGGCTTCTGTCAGCCCGCCTCCTCCCCAGCAGGCCGAGATCAAGCAGTCCACCGAGATGCTTTCTCAGCCTCATATTGGCAACGGCGTGGCTTCTGCCGAGCCTGCTGCTCCTGTGCCCCAGGATATGACGGCTAGCGAACTTTGCTCCGCATTCGAGCGACAGTTGCTCGAGCTCGACGACCTCGCCGCCTTCATGGGTGGCGGAGTTTGACTCACCTCTTGATCAAACTTGACCCGTTTATGGAGAGACTTCCAATTCTATTAACAAAACACGACAACGCCTCGGCACAATTTCAGACCGACACATTGTACAGTACGAAAAAAATACCCTGCGGATGCCTTTTTTGTTCTTGCGCCGGGCAGTCTCTCGAAATCGTTCCTGGGTGGGATGATTGTGCTTTGATGCCTAGGTGGTCGTGGTACGCACTCGAAGTCTGGGGCATTATGGTATTTAGGGGTAACACTTCCATGAGCCCCCTTCATTGGGAGCAACTGATGTGCTTCTCCTGTGGGAAGGAAAGTAATGAGTTCTCATTTCGGCGTTGGAGGTGGTTCGTCAACGGTAGGCTGCGGCCAGCTCTACGGAGTCGTTGATCTTTATGGTTTTTTTTCCCCTGCGATGAAGCAACATCTGAGGATCTTGTGATTGCCTCATTTGAGGTTATGCTGCGTTAGTAAAATGCACCATTATGGCGTTAGGTCCGAGTTGCATGGTAACTTTTAATCGAATACCCATGGCACACTACATCTTGTCTTGCATCTCATGTCAACCTGTGCCGTTCACAGTTCCTGGCCACATGTGATGTACGCTGCCGCAATCGCCGTCGCTGTAAACTTCTATTCTGGACGTCAGAGACAGGGCGACTGTGAGAGTAAAAAACCGATTCCACGGTTCCGTGACCAGCAGGGGGCGTATCCTTCACCAATCCTCATGGAACAAGATCTCATAGGCGTAATACCGAATGGGGTCGAGATCGAAACCCAATCTCACATACCCATCTTTCGTCTTGCTAAAGATCGTATCAGGCTGATGTAATATATAGACCTTATTCCAAGGTACGCGAACGGATTAAAGTGTTCCTGGCGGGCGGCCTGAGTTTGTTAGTGGATGAGACCAGGAGCGGGGCCTGGAGCGAGAGCGGACTTCGGCGTTCGGCCCAACTCATATCCCTGTTCCCGCCCAGGCGCCATACGCAAGCCACATGCAAGCCTCAGGATCACCTCCAGCCGGCATGACAACATTGGAGGCTGTCGTCAGCAGAAGCGGCCGGGTTTCAACGTCTTCGCCTTCAACTCCGCTCGCCAACGTACATATGCCGCAAGGTCCTCGAACGTCGCCCACACCATCCAAGGCCCAAACCCGGCGGGTTTCGAAGTCCAATCCTCTCCTGTTCACTCATCGCTCATTGTTCCCCCTTCCCACTTCCCTTCTCGTTGGTCTCACACTTTCTGCACTCCATCCAAACGGCATTTGCGATACCAAACGGACATCTGAAGCCCGTTCAACGCTTGGTGTGTATTGTGTATGTGTGTTTCGTTGGCTGCGAATATCGTGAGACAAACAGATACAGAGAGAGAGAAACACACGCGAGAGATTGATCGCCTGCAGCCGGAAAGCTTAGCAGGGCGATTTTTTTTTTGCCCGCCACCAACCCCGGGACCTGGCCTGGCACCACCGTGACCATCACGCAACACATACGCCGCTCAACCAAGTCCGCTCGTCGCCCGCAACCCCGGGGCAAGGCTTTCCGGATTCTCGGCCCGCTTACGAAAGAAAGCAAAGCTCTGCAGTTACAGAGCACCTTACGAAGTACCTTATCCTCTTTTTACCTGTCTTCTTAACCGGCATACGGTACAGGGGGCATTTCGCCTCTCCCCCAAAATCGAATCCCGGATGCCGACGGGGATCGAAACCCGCGACTCGGCGGCCGCCGAGTCGGTCAACGGCGGCATCGCCGCACCCTACGGCCGGGCCTGCACCAACTGCTCCCGCGCAAAGTGCAAATGCATCCTCCGCCCCGTCGGTGGGGCCTGCGAGCGGTGTCACCGGCTGGGCAAGTCGTGCCAGCCGAGTAACCCCATCCGGAAGCGCTCCAAGAAGCCGCCGTCTAGCCGGACCGCGCAGCTGGAGGAGAAGCTTGATGGGCTTGTCACGCTGCTGAGGCAGTCGGGTAGGCCGAACTTGTCGTCTGAGTTGGGGGTTGATGTTCATCTTTCTGGGGGGTCTGTTTCCTCTTCGTCTGCGACGGCTGCTGCTGCTGCTGCTGCTGCTGCGGCGGCGGCGGCGGCGGCGGCGGTGGCGGCGAGGAGGCAGTCCTCTGAGATGGGAGATATGCACGGCGCCGGTGGTGGAGGTGGAGGATTCGACTCAACGCAGCATTTCGGCAAGAGTGATCGCAGGGACCGAGGGGCTTCGCTGCCAACGCCGACGCAGACTGCTAGCCCAGAGGAACCCGGGTACGGCGACGAACTACCCTCCCCAGACGAGGCGGAGGCACTCTTTGAGGCGTTCCGCGGGCAGAACCTAAAGTATTTCCCGTTTCTCCACTTCAAGGCCACGATGACGGCCGAGGAGCTGCGCGGCGAGAGGCCGTTTCTGTGGATCTGCATCATGACTATCGCGTCGAGGGTGTCGAGCCAGCAGCTTGCGCTGGGGCAGCGAGTGCGGCAGATTGTGAGCCATAAGCTGCTTATTGAGAATGAGAGGAGTATTGATTACTTGCTCGGGTTGTTGGTGATCTTGGGATGGTCAGTTCAAGTCACGTTCGTGTTTTCTGCTCTCTCTCTCTCTCTGCTTTTGATGAGATGGCTACAAATTTGGTCGGTTGTCGCTGACATTTCAGGTCTGCTTTTAGGGCGAATCACCAGCTTGGGAACAAGCCGTTCATGTGCTTGTTTTGTCAGATTGCGATTGGTCTCATCTTCGACTTGGGAATGTCCCGTGACCCCTTGGACAACTTGAATCCTTTTCTTTGCTGGAAGGCTGCTCAGGAGAGGGCTGATAGGGAGAAGACTGGGGCCGTGGGGCAGACTTTGTACGTCAAGTCGCAGATGCCGCGGACGATGGAGCAGCGGAGGGCTGTGGTTGCGTGCTATCTCATCTCATCAGCGTATGTCCCCCGAACCCCGTTTACCTAGTCGATGACCATCGGCACAGGCTGAGACAGGCGAGGCTAACCCCCCCTCCCCCCCAATGTAGTGTCGCGAGCTTCTTGGGCAAGATGGACCCCTTGCGCTGGACACCGCACATGGACGAGTGTCTGCAGGTTCTTGACGAGCAGCCCGAATCGCCTTCAGACCGGACCCTCGTCGCGCTGGTCAGAATGCAGCTACTCAAGGAGGAGGCCGGCAAGCTTTCCGCGGCATGGCGTCCCGAGAACACGTTCGACATTGTGGATGCGCACAAGACGCCGCCTGCCATGTACGTCAAGCTTCTCCAGAGGCAGCTCCAGCAACACATCCAGAGCCTGCCGTCAGAGCTCCAAAGCACAGGTTAGTTTCCCAACCTCGTTCTCGTCACTATACCATCTGCTTCTTGTTTCAACGGCGGCTTTCTAACACCTCTCACCAGACACAATCATCGCCCAACTCCACTGCACAGAACTCTCCATCCAAGAAATCGCCCTCTCCAACAAAACAGCCACCTGCGTACCAGCCAACCTCCCCGACGTAGCCCGCCTCGACATCCTCTACGCCTGCCTGTACGCCGTCAAAGCCTGGTTCGACCACTTCCTCACCCTCCCGCCCGCGGCCTACTACACCACCCCCTTCCTCACCTTCGCCCAGCTCTCCCACTGCACCATCGCCCTCTACCGCCTCTCGGTGCTCGAAGACCCGGTCTGGGACCGCGCGAGCGTAAGGTCGACGATTGATCTCATTGCGACGCTGGACGAGATTGGGGACCGGTTTATGAGGGTTTGCAGCGAGGCTGGGTTGAATGTCGATGTGGAGGAGGGGAATGCGTTTGCGAAAGCTGTGAAGACGATTAAGGGGCTCAAGGGGACTTGGGAGGCTGCTATGGCGCCGTTGGCCAAGGTTGATGCGCCTTCGGCGGCGGGGGTTGATGGGACGGGGGTGCTTGGGGGTTTGATGGGTGGTGGTGCTGGGGTTGGGGAGGTTGAGTTGGGGCAGTTTGGGTTGGATTTGATGGATAATCGGTGGTTTACGGATATTTTTACGCCGTTTGATTTTTAGGGGGGTTTTGTTGGGTGCATGTGTTTTTTTTTGGTGTACTGGATGGATGGATGATGGGAAAGGATGTATCATGAGTATAACATGGGCATGGGCATGGGCTGGGCTGGGCTGGATTGGGTTGGGTTTGGACTTTCGAGTCTGGCGTTGGTAGTGGGAGATTCGGTCATGGGTTTGTATCACCGCTCCTTGATTGGTTGGGATGATGAGTACTTGATGTACTCTTTGGGATATAAGATGAGATTGGGTGTACGAGTTTGTGTACGTCTGTCGCATATTGTAATGAGACTGGATACCTTGAATGAGTTGATGCTGGACTCTGGTGACTTTTGCCTGAGTGATGACGAGGAGGATCACATGGTATCGTGGACGACTACGAGAAAAGGTCCAGCATGAGGTTGACATGAACACGTCGGATCCTAGTCTCTCCAATGGAATACTTTAGGCGTCGTCGTGTGGTCCCATGATATCTCTCTGCTTGAGACCTCAAAAGCCCGTCGGTCTCGATTAGTATGATAAATGTTGCGACATTCGCCTCGACGGAGGTGAAAGTGTCGAAACGCGGGCAGGCCGGACTTTTATTCACCCGCCTAATTGTTATCACGCCCTCGTCTTGCTACCACAATATCCCTCAAACTTGTATGAACGTTTCTGTTCTGCGTGGTCTAGGCCGATTAGATGATTCCCCCCAAAGTTTTCATCGAATGCTTGGCGGGCGTTGGCCAAGGCGCCTCTTTCCCGAGATTATTCGATGGCGCTATCGAGCGGCCCGATGTCGACATATACCCCAAGCTTCAAAGGAACCGAAAATCCACGCGTCTTGTCCTCTCGGAGAAGGTAGGTTGCAAATGATGGGTCCCCCAAGAAAACCTTGGCTTTCTACATATCGATGGCGTTTTGAGATGTTTGATCGATATCAACGGCTTTTCCGTTGCAGCAAGGTTTCAGGGACGGATTTACAGACCGTTGCTCTGGAGGCGCTTGCCAAGCTTCCCTTTGACGCGATGAAATTACCGCGTTTTTAGTAGGACGGGATCATGGTTGGTTGGGTTACGCCGCAATTAGGTGATGTCTTGGTGAGCCGTTCAGAGATGATATATGAAGGGGGGATGGTAAGCCAAGTCTTGCCTCACGCAATGATCACCTCGTGTTTGACGCTTGGCCAATCCATCTTGGGACGGTGATCCGACGGATGGAAAATAGAGAGGCAAATGGGTTGAATTTTGCGGCTCTAGACCAGAATGTGATTGCTTGTCTGCCTCATTGGAGTCACTGCCGTGCGTGGCTGAAGTCAGAAGCAGTCGCCAGATGGCACGAGCAGGGCCGATATTATGCCCCTTCAAGATCGCGAGAACCTCGGACTAAGGTAGGCAGTCGCAGACCAATTACCGCCTCTATTAATTAGTTGTCCGTTACACGCAACAGCGTCTCGGACTTCAGCTGAAGACTTACCGCGTGTCGCAAACCACTTCAGGCGCGGAGCTATCCTCAACTGCCAGAACGTTGGTACCGGATAGTTACCGGATGTCGTCATTTACCCTCGGTGTTACTCCATCGCAGCCTACCAACAGACATCCACAAAACCAGTGGACATGCCGCGCGGGGGTGGGTTCGGCGCGGGTAACACACGTCCTGGCACATCCGATTTGAGCGAATCCACGGACGTTCACGGTTCGAAGGAAGGGAAGAGACTAGGGGCGAGCCACGGTGGGAACGCCTCTTCGCGGTGGTCCCCTTGGGTCGGGGAAACCCGTCCGTTCGCCTTTCCATCTCAAGTTTCTCCATCGCTGTTGGGACGCTACAATCGCGCATGTCGGCATGTAGTGTAGGTGTAGGACGGGGGTGGTAACGGCTGCCACTTTGCACCAGCTTCAGCTCTAGCCAAGCCGCGTGCCCAGGTCGGTCTATCCGGCTGGATTTCCCAAAGTTCAAGGGACCTGGCCCTCCTTCATTGCGTGCTTCTGTGCCTCTTGGGGTTTTCCCAATGCCAAGGTGACCAATGTCGACTTGTCAAGCACGCAAGCTAGCTGGAAGCATGGATCAGGAATATTGGGCCAAGAGATATCGATTGTGTGATTTTGTACCCCCGTTATGGTGCCTGCGAACATGAATCGGGGACGGATGGCGGGAGGGCATTACTTGTAGAACGACGTGGGGAGACCGGAGACATCTGTATATATGTATCTCCGTCCACGCGACCATGGCTTTCATGTAGAACTCTGTTGAAGATCTATCTCCGCTTTGGTCTGTTTGAACTCACCCGGGTCCTCATCCGCGTGCCACTTGTGGCTCCATCAAACTTGAACGGCAGTCGATCAAATCCATCTTTCGCAAAAGATTGGGCACAATTACTTCGACAATGGTATTTTCGAGGCTATTCCCGAGCGACAAGTCGGGCGGCGCCGACGCGACTGTACGCGCCGACCCTGAGGCCAGCGACTCTGAGCCGTCCATCATTCACGATGGCGATCTTGCGTACACTAGAGTCAAGGGAGGTAATGGCTCCAAGCCGTCATACCAGGAGGCCGTTGGTGCTCCTGTCGAAGCGGAATCGCCGTTGGGGTACCATGTCAACTGGTTGGCTATTATTTTCTTGAATATCAATATGATGGTTGGGACTGGTGTCTTTTCTACTCGTAAGTTGGCCCTGGCCCTGTTGCTCCTGTGACAAGTCTATCGGAGCATGCCTCCATGGAAGTTATGGTATGCTGACTTTGTTACGGTATAGCTGCTAATATCCTCAACAGGACGGGCTCGATTGGTCTGGCCTTGATATACTGGGTGATTGGATTCCTCATGGCCTCGGCTGGCTTCAGCGTCTACCTCGAGTTGGCCAGTTACTTCCCCAACCGCAGTGGTTCGGAGGTTGTCTACTTGGAACAGCAGTACCCTCGCCCGAAGCACTTCTTCCCCGTTGCTTTTGCGGTCCAGTCGGTGATTCTATCGTTCAGCAGTAGTAATGCAGTCGGTAAGTGAACATGGCATGAAGAGGATCTATGTCGAGTCGCGAAAGAAAGGCTGACAGCTTGATAGTTCTGTCCAGGTACCTGTGGAGAATGGCCGATATCACGCCCTCAGAGTGGCAGATGCGAGGCGTCGCGATCGCAGCGTACACCCTCGCCGTCATCTGCGTTCTCGCACACAACAGATACTCCCTCTGGCTCGTAAACTTCATCGGTGTCTTGAAGCTTCTGACCCTCGTCTTGTCAGTGACTGCCCAAAACCCAACCCAAACTTCCCGCCGCAACTAACACTCACCCCCTTGTAGCATCTCCATAGCAGGCCTCGTAGTCCTAGGCGGCAACATCAAACACATCCCCGACCCAAAAGCAAACTTCCGCAACGCCTTCGAGGGCACAACCAGCAACGGAAACGACCTCTCCAACGCCCTCGTCAGCATCATCTTCTCGTACGCGGGCTACTACAACGCCTTCAACATGACCAACGAGATCAAGAACCCGATCCCCACCCTGAAGAAGAACGGCATCATTTCGCTGACGACGGTGGCGATCCTCTACATGCTCTGTAACATTGCCTACTTTGCTGCTGTGCCGAAAGCTGAGTTCAAGGAGGCGAGCGAGATTGCGGCGGCGGTGTTCTTTTCAAAGTTGTTTGGCGGGAGCAAGGCTGCTGCGAATGTGTTGAATTTCTTGGTGTTGTTGAGTGCTTTTGGGAATTTGTTGGCGGTGTTGATTGGATCTTCGCGTATGATTCGTGAGATTGGACGGTGAGTACGCGCTCTTTTTGGATTGAGCCTTTGCTGACTTCAGGATTTAGACAAGGTGTTCTTCCTTTCACCAACTTCTGGGTCTCGACTAGGCCCTTTGGAACACCCTTGGGTCCGTACATGTTGAAGTGGACAATGACCTTCATCATGATCGTCGCGCCCCCTGCTGGCGATGCCTTCACTTTCGGTATGGCCTCATTCCCAGGGATCCTACTAATCCATGCTATGAACCCTTCATTGACACAATATCAGTCGTCGATCTGGCCAGCTACCCAAGCGCAATGTTCAACTTCGCCATGACCTTCGGTGTCTTCGTCCTCCGGCGCCGCCGCCAGCGATCCGGCATCAGCCGCTCAGAGTTCCGCGCCTGGGACTTTGTCGTCATCTTCTTCCTCGCCATCCAGGTCTTTGTCCTGGCAATGCCGTGGTGGCCGCCAAAGGGTGGCCCGTACGCGGGAAGCGTCAGCTTTTGGTATGCCACGTACTGCGTTGTGGGTATCGGCATGTGAGTGAACCCCTCCTTGTTCAGCTCTTTCTCGGATGTGGTCGAGACAAAGTTCGGATTCGAAATGAGAAGAAATTCGCTGACCTGGTTTGCGTTCTGTTAGCATCATTCTCTGCGTCCTGTACTACGTCTTCTGGATGTATGTACTCCCTCGCTGGTTGGGATACGAGATCCGCACGGAGATTGTCGAGGTCGATTCCAACGGCGCCAATACGCATCGCTTGGTTAGAGTTCCCAAGGCTGAGCTCGCTGCGTGGAATGATGTGCACGATGAGGCGGGCAACTTGAGGCGACGACACGTTACTACCGAGCTTGATTCTAGCAATTCCAACGAAAAGGGGATCTGAGTTTTGGGATACAGATGTTTGGCAAACCTTTGGATGGAAGGTCTTTCTGTCTAGGTGTGCTTAGGGTCTGCCCAATGGAGGAAGGAAGGAGGTACTCATGGTAGTAGTAGCACATAGTATTGGTCGTGCAACGTTGGTTCTTGTCAATATATAACCTTGCTCACTTGATTCGGCACCTCATACTTGCGTCATACGTGATCAAAGCCCTACTACGTACGTCTCTGACATCTCGGAGACCTACATCTTATTTGATGGTCTTCATCGGTGCATGTACCTGAGTCGTCATGTTCCCAACAGCCAATGGCTAGAGACCACCATATCCAAGCTCTATGTAGTCGGAGTCGAATCACAAGCTCACATCAAATGATGGTCGGCTCAAGCGTGTTCAATCGTATATCCTCACGATCCATCATCTTTCGGAAGCTAAGCCAAGTTGAGCACCCCTCAATCACTGCTACTCAGCGTTGGATGTGTACTTCAGTCGTCCTCATGATACCCTTATTGTCCCCAAAACCATGCCCCGTCTCCAAAATCAACTCCTCACTTCCCGACCTGTCGCCAAGACTATTCTTCTTCTGATACACAGCAACTGCCGCCGGGGTGTTATTTCCACCTTTTATAGTCGTACGGTAGAACTCTGGACTTGGTGAAAACGGCCCGTCCTCGAGTTCGTAGTCTGGCGCCCCCTGGCTTCCTTGTTCCCTATAGCCCTGTCTCCGAGCGGTGCCCGTGGTGATGTTTCCTGTTCTGCCGGATCGTCCCGTGGGGTATCGGTTTTCGTAAAGGTTATCGCTGTTGTAGTGACGGCTTGAAGATATTTTAAGGGCGCGGCCGACGAGGGGTTTTATCGCTGGCGCGCAGGCAGCGATGATGCCGAGGTTCAGTTGGAGACTGAAGGACGGTGCGTTAGCTTTGATTCGTTTTTGACAGTAGACATTGCGACGACTTACAAGCCCCAAAACTGGATACTTTGGTAGCTGGCAACACATATCAGCACTCCTTGTTCCTCAGCAAGCACTTGGAGAACTTACAAGGTCCCATCTTTGCTGCCCGGTTGCGCGATCTGATAGATGGCTTTGATGATGCCCATGACGACAGCCCTGGAATGGATTAGCTCTGGTGCTCGGCCTATGCGTAGACTGGGGCAAGACCTACAAGTATCCCAAACTGAGAACGACGACTAGATATACCCTCGTGCGCAACTTCATTTGCAAGACCCAGATGATTGGGACGGGAAGTGATGCGAAACAGACGTCGGTGAAGATGTTGAGCGCTGGCTTTCAATTAGCTTCCAAAGTGGCAAGAAAAGAACAGAATCTCGTCTCACCGGTGTTTACTAGCGCAAAGTTGACAAACAACTTGATGTTGTAGCACTTTGGCTTGAGACTCTTGTCCCAATATCCCTCCATCGGGCTACAATATAAGAAGAAGCTAAGCCACGCCATGATCGTATAAAGTACCACGAATACTAATGACATGTTAGATCAAAGTCAGGCGCCACAGTGTATAGGGCTGGATAGATATTGTACCAATCAAAGCCCATAGTGATCTCGAGTACCACTTGTTTTTACTAAGTCGTAGTAGTGATAAGGCAATGGAAATCTTAAGAAACGCGAGAGCGGCAATGGCGGATATAATCGATTGAAAGAAGCCGAATTTGGAAAAGAACACCTGGTCCGGCTTGCTGATGGTGTCTTTGTGTCTGCCAAGTCCGTAGAAAGCCTGAATAATGAAGATCATCATACCCCCGCCCAGCGCACAGAGCTGCTAAAGTTAGCATGGCTGCCCTTCTCCTGGTACCATAGCAACCTGGTCTTCTGGAGATGGCGTACCGTAGACATGATCATCATGTAATCGTCAATGCCTATCGTCTTTACGATAGCGGCGCGGGTATATGTTCGGAGCACGACAAAGACGAGAGCGAGAGCGTGGAAGGTCCCAGTCACGGCTAGGATCATGGCCGTATTGCTTTCCTTAGCACGCTCCGGGTCGACGGCCGTTGTGCTGGACATCGAAGACATTACGGCGGATGGCGCGGCTGCGCGGCGTCGAACAGACGCACAGATGATGAGAGGGGAGTCGAAGAAAGCCACAAAGGTTCAGGAGAGTGGGCACATTGAGCAGCGAGGGGATCTGCGGATTCTTTTAAGCATCTTGCTGTTCCATTTCGGCACTGCAGATTGGGGGCTCTTAATCCGTTCTGTAGGAAAAAAGGAACTGGATAGATGAAACCCGATCCACGGGGGCCACACTGCAGTAACCACGCACGCGGTACGGACGGGGCTTTTGGAGGGATGCAAGGAGATCACCCAACGGGGAGTCGGGGACTGTGAGAGGCAGCATCATTGGGTGACGGAATCGGACTCCGTACAAAGGGGGAATCTTCGTGCTGCCGCTCCAGCCTGCCTCGGGAAGGTGATACGTTGTGCCTTTCTAGACTGTGTTCCAGAGCAGGGAGGTTGATCCGTCCCTATCAGCCCATTGCCATTCGGCTTGGAAATTGACACCGAGTTCGCGAGGTGACTGCACAATTACTGTTTCTTCGAGAATTCTGTACCGGAGTTTTCCTTGTAGAGAAGTGGATCAACGGATGCAATGTGCTGCACCTACAGGATCGCCTAAGCAGGCAGTGGGCAGGATGTAGAATGAAAAGAGTGTGAAGGATCTCCCGGGGGCCACATGGATGCCTCCCACATAACGTGCCACCTTGTTGCAAACTTGCAGTACCGTGGAGCATCCGGAGGCAAGGCAGAGAGGAGTCAATTCCAGCTTGCCAAGACAGAAGATGACTGATGCCATGGAGCATATAAGCATAGGTAGATACTTTATCTTCGGCAATCATCCAGAGATTATTTGTTGGCGAGGAGCGGCGTCAAGGAGCGATATTGATCCTGCCACCCCAATCGGGCAGCAGAAATTCGTAAGTGCTCAAAGCCACGCTGCAAACTGTGTCGCGCCGAGGAAAAAGAGAGGAGATTAATGGGTTTCGACATCGGCCATCGAACCGAAGAGGGAATCTGTGCATGATCCCCGGTTGAAGAACCCAGCGGCACAGAAGAAAAGGAATAAATAAACCACAAGGTTGTTGTTGGCGGCATCGGGTGGGAGGGTGTCACCGACCCATGAAAGGATCTAGTGGTCTGCCAGTCGGAAGACATGGCATGCATGCCAAGATTAAGACGGGACGGTGGAAACCACATAAGGATGTTCGACAAACCACCATACGATCTATTCGGATCGGTTGGTCACCCTCGGGTCTCGTGAAGGGAAGCGGAACTCTGTGGAGTCGGACGATGGCCGACCAACTGGACACTGTATGTCACAATTTACTGTTGCATGCGAGTAGTTGGGACGAACATGTTGTTGTCTGAACCTTTTTGACTTTTAAGCTTATGGAGCTCAAGGAGCGTGTGTAATGCCGCACGGATTTGGCCCACGGAACAAGGTGATTACAGTGTCTTAGTCCACGTACTAAGCCTTTGGTCCAGTTGCCGTTTAGTATCCGCCACCTTCAAGTAGTGGCGACCGACGGCAACGCATCTTCCCTGTCACCCGTCCACCGGCCGGCTCCGCGCTTGGCCTAAAGAAGGTTACATTCTTCATTCCAGCAACGTGGGCCCTGGATCTGGGCTATCGAGTCTGGGACCTGGCTGCCCTATCCACAGCATAAAACCGTTCGATTAGTGACCCCTCTTCATAAGTCTCTTCAATCTTTCTTTTGCCCCCGGCAATTCAAGACCTTGTCTCCCGCCAACAGCGGCGGCGTTGTTGGATCGTTCCCGCTGCCCAGTGTGGTTACCACCTCCGCGCCGCGGATCCGAAGCCCTGCAGACCATGGCCGGAGGCACTAGTGCAGACAACGGGACTTTTCAATTTATCCCCAACGTCGGACAGGCATATGTCTATATAGCTAGCGAGATCTGTCTGATGGTTCGTTCACTTGTGACTGTTCCGGACCGTCCTGTCCGCTCCCACTTCCCACTCGACCTTGTGCACCTCGGTTTCCCTGTGCTACTGGTGAAGTCCCGTCCAGTTCTCTTTGATTGTTGACGTGCCTCGGACCACATCTCTCACTCAATTCCTTGCTTGCGCACGCGGCTACCCTGCAGTCTGTTAATTCCGTCTTGAACAAGCAAGAACTTCTAGCAATGCTTCCCATCACCATTGTGGCTGCGGCCGTTGGCATGCTGATTGCGCCGGTCATTGCCTCGCCCATCGAGACTCGCGATGTTCTCACCGAGCTCCAAGATCGGGCCATGAGTGCTCTCTCCGCGTCGGGCGCTGGTAACAAGCGCAGTAGCTGCAATATCTTCAATGCCCGTTACCGCCGGGACTGGTTCGTCACTTCCCCACCGTGGCCACGCAGATCATGAACATTCGCGTATGTTTGGGCCACAAGCTAATCTGTCACAAAGGGAGGCATTTTCTTCCCAGGAGAGGAAAGACTATATCAGTGCCGTGCAGTGCCTGTTGACGTCACCTTCCAAGTCGGATCCAGAGTTCGCGCCCGGTGCTCGCAACCGCTACGATGACTTCGTCGCGGTGCACATCAACCAGACCACAAAGATTCACGGAACTGTAAGCAATGCACATACGTACCATCAATCATCTTGCGGTCTAACGAAACAACTTAGGGTAACTTCCTGACATGGCACCGCTACTTTGTCTGGGCGTACGAAGAGGCTCTGCGGAACGAATGCGGCTACAAGGGCTCCCAGCCAGTAAGTGGATTCCATCGCTATCAGCGTGAGATCTTCAAACGGGTCTGACAATTACATTACAGTACTGGAACTGGTTGAAAAACCAAGACGATCTCCGAAAATCCCCTGTCTTTGATGGCAGCGATACCAGCCTGAGCGGCGACGGCGCTTACCTCAAGCACAACGGCAGCGTCAGCGGTGCGGGTGCCATTGTTCTGCCTTCAGGCGATGGTGGTGGTTGTGTCATGAGCGGTCCTTTCAAGAAGTAAGCTTTTCTCGTGGTTTCCTGTACCGGTAGATTCATCAGTCGCTGACATTAACCTAGCATGACGGTCAACCTTGGTCCGGTCAACCCCGGCATGGATGGCCTCGAGGCCAGCCCAACCGGCAAGCTTGGCTACAACCCCCGTTGCCTCAGTCGCGATCTGAGCAACTACACCGCGTCAACTTGGTTCACAAACGAGAACATGCTCAACATCACCCTCGGCGCGGCCTCCAAGAGCGTTGAGCTTTTCCAGAACGAGCTCCAGGGTCGTTTCTCCGACGGCTTCCTCGGAATGCACGCCTCCGGCCACTTCACCGTCAACGGCGAAGCCAGTGATCTGTACTCCTCTGTTGTTGACCCAAGCTTCTTCCTACACCATGCCATGGTCGATCGCGTGTACTGGTTGTGGCAGGCCCTTCATCTTTGGGACGCTTTCACCATTGCTGGCACGATTACCATCAACAACAGGCCGGCTAGCAGGGATGCTTTGAAGACTGATATCCTTGACCTCGGTGTCAATGCTGAGAACCGCACTATTGACGAGGTTTTGAACACCATCGGTGGATCTCCTCTTTGCTACGTCTACGCGTAAGTCTAAGGGTGGTTCACGTTCGAGCGCTAAATAGTATGTGGTCACGAGTGGCCGTAAGTGCCATGATAATAGCTAGAGTAAATGATCAGGGTCCAGTGAGTTGCCAACCCGGACCATTGTACATACAAGGCTCTTCTATGTAATTACAGAATCGATTCAAATCGAAATAGGTGGATTGGCGGTGGTGGCATTGCAATAATCACATAAGCTCAACCCGTCTGTTTTTTCACTCTTGATGTCTCTATTTGTTATTTCGAGTTTATATTTGTAAGGCTTCTTGCCTGGCTCTTAATAAAGTGAGACGTTGTCATATTTCTATGATTTGAGTTTGAATCTTTGGTCAGAGTGCGCAAACCGCTAGTGATATTGCGGGTGGAGTCTGGGGATGGCTTAGCCCTCAATGATCCACGCACAACTCACGATGCGGCGTCTTGAACGCCCAGCCGTCTCTATCACAATCACACACCTTCAATAGCCTGCCCGGCTAGCTCAATAGGTAGAGCGTGAGACTCTTAATCTCAAGGTTGTGGGTTCGACCCGTAAGTCTACTTGAACATCCAAGGACCACTTCGATGTCATCGTCTAACATCTCCCAGCCACGTCGGGCTTAATTCCCGTCAGCGATTGACACAAATCCATCTTTTTTTGTCTACATTCTATCTTCAGTGTTGTCTAATCTGTACTGGCGATAACTAAAGCGTTGTCCCGACCAAGTCTCTATGCGCATTTAACAACGCCTCTGAAGATTGTACGCCAATTCTAGGTTGCGCACTCGTATTGACGGAGCGCACTATCCTTCAGCAGTCTGTCCATGGCACTTTGTTGCATGCAAACACTGACATCAAAGTCACCAGTGTCGGCAATATCCATGATCTGGACCAAGCCATCAATCTTTGGCATGACGCCCTGAACATAACGAGCCAACTCGTTCGTGCCAAGGAAATCAAGCTCATAGGTCTTGGCCCGCACCCAGGATGTGACAAGGGTGTGATGAGTTCCCAAGAAGCCTTGCCATAGCCGCTGAGGACTGACTTCGTGTGCGGCGTCGTGGACGTAAGCTGCCACCGCATCTGGAGTGAACCGAGACATCATCTGCCTAATGGCGCCGGCGATGGGTCCAAGCTGGGTTGAGCTAGCTTCGTTGGCAGGCTTCTCCACGTTTCCTAGAAGGAGAGGAGAACCAACGAAGGTTTCGGGTAGGGGTGGATCGACACGGCTTCGGAGGCCCAAGGTGATGTTCAGATACGCGCTTTCTAAGTTCCCTTCATGACCACGCGCGCGGTTCATCAGAGTCCAGACATGAGCCAGGACTGCATCGAGCCTGGAGACTCGGAGTGATTTGATCTCCTCCGCTAAACTTGCTAGCGCAGCATCCTTCATTCGCGTCAACTCAGCTGCCGTGAAACGTATTTGAACGTGCTCGACAGGTGCGCTCATGTCCCAAGATGGCCAGGGAGGGTATGTTGACGGACTGAGTTTCGTCGTTTTCAACTCCTCTGGCGGTGGCATGGTGGCCAGTGAAGCTGGTCTAACACCTCGAGGATATCCTGGAGCGTCTTCTGCCCACCAGTCGAATCGGTGCATCGGCAGTGCTCGAGCCTCTGCAACTATTGTTGCGTCCGGGGGGCCTCCGGATGTGAGCCCCGCTACCCGGTCAAGCTGGGCCGGATCAAAGACAGGCTTGAATAGTCCTAGATCACCGGTTGCGGAAGAATTCCCGAAGAGAATCCTCGACCGTGTTGCCCAAGAGTACATGAAATTCATCAAACACACGGCATCTGCGAGCGGGTGCGAGACCATTGCGCTGACCCCGAAGCCTCCGCACTTGAACGATGTCAGCTGAACAGCCATGGCGGGCAGCTCGTCGATAACATTCAGAGACATGAGCGCAATCTTAGTTTTTGGCAAGAAGTCGCTTTGCTGGAAGTTCGAGGCGTTCCACTCCTTCAGATTCGTCGCCCTCTCAGCCCGGCTCGGGACTATATCGCTGAGCTTCGAGTCGTGAGTGGCGATGGATAGCTCAACTCCGGGATCTTCGGTCGAGCCATGTGCAATCACTAGCCGGCCAAGATGTCGTGGGACTGCGTTGTCTTTGACCTGCTCAGGTGTGGCCCATTGAAGTTGACCTGAAAAGTGTGGGTAATCGTCCAGCGTTTGACTCAGTGCATGCCCAAGTGTCTCGAAAAGTTGAGTGTTTGATAGTTGTGAAGTTTCTGGCTTGTCGTAGAGCCATATCGCAGCAGTGGGTGTGAAACGAGCCACTGTCGAATCGAGTATGGAGAGTTTGGAGACGACGGGCTTTGTGGAAGGTGAGTTGGGGAATATTCTCCGGGTCGCGTCGATGCTGCAATGCTGTGCAGCGCTTGTGGTTGCTGACATTGCTCAAGTTCTTTTGTTGACACTGGCTGTGATAGGCTTCGAATGATGCAACTGTCTTACTCTGACATGAAGCGAGCTCCAATCTAGTTAGCAAGCCTGTGAGCAAAATGCTGCGTGTTTAAATAGGTTCAAGTTTTCAACACGCACAGACAAACCGCTAGAGCCGGGAGATAGCATGGGTCCCCGTTCGAGGTTCGGCGAGCAAGTGATCTGGGTCCGGTATGATTCATTCTGCATCATGCCTGAATTCGACTAGCTCATCCCTTGTTGATTGGACGTTGAGTCTGATATGGCGCGCGGGAGGGCCCTGACCCCTGTTGATCTCGTTACGACATAGCCAACGAAGACTTCTAGCGTCTAAGCGAGCTCCTCGTTGATGCATGTCAGCTCACGAGCTCCCGTTCGAGCTGCTGTGCCTCTCGTAGCTTGTTGATTGTGAGTTGTGTGAGAGGGGAGCACTTGTGGCTATCTTTGCAACTACTAGATCTATGGAAGTGTCTCCATGCCCGCCGGATCAGAGAGGCGATGATCAAGGAAACGTTGAGCGGAAGAAGCTGAGCTGCGAGTCCATCGACTTGTTACCGGCATAGCTAAGATTGATAGTGGCTATGTGTTCTACCGTGAGTTACAGCAGGATCAGGTACTGTGTAGGTCGACGACAATCTATGGGAGCGGTGCTGGAGCACCGGCTCGAATGAGAGTGCTATTTTCAGTCGCTAAAAAGCTATCCGAATTATTACTAGCATACTGCACATGCTTGCTGGGCCAGTATTTTATTACTATTGGTGAGAGCCTCTACCACCGAAGTCATTGTCGTGAAACAGCATAAGGTAGCAAGGTCTTCCCACACATGATCAAGACAAGTAGTCAAGTACTTGACAAGTACTTGCACGGAATCCTTCGCTCCAGGCATGGTCAGATGCCCTGGCGTGACGTGCCGCAAAGTCAGCTTTCTCACACCGGCCTGAGCTGGCAGAAGTTCACATCTCTGAAAGGAAGGGCTGCCTAGGAGCTTGTCCAATTCTACCAGAATCAAATGCTCATCAAAAACTTAAACGCGCACACAGCCGCAGATGGTGGTCCAGCGGCTGCGCCAAAGAAACCAGTTAGATGTCTTGTAAGAGAAGAGTACGGGTTAGCAGCCGCGGATGATATCATTGGAGCGAGCGGCTGGATGCTGATGAGATCGCGTAGGCTGTGTTCCTGGCACTTCTTAGTGGTGGCTGAGTACGGCACAGAGCTCATGAATATCTCGGTTGCCGAGACACCGGTCGTCATATTTCGTGCCCGACGAGAACAAAGAGGAAGGACTGAAAGAGCGTGGGGAGGGCATGTACACTGTGAGAGTGTCACACAATAGTTTCACAATGCAACCCCATGCCAAGCTAAATATACGTGACGTGTTCATCAGGCGTATTGACCTATCGGGTTGATCACCCTATGCAAAGGATCCTATACTACCCTTCGATAGATCCCTCAGAGGTGGCTGCTCCCGAATTGACGGCTATCTATCCTGCGGCGCGGAAGAACAATAATGGAGGTAAGCACGAGACTGCATTCTACTGATATGAAGTACACATCGAGGTGATATAACCGAGGGTGGTCAGATATCAGTGGTTCTCCAGAGATATTACTACTTCGACCTGCAGCAGTTCTTCCCAATCAGGAAAATGACTCTGCCCATCTATTTAGGGCCGAGCCGACTGGAGTCAACCGTAGATGCTGGTTCTAGCCGTCCCCCGCACTCCAAGCCGTGATCGCGGTATCTAGAAGCACTCTGAGTGGATAACACGTCTCGTGCAATAGATGCACACGTGCGGCGGGAAGGCTGGGGGCCCTTCCATCTATGCTACCTTGGATCCTTCATGTTTATGTCGTAGCTCGTTCTGATGCAGCCAGAATGCTGTGCTCGCACTCCCCAGTTTCCCCACTGAGACCACACGCAGTCAAATGCAGACGCAGACTCCTGTGACCCAGCCACAACCTGCAACCTGCACGCAGCTTTGCTCCGACAGAACCTCGTGGGGAAGCCTAACTTGTGCGCCGCTCATAGGGCTGATGCTGTGGGACAGAGATGATGCAAGGTAGGTGGGCAGTGCTAGTGAGATGGCACTGCCCTTACGTCGGGCGTGATGCGGACCAGGATATGTTTGGTAATCGTGACTATTCATTCATTCTCGATGCATCATGATGCAGTCTCAATCAGTATATATCAAAGCCGTCTCTTTCTCGAAAACAAAGATGAGTTCCCAATACTCGGCATCACACACCGCATCTCAAACAGTTTCTTTTCTTCTGTTCTCTAAGTTTTCCTTTCCTTCTCCTTTTCCTTGTCTCCTTGCGAATCTCAACGTCTTTCCTCCCCTCCTCAGATCTTCATAACTTATAATACTTCAATTTCTTATACTCGTCATTCAAAATGCCCATGCTCACTTCCATTCGTAGCCGCTCGGGTTCGCCGCCGGCCATGCCCAGCCCTGAGCTCAACAGCCGTTCTTCTTTCCCTATTCAAGCTCCCGAGATTGATAGCATCCAGTTTCCGCGCTCGTGGGAAGCGGCATGGGAAGCAGCAGGTCAGACCAACTTTGAGCGCGCGCAAGCATTTCTATTTTTCTACCGTGGGGATGATGCCTCCATCAACAGCGAGCTCCGATCTATTGCAGCAAACCCCAAGCACCGAGATGTTGCCGCTCTTGCTGGCTCAGTCCAAAGACTTGTTTTCGGCAATCGTCACCCATCCTTCGACACAACCTCCCTGTTGCAGTGGATGCGCTTCGTGCTCATCAAGAGCCAAGCCCTGACTTCTACTAAGACGAATGCAATTCGCGATTTCTTCTTTGATCCGTCAATCGCTCGCAACCTACCTCAACTTCCGCAAGACCCGGTCATGTACCAGTATCCAGCCGCACCTCTCAAGGTCATGATTATCGGCGGAGGCCCCACAGGCCTGGCCTCCGCGATCGCTCTCGCCGAGAAGGCCGGGTCCAGAGTTGAGGTCCATCTCTACGAAGGTAGATGGATTCAGCAGCCGGGTAGCTCTTTCGTGAGCTACCCGCCAGGAGCCCGTCGTCGCGACCAGGTCGTCACGCTTCAAGACACCGTGATAGATCTCATGAGCGATAGAACGCGACAAGCTGTCTTTGGTGGGAATCCCGAGCGTGTTTGGCCTGGTTCGAGCAACCTGCAGATACGCAAGCTCGAAGAAGGTCTCTTGCGACGGGCACAAGATAGCCAGTTCCGTGACCTTATCTTCCTACATGCCTCACAGGTCAAGCAGGCCAACCTTTCGGAGTACGGTGACTTCCACCTGATGCTTGGTGCCGACGGTGCCGGCTCATGGCTCCGCAGTGCCTACTTTCCGGGACAAGAAGAAGAGGTTGGAAAGAGTTATGCCCTTGGGGTCGCTTTTGATCGCCCTCGTGGGCTTCCGTTTTCACAGCCCATCAACATCTTCCTCACCATGGGTCAAACTCGTTACCTCCTAAACGCCAGCGACTTCGATGGCACAGGATACCTCAACATGCAGCTGACCGAGACTGAATGGCATCAAATGGTATCTGTTGATGGCCATCCTTGCACATTCGGTCGGCCAAGTTGCCTGAAGGTCAATGACTGTCTGCCCGATGGATTTGACGAGAACCAGGTCTTTGCCCCATCTCAGCAACCTGACAGCCCGCTGTGGAAGGCCATACTCGATGGACTTGAGCTTTACGGGTTCAAGCAGTGCGAGGTGAAGAACATTGTTCGCATCCCCATCGTAGTACGCAGAATCAACAAAGCCGTCCAGCAGGTCCCGCAGTGCAACTCTACCGCTCTACGCCGACCCCATGGTCTTGTCGCCTTGGCTGGAGATGCGGCGATGACGGTACACTTTTGGCCTGGGAGAGGCGCGAACTCCGGAATGAAGGCCGGCATCGCCTGGGCTGATGAGGTTGCTCGCGCTCTCTTTCACGGCCAGTTCGTCGGTCTTCAGACTTCTTCGCTGGGAATGTACCACGACTTTCTGCAGAAGCTCCAAGAGCGCGAGCACGGCGGTCGCAGCTTACCCATCGTCAAGCAGACAGGCGATCCAGATATGATGGCCTGGCTGATGCGCAACGCCAGACTTATTCCGCAGCACGTGGCGATGGAGTGGCTCGTCGGCCAGATGCGTCGCGATGGCGTTCGCATTCAGAGACGAGCTGACTGGGCTTTTGAGCAGGTCAACAACCTCGAATCACAACTCCGGGAGATTCTCGAGAAGATGAATGCAGTCACTATTCAGGAAATGGCCGCGACGTTTCCCTGGCCCACGCGGGAAATGGCTGGGGCCGAAGTCCTGCCCGAGAGGTCCGTGGTTGACGCGTGCTTGAGTGGTCACAGGCCGACAGAAATATCGAAGCTCGAAAAGCAGGCCAAACCGAAGAAACAAGACAAGAAGAAGAAAAGTTCAGAGATTTCCGTGACTACCTCTGAGATTTCACCGGCATTCTTGGCTAGCTTGGCGAATCATAACAAGCCAGCTCAGCGGTCCTCGTGGCGTTCTTTCAGCTTCAGCAGAACGCCTCAGGCTGTTCAGTCGTAATTTTCTCATTGGTTTATTGGAATTATGAAAGGTTGGAAGAAAGACGGATTGCGACTAGTATTTGCATGTGAGGCATTGCTGAATACCTTACCTCGTGTCAGTCCCTGGGGAGCATATTAGTTGGTTAGCGTTTTTGTCGTTGCATCAAATTAGGGTCAGCATCACATTGAAGCATAGGGGCGTTACTGGGGTTGGAGTCAAACAAATATGATAGGTCTACGACAAACTTAGAGGACAGCACGGTCATTTTTATTCAATATCTACTACTTCTCCTGATTTCGATGCCTCTTATTCTAGTTGGAGTCTTGGGAATACCAAAAGCTCAAACCCAACACCCCTTCTTTGAAATCCCATAGACGCAGAGCAAAATACGACATACCCCACTTCGTCCTGGCCGAAACGATGTCCTGCTAACCCGTATACCGATATTTTCAGATGATGATACCGTTTTATCGCAAGTTTGCTGGTGGCGTATTCTCACTCAACCACTCAGTCTCACCGGGTAGGTCTTTTGTCAATGTTATGCAACTCTAGAGGAAACCTCAGGCGACAACTCGCCCCATTGCAACTCTCACGAGGGCACTGATGGCCAAATACGCAAGTCGGTTCGGTGCAACTCAGACCTGCGTGGCAGTGAGACTGACGAGCCACGGCCCAAAGAACTTGCAACTCTCTCGGGCTCAGCTTGCCTCTGTGCTCGTGTGAGCACTTCCCATACAAGTCCTGATAGGGACATCTGCCCAAAAGATGGAAACTGTTGCACAACTTCCGGCTCTTCATCAAGATGAACTCTTGATGAGTAATAGAAGCGAGCGGTGAATCAACTCGTTGCCCAGCCTTGTTCCGAAGCACCTGTCCCAAGGTGGGCAAAGGTATCCTGGAGTCAACTGTGGCTTGCTGACGGACCGGTTGGTCTCCAGATAGAATCGATGGGGCTTTTGCAGCGGCTGACGCATAGTTGGTCGAAGGCGTTGATGGTGGTGTGATGTTGTATGATACCTTGCGTTTGATGTTGTTGAGCAATTTATGTCGCCTAAAGACCCTGTTGAAAGAAGCGACTCGGAACTGGTCTTTCATCTCCGCCAATTCCTGTGCGAATGGAGGACCTTCGAGGAGTATGATTTTCTTGCGAATCACCTCATCGTCGAGTTGCGATCCCAACAAGCGAGCGTAACCGCTGTCTGCTGAAGCACCGAACAAGACATGCCGGCAGTGAACATCCGAAACACCGAACTCAAAATTCGCTAGAAGCCTTTAGCCGTCATATCTCGTGGTTGTTTGTAATTCAGCTCACCCTTCAACTTTTCATCCGCACACTCCTTGCCATTACCCGCATCAACGAAGTCGCACATGCGATTCTTCATGTTGAAGCCTCGGATGAACTCATCCAAAACGCTTGGGTGTGGAATGATGCCCGCTTCGGTATAGGTCTTGGCTAGACCCTTCACGTTGGCGTAAACACGGACCGAAACTTGCAAATGGTGCGGGAGGCAAGGATCAACGGCGTTGAGCTCGTCAAAAGTTGCCAGGCGCAAAAGACTTGCAGCCTTCTTGCCTCCCTCAAGTCCTTGCTCAACAAGGTCATCCAAAAACTGTTTGCGAGTCATCAGAAAACAACCATCGATTAGGACAAGGAAGGTATTGAGCAGTTCTATCCTACCGGCATACAATCGCCGTCAACAAGGACCATTGCAACACAACGTTTGTCCTAGCTAGGTAAGCGCCCTTCTGCCAGTGAGGTGGAGTGTATGAATGCACCTTCTCATTTTGCAGCTTTTCGGTACATTTTTTGTTCTTGTCATTGGTGGCCCATAGAGACTTGACAAGCATCTTCCTTTCCTCAAGGTCCCTGTCAACCTCAGAAAGCTTGCCGGTAAGCTCTGCAATATGAGAAAACAAGTCCTAGATGACCCCGTCAGCTATTTGGCGATTTGTGCACGGCCCGGATAGAAGATGCGAAAATACCTCTATGAGTGAAGCCTTGCGGTCATCCTGGCTTTTGCACATTTGCCATCTCTCCTCCAGCGACAACGTCCTTATGCTCGTCGTGTTGGACATGTCGAATACTTAGTGCATTCAGTGTGACTCAATCGAAAGACGATGAGTGCGTAAAGTAGAATTTTGATCATAATCCGGAGAGCGGCAACTCCTTCGACTTAAGTACGGCTGCCCACGCGGTCAAGTCACGCAGCCTTGGGGGCCCCGAGGCGTACAGGTTGGTTGCACTGCATTGCCACCAGCGAATTATAGAGGCCGATACTGTGGCACATGGTTTGACGGCAGGCCAACAGCACCGCCGCATTTCAAGATTTCGGGGCTGGCCGCATATTGGTTGGCCTGCTGCGGCGAGTGGTTGGCTGCATTTGAGGTGGTGAATCTGCCTTGTGTTGGCGCGGTCTTGCACTTTGGGTCTTGGTGAAAGGAAAGTGAACAACCAACCGCATACTAGTAATTATCAGAACGGGACCTAACGTCGTTGTTAGAAAGGTTCGCGATTTGGGGAGCAACGGTCATGAACTTTGCCGCACCTAAGGGAATAAATGTTGGTTGAGCGGGCATCATTAAACCCCGAAAACAACATGAAGGAACGCGAGCTTGTACCTTGGTAATACTATTTACGTGACTCTTCAAGAGGTGTATCACGAGGTTGATACGAAACTCATCTGGGAGTATGAGAATGTGGTCCAATAATCTATCCTATTTAATACGATCGTTCTATCAATATGCTCAGGGGTAAAGTATCTACCTGGTGTTGTAGCTCTCCGATTTCTTCCTCCACCCTGAGACTCACATTCCCTATCAACTTATCAAGTCTTTCGCGCGGTCAGATCAAAGCTTCTTCGCCATGATATTATCGGTTTGAACAACTGAGCCAATGGCAAAGTCATGGGTACCACATTCTTGATACCCCCATTTCTCGTACGCCTTTTGCGCCCGGAGGTTCTCTTCCCAGACACCCAACCAAATGTGCTTAAACCCCTGCTCTCTAGCCATATCTTCTAATCTGTCTGCTAAGAGTCTGGCAGCGCCTGTGCCTTGTGCCTTGGGATACATGTAGATCCTCTGCAGCTCAACTGTGCTGTCGAGACTTGCGATGCATGGGTCCGATGAGCCCCGGGTGAGCATTGCGAAGCCAAGAATGTCCCCGGCAGGATCGACTGCAAGTATGGTGTCTTTGTTCGAGTCGTTGAGGTCTTTTGAAATGGCTTCTAAACTGTAAGCCTCATGTAGGAATGCTTCGAGCTCATGTGGCTCTACGGAATGGCCGAATGTAACTGTGAAGACATGGGCGGCAAGTTCTGATATCGCTGTGGCGTCCTCAAGAGACGCTGGTCTGAGAGTGGCTGCCATGCGCCCGCTTTCTTGGACATCTGAGAGTTTTGCCATGGTCGATGTAGTCGATGTTGAGAACAAATTGTAGTGATATGGGATTTGCGTGGCTTGGCGAGGCGTGCGGCTATGGTGCAACTGACAGCCTACAGCGACAGATCTGATCGGATGCTCCGGGCTAATTCTTACGCAACCCAGAGATCTGGTTTCGATGCCCTTTTGTACGGTTCTCAGATGTCGCAGGCCTGCCGTCATCTTCACTTCACCCTTGCCAAATGTCTTTCCCAAAATCGATGTTTCTAGAAGACACGTCGCTAAAACGCTAAATTCCCACCAACAGGGCGCGTTGAGCCGCGGCGGTTTTAGTCCCTGAGCGGCTAGTAAAGGAAAGTTTCGCCCTGGTTAGAGCGCCTTATTGTCAAAGCAACAGGTTGAGAAGCAAGCTCATTGGTCAGATGTCTTGAAGTGTCTCCATTTTGCCTGCGCCCTTAGCACGACACCGGCCATGACCGGAATCTGCACTCAACTTACCTCGATTACATCGAGAGAACGCAATGTCCCGGCGATTTCTTGACAATGGCGTATCGAGATTGTAGTACTTGAGAGTCAACGTCATATTTCATGTTGTGGTGCGGAACCTGCAGGCGCTGGATCCACTCTTGCGTGATGACTCAGTTTGCAACTCACAGGTGCAATTTCAAAAGCTGACTTGTGAAGAAACATCAATAGAATTATTGGAGTCTACGGCAGAAGCTACGGGAAGATTTGCTAGGTGAATGAAGAAACAGAAACTGAAGACTTAGCTTGGTTGATGTAAGGTACCCGTTGAAACTCCAGAAATTCTATGTGTTCAGGCGCGCTCCGACTTTTCCTCCGTTTTCTTCTGTCTCGTACCAATCATGACAATACCACACACAGCAGCACTTGAAATCGCAACGAAGAGAGCACTCACTGTGGAGAACCAACCCACACCAATGCCCTGAATGCCAGGAAGTACTACTGCCGTGCCGATGGCAGCAAAGGTATACCTGATGAAGTAGTTGCCAGCTAAATAGGCCAAATCAGTTACTGTGTTAACAATTTGATATTAACAGAAAGTTCAGCATGCTTACCCATGACTTCAGCTGCCCTCTCTCTAAAGACATCTAAGCAGTAACTGTTAAGACAAGGGAAGCAGACCATCTGCGCGACACCTTGCAGAAACATGCAAATCACGGGGAGAGGAATTCCGCCCTTAGCCTTGTCGATTGCCCATCCATAGATGATGGTGGTAGCTGGGATGACAACGCCCAAAGCGATGAAAGCACTTCGTAGACGATCTTCTGGAATACGCCTCCCTCTCTTCGCAATCCACTTCTTCACGGTGTAGTCGGCATATCGGCCGCCAAAGAAGGTACCGACAAGATATCCTGCTCCGGGCGCCAGAAAGAAGAATCCCGACTGTAGAGGAGTGGTGAGGTGGAATCTTGGGTTGATAACGTAGCGAACTGGCGTCAAAAGAACTTGCATGTTCCACAGGACTGATGACGCAGCAACACCCTGAGTGTATCGTCAGCTGATATTGGACAAAGGCAAAGGGCCATACCGCCGTAGCTACATATCCACTTGGACTGCCGTTGGTTTACCGCAATCGGTCTGGTGAACACCTCAAAGGCTCGTTCATGGCGAAATGGCGAGGAAGACTCACCACAATGAGGATCTTGGGATATCGGAACAAACTGACGACCCGGAACGGGTTGGCCCATTCCCATATCTGGCCAATCTTTTCTTTGGTCGTCATTCCCTCCAACTCCTCGGACCACTTCCCGTGACTCGTTTCTGGGAGAAAGGCGACCGCCAGGACCATAGCAGCGCCTCCGAGAGCGCCTTGGAACCAAAAAAGAGATTTCCAGGTCGAGTAGGTGACAATGACACCTCCGATGAAGGGACCAAGAGCAGGTCCAATACTTACGAAGAGTATTAGCCGTGGATATTGACTAGACCGAAAGACAGGACTTCCGACTGGGGCGCTGGGACTTACAGGGTGCCGCCAAGGAACCAACCCAATGCCGTACCACGTTCAGTCGGGCGATAAATATCACTGAGACACGCAGATCCAACGATGAGGAATGATGTCCCCACAAATGCAGTAATTGACCGGAAGATGAAGAAAGCTGGCAGATTGGGGGATACCGCTGTGGCCAGCGAAAACGCGCAGAACAACACCGTCGATATGACGAAGATCTAGGACGTTTAGTTCAAGTGTAGGGCGAGAGATAAGCCAAATTGGCCGATTAAAAGCTGACTGTAACTATGATACATGATGGTAGGATGTACAAAGGTGGTTTTGCTTACCCATTTTCTACCGTAGACTTGACTTAACGGGCCCCAAAAGAGAACGCCAATGCCCATCATTAAGAGGAAAAGAGCATTGGTGAAATTGATGACGGTTCCAGACGTGTTGAAAGCCGCTGCCACCTCCGGCAGCGCTGACAGCACAAGCAATGATGCAAGGTTGATGCCAAGGCCACCGAAGGACACGATGGCGGTGATGAGCCGCTTGCGACCGGGTGTAAAGCGGTCGTAGACTGTCTTATCTTCACGGTACGAGTATGGTCGGCTGGGCGTTTGAGCAATTATGTTCACACCCTTCTCGGCGTTGGATGTTCTCAACGCGAGCAGGTCCGGAGGCAACTCGTCCTTCCTCGTAGGAACCTCTGACAATGTGTGTTCAGATATGATGGACATGATGATGGTGATGACTCGAACATGAAATAGAAGTAACAGTCGTGCATATGTGAGATCAATGTATTGACAACTTGAACTTCAACTAGGCAGTTGATGAGAGCAAGCGATTGACAGGAGAAAGTGACAGGAATTGCTAAGGAAATGTGTCCACCAGAAACAAGAATAACTAGTACTGAATTGTTCCGTTTTCTGAGGGGGGCAAAGCGCTGTATATAAAGCATCAAAAGCGCACCATGAAAATGTCAGAAAATTCTCGGCTGCATACTTACCCACCTCGGGCTCATGATTCCGAAGTCGGGCACTGGGACTATCACCTCCGAAACGTCTTCAAAGACATCATCAATGGTCTTTGTGAGAAAAGCCCCCAAAACCAGCAAAAATATTTCATTGGCCCCCGGTCTTTGAACCTGTGTGCTAGCGGAGCGTCTCCGCAGCGGGGAATATCTGCAACCTTTTGCGTCTGTCACCTCCACTTCGGGTTGGAATCAGGCTTTGATATTGGACAAGGGCGACAACTGGGAGCTCCACCGAGGCTGCAAGTGTCTTATCTAACATCATTCTCCGGGTTGGAAAAGTCTGGGCCACCTTGAAAAATACGGAAATGAGCCGGGGCCGGGGCGTGGGGGTTCACCAGGCGTTTCTGGCCCCTCTCCTGTCGGCGCCGCTGAGCCGGCGCACGGTAAGAAGGCCGAAGTCGCAGGCCCCGAGGTCGGCCGGTACTGAGGCCTCCGCGAGCCGTTCAAGGGCCGGACTCGGGTCCGTCTACAGCCGGATTGTGTCGCACAGCGTAATGGCGCAAGATCGTTGTACACCGCAAGTCCATGGAATGAATGGCGGCCAGCTGAATGATTTGCTGTAAGGGTTTTCATCGTATTACCGCTACATCGTGTTTGTGCCCGCTAGATGCGTACCTTACCTTAGGTAGTACGACAGTAGCTCCGACTTTCGGAGCAATGAGACCCGAACTAATAATTGAAGTCTGAGTCAAGCATCTGATTTGACTGGCTTTTTTTCTGTCCCCGATCCTTGCAAAGGTATTCAAGTGAAAGTACTTTTCTTTTTTGATCGCCCTGTTCTTGCAAATGTGTAGACAATTGTTTAACATTGTTTAAACTGCATTTAACTATCAAGCCTCTAGATGCTCCAATTCTCTCTGCTAATTCCCACTAGCACAAGCCTTTGCCTAGAGTCCACGATGCCACATCTCAATTGTGTCGTTTCCTTGCGTGCCATCAAGTGGTCTTCCAATCGTACTCTAAGCTCCAGGCATATGCAACTCGATACACATCCTCTTCGTGCCACCATTTGCCAATAACCTGCATGCTCACCGGCAGTTTTGTTCCTGAGCCTTGCAGAGGACCCTCCTCAATCGGAAGCATGCCAATCGGCATAGCCAGAACTGGATGGCCCGATTGATTGAATGGGGCAGTATTAGCAGTCAGACCGACCTGCTTTCCAATCTTCTCGAGCGGGGACACGTCATACGGAGTATGGGAATTGGCAACGTAGGGTAAGTTCGGCGTCACCAAAACATCAAACTCTCGCAGAGCATTGTCATAGTCGTCTCGCAGCTTTCTGCTAAGATTCGTTGCCTTGCCGAGCAGCTCCGGAAACGCTGCTTGAGCGTAGATGCCGTTGAGGTAGATGTTCTTTGACGAAACATATGCGTTGTCCCACTGTTCCTGCGTGAGATTCTGGAACTTGTCCGTCAAGTCGGTCATGATGTGGCCTCTTCTTCCGAATGCAAGGTTTCTTTTCGCCAAGTACCCTCCGCTTTTACTGATGGCAGTCCATACAGCTGCGCCCTTGGAGTGGAATGGAATCGAAACTTCTTCCACGGTCGCCCCAAGATCCCTGAAACCCTCAATCGCCGCCTCGACACAAGTCTTGACACGAGGTTCCACGGATGGTTGGTTCATGCCTTCTACCAAAATGCCGATCTTTACGCCTGACAGATCCTTCGGGTTCGCGAGCTTAGTCAAGTTGTCATAGTACTTGGGCACGTTGTCTGGGCTCGGTGCTGCAAACGATCTGTCATCGATGTTGTCGTTGCCTGCAATAACCTGAAGCATAATCGCGTTGTCCAGAAGCGTTCGTGTCATAGGCCCGACATGGTCGTTGGTAGGCTCATTCGAGCCGCAAGCAGTGTAGGGTACGAGTCCAAATGTTGGCTTCAGACCGTACAGGCCACACCATCCGGCAGGAACACGAATCGAACCACCTTGGTCGGCGCCAAGAGCCATGTCCACGTCACCGTTGGCGACGAGTGCCCCTGAGCCACTTGAGCTGCCGCCGCTGCTGTAGCCTTTGGCATAGGGATTGTGTACGTGCCCAGTCGAAGAAGAGCTACTTGTAGCGGAATGGCACATGTTCTCGCACACGGACTTTCCAGAAATGATTGCACCGGATTCTAGCAGTCTTGTAACACATGTTGCGTCTGTGTTCTAGGGAGGTCAGCATATAGTCTGGAAGTTTATTGAGTCATCTCGGTTCCACGTACTGGAACGTAATCTTTGACAAAGTCAGTTCCTAGAAGCATCGGAACGCCCTTTACTGCGATGTTGTCTTTTATGGCTACCGTTTTGCCGGCGAGGATTCCCCCACTTTTGGTCTTGTCCTCTACTCGGCATCTCCAAGCCCAAGCACCCAAAGGGTTCTCCGAAGCATCTGGGAATCGGATTTCCTCTCTTGGAAATCTTTCCTCGTCTATTGGAGGTACATAGTCTGCGAAAGAGGTTATTTTTGGCCATTCTTTATCAGAGTTGAGGTTTCAATGCGGAACCTACCAGGGAGTGACATCAGACCGACGACGGATTCGTGGAACACGGCTAGAAGCCTCTGGTACTCATCTTTCTCCTCCGGTTTGATCGTAACACCCAGTGCCCGCAAGCTATCGTCGAGAACTTCCGCGGTCACGGGGTTTGCTTTCTCTACTTCGAGTGAGAAGACAGACATGATGTCAAGAAGATGAAGACTGGAGAGGTGACTGAGAATAGTGCCTAAGCGTTGGAGTTCAGCCGGGAAACAAACTTTGCAGTTGAGTTGTGGTTCATTGCTTACTAGTAGTGGACATCTAATAGCGCATCGAATGTAGACTTTAGTGCCTGATCTTCGTCGTGTAAACTGAAAACCGTACAGTTGGAGATAGGTAAATCCACGTCGGGATCATTGACAAAACTGCCTATCTCTTTCGGGCTGCATATTGAAGACTTATCTTAGCGTCTTCGGGCATCCGAAACCAATATTACATGTAATCCAGCGATCAGAGGAAACGAATCGGCAGTAAAATGCAGCTTGGTCAACCCCGCCATCACCTTATCTCGTGAAGGATCTCCCCACCATCAGAATACCCCGCTTGGTATCTAGCATATCGCGATAACGCCTGATTGGTCTCGGCGAACTCAGTCTTAGTCGGAAGGCATAATTCTGGGCTGGATGTAAATCATGAAGGTGCACATAAAGATAAGTGTCGCATCGATATCTCTTGTAACAGCGTGAATAGCAAACACGGTTGCTTCAATAATACTTCGTTGGTCTCTGAATTGAATCCTTCAACAACGCCCCCACTTTCTCAAAATGGTTCATGTCGAAGAAGCGTTGCAAATTCCCCGGGACTTTGAGGGTAAGTCTGTTGTTTTTAGCAACAAAGTATCATTCACTAAGACAGCCTCTTAGGTTTCGGCGAAGAAGGTTTAGATCCAAAATGGCCAAATGGGGCTCGTATCGCGGTTTCCTTCGTTCTCAACTATGAGTAAGTCTTTTATCTCTTTCTAATTCGCTAATACTATGCTTCCATTACTAACACTGAGTCCAGGGAAGGTGGAGAGAGAAGCACTTTGGACGGAGACCCTTTCTCAGAACCGTATTTGTGGGAGAAAGGCGCATCCGGTGGCTACAAAGAAGGTGCCAGGTACTTGAATGCTGAGCAGGATTTTGAGTACGGGAGTCGCTCAGCCTCTTGGCGCCTTATCCGTCTCTTCAAAGAGTTTGGTTGGAGCTTCACTACTTATGCTGTAGCGTACGCGCTCAAACGCAACCCCACCTTTGCAAAAGCGCTTGTCCGAGACGGGCACGAAATCGCTTGCCACGGACTCAGATGGCTGGACATCTGGAACTACTCACTTGAAGAGGACAAGGAGTACATCAAGCAGAACATTCTGATGCTGAAGGAAGTTTCGGGCGAGATGCCCGTTGGCGCTTACTTTGGCCGCGGCACACCCAATACGCCTTCGCTGTTCCCAGAGGTATGGAAGAGTCTCGGGGGAGAGTTTCTCTGGTCTTCAGAATGCTACAACGATGACGTTCCTTACTGGCTCGACTTGCCATGGGAAAAAGAGCTGCCAGAGGAGAAGCGCGAAGGCATGCTTCTCATCCCGTACAACTACGATTGCAACGATGGAAAATTCCACATGTCGCCCGGCTTTGGCAGCTCTGTTGCGGAGACGTATGAGCAGTATCTGAAGAACACATTTGATTGCTTGTATAGGGAGGGCGGCAAACTCATGAATATTCCCTTGCACACACGCATCATCGGCAAACCAGGTAGATCAGAGGCTTTGAGGAAGTTCATGAAGTATGTTGCGGAAAAGGAAGGAGTTTGGGTCACCACGAGACGGGACATTGCCAAACACATGAGAGCCGAGTTTCCATACAAGCCGAATAGGGAGTGGATGAAGGGTGTATGATTTATACTCCATGTATTGAGTCAATGCCAAGTAGTTTATATTCAAGTGTTCAAGGTTTCCCCAAGTGTGTATCATCGATCAAATAAGAGAGAAAATGCGACATTGCCACGCGTTTTCATGATGTGCATTCATCTTTTGATTTCCATAAGCCGAACTAATCCTGCTTTTTTGAAGTTATGTACCAAGGGAGGAAACAAACACACCAAGCTGGCAGTTATGGACTTATGTCGAAGTCGAAGACAAAGCCGATCAGAACGGCGAGAAGTTAACAATCATTATGTGATCAATTGTCGACTCAGCAGCGATTGTTGTTGAGATCCCAAGAACCACGTCAATCAGACAGAGAGCTCCCTGCCGAGACGCCCAAATGCCGAAAACGGCCAGTTGACGCCAGTATGGTCGGAGCCTCCGATCGGAGGTTACTGGTTAAACAGTCGGATGTTGTCCGAACAGGCCCTAGCCCTACTCGGATTAGCCCCGACGAGCCAACATCATCCAGGCGACATCGGCAAATCTGAGTAAATCGGAACTCCGTCCCTATCATCCGAGTGACGTTTTCGGGGTCTCCAGCGCAGCAAATCTTGGTGTCAGACGGCGGGCATGATGTCCGAAACTCAATACTCGGTATCATCGCCCCTGGTCACGCCTGTGAATCCCCGGAAGAGGGGCAGGACCGCGTGTACGAGATGCAAAAGTCGTAAGCAAAAGGTACCTTGAGTCATTCAATGTTGCTTATTAGAGTGCTCTCCTCTAACTTCAGCTAAAGTGTGACGACCAATTGCCCATTTGCTCCAATTGCCGTAAATCAGGAGCACAGTGTGATAAGGCAGATGTCGCGGATGAAGCTCCATCAATTGCGTAAGTAGTTGATCGTTCAAGGTCAATCAACTTCGCCGGTTCCTATTCGATGCGTGTGGACTGAAAACTGATACAGGTACACACGGGCTCTAGAAGAGCGAGTAGCCTTCTTGGAGAGCAAGCTAGCTCAAGTCCCTACCCCAGAAGCAACTACAACTCCGAGGGAAACTGCAAGCAACTACTCGGTTCCGTCGGGTCGAGACAAAAATGCCCTCAGTGACGTAGTAGCACACGTCTCACTGGGCAACTTCGAGGCGCCGGCCTACGTTGGACCCTCATCAGGGCTCTCTTTGGCTTTAAACCTTGGCGAGATGGTTCAGGCAACTGTCTGGAATAAGATGCTGCCAGACATCCAGGATGGCTACACGGGCAACCAAGCTAATTGTATCAATCCCAGTCCGAGATGCATCACAGTGGAAGATCTCCTGGCTCATAGTGCCAAGGAGCCTCCGAGTGATGAGCAGGGTTCTCAGATGCTTAAGGCGTACACCTCTCAACTGCACTCCAAGTACCCCTTTCTTGAGCCTGAAGAATTGTGGAAGTTGCATAGCGAGAGACTTGTCCTGGCTGCCAAACCAACACAGACTCTTACAAGGGTTGAACGCTTTGGTATCTTCAAGCTGTATCTGGTGTACGCCATGGGAGCAACTTTAGTGCAACTAACTCAAAGGGGGCCGGTGTTATCTCCAGAGGTATGATTTTGACACCATTTTCAAGTATGATTGAGATCACTGACATCATTCCTCAAGGCTCTCTACATTACCGCTTTGCAGCACATATCAGCGGCCAGGGAGTCAAGGACAGTCCAAAACATCGAGGCAATGACGTTGCTAGTCATGTTCCACCTTCGGTCAACATCCAGCCATGGCCTATGGTACATGATTGGCCTAGCAATGAGAACATCAATCGACCTAGGCTTGCACCGCGCGGCACACGAACAGAATCTCGCCGGCCCTATTGTCCAAAGGAGACGCAGGCTCTTCTGGTCTGTCTATTCTCTCGAGAGAACCATAGCAGTATCTCTTGGTCGGCCTCTGAGCATTGCGGATAACCAGATTGACGTTGAGCTCCCGAATGCCATCATCAACGGAAGTCCATCTGCCTCAATCATCGTGGGGAATGATATAACACTAGCACTTGTTCTTTTCAAGCTTCGCAGGATCGAGTCTAAGATTCATCACTCGGTATATCGCACGGACAAGACCTTGGACGCGCTCCGGCCAAAACTAGACCGGCTGCATCAGCGACTCAAATTCTGGCGGGACTCTTTAACGGACTGGATTCCGGCAGGTCACCCAGATTTGAACTATGCACTGCTGCTCTACAACCGTGCGCTTCGTCTTTTGATTCAGCCATTTTTGCCTATCTTACCGGCAACGGACCCGTTCTACGGACTGTGCATGCGAGCCGCAGGTGATATATGCCAAGCACACAAGAGATTACATCAGACGCTAGACTACGGCCACAGCTTCATCGCAGTCCAGACAGTGTTCGTTGCGGGAGTCACACTCTTGTATGGACTCTGGACACAGGGCAACGCACTTTGGTCGGTGGCTCTTTCGAACGATATTAGAGCTTGCTCCCTGGTGCTCTTCGTCATGGGCGAGAGGGCCCCCTGGGTTCGCAAGTACCGAGACGCATTTGAGGTGCTTGTCAATGCAGCAATGGAAAAGCTCCAAGATAATGAAGCTGGTCTTGCTGAGATGGCCTCTGCGCAAATGAGAGCTGGAAAGGCACCGTGTGTTGCAGAGAGTCTTGGAGGTCAGAATCATGATATCAGGGGGAATGAGACCGGAACACATCCGGCCGACAGTACCTCTGATCAGTTCTTGATGTCTGAAGATGGTGGGATAGCGGTTGGAGAGTTTGAGGGCGCCTGGCCGATGGTGGCAGAGCTTGCTAATTGGATCGACCAGGACACGGAAGGTGGAAGTCCTGTTTGGATGCCGAATTTTGAGCTGTTACAGAGTCTTTCAGGCACTTGGAACGAGTAGTCTGTTTAATTCGCATCGTTCCGTTAGTGATACGTTTCAATACGGGGTTCAATGAAAGAAGCATCACTCTAATTTCGTTTGAAAAAATGGAATCAAAGCGACATAAACTAAAAACACGTAGTGACTTCGCGACACGCTACTTCAAACTGCATACTTCTCGCTGACGGACTCAGCACCGGCGCTCTTCCCCATGGTCTGCTTGACTTCAGTACCCTCACCAGAGTAAAAGACTCCACGAATAGTATCGACACTCTCCCCCGGGAAGAACCCTTCTGATGGCGCCATGCTCTCGAAGCTCGTGCTTGCCTGTGGCTCCAACTCCCGCGGGTAAACCGGAATGGGCCAGATAAGACAGGCCACGTAGTAAACCAACGAGCCCATAGTGAGAGAAAGTAGAAATCCAAGTTTGTACATGTTCTTGCTTGCCTGATTGACGGAATCGGGGTCCAGATTCCCAGCAATGCCGTGTACAGTGAACGCCACCCCGGCAACCCATGCGGCGACCGCGCGCAGATTCCACCCTTTGTAGTATGTGTACGGAGCGCCTTCTGCTTTCGTGTATAGACTTGAGACATGGAGATTGCCTCGACGGATAATCCAGTAGTCTACAATCATGATCTGTAAGTTCGTTAGTATGACAAGCACTTGTCGGAGAGATCAAGGTTACGTGTACTTACACCACAGGTTGGCATCAGGAACACAGTGTATGACCCCAGGAAAGTGAGGAAGGAACTCGCGCTGGCGATGATCTTCCACGGCACGCACAGTGGTGCAAGCAAGGCACATATCACCTGACCCCTAACGATGTTGATATACCTTGGCCAAAGCCCGCTGGTGTCAGCACCGACAGGCAGGGAGTTTGAGCCAGCATTGGTTGCGATAATGGCGAGAATCATGCCCTAGTAGAACGTTCAGTGATACGGTGGGCACTCTGAGCCACATGAAACTTACCGCAGAGGCGAAGAACATCCCAGCACGCGCTGCAGGACCCCAGTATTCGGTCAAAATAGCGTTGTAGAGGTCCCACACGTTCCAATAGCTCTTGCCAAGAACACCAGCAGCCGCGCTGGTTGTAGCACAACTTAAGAACATGACGAGCACCTTACTGACTAGAATACCGATGGCTTGTGACCAGGTTGCCTGTGCTGGACGCGTAGCATAACGAGCAACATCAGGCTGGTTAACAAGGATTGGGCAAAGCGCCGCCATGACGCTGTTGATAGCTTGGATCATTGGCCACACAAGCGCCGCTCCACTAAGAGACTTTGCGCCGAAGTTGAAACCACCCAAACTCCCTCTATTTGCATGTACTGCCCAACCCAGGACGCCGACCAGTCCCGCAGTTGTCGCTACCGACTTCACCACAAACAAGTGTCGAAGGATAGTCGGATGGATGAACATCACTGGGAACTGGATAATCCAGAAGATGAAGAATGCCAACAGGTTCTTGGATGTAATCCCAGCGCTCACCGGTAGACGGTTGGGAATGTCGTTCCATCCGGAGCCGAATATTGCTCTGAGGGCCACTGAAGTGAGCATGCCTCCGTAGAACGACTGAGTTGCAAAGTAGATGACGGCAACCGAGGCGCGGACGACGATGAAGAGTTTAGCACCACTAACACCAGCAGCAGCTCGAACATACACGGGGAATCCGACGTGATAGCGAGTCGCACCGCGGGAGTTGAGAATAACCACGACGCTGAGAATGGCGGAGCCAATCACAGCTGCAATCATGCCATGCCACCATTGCTGCGCGTTCTGTTGTCAGAGACTATTGCTTGTTTACTCTTAACGGGAATGACAGCCAACATACCAGCCCGATTGAGATGAGGGTGGCCCCGAGATTGTAAGAGCCGGGAGAAAATGTCTGAGTCAAGTAGTACGTAAAGAAGTGTAAAGCTGTCCAGCTTCGGTGCTCTTCGGGGCCAAGTCAGTTGATTATTCACTGGGTCTCAAAGCTTTTCGAATTGTAACTAACCTGGAGGAGTAGGCAATAAGTCTTCGTTGAAGTAAGCCGTTCCCTCTTCGGGATGATCTTTGGTCTGAATGAAGTGTTTGAGCTCTTGGCGGGACGAGCAGGCTCGTTTGAGCCTCGTCATGAAGGTCATTTTTTATTAAAAAAAAAGATGCAAGACAGCGAAGCAATTCAGATTTTGCTTCTTTTGATATTCAAATTGCTCAAATAACATACATCGCAACATACATCGCGAAGTTTGCAATTGTTTTGCCATGAGTATTTAACAAATTGAGGTCGTATTGCCTTATCATGAATGATCCTTCTTGCTTGTGCCGCTATCCCATCTCTACCTGAACCTCTTCGATAAGAACCAGCTTTGCTATCAAGCTGGTGCCAATTACCAGCCAGACGAGCGACTACTCTTCGATAACATGGTCTCCAGATGAGCGAATTATGCGGGATAAATAGTGTCGGACATCCGCCGAGAATGATAAGCGAGGGACATTGGCACGCAGCCGACGGCATCGGATCCTCCGACTAGCAAAGACTTTTGTGGAGTCCATCGCTTCAAAACTTGCCGAAATCCCTTGCTGGCCTGGCCCAGCCATGACGCACCCATTTTTTCAACAGTCACCGTTGAATTCGCCCCCCTTCAACTTTTCAACCCAATTTTTTCGCTGCCGAACCCGGAGCCGAGATGAGACCGATTGACCAATCTTTGACGGCGGTGATCCGAGTCTTGGCTCCTCCGGACGCTGGTATCCGCTCTCAACGTCGGATTGCCTCACGAAAAGTTTTCATGCGCTGGTTCATTTACTCATAGTTTCAGCCTCGAGTCATTTTGAACTTTCCTAGTCATTTGGCCATAACCTACCTTGATATCATTTCTATCGAATCCCACTCACTTTGTTTCAAGTGATCGACTGGTCAGAGTTGCAGCATGAGGGGCGACCAGGAAACAATCAAGGCCGAAAAGGCTCTTCACGACCAGACGAACATATTACCTCTGAGGAAACTCCTAGTCGTCTTTGCAACTCTTGCAGTCACTTTGTTAGTCTCATTCATCGACCAAAATGGCATCAGTATCACCTTGCCGACGATTGCTGCGGACCTCAACGCGGAGGATACGATATCATGGGCGGGTACGTCATCGCTCATCGCCAACACGACATTTCAGATGCTCTACGGGCGCTTTTCAGATATTTTCGGCCGAAAAGCTGTCTTTTTGATTGCCATCGGCCTTTTGTCTATCGCAGACTTGCTCTGTGGGCTTTCTCAAAATGCGACAATGTTTTACATCTTCCGTGGTATTGCGGGCATCGGCGGAGGCGGTATCACAAACCTAGCAATGATTATTGTCTCTGATGTTGTTACTCTTGAACAACGAGGAAAATACCAAGGAATCTTGGGCTCAATGGTTGGGCTAGGAAATGTTCTGGGACCTTTTCTTGCTGCCGCTTTTGTAGAGAGGGCAACATGGAGAGCGTTCTTTTGGATGCTCTCACCCCTCGGTGTTATTGTTGGTGTTATCTCATACTTCTTCCTGCCATCGAAGCCACCAGATGAAGATTTCATGAAAAGTGTCAAGAAGATCGACTATGCAGGCTCATTCACCTCGTCGGCCGGCGTCATCTTATTGCTTATCCCGATTTCTGGAGGTGAGCTATTCACGAACTTGGTTTTGTCCGTTGATCGAGCAATTACTTACTTACTCCCATTAGGTGGCGCATATTTCCCATGGAACTCAGCGATGGTGATCAGTATGTTGACAATTGGGGCACTTGCTCTTGTGTCTTTTGTCATTGTGGAATGGAAATTTGCCAAGCTTCCGATGATGCCAGGTAATTTCTGTCGACGAGGAACAGTCCCGAGTACTGGCTAATAAACACAGTCCCCATTTTCAAGAACAAAGTTGTGGTTGTCCTCCTGGCACAATCGTTTCTGTTTGGGGCAGCGTACCAGGGATATCTCTACTACATCCCTCTGTATTTACAGAACGCACATCAGTTCTCTGTCATTCATTCGGCGGGTATCTACGTCTCCCTCGTCGTTTGTCAGTCTGTGTTCTCGATCATCTCGGGTCAGTACATATCTCGAACCAAGCGTTACGGAGAAGTTATTTGGGCAGGCTTTGGCCTCTGGACACTGTGAGTCGACGACATCCCCAATCTCAACTACCACGATTGCAACCGTCTAACAAATGATACAGAGGAGCAGGTCTCACTCTCATTTTTGACCGGAACACCAAGCCTGGAATCATCGTCATTCCTCTGCTTATCATTGGCATTGGTGTCGGCTTCATTTTCCAGCCGACCTTGGTGGCCCTCCAGGCGCATTCCATAAAGTCTCGCCGGGCAGTCATCACTTCGAATCGCAACTTCTTCCGATGTGCTGGCGGGGCCTGCGGACTAGCAGTTTCCGCGGCAGTTCTTCAGGCAACACTGCGAGCAAACTTGCCTGCGGGCTTCAAGGACCTTGCCAGCAGTACTTATTCAATACCGCAACTGAACGAGCAAGATATGTCTGCAGTGCTAGACGCATACATGGCGGCGAGTCGGGCCGTCTTTATTCTTCAAATACCTTTGATCGGACTCTGCTTGGTGGGCTGTCTGTTGATCAAAGACAGAGGCCTACATCCGATTGACGAGCCGAAACCAGACGATACATCCAGCGAGAGTCGGGATGAAGAAATGGGACACTCGAGTCAGAAGAACTCACACGATGGCAACCACGACAGTGATGGGCAAGTGCTGGCGAATGGCACTAGTGCACCGCAGGATCAAGTTGGGAGGAAGTGAGACTACAAGACTGAGGGGGAAATATGAAGTCGAGATGAGATGTAGACTTATAGATCATGACTAATGTGAAAATGATAGACTAGTACTTAATAGACGGAGGATCGGAGGTGAACATCGAAATATGCGTCGGTTATCAAAACTTTCCACTGATTGGACGCCTCTGAACGACGCAAGGTGGTTGTGGGGAAGCTGAATCATTTGAGGTACTACTAAGTATTCGCCTTCAAAACGGCGCCGATGTTTTACTTCTCGAAGTAGTAGTCACCACATGAATCCGCATGTACACATATTGAGATCATGACATATGTATACATGACACGCATAGGTCCAGCTTCGGCGGAACATCAAGCCCGGTCGGGCCGGGCGGGAAGCGGGAAGAGAACTGCTTGACCGGCAATAAACCAGTCTCCACCCGGATGCACCGCAACACACACGGCCTCGGCATGAACACCGACGTGACTCTTCACAAAAGGTCCTTGACGTCTTGGCATGAGATGACCTTGAAGGAGATGTTTGCTGAGAGAGAGGTTATGTCTAGTGCGTAACCTGACGAAATCGGGCTGCTACGAATACTCCCATCTGTCTGGGTCCCTTTGCAATCTAAAAGCTCCCCAATAAATTCATGGTACAGTGATGTGACTTTGGCATCTTTTTGAGACATCTCCATGAACGTCTGGACTGTTCCGCTGGATCCAGGGCCTCAGCTAGCTTCTTTCGAGTCATGGTAAGCCCACATCACGATTTCGGTTCGTAAAAGAAACTAACATGCTTGGCGCAAGCCAGGGCGCACAGTTCCAGGTGTGGATAAGAAGCGAGCACGAGGTACGAGAACAGGAAATGCGTGGCTGGAATTTCCGAGCAAGACAGCTCGTGTCTGACAAAGAGCGGTAACAACACCGTGCTGTGCCGCGGCCCGTATGGTGGGTGGAGATCGTGGATTTCCCCATGCATTCTCCACGAGTCCTCCACGTATTGACCTTTTGTGCAAGGTTCCGTGGGGGTGCTGGTAGAGTGGGGGACGAACCACCAACGCCAGGCGTGGAGTGCGTACCCGATGACCCCAAACTTGGAGGTGGATCGTGTTGTTACACATGTGCCGCTTCATGGCGGAGATTCACGATGCGGGGAGCATTGTTAAGAATGGGATGAATGATCGTATGTGATTTACCTCTGCTCGATTTGTATCAGGTTCTATCACGACCAGCTTCTAGTTCACTCAGAACTATCTTTGAAACGCCGTTGAACCATTCCCATTCTCTCATACATCATGGCCAAGATTGCGTCCGTGCGGTATTACCGCGTAAAGCCTCGTTGGTTGATGGTGAAAATCACTGACGAAAATGGCGAGTATGGTTGGGGCGAGGCAACGCTCGAGGGCCACGACCTGGCTGTCGAGGGATGTCTTGAGGAGATGATTCCTAGGATTGTAGGTCTAGAAGCAGGGTAATGTCCTCTATTCACATTATTCGGAATCTGTCTAATTCCCAAGCAGCAACATTGAGCATGTTTGGCAACTCTTTTGGCGACATGGCTTCTACCGCGGGGGCCCCGTCTTCATGTCAGCAATGTCAGGCATTGACATTGCGTTGTGGGATCTGAAGGGTCGGTGCAATATCATAGAGATCTGACATGGCCGAGAAAACGACTAACTGATCATGGTAATAGGCCGTAATCTGAAAGTCCCAATTTGTGAGCTGCTGGGCGGCCAGGTTCGCAACAAGGTGCAAGTGTACTGCTGGATCGGCGGCGACAGACCATCAGACGTTGAGGCAGCAGCGTAAGCATATATTCAGGCATGAACCGGGACGTAATGATACTGACTATGACTGCAGGAAGAAGCGCATTGCCCAAGGTCTGACATGCGTGAAGATGAACGCGACAGAGGACATGAACTGGGTTGACTCTCCCAGAGTCCTGAAAGACACAGTAGAGCGTCTGAAACAGGTCAAGGCTCTTGGTCTCGACGCTGGTCTCGATTTCCATGGCCGCCTGCACAAAGCCATGGCAAAGCAGCTCGCCAGAGCTCTGGAGCCATATGAGCCCCTATTCATCGAGGAACCCATACTTTGCGAGCATCCAGAAGCCATCAAGCAGCTCTCAAATCAAACGACGATTCCCATCGCTTTTGGTGAACGTCTTTACACCAGATGGGATATCAAACGCTTCCTTGAGGATGCCAGCGTCGACATACTTCAACCGGACATTGCCCACGCTGGAGGTATATCCGAAACGAAGCGCATCGCTAGTATGGCCGAAGCCTACGATGTAGCGATTGCCCCGCACTGCCCCCTTGGCCCCGTCGCATTTGCGGCAAGTGTGCAAGTCGCCTTGTCAGCACCAAACTTTTCCATTCTCGAGATGAGTTTGGGAATGCATTACAACACTGAAGCAGGAGACATTGATCTCTTGACCTATCTAAAGAACCCCGCCGTCTTCGACATCGAGGGTGGTTATGTCAAGGCGCCAACTGGCTATGGTTTGGGTATTGATATTGATGAGGAGATGGTCATCAAGATTTCAAAAGAGACAGAGCCGTGGCAGTGCAAGGTATTCCATGGTCCCGACGGCAGCATTAGGGAATGGTGAGGATACGGCTTGTCGAGTCATATTGTGGCAAAAGTGTAGCAGTACGAATTCTTCATTACCTTAGTTGCAAGTCGCCCACTGCATCACTCAATTCAATAAGACACAAGCGCAATGTCCATGGGAAACTTCTTTGAGATCACGTACAAGATCACAATGGATGGCTCCAATTATGTCATGCTCTTCTGACACGAGTCTAATCAGTGTGTGCTAGCTGCCCCGAGTCAATGTGTTTGGGCCCCAAAGGAAATGGTCTTCTCCAGGTTGACTTACGACCACATCACTGTTTCCATCAACAGAGGATTGAACAACACCCGCTACCCCCACGCCACATCACGCCATAATTTCTCAGACAAGCTCTTTGTATCGGTGCCTCCACGCTGATCTGAGATCGGAACATTAGTTGGACTCGTGGCTAAGCGGGGAAAGCAAGTGCCGTTAATTGCACAACACACCAGGCCTTGGGGTTCACTCTTCAGCTTACTTGGGATTATCCCATGGGCAGTATTTTAGTCTGCAGATCACATTGATCCCATTCTAGGTCAGATGGTCTTAGGTATTCTCACATCTCTACTTGACCAAGTACATACACGCAGTATCATCGGCCCATCCAGCCCCCATCTACGGTAAGCAGCTCTCCCGAAACGTACAAACTCCCCGCCCCCGCAAGAAACACCGTGGCACCCTTGAAATCATCCGGGGTGCCCCATCTCCCCGCGGGGATCCTGGCCAGAATACTTGTCGCCCTTTCCGGGTTGTTGATCAGCGCCTCATTCATGTCCGTTGCAACATATCCAGGCGCAATGGCGTTGACATTGACACCCTGGCTTGCCCACTCGTTGCTCAGCGCCTTGGTCAGCTGCGCTATCCCGCCCTTAGCCGCTGCATACGCGGGCACCGTGATGCCACCTTGGAAACTGACGAGCGACGCTACGTTGACAATGCTACCGCGGTGGCCGTTTACCGCGTTCGGGTTGCGTGTGAGCATGGAAGCGCCGAAGTCTCGGCAGAGGGTCCAGACTGTCTTGAGGTTGACTTGCAGGACCTCGTCCCAGTCGCCCATGGGGAACTTGTGCGCGGGATGCCTGCGTTGAATGCCGGCACAGGTGACTAAAATGCTGACGTCGTAGCCATCGGCTAAGATGCGCTTAGACAAGTTCTCTACTTCTTCCTGATTCGAGAGGTCTGCTGTGTAGATGATGGCTTGCCTACCCAATGCCTCTACTTGTGATTTCGTTTCATTGTTGCTTTCGTCTCTCTTTCCTTCTGTTAATATCAAGCTAAGTACGATTGGAAGTGGCATTATTTTCTTACTTGGATGAGGATGATGTCTGAACCCGCCTCCGCAAGGGACACTGCCATGGCTTGGCCAATGCCCCTTGTACCTCCCGTCACTACGGCGGTGCGGCCTTCCAAAGAGAAGAGCTTTTCCAGGATAGTAGGCATTGTGGTGATTGTCTTGACAGATTTCACCGAAAAACTTGCGATTTTTTTACCTCCTGATAATCCTTCATATCCTTATTCAAGTCACCACCGTGATGGAATATATGGTGATCTCAAACCTCCCCCATCTACTTACGACATGGTGTTGGCAAGTAGACCCCCACGTCGGAGCCCAGCTTTACCCGCATTATTTCCCGCCAGCTAGATCCGATTGTCGGCTCGAAACGGGTTTCTGCATGGAGCCAAACTCAGGTGATTTGCGTCCCGTCTCGTATGACGGGGTTCAATCATAGGTACCTGGGGGGAAAGCTGACTTGAGATGTCGAGCCCTGAGGGAAGTGAGGGGAGCAACCATCAAAGACGCATCAGACCATTTCCGATCAAGTGCACAACCTCTTCGCGGATTCGTGGTCTCGCGTCCGACCCGCTCCCCGCATGAATTACGGGATGGATGGGGGTCAGCCCCGCAGAGCCGGACCCGCAGAGCCGCTCGGGCGTCGGGCTAGACCCCGACCAGACACGCCAGAGTAAATAGGTTCTTGTCGTGGGGGTCAGCTCGTTTCCCCTTCCGGTGATAGTCTGGTCTTGTTGGCACGTCGTCAGAGTTTAGACGGGTTTAGCTCGGGGCACGTAGCACGGGGTTTGATGCGGGGTTTGAAGAGGCGATATTCATTGGGTGATGGATGACACAGCTTGCCATGGTGATCTATTGACGACACGTCAATAGAGTGGAAAGACTTGGGCGAGGTGAACCATCGTGAGTTGAAGTGACAATCGCGGTCATGCGACTCTCCTAGGAGCTTGGGGAAACGCGGGGAAAGATAGCTTGGACGACTTCCTTCAGCTGGCAACCTGCTAGAGGCAGAAAGGCCCATCACAAATCAACAGAAACTGCCTGCTTGTACCTAGAGTCGAAAAACCCCTGTTTAGTTCTGCTCTCTGTTTTTCAACAGAACTTTGTTGAAGGTCAATAAGTTTTCCTCATCTTGAGGCCATTGAGGTTGACTGGGAACCTGGATGATGAAGAGCTTCTTCAACTGTCCCGAGATCTCGAAGTCTATCTCAAAACATAGTGTTTAACAGCAATTGGTAGATGCTGCAATAGTGTGATTATTCGATATGCAATTTTGTTGGTTTTTTTTTGCCCCTTAATTAGAGGCACGGAGGCGCAGAGTCAAAGCCTTTGACAAGTTTCGATGTTGACAAATTCGAGAAGTCGAAGGTCAGAGCCGGCCAACGATGCAGGGATGGTGATTTGTGCAGCTCAAAAGTGCTGATAGCCGGGCGACACCAAAGATCCACCAGGTGGACTTCTAAACACGTTGTCCAAAGGTATCATGAGCTGCAAAGCTTCAAGCAAAAAGCATCGCACGTTGACCCCTCGTCTTTACAGCGATGGAGACTGCACCTAAATTCATGATTACAGGCTGCACTGTGGCTGACAGCGATGAGCTGACCAGAAACAACATCCCCGCCTTCTGGGCAGATCCGCACTGGCATCTCGCCTGGCGCCATCGAACCCTCGATTACCACATCACCGAGGTAGCAAAGCGCACGCCACGAAATCTCATTAGCGACCGGGACACGAAGCGACATCAAAAGGCCGTGGATCCTGCTACCGGGCGAATAGTGGGATGCCCCGTCCATAGATAATCTCTAGGACAGGGATTAAAATATTGAGTGCAAATGCTATTGACTAGTCAATGCTTTAGACATCAGTGCATGGCCTACAATCTTGGCGTTAGTTACGAAACTCGGACGCCAGAGGCGTCAGGTTCGTTGCTGTTCTAGGCAATGTCTTCTGGTAAAAGTTCTTTGATTGAACAATACGCTAGGATTCCCTTGGAAGTTGAAACCTGTCCCAAAACCCACAATGTTACATGCGTCTACTTTTGCAACGCCTTCTCAGCCTCAATCAACTCTGAAAATCCATCGATCTGTTTTGTTAAGCTCTCTCCCTCGAGCAATGTGCAAGGCTTTCTTGGAAGGCCTCCATAGTTGTAGTACTCCTGCAATGCCGCCTTGACAGAGACAAATCCTCCTTGAATAGCAGTCCAGTCACCACGGGCCACAACCGCTTGCAATTCCCTCGCTTCTACCAACTTGCCCTCATCCCAAAGCTTCATCAGCTTCACGCAAGCAAGAGGCGCAATGTTTCCGGTTCCACCAATGATGCCGTGGCCACCGACAACGAGCGTCTGCAGCGTGAAGTCGACGCTGCCGCCGAATGTCCGGAACGGGGTTGTGTTGCTGTCGCCCTTTTTGGGGACCGTGGCAGCGGCTATCCGAGCCAGCTTGCCAGTGTTACCACAGGTCAGCTTCACGCCGACAATATTGGGGTGACTTGAGAGGTTGATGATGGTATCTGAGTTGAGATCGAGGCCACTGCAGGCACCGGGGTAGTTGTAGATGAGAAGAGGGACCGGACTTGCGTCTGCGACCTCGCGAAAGTGTTGTAGGATGAGATCGGTGGTCAAAAGGCCGCCATAGTAAGCGGGCGGGAGGACGAGTGCATAGTCGCCCCCTGATGCGCCGGCCTCCTCGCAGAGTTGAATGGTTTCTCTTGTCGACTGTGCGCCGCAGCCGACAATCAAAGCAAGTTCGGTCTTTCCTGCCGAATCGAGCGCGGCTCGTGTGGTGCGGTTGATGAGTTGTCTCTCATCGTGGTCGAGGTGCACTGCTTCGCCGTTGGAGCCGTGAGTGACGAGGCCGGCGACGCCGGCGTTGGCGAGACGGACGGCGTGTGAATGTGTGGTCTCAACGTCTACTGAGTCGTCGGAACGGAAGAATGCTACTGTCGGGACGTAGAGTCCGGGCGTCAAAGCCGGCCTTGCTCCGTGATGTGTGCCGTTCCCGTTGTGACTGGCGGATCCGCCGTTTGCTGAGGGAGACATTGTGGACTGATTCTGCTGGTTTGTGGCACGAGAGAGGGGTTTGTGGGAGCAGATCTAGCAGCAGCGGTGGGTTGTGAGGAGAGTTTTGGTAGAATAGGTTAACCGCGAACAAAGCTTTTGTAACAAAGAATCGATCCGAACTCGGAATGCAAGGGAGTCAGACAGACCAGCGCAACATGGATGATCATGGGATCAACTGTCGCCCCCTTCCCTTGTGTCGGTGTAAGTCAAGCACGAAAATAGGTAACATGAGCCGTAGGAACGACCCATGTAACCACGTAATCCAAACCCCCACGCCGGCACCTCTTCCAAGACGAGTCCAAGAGTAGACTATTTCGTGGTCCGAGGCCATCGAAAAGCCTCCCTACCCCCCACAGAACGGAGGAAACGAAAGAGTCGGAGACTAAACCCGAGGGGGGGTTTCTGGTACCAAACAATTACGGTTTTCCCACCCACCAACCCCATCAAACTCCACTGTATCTTCTCCACAGTGGTTTGCCCAAGCAGATCATGTATCTGGACTGCTCCAACCTCCGGGCCGGAATCAGCGTGTTGATCAGTCGAGATGGTAACATCCGCGGTGGAAACCGGCGTGGTTTTTCTATCCTTACGCACGCGACTCGCTGAATTTGTCGCTGGCTGGAGACTATTGTTTGTGTGACGCAGAAAAAAACCAGCAGATGCCAGAGACTTTCCTCTTCCCCGTGGGGGTTGTTGTTTCTCGTTTTGCACGCGACCATGCGAGGTACGAGGCCAAAAGAAGAACAAACCCATCTCACCTTTTTTGCGCTTCCGCTAACCCTTACCCGGACTGGCGTATGTCCGGTCAGATTTCATCTCACTATCAGAAAATGGATCGACGCTGAACCGGCTATGGTCGGTAATCCAACCCACGTTAGTTCTCTCAACCTTTTTCTGTGATCGCTTGTGCTCCCGATCAACCCCCAGGCGGAGTAGGGCCGCTCTCTCAGCTTGCATGCGCCATCAGGTGAGACACTCAAGGCATCTTTCCGCGGGGATGGGTTGTCATTCCCGACTTCTCGGGCGAGCCTCCCACACTGGTAACGGAAAAACGAGCCCGGTATTGCCACTTGGTCCAATCGGGGAATAGGTCATGATTATTAGCGGGATGCCTGCTGAATTGGATGAACACCCTCAGGTTCTCTTCCTGACTCATTTGGGAGCCATGCTGCACTTCCGTATCCCACACATGCCCTTATGGGGACTCGGAGCACAAGGCGTGAACGAAGGGTTCGCTTGGAGCCGAGCCAGACCCAGAACCAAAAGTGCCTGACGTCCCCCGGGACAGCAGATCTCCAAGAGTCCAGAACGTCTCGAGAATCCGACAGTCACGGCAATTCCTGGCGGCCAATCACCCACCACCTCCGAGCTCGCCCGCCGTAGAACAGATGACCAATAAAATTACGTAACTGAGGCAAGACTTCGGACTTCTTCACCAGAACTTATAAGTGGCTTTTTCGTACGTTGGAGTATGTGGACCACCTGGTTCGCATCACGAGCTTGAATCCTTTTTTTTCCGGTGGGTTGTTCATTTTTTTTCCTTTCAGCATCGGCGCTTCGCTTGGTCGGTTAGACAACATCACTCTGCTTGATATTATGCCCTCGTTTGCCTGAGCGTGATGGGCGATGAAAGGGAAATCGCAGACATCACACTTCAACTGTTGGCCAAAGCAGGAGAAATCAAGCAAAAAGAACAGAGTACGATGCCTTCGACAACACTGGCATCGAGAGTCCGGACGGGAGCAGCAGCAAGCGCGGGTCAGGCCAGCTCGAAGACCACAACAGCGGATGGCGGGGTAGCGCATCGCCAGGGATCATACGAGCAAAGAGGACGACACAAAACCACCAAAGACGCAACTCCAGGGCTGGCCCAACATGCCGGAGATCAAGGGCTACCACCACAGATCACGCCTACCACAGAGACCATGAGAATTCTCGGTCCTCTTCCAGTGCGGAGGGCGTGGAGGGCCAGACCAGGCCGGGCATCACCAGACATCTCACAGACGCCCGTGTTAGAAGCAGTCATGCTTCATGAGCGAGGCGACTTGCAAAACTCTGAAGAGCAATGCTCCAAATGCCGAAAGGGGGACGGGATCTCAGCAGAGTGCGTCAAAATGCCGGGCATCTACAACGGCGCGTGCAGCAATTGTCTGCTAGCACGGACATCGAACCGGCCAGGATCGTCAGGGAGGCCGATACGGAGCTATTCCGCCGAACGGCGGTCCATCTCCGCGACAATATCACCTTCCATACCAAAGGAGGATCTGATTGCTGTGTGGAACCTCATTGCAGGTGTGATTGCAACACAACCCCAAGAATGCTTCACGGAAGACGGGTCAGAACCACCGGGGAAGAAAATTGAAGATGCTGCTCAATTAGTGGCTAGGTCGGCAGATGAATGGGGCCATACGATCAAGGAAGAAGAATCAGATCCGGGGAAGACACCCAAAACGCCCTCAGAAAGAAGCAGACTCGTCAGGCAAGCAACGAGAATCCGGGAGACGGCGTTGCAGATTGCGAATTGCGCAAGGATTTGGGGCGAAAAGTTGGAGAGAAAGACGTCTTCATCACAACTACGGAGGTGAGAGGGAGTTGCGGTTAAACAGTACGCAACCACAAAATCACAATCTACCTAGGTAATCAAAAGCGACGTCTCAAGGCTTGCTAGGAACACGGTCAAATTTAACATGATTCAAAGTCTTGCAGAGTGAAACATTTTCTCTACGTGCCTCAGCCTGGCCCGTTTTTCTTCTTGCATAATGAACATACATCTTCACAGAGTATCCGTAGAGACGATGCAACACGCGTTGATCCCGTCAATTGCACCGATGATATCATCCCCCAAAGAACAAACAAATGGCTGAGCCCCCCTGAACACCCCACGGACCCGAGACGAAGGTCGACCGAGATTCAGCACACTGAGGCCTCCAATCACGAAAAGAAGGTTCAGTACCGGCTTCCCCGCGTCGGATCAGGAAGATGGCCGAGAAATGAGGGGGAAAGATGGGGTGATGGGGCCACGTCGGACACCTCTCCGAACCCCTGGTCACAAGCACCGGATGCAACGCCCGGCAACCCCCATCAAACCCCCAAGAAGCCTCTCTCGCTCGTTCCCCCACGATACACGCACACGACACAACGTTTGCTGACTAGACTGTCACAGACGCCGCGAAGGATCAATGTCTGGGGTAGGTTACCCTGGTGGCTTCTCCGCCTCCGCACCGAGCATCGGGGCTGAAGTCAGCTGCCGGCCGGTATTCGCAACAGGAATCTGACGGATTAGTGTACAAATACTAGGCCGAGTGAGGGGGTCATGCCAGAGCTGCATACTACAGAGTACACACCTCAACGACAATTGAAGTCCCTGCGCCACCACTGAGCACTCGCTGGGAAGAGGTCCAACCGACGCCGTGATTTCGACAATGACTTCAGACGGCCAGCAGATCGAGGTCCTCCTCTACGGACTAGGGGCGTGGGTTGCTCACCCTGAAGACCTGGCCGTATGAGAAACTGACATGATCTGTCCAGCATCGGGTCATTCTACGCCTTTATTCTCAGCAGAGTACCGCGGGTCAGATTAACGGTTGTTGCAAGGTCAAATTACAATGCAGTGAAGGAGAATGGAATCGCTATTGCAAGCGAAAACCACGGAGAGCACAACGTACGCCCTTACAAAGGTATGCACATGAAATCCGGGGTAGCCGCTGGGCAGCAACACCGTGACCTTATCCCTGTCACTCCAAGCGTCCATAGCTAACGCATCCAAGTTGTAAGGAATGCCGCAGAGGCAGAAGCGAAATTCGACTACATTGTCTGCGCCCACAAAGCCATCACGCAGGATGCAGTGCCCGCGGAAATTGCCCCGGCAGTAGATGCGAAGAAATCCACGATCGTCATTATTCAGAATGGTGTCGGTAACGAAGTGCCGTTCCGCAATGCGTTCCCCCACACAACAATCATTTCATGCGTGGTAAGTCGCGGGGGGGGTCTCCAAGAACCTGGTATAAACTCGTGCTAATGAGACAGACCTGGACCGGAGCCGCCCAGCCGCAGCTTGGGCACATCAAACACACAAAGTCCGAGGACATGCAAATAGGATTGTATCCGAATCCTGCCGATCAGGCAGTGGAGAAGAAGCGGCTGAACGAATTTGCGTCTGTATTGACGGAGGGCAAGACCGTCTTCCAGGTGGTGCCCAACATCCAAGTACAACGCTGGGAAAAGGTTGTTTGGAATGCCGCTTGGAACTCGCTCACGACATTAACGCTGCTCGACACGCACTCATGGCTTAGCTCCTCACCAGAAGCTACCCCAATGACCCAGCGATTAATGAGAGAAGTCATCGATGTCGCTAAGGCATGCGAGGTGCCCATCGATTACGACCTGGTCGACAAGCTGGTCAACAAGATCCTGGCCATGCACCCCATCGGTAGCAGCATGCAAAACGACTTCAAAGCTGGTCGGCCGATGGAAGTGGACATTATCCTCGGTTATCCCTACCGAAAGGGCAAGGAACTAGGCATAGCTACCCCAACGCTGGACACCATCTATGTTATTTTGACGGGCACAAACCTTCGTCTTCTCAGGGAGTCCGGGCACTAGATAGTTTACCCATCTGAAAAGAGCATAGCAAAGCTGAACACGTCCACAGTCCCGGGTCAGTTGACACCATGTCATCCTTATTTGGTGCCAAAGTTAATCCTCAGCCTCTGCGTGGGGGCATCGAGCTATCAGTCCTCTCTCACGCCTCCAACTTGCAAGACACCGCCGAGGTCTGTCCAGACAAGGCCGCACTAGGTCATAATGGTGCAGTTATGTACGGTTTAATGCACGGCTAGTCAAGTAGCCCGGCCCTTCACCGCACGCGGACTTCTTTCCATCCCTAATATCCCGTCCCCACCTCCCGAAGGTGGGCAACGTGTGGTTCGTGAGGGGAATTAGTGCCATTTTCGTCTGGTCTCTGCACGCGTTGCCAGCCATGCGTGCCATGTCAAACCTACAAACTTGCTTAGCGCGCGCTGCTGGACTGAGGGGAACGCGTAGGACCCCATGGGGATCCTCTCACACCCGCCTATCTGAAGCAATTGTTGGATGAGATGGTATGGATTAGATGCACCTCGTACGGTCAATGGTTGCTCATGACGAAATTGGCTCGAGCTTTTCGCCGAACATCTGAGCGGCCTACGACGCGGCCGGCGATACGACGATAAACAGGGTCTAAGTATAAGATGGTTGGAGATCGCCGCCCATCTTGGCTACCTGGATGTTTGGACTATCAAGGGAGAAGCCGGTTTTCTCTTCTTGAAATCCTGTCTTTGTTCTTATTCGTCAGCCATTCATCGAGAAAAGAGCTTGTTGCCAACAAACATCATGGACACCGCATCAAAGACTGGAGACGGTGTGTCTCAGCTTGAACATCGCAACACCGAAGATGTCGAGCAGCTCAAGCACCAGGGCCAGAACATCGCCAAAGGTGCCGACCGCGCGGCGAACCTTATCGGCGATCAGCAAATCGAGGTCACAGAGGAAGAAGTATGTCGACCTAACTCTGAAATTCCAGTCTTGTCAAATTACACCGTAGCTGACCCAATCACCGTTAGAACAAACGCATCCGCCGAAAGACCGATAAGCGAGTCCTCTCGATCCTCGTCTGGGTCTATTTCCTCCAGATCCTCGATAAGTCCGTCCTCGGATACGGCGCCATCCATGGCCTCAGAACAGACTGCAACTTGACCGGAAATGAATACTCCATGGTTAGCTCCATCGCTGCCATCGCCCAGCTCGCATGGCAGCCCTTTTCTTCGTGGCTCATCGTCAAGGTGCCGCACCGCATCTTGATGCCCGTCTTGGTCCTGGGCTGGGGTATCGCGCAGGTGTGCATGGCTGCATGCCACAACTACGGAGGCCTCTTGGCGACTCGCTTCCTGCTGGGCTTGTTTGAGGCTGGCTGCCTTCCCCTTTTCTCCGTCATCACATCGCAGTGGTACCGTCGCGCTGAGCAGCCAATGCGCGTGGCATGCTGGTACGGCACCAACGGCCTGGCGACCATGTTCGCCGCTTCTGTCTCGTACGGCTTGGGTCAGATCAACGGGTCCATCCACTCGTGGCAGATTCTCTTCATCTTTGTCGGTCTGATTACCGTCCTCACTGCCCCCGTCGTCTGGTACTTCCTCGATAGCGATATCCCATCTGCCCGATTCCTCACCGAGCACGAGAAGCTGCAGGCGATCGAGCGCCTTCGCGCCAACCAAACCGGTACGGGAGGAAACGAGTTCAAGTGGAGCCAAGTATGGGAAGCTCTTTATGAGCCCAAGAGTTGGTTGTTCGTTGGTATGGCCGTGTGTCTCAATGTTACCGCCGCTGTGACGAACACCTTCGGCCCCATTGTTATTTCTGGTTTCGGCTTCGACAGCATGAAGAGCTCCCTGCTCAACATCCCCTTCGGCTTCGTTCAGCTCATCGTTATCTTCCCGGCTTCCTACCTCGCCCACCGGTTCCGCATCAAGTCGGCCTTCCTCGCTGCGATTCTTGCCCCTGTCCTCACTGGCGCGATTATGCTCTATGTTCTTCCTAGAAGCAGCATTCCCCCTCTCTTGGCCGCATACTACATGCTCGCCTTCCTCTTCGGCGGCAACCCCCTTATCGTTTCTTGGATGATTTCCAACATTGCGGGCACCACCAAGAAGTCCGTCATCATGTCCCTGTACAATGCCGGATCCTCGGCCGGTAACATCATCGGCCCCCTTCTCTTCGACTCCAAGGACGCGCCCGAGTACAAGCCTGGCCTCACCAAGGTTATGGGCATCACCTGCGCCTTGCTCGCCGTCATCGGCCTGCAAGTTATCAACCTCTTCATCTCCAACAAGATGCAAGAGCGCAAGAGAGTGGCCAATGGCAAGCCGAGAAAGATCAAGGATCTCAGTATGGAGCACCACTACGTCAGCGCACAGAATGATGAGACCGGTGCCCAGTTAGGAGACAACGCATTCTTGGACTTGACTGACCGCCAGAATGACGAGTTTGTGTACGTCTACTAAGACGAGAAATTGTAGCGATAGTGCTTTGAGCGTTTCAGGATACCTCGTATTTGATATTTGACGAATCCTTGCGTCAGGATGATTATATCTCCAACTTTGAGCTTTTCGAGTTTACGATCATCGAAGTTTGAGATAATTCATAAACTCAGAGATCGGAAAGCTTCCCGTGTAGTTACCAGTCTCAATCCAATCTCTCTGCGACACCAGTAACATGCCAAACTCCCCCTCTACCCACGATCCACAGCTCATTCTCGCCAAATGCCATGTTCACAGCCAGATTGCTTCCTCCACCCACACGTACGGTGCCAAGAGCTAGTCCAGAGACGGGGTCAATGACATCCACTCCATCACCAGCTTGCGTGATTGTAGCCTTAGGTCCAAGGATATCCATGAATCTTTCGTCATAGGCTATGAAGTTCGTGGTATTGAGGAAGGCATTCCTGGTTGTTTAGTTGAGCCTTATCAAGGTGACGATCAAAGACATGTCACGTACCTCTTTTCTAGCTCTGGATCGGTGGCATGTCCTTTGTAAAGAGCATCCATGGCGGAGCGGTTGAATGACCCTGGAAGAACAGCCACAGAAGGGTCTCCATATGATACGTAGGCCCATCTTGCGGGTGTATCGTTAAAAGCCGCAGGAAGATCAGTAAAGTATGCGACAATGGCGAGTGGCAAGACTGCCAGACTCCATGCGACCGAAGATCTCATCATTGCAACTCTTGGCTTTCTTAATCCCTCAGAATAAGGTTTCGGGGCAGTCATGGCTGAAGTTTTATAACTCAGACCCTTCCATCTCGACAACTGCAAAGAATTTTTGATGCCCTCAACTAGAGAAGCCGGTTCAGTCCCGACACCGGACTACTCCGCGTCCTTGATAATATCGATCGAACTCTTACACAACAAAGGCTTGACTGGTGGACTGCTCCGTACCCCCACTTACATAGCTGCTTTGTTGGAGGTGGATTACTCCGCTTCCTCATGATGAAGTCCAATAGCAACAACTTGAACGGCAACCGTGTTGCCCTTAGGAACTACTTTCCCGGATTCTTCAAGCGGGGAAGTCATATGTGACAAATAAGCTGCGTTCCGATTCATAGAGTAAGGTAAGGGCAACTAGATGGAAGCCATTCATGGTACGGATAGTACCTTACTCCGTAGAAGATGATGTGGTGGATACGCGGAGAAGGCCCGCCGAAAACACTCGGCGGGGAAGTGCGGGGTCCGAGTTGTCGCCCTGACGGACGGAGATTCTCCGATAACCACCTAGTCAACATTTATTGGCGATTAAGACATGCCACTGGTGGTCAAAAGTCGTGCCTTGTCTCTTAAAACAATATTGAGGCTTCAATACCTGACGACAACTTATGTGCCGACATGTCTAGAGACATCGAGAAGTAGGGACCAACAGCTACGCGCACAAGCAGTGTGGACTTTGAAACTTGGCCCACCTCATTATTATCGAATATCTGAAAAACTTCACTCTTGTGCCTAGCTAAGTACTTACCTAGTATGGCAGCGCAATAACCTTAGAGTTACAAGTCTATAATCTAATAACTTGATGGCACATGATCCCAATTGTGAGTTCATGCCTACATGTGGGCAATGTAAACTCGCAGCACTGTCACGATCACACCGAGTAGAAGGGGCTTCAAATACACCAATCCCTTCCTAATGGTGTACATCTTTAGTTCTAAAACCAAAAGATCAGTATTTGCATCGAAACGTGGTCACGGTTATGCACCGAGGCTCGAGCCAGTTCAAAGTTGAAGCCTTTCCAAAGAATGAGGACAAAGGAATATCGATGAGCAAGCCATGCCAAGAAATTTCGGATGGAAATTGGACGGTAATATGGACTAAGCGGCTGTTATGTTGACGCCTAGAAAGGTCCTCTATCTTTTATCTTAGTCCTTCAGTTCTTGAGTTCGCGCGATGGAAGTATCCGTGAGAAGCGGGCTGAAACAATGATAAACGATGCATATTAGATTGCTTACGTAGATCGTCCAGACAAAATTCAGACAAGGCGAGCGCCAAGTTTTGAGTAATAGAAATGCGAGCAAGATCGCTTTTCTTAGTCACCAAACCACTCCGAATAATCTCTTGCTTCTTGATTAACAATCTAGGGTCATCCGAGTAAGGCAGCTGTTTCACTCTCGAACAGCCAAGCTGCATTATCCACCGGAACAACGAAAAGTTCGCCACATGAAGAAAAATTGACACGGCCTGGCAACGTTTTCCGAATACTCGGAAGCAGACTGCAGTACTTCTCCTGCTAATTATTCTGCGTCATAGCATGAGAGCCTCAGCCTCTGCGTTCCTGCCGTCTCGATTGACACTCCGACATCAAGTGGGGATATGAGAAGTCTCGCCTTCGCATCTTGGTGTTTGACAAACTACTAGACGTTCCCAGTCTCGGGGATTCGGACTGGTTCTCCATGCTTAAAGCCGGCTGTTTTAGTGCAGTCTTGCCGTTGAATGGGAACATAAGTTAAGCGGTTGAATATGCCCTGGGCTGGTGCAGATAGAAAGCTTCAGTGGTGGAATTGACAATAAAGCTCAGAGAGGTGTGAGAGAGCGGTTCTCTTCTAGGAGTTCATTCATACCATGCCCTTGATCGAGAGTGGGTGGACCCTGTTTCAAATGTTTCCCGCGGGAGTTGCCATCTCCTTATTTGTCAAATTTACCGCCTTTCAAATCACCTCACAACATACCCCTACCTAGACACAGTCCAAAGCTCCCCATTGAAGCCGTAAGCTGTGTTAGAAGACAAGTAGACATCATGAGTGAAATGTTCTTCCTATCGATAAGATCGGCGTGAGGAGTTGACTTAACAACACACTACAAGTCTGCTGGTAAATGTGAAGACTTCAAGACTTCGAAGAGTTCAAGGCAGTTAGCGAGTTTTTCAGAAGCATGTGCGAACCACCTAGAGATTAGAAATTAGCCAAATGATTAGTTCGCTTTCTCTCTGGCCCTCATTCGTAATCCCTTGGCAATGACAAGCTTGGTTAATATGTGGTGTAACATCAACTCCTAGTACGGGATCATGTTTACTAAGTCCGAAATACGATGAAGGAGAATGCGGAAAATACGGCAATTTCAAGGATCTCCCGTACCGCTCGGTATGGGGTTCAAAAACTTCCCCCTCGCCTAATTTTTCTTGGCATCTACTGTTAGTGCAATAGGTAGGCCACCACCAATATCCTTAACAGTTGAAAACCCTTCACCTCTCTCCTCCGGCGCCCTCCCGCGATGGCCTCACAGCCTCCGGCGGGCTCTGGACTGTTACCAGCCTCCTCGGCCGGTCCTGACCGAAGCTCTGGACCCCCTCCGGAGTCATCTCCAACCTCAAGGGCTAAACGCCGCCGCGGTACCGAGGCCCAGCCACCCCGGCCCAGCCTCGTAGGTAGCCAGTCTGACGCCCTTACGATAACCCCCTTAACGGCTAAGGGGCCCTCGACTATAACTAGAACAACTACTAGAGCTATCCTTACAGCTCTTAATAAAGAGGCTAAGCACTATAAAGCCCGAAAGGACGTCTTTATAACTATTACTTAGTCTAACTATAAATAACGTGATCTCTTGCTTTGAGGGGCCTAGGAAGCAGATCGTAAAAGCTACAACCTATATAATATAAACCTTAAAGAGGATTATAGGTAACGAGATTACGGCTCCGACTCCGAGCCGGAAATAGATTAACATAGTAGCCTCGGCTTTAACTATAGTCGTGGCCGTAGCTATGGCCCCGACCCGTACCCGAATCTTATCCCGGCCTAAAGTCCAGATATAGAGTCTAATGGAGACCCGGGCCTAGGCTCTATCCTAACTAAAGGAGGACCTCCGGGTATTTACCCGTATCCTAGAAGAGGGCCTAGCGGCTATTAGGAAGTACGCCCCCTTCGCTTTACGCCGGTGTTACGGCCAGCTAGTCGTAGGGGTAGTTTGCAGAAGTTGAGGCTGCGGAACTGGTAACAGTAATCGTAGTCGTGGAATAGTTTCAAGGAAACTATATCTGTCAATCGTAAGGTAAGGTAAGGCTTCGGTGATCAATCGTAGTCTTGTCAAGGTGATAGCTGAAAGCGGATGTTAATCCTGATACGAAGTTAATTGCTGAAGAAGCTATGGAAAGTCTGTCCTAGAGCCCGGCTCGAGTCCATCCTATATACAAGTCTTGATTCTGAACATATCCTTTATCCGTATGTTTACCGTACGGATTCCGTATTCTGAACATACGGGGTCCGTACCTCAAAGATGATGATGATGATGATGTATTTAACGTCTGGTAACAAAAGGACGTGCCGGGCGCTATGCCGACATGGTCTATACTAATCTAAACTATGTTTCAGGCTACCGTCTTCACCTAACGTTCCTGTTCAATGACTCGTGCAAATTTTAGAAAAGAAATTAGTCTCCTCTATCTATTTGTATAAAAGAGAGGCTCCCTTAGCAGAACCTAACAAGAAATTAATACTTGCTTTGGCCATACGTTGGCGGAGGTAGCGCAGTATAGCCTTGCGTCTACGCTTGTAGAAGTAGAAATGGACTGGTGTCTTGGGTTTCCCATAACTATAGTTGAGCAACGCATCTTAATAAGCAAATCTCTCGTAGTATGCTGCAAAGTCTCTATAATAGGACCTTGCTACGTATAGCCTTCTTAGTAAGTGCCGAGGGAGGCGGAGTTCAGGCGGCTTGGGGTGAAGAATTATCTCGAGGTCGGCATATTACCGAGGGCATTGGGACAGCCATTTTCTGGCAAAGGCTTGGAAGGTAGCTACTTTAGCTTGCCTTTCTAGGTGCGCTAATGAGGGCTATGGTTGTGATTTTGGGATTAGTTTACAGGCTTCCTTGGCTAGAGCATCCGCTTCTTCATTTCCTGGTACTCCCGTGTGCCCAGGGCACCACCAAATATAAACCCTGCCGGGGGTCATCCAGCTCTCTCTTTATCTCCGAGTCCAGGAGGAAGAGAGCCTATTGAAG